CAAAAAGAGCCATCAACGTGCCGAAAGTGTGAGAGCTGGGCGAAACTCCAGCCTGCTGCATCTTGGAATATATCGAAAGAGCGCCGGCTAGGTTTTCTTCATTGGCATAAACTTTGAGCAAAATGTTCCAACACACCGTATTTGGCTTCAGATTAAACTCTTCAGAGATTCTCCGAAACTGTTTAGTAGTTTCCTCAACGTTTCCTGTTCGTGCATGGACGTCGAGAAGCGGAGTCAACAGTTTTCGGCTCCGTGGTGGCCCATGGTCTTCGACGAGCTTGTCGAAAAGGAAATTGACTTTCTCCACGTCGCCGGCTTGTGCAAACGATTGCATGGCATCCTTGTACACTTGGAGATTTGGCTTTCCGTAGAACTGGGTCATTTCCTCCAGAAAAAATCGCACCCCAGAAGTAATTCCAAATGAGGCAAAGGCTCTCAACTGAGTAGTGAAGAACGATTGAGGGGGCGTCGTCTCCGGCATATGTCGACGCATAATGCGGTAAAAAACAGTTGTCCGAATGAAGATTGATCTCGCTTCACTCGCTTGAAAGATGTTTAGAGTGTTGAGATAGTGCTCACGCTTCAAAAGCCCCGAGTCGTGATAGATCTGAAACAATTCCACAAGTACACCGGTGGAAGCGGATCTGAGCATATAAGAATAACGGAAAATGTGGTCAAGAAGAAAGTCAGCCAAAGAGCGGGCGTCATGGCTCTTTTCACGCATGACGAATTTTCCAAATGCTACAGCATCCCAAGCAAGTCTTCCATGTTCAAGCTCACCGAACAAACTCCGGTATGGTGGCTCAGACTTCGCTCTGGATTGTGACACCAAGCGCCAGATTTCCAGAGCGCGCTTCCAATTACGAGCTTTCCAAAAGCGCGTGAATGATAGCGTACAACATTTCGATCCGTAGCCCCTTTCCAAGGCTTTTTCGCATAGAGAAATCAGTTTCGATGGCTCTCGAGAACCAAGTTGAGATTCAGCGGCACGCAAAAAATCGTCTTCCGAGAGGCTCTCGCCAGGTATTCCTTGGAACGCCTCCCAAGTCCGATCCCGATCGACGTTGTTTTTGGACCTACTGAGGTAGGCACATAGTGCAGAACGGCAATCAGATGGTCTTCCAGCGGCAATATAAAGCACCCAGGCTCGATCAAAATCGGCCTTCTCTTGTTCCAACAGATTTATAAGGTAGCCCTTGGAAGTTCTGGTTGCTTCCATTCCCACCGGCTGGGGGCTCGGTTCGTTTGCGTGAGAGTCCTCGTCAAGTATCTCTTTGGTAGGGGATGATGCGTTCGATGTATATGGTCTCGAAAAGCCAACCACGGTTCGTTTCCTCCGGCGCAAGGCCAGTCGCTTGGATTGGCGTGAAAGACGTGATGCAGCGAATTCCTGAGTTCTTGGTGGGTAAAGAAAGTCGAGGAATGGCGAGCCTCCATCTTTGGCAACTTTGCTCTCGGCAGGAGACAGAAAAGCTGAAGTCGAGCTTTGTTGACCAGGCGGCAGCACTAACGCGACAAAACAGCTCGCAATATCCCCTCCGATAGCATTATGCTTCCAAAAATGACGAGACAGACTCCTCCGGGATCGAATTGTGCCGTTGGGATCTCGAAGGAAACGCCTTCCCGCGCTCTCGAGACAGCCGGCCGCCCGTTCGAGCATTACCCCCGATGGTCGCGGCGTCAAACACTGAAGTCACCTAAGAGAATCCACAGTCTGCATCATATCGTATCGAGCGGCCCTATGTATCCGAGTTCCAAGTCAGAAATCACTGTCCATGTGGTGTTCTTGGTTGTTGCTGGCGGCTGTGATGAGCTGTTTAGGGTGGTGCCATTTTCGTACCGAGAAGGGGAAAAAAACAGCGGTGGGTGCAGACGACCTAGCAGAGGGAAGCTTCAGGCGCTGAGCTTCACACAGGTCGCAATTGCTAAATCGTCTCCCAGTCGTCCGGCGATCGGTTGTGAGCCAACAAGAGTAAAGACAGAAAAGTAGGCTGGAGAATGCCAACCACGCAAAAGATTCGGAGAGGTTGGAAATTGCCGGGCAGGTCGGCCCATTCGTTTGGCCGAAACGGGGTACCGCCTTTGCATACCCACCAAGTCAACCTGCCAACTACTCGGCTCCCCTCAATCTCGCCAATTCAATCACAACCATGGAGATTACCGATTATATCTTTAAAGAGCGTGAGGAAGTGCTCCTCGCCGGAGACTACAATGCCTATCGGGCGCATGCCACCCGCAAGCTGCACAAACTCCGCAAGAAGCTGGGACAGGCCACTCCTAAAGGCCGCAAGTACGCTGCGAAGCCAGCTGTAACGGCTGAAAATGTTGGAAGCAACGTGTCGTATGTGTTTCTCCTAACCACTGTATGATATATACTTACCTGTCTTTCTCTTGCGGCCAGATATGTGCACCTCTTGCTTCTCGGATCCGAACGAGCCTGGGCGCAAGCCATGCACGAGAAATCGACACACTCCGCCGATCCATCATCCAAAGGCATCTCCGGTGCTGCTAGACGCCATATCATTTCGCGACTACACAAGGCAACCGGTTATGCGCAACTTCTTGTGAAATTGCTTCATGAGCAGTCAGCCACCGGTGCTACCGACATTGATATCCTCGAGGCCCGGGCTTATCTGGCTACTGTCTCTGGTGCGCTGTGGCTGGAGAAGCGCAAGTGGGAGCAGTGTCTACATGACTATGCTATCGCGCGAGTGATCTATACGGCCCTGGGACAACGGGAGAAGAAGGATTCTTTCCGCGACCTTCTCACGGGAACCGTCGATCCCAGTCTGCGGTATGCGGCTTACCAGATGAAGCTTCCTCGCTCCAAGCCAACATCGTCGCTGGCCATCGAGTTCTTCCCCACTGACTCTGAGATTCGCGCCGAAGTTGAGAAGATCGACCCGTCCTGCCTCGCCGAAGAGGCCGCCGGAACACGGAGAACCGCCGAGGGAGAGGTACAAAAGTTGCCTGAGTCTGTGACATGGAGATCTCGAACCGTCCCGTTGGATGATGCTTCAATTTCTCAGGCATTGGCTGCTGCATCTGCCGGCGAGGCTGGTCTCAGCGCCTGGTTGGCTGGTGCAGGCAAATCTGCCAGCGCTAAGGAGCGCGCTGCTGCATATGACAATGTCATCATTGCCAGCCAGGATGCCGTCGATGCCACGAAGAGTGCCATTGATGACCTAACTAGCGAGGGAGTGGATCCTGGTGATAAGAGAATGCAGGCACTTCAGATCACTCGGACAGCCGTCAACTACAATCTTGTCGGATGGCGGGTTGGTCGTAACCGTGTGCTGTGTGGTGAACAGGACGGCCTGACGTTTGAGGAGGAATCACCTGCTCAGGGTGGAAAGGTCACCAAGCACGGTGCGAGTAATGGAAAAAAGCTAAATAAGCTCCGCGAGCGCGTCGTGCTGTATGACTCGACCCTGCAGAGCCTAGACTTTATCCTGGAACTGCCAGGCGTTGCTGCCGACGCAGCATTTGTGCAAGATCTTGAGGCGAAACGGCGCTACTTCCGTGCGCTTCGGTACGTCTCCTTTTATGTAACAAGACGCCTTTTCCTCTATGTGACTAACGCTCTCCATGCTCAGATGCCTCGCCTTGGGTCGATCCCACGGTGTTCTTGGCAAGCCCACCGAGGCACTTGCCTTGTTCGCTCAGGCATTCGATCTCGTCAGTACCGCCATCCCGCAGACCTCCGACAGCTCCGAGGGTCCACCCCAGCTCGATGTCTCGCGAGCCCAGGCTAATAATTTGGCCTCTACTCTTCGCGGACTTGTTGCCCAGTACCGCGGACTCGTGACTCTGGAGCGCTTGGAGGCCCAGACTGGTTCCAGCCAGCAGCGTGCGTTAGTCGAGCGCCTACACCAGTTCAGTGCTGGCGCCGACCTCAGCAATTTGGTGCCCTATCCGCCTCAGATGCAGCCCGTGCCCGTGAAGCCGCTCTTCCTCGACGTGGCGTGGAACTACATCGACTACCCCCGCCGTGGACAAGCACCAGTAGAAGCTCCAGAGCAGGTTCCATCCCCGGCGCCCGAAGAGAAGAAACGAGGTTGGTTCGGTTTTGGCGGTCGGTGAGCAAGGTGCTTTGTACATACTGGCGTACTTTATTATGATTAGCTAGGTGACGAACATGTTCATGTTCGTGTGATGCACAGCGTGTTCTCCTTGCCTTGCACCTCTGTACTGCACCAGCACACCTCTATCACCACGTATTCAGTAGTATCCAGTAATGCTATCAGTCAAAATTAATATAGCAATGCGTGTACATTTGCCTCATTGCGAGATCCTGTAAGTGGACTATCGTTTTACAAGACCATAGTCCTGATCCTGATCCAATGGCAACGGGGGGCCTTAGTCAGAGGCAGTTTATCGGTGCACGTGCCCCCGGAAGCCCTCAATGGAATTTGCGCCAATAGTTAAATTAGCGTCACGTTGCCCAGTCAAGCTATTTGCAACGACGGTCAATAAAAGGGGAATAATCTGAATTTTTCTTTTTTCCAAAGAGACAGTTCCTCGTACTGTATCAAGCAGGCGGTTTTTCACCAAAAGGGTTCTCTCGTGACCTCCTGGCTGGAGAAGGTCTTCTATGGAGTGCCCATATGTACCGAGTAGATAGCATCATTCCTAGCGCGACTATGCAATCGTCCGATCGAGGTACATACAAGTTGCTATAGTGATTTCAAACCATCATTAGGTACTTCGGATAGTCAGATCCTCTCTATCTTTAAATTGATATATTTTGTTAATTATGAAAACGTGATCTATTGAAGGATGACTTTCTGCATCAAGCACCAAAACAAGAGCAATTTTCTGCATGTTATGATTGAAAGCATGGCGCTTCGGCTCTAAACCCCCTCCCAAGATCGCGTAGTGAACTACAGTAATGTACATTACTCCGTACTTCTGGAGTCGACAGTCATGCCACGGCCGGCTTCCCCTGTGGCCTGCGGGACCTGAGAGATCCGGGCCCCGGCCCCATAATTAACGAATCGCCAATCGCCAATCGCCAAACCGAATACGACTGCAAATTATTGGCCTTCCCACCCCTGACCAATTTCCCGTTCTTCCCCTCTCCACCTCTCTCGAAACCATTGTCCGCTTGTTCTTGGTCTCTGGTTAACCTTCTAGTTTTGCACTCGGCAGAACAGAAATTTCCAAAAAAAAAAAGAAAGGTCCTCCTTCACCATGGTCAACATGACTGGGAGCTTTGCCTCGCCGTCCGCAGATGCGACAATCTCGCCGCAACTTTTCGCGCCGGCCGGCCTCGTCGCCTCCGTTCTGGAAGGCTTCACCGTCTGGAAGCTGATCCTGGCGCTGTTTGTTGGAGCAGTCCTTTACGATCAGTGTAAGTCCGAATTGTCACGAGAATCGTCGCAAAGCATCTCACTTGCTCTGGAAATTTCAACGCGTCTCGGATCAATGGCTAATGATCTGTCCCCCTTTTTTTCCTTCGAACAACAGTCAAGTACCACTACCTCAAGGGCAACATCGTCGGTCCTGCCTACAAGATCCCGTTCATGGGCCCCTTCCTCCAATCCGTCAATCCCAAGTTCACCGAGTACAAGGCGAAATGGGACAGTGGCGAGCTGAGCTGTGTCTCCGTCTTCCACAAGTGAGCTACCCTTTCCCCTCGATATGTCTCTCCCCCCAATCGGGTTTTCTCCGTATATGGGAAGAGGCAGATGATTGATATTTGAGATTCTGATTCACTGACATTTGCGACCAAGGTTCGTTGTGATTGCCTCAACCCGTGACATGTCCCGCAAGATCTTCAACTCTCCCGGCTACGTCAAGCCCTGCGTCGTGGATGCTGCGCACAAGCTGCTCGGCAAGTCCAATTGGGTCTTCCTGGATGGCAAGGAGCACGTCGAGTACCGCAAGGGTCTCAATGGCCTGTTCACCCGCCAGGCTCTGGCCAGCTACCTTCCCCGTGCCGAGGAGGTCTTCGACGAGTACTTCAAGCGCTTCGTTACCAAGTCCGCCGCTACTAACCACACCCCGACTCCATGGATGCCCGACTTCCGTGAACTGATGACTGCTCTTTCCTGCCGCACCTTTGTCGGCTACTACATGTCCGACGAAGCCGTCCAGAAGGTTGCCGATGACTACTACCTGATCACCGCCGCCCTCGAGCTCGTCAACTTCCCTATCATCCTGCCCTTCACCAAGACTTGGTACGGCAAGAAGGCTGCCGACATGGTCCTCGAGGAGTTCTCCAAGTGTACCGCGAAGAGCAAGGCCCGTATGGCTGCCGGTGGTGAGATTACCTGTATCATGGATGGCTGGGTCAAGGCCCAGCAGGATTCCGCCAAGTACCGCGAGAAGATCGCTCAGGGAATCTCGGTCGATCCCTCCGAGAAGCCTCCTCAGGTTCTGCGTGACTTCTCCGACTTTGAGATCGCCCAGACTATCTTCACTTTCTTGTTCGCCTCCCAGGATGCCACTAGCGCCGCCTCTACCTGGTTGTTCCAGCTGATGGCCGACCGCCCCGAGATTCTCGACAAGGTCCGCGAGGAGAACTTGGCTGTTCGCAACGGTGACCGCTCCGTTCCCATCTCCATGGATCTGCTCGAGAAGTTGACCTACACCCGCGCCGTCGTCAAGGAGACCCTCCGATACCGTCCTCCCGTCATCATGGTCCCCTACCTTGTCAAGAAGGACTTCCCCATCACCGACAAGATCACCGTCTCCAAGGGCTCTATGATCATTCCCTCCGTCTGGCCCGCCACTCACGACGAGGAGGCCTACCCCAATGCCGACTCGTTCGAGCCCGAGCGCTGGATCACCGGTGATGCCGAGCAGCAGACCAAGAACTGGTTGGTCTTTGGCACTGGTCCCCACTACTGCCTGGGTCAGACCTATGCCCAGCTGTCTCTGATGGCCATGATTGGCAAGGCCAGTATGGAGATGGACTGGGAGCACACTCCCACTGCCCAGTCTGAGGACATCAAGGTGTTCGCCACAATTTTCCCCCAGGTATGTCTTTTTTTCCAGCCCTATTCACCTCATTAATCCATAGCTAACGATATATCTTTAGGACGACTGCCTGCTCACCTTCCGCCCTCGTGCTTAAATATTGATTGACGAATAATGCAAAAGCACCAAGCTGGAAAAAAAAACTCCCGGCCCCAACCTCCGGATAGAACGGGCTCGGTGACACATTCAGCACGGCCTTTCTGTCCTGGAGATGGAGGGGCCATTCTTTTTCACAATTCATTTCTCGCCTCGGTACTGGCACGCATGGTCAACAGTCCTCTTGCCGGACTTGGAAAAAAAGTTACCGTGGTCGCTCACCGGGGCAATTGGTCTTCAAATCTGGGAGAGCTCTTTTCAGAGATTATCCCCCTAATACCCCCTTTGTGTATAGAGCGGCCCGTGTGGGATCGCTACTGCTGAGCATCTCTTTTCCGGGTTGTCTCTGCTTCTTTTCTCTCTCCTCGGTGTGAAAGACCCTAGAGCCATTCTTAGAATAATTTTAATTCTTCTTTTTTTCCATTTACTATTGATCGGTTATTTTGACTCGGTTCTTCCCAAGTAAATACTCAAATGATCATGGACAAAGTCAATCGATGTTTACCAAAAACCCAGCCCTAGGAAGTAGGGGTACAAACCCTGGATATATATCCACCTACCGGGAACACCGCGCATTTCATCTACCGGTACATATCGGAACATGTCACACCATCTATATACTCCACGTAGATACGACCCTTTCATGTTGTAGAGGTATTCAGGAAGGTTACCATGGGGTGTCATCATGATGGTCTGATTGTTTGCCTACCCTCACGACAACCAGTCCTCGACTCAGAAATGCAAGCCTCGATTCACACCATGGAATCCAACATACAAACAAGTCCTATCCCTCCAATTGTGACTCGTGCACAAGTCTCGCCAATGGGCCCTTGTGACCGCCATACTACTAGACGGCGATGGGAAGAGCTGTCCATGCGAAGGCGGCTCTACCAAGCTGTGTTCCATTGGCACTTTGAGTGCTTCCTTCATGTTCGCATCCTTTTTGGCTCGATGTTGAGGTTTGCGTTTTCTGAGAGGGGTGTCCGACTGTTCGTTGATAATCTGGCTTGCCTAGTTTGGGCAGACGCCTGGCGCGCCAACAGAGCGATACTCCATTTTGTTTTGGAAGCGGAACACTAGCAGGTGAAATCAAGTATAGCGTATTTTCAAAATTATTGCGAGTTGAGGCCACCAGGTCAAAGGATTCCCAGTCATCTAACACCATTTCATCTGGCCCCCGAAAGAAGGCAAAGAGGTGAAGGTACTGGACACGATATGACATGTTTAGGGGCCCCTGGTGCGAGCAGTTTCACCGCAGTTTCAGCTCTGCCCTGGTCTCTGACTCGAATGTATGTCTCTCCTCTCTTTCCCCCATCACTCTTGACGCCCCGTCTTCGCAGTACTTGCGAAATGGACTTCGATCATATCGCGAAAGAGCAGGCAGATCGAGTGTTTCAGGTGTGGATATAGAATCTACTCAGAAATTCACCAGAGGATTTGGCGGGCAAGCTTGCTTCCCGGCATTATCCTGGCACCCCCGTAACGGCTTCCCGGCTTTCGAATGGCGCTTTTAACGTTTGCTATCGAGTCACGTACGACAATGGCCATCGCGTCCTGGTTTGCTTTACAGCCCTTGGTCGAGTCATCGCTCGCAATGAAAAAGTGGAGGACGAAGTCTCAATCATGAATTATGTTGCTCAGCACACCGCGATTCCCGTTCCAACGGTCTTAGGATATGGCAAATGTGTGGTAGGCCCGTACATCGTCATGTCTTTTATCGAAGGAAACACGTTGAGCGGATACCTCAGGGATTCGTCACAGGAGACAGTCACCTTGAGTTCAAAGATCTCGATATCTGTCTTAAGGAGAGCTTGTTTTAGCATAGCGGAAGTGCTGCTCGAGCTGTCGAAACCTGGATTACCGTACATCGGAGCTATCAGACAGGACGACTCCGGTGTTTGGACTGGACCTACGCGTCCACTCACTTTTAAATTGAATCGGCTTGCTCAATTCTCCAATGTTCCATATAGTGTCTTCGGTCGGCGGCATTTCAGCAACGCCGCGGATTATTTCGAGGAGCTCGCTCAGCAGCATTTCTATCATCTTGAATTTCAACGTAATGATGCAATCTCAGACAGAGCCGACTGCCGGAAGAAATACATCGCACGCTGTCTTTTCCGCAAGATTTCACGTGAGATATCAAGAGCTCATTGCAGTGGCCCTTTCCGACTCTATTACGATGACCTTCAACCTGACAATGTCCTTGTGGATCCCTCAAAGCTTGTTGTCTCTGGGTGGTCGATGGGGAGTTTACATACGCTGCTCCTTGGTGGCTCTTACTGGAACGTCCCGAGGACTGGGATCTCGATCTCGAACAATTTCTGGTGCGCTTTATGCCGAGGTTTCGTATCTTTCTCGAGGTACTTCGGGATTGCGAGGCCAGAAAAATCAAGGACGGATCCTTGTCAGAATCCCAGCGTCTATCGACTTTCATGGAGAGCTCATTGGAAACTGGACTATTTTGAATTTGCCTTGCTTCACGACATAGCTCTATGTTTGATGAGATCTATTGGCACTTCATTGATCCGCGGTTCTTTAGTCCTTTTACAACAATTGATGATCGACTGTGTCTTTTGAGCGAAGAAGAGCGTGTAAACATCGACACCTTCGTTAAGAAGAAAATACAGCAGGCAAGTGAGGGCAATTTGGTATCTCATTACAGCATTGATGAACTGGTTGATCTATAAATGTCACTAGCGGATATACGGTGGAGTCTAATAAGCTTGGAACCCCCGACAAAGCTTCCAAATCATCGTCTTAGCTATACCTCAACAAATAAACCGAGAGACTAGAGCTCCCTGAGATGATAATTACAAAGACATTTTGAAAGATTTTTTAGAGATAGAAGAGGCTGAAGCTTATCTAGCTAGGCCGTGGCCGTTCTTTCTAGCTATTGCTTCTTAAAATTTTGCTATCCCTGTATACACATAAGGGCTTAATAGGGACTCTTCAGATATCGACTGTACTATATAATACTCGTAAAGTGCGTTTCTAATTGATCACAGTGTCGTAGTATTACGAGACTTTCTTGCAGTGCCAGGAATATGGTCCATAAGCTTGTAACTATACCTATTGATCCCAACCAAGCAGGCGGTGTCCCACGGCACTGACATCACGACATCATCCGCAGCCCGTCGGCCTCGTCTCCGAGAGACCGAGTCGACTTGATACAAAAACAATGGCTGCACCATTGCACTCCGCTGCCCGGCGCTCAGTCGCCACTATTACATCTACGGCGCTTAAAGTGCCAGTCCGTCAATCCATCGCGGCTACATCATTTCTCCGCTGCGGAGCTCTCACCACTGCCAGCCGAGGCCTCAGCTCAACCTCGCAAAGCCGCCGTTCCCCCGCGCCCTACCAGGCCAAATCACACAGCGTATTCAGTCTCCGTCAGCAAGTCCGATGGAATAGCGACGAATCCACCCCCGAGCACACTCCCGTGTTCCGGGAATGGGGCTTTGAAGATGTAAGTCGGACATTTGCCGTCACCTTAAACTAAACCTATACCATCCATCCATCCCGCCCATTTTCCGGACAAACAGTACTCAAGCTAACCCCAATCACTACTCAGATCAACGCCTCCCTCCCAGCCTCAACCCCTTCTCCCTCGCACACTCCCGTAATTCTAATTGATGTCCGCGAACCCGCTGAACTCACTGGCACCGGCATTATCCCCAGCGCAATCAACATCCCGCTCGCCTCCCAGCCCGATGCGCTCTTCCTGACCGCAGACGAATTCGAGACGCGCTTCGGGTTCCCGAAGCCCAGTGCCGATGCCGAGCAGCAGATTGTCTTCTATTGCAAGGCGGGTGTGCGGGCGAAGGCTGCGGCGCAATTGGCTGTGCAGGCCGGGTATGATGCGGAGAAACTTGGAGTTTATCATGGGAGCTGGTTGGATTGGGAGCGGCAGGGGGGTAAGACTGAGCGGTGGCAGGGGAATGATGCGTGATGGGTCACGGAATGAGAAATGGATTCAATTGGAATGAACAATTTGTACATAATGCAACTGTCCCAAAATGAATTGAGCGGTACGCGAGATGTGGCAAGAAGATACGATGGTGAACTCGAGTCACAATACCTATGACGTGTAATTCAAGTCTAACGATGTGTCCATTAAAAAAGCAACTATAAGAGAAACTCTGGTAAAAGAACCAGCCAGAGGGGAGTGCTCGCTTTTATCTTCTTCCCATGTCATGTACAGAAAGCATTCGCATCAACTTTTGAGCCTGGTCCATTGCAAAATCGTGGTCGTTCATTGGTATGTCCATATCACTGTCAAAAACCACCAGATCAACTTCTTTTTTTCACTCTCTCGATGGTAATAATCAGAATTCGACATCTTCAGTCATCCCCGCAAAGTCGTGACAATAAATGCCGCGTTAATCATAACACAAGAATACCCACACGAGGCACTGCGATGCTAGATGGGCCAGAGTCAAATCGTCACCCCCTCAGACAAAGTGCAGGTTCTGTAGGCGATAGAAGAGTACCACCCGCTCAAGGAATGTCGAAGACGGGCTTGAGTTTCTTGACCAGCGCCCACTCCTCCATAGTGACCTCGGAGCGGTAGAACTCCTTCAGGGTGTCGATACTGGCACGCGAGATGTGCGAGTACAGCTGGTCAGTCTCCTCCAGTTGACGGCCGTACATGGGCTGGTTGGGACCCTCAACCTTGATGGCGACGGAGGGCTGGCCCTTCTTGCAAACTGCGATGGCCTTGTGGTCACGCTCGATGGACGTCCTGCGGTAAATGTTAGAAATAAATACGGAAAAAGTACGGAGGTAGAGGATGGAGTCTGGGAACTTACACTCGGCCAATATCGACAATCTCCTTTTGACCCGCAGCATTGGTGCGAACCGCCGCGAGGGGGGTGTGCATCCGCAAGCTTCCCTCAATGACATCGATACCAATGACGATGGGGTCCTTCTTGTTGAAAACAGCAACGGGGTTAATGACGCAGGGGAAGATAGCAAGCATCTTGCTCTCCTCCTTGCGTTGCTCGGTCAGTTCAGCCATGTGCTTGGTGAAGTCATCGAACAGGTGGTAAATAATATCGGCAGTGAAGATCTTGACGCCAACCTCAGCGGCGTAGGCAGCGGCTTCCTTGTCGACCTTGACATCGAAGCAAAGCATGACGGCATACTCCTTGGCCTTCTCAAGCATAGTTCCCGCCATCATGACATCACGCTTGTAGACGGGACCGATAGAGATGTTGGCAACGGGAATCTTGGACTGCTTAAGGAACTCGAGAAGGGCCTCCAGGGAGCCCAGGGTAGAGGCCTGAACAGTGACACCGCGGTTATCGGTGGCGACACGGCTGAGCAGGTTCTCCAGGTCGGTCATGACCTCGTCCTCAAGATCTTCCTCGTCGTCGTCGGGTCCAACGACAAGCAGACGAGAACCAGCGATGGCATGCTCCAGGTCGTTGGCGGCAATCTTGACACCAAGGGCGGCCTTGACCTCCTTGTTGTGGACGTACTGCGACTTTAGGCGCAGCTCCTTCAGCGGCGCAGGAGTCAACAATGCACGAATATTCGTAACAATAGGTCCGTTGAGACCACACAGAACAATACGATCACCCTCGCGGAGAATACCGTTAGACAGGATCACATCGATGGTGGTACCGAGACCCTCGATAACCTTCACCTCAAGAACAGTACACTCAACCTCGGACAGGTACATGAGGGAGTTGGTCATACGCTCCTGACTCAGCTTGGTCAAAAGCATCAACATGTCAGGAACACCCTCACCAGTGTGGGCAGAGGTGGGCACCAGGGAGACGTTGCGAGCCATGGACTTGTTCTCGTAAAAGAGCTCGGAGTTGAAACCCTGCTCGGCGAAAGCAAGCTTGGTGGCCTCGAGACGAGTGCGGAACTCGTTCTGTACACCCTTGCTCTGCATGTTCAAACTCTCCTCGAAGCCGTTGTTGTCAATCTTCTTCCAGCCATACAGACGATCAATCTTGTTCAGAGCCACAATGAAGGGAGTGCGGCGGTCACGCAGCAGACGCATAGACTCCAAAGTCTGAGGCTCGAGACCGTGCATGATATCAACGACCAGAATGGCGATGTTGCAAAGGGAGGAACCTCTGGAACGAAGGTTGGAGAAAGACTCGTGACCGGGGGTATCAATGATCAAAAGACCAGGGACCTTGAATTCGAACGAGCCATCCTTGTTCACAACGGCGGTCTTTTGCTTCAGAGCATCAACGGGGAAGTAGGTAGCACCGATCTGTTGAGTGATACCACCTGCTTCGCCTTCCTGCACATTGGTCTGACGAATCTTGTCCAGAAGCTTGGTCTTTCCGGTATCGACGTGACCGAGAATACAGCAAATTGGCGAACGAAGGTCGTCTTTGGAACGAGCCGCCAAAGCCTCCTCGTGCTGCTTCTTTCTCCGCTCCGCGGCCTCGGCCTTGCGCTGGGCAATAGCCTTCTGGTTGGCAGACTGCTCCTCGTCCTCGGAGTCCTCCTCAGAAGAGGATTCCTCTTCAGAGTCTTCTTCTGAGTCTTCCTCGTCCTTCTTCTCGTTGTCTGCGGCCTGCTTGGCGCCGTTGGCCACCGCAGGTTTCTCCTCATCGTCACTGGGGGCGTCCCAGCTGTCCTTCACATCATCATCCTCAGCCTCAGCAGCTTGCTCCCAGTCATCAACAGCATCCTCATCCTCTGCGGGGGCGGCCTTGGCTTTTGCCTCAGCCTCAGCCTTGGCCTTCTCCTCGGCTTCCTTCTTCCGTCGCTCATCATCAGCCTCGCGTTGAAGACGAGCCCGTTCGGCGGCAGCCTCAAGATCCTCCTCTTGCTTCTTGCCACCCTTCTTCTTGCGGTTCTCGTAGACAGGACGCTTCTTCTCGCCACTGGCCTCCAGACCAGCAACCTGAACACCAGAGGCAAGCAGTTGCTTCATACGAAGTTCATTCTTTGCCTGTGCTTCCTTCTGAGCCTTGGTCAAGAGCTTGCCCTCCCTGCGAAGCTGTTCCTTCTTCTCACGCTCCTTCTCCTTCTTCCGTTGACGCGCCTCTTCACGTTTGGCCTCTTCCTCAGCATCGCGACGTGCTTGCTCTTCCAATGCAGCCTTCTCCTCGGCTGCAAGGCGTTCCTCCTCCTCGCGCTGTTGGCGTAGCAGTTCCTGCTGCTTCTGAAGAGCCGCAAGGTGAGGAGGAAGCTTTTTACCCTTACCAGCGGGCTTGGCGGGAGCCGCCGCGGGCTCAGGTTCATCCTTCTTGACTTCAGCAGCAGCCTTGGCAGGCTCTGCCTTCTTTTCGGCAGCAGGGGCGCTCTTCTTCTTGGCGGCAGCCTAGAAAGTAGATATGGTGTCAGATTATCTCGAGCTATATCGATTTACGGCAAAGGGTCAGACGGGGAACTCGTAGGTGATCTTACCTGCTCCTTCTTACGCTGCTTCTCACGCTCCTTCTTCTCCTTCTCCTTCTCCTTCTTGGACTTCACGCGGAACTCACCCTCATCAGCGGCGGGAGCTGGGGCAGGCGCCGCTTCCTTGATAGGCTTCGTAGCCTTGCCGGCGAAGACATCGTCCTCGTCGAAAGTACCCTCCTCCGGCTGCTTGCTGGCGAGATCGACACCGGCATCCTCGCCCTCGACAAAGTCGTTCACGGGCTTGCCCTTCTTGGCCTTGCGGGCCTTGTTCTTGCGCAGGGCAGCCATCAGACCACCGCCGCCGGCCTCTTCTTCGGTGCCATTTTCGCCGCCGTCCTGGGCCTGGTCCTCCGCAGGAGCCTCGGTGGGGGCAGCAGTCTCGCCGAGCTCAGCTTCCCAGTCCGCCTCCTGGCGCTTGTTTCCCTTCTTCTTGGGCGCCATGTTGTCAAGATATGTGTGTCGGGTCCTTGTGGTTTCGTTCGGGTCCGAATCGAGGGGCGATCGGAGGGACGCAGTGGGTGCACAAACGGAGCTAACCGTTCACTTGCAAACTGCGGGTCGCCGATGTGAAAATCCGGCGAGAAATTCGTGGAGAGGTGTAAAATAGACGAGTTTGAAGCTCCAAACTCAAATCCCCGATAAAGAAAGGCTGGTGGAGTGGACCGAGAGGAGAAGGTGGGTGAGGAAAAGAATTTCGGGAAGAATAATCGAATGGTGGGGAATGGAACAATGCAGTCTGACTTCACCTGCGGGTTCCCAGCATTGCCACAGTCCGCAATAGTCGCAGCCCAGCTTCACTCTAGAGTTGTGTAATTAATGCATTAGCCATGCAAGCAAGTGTTGTTTAATTTATTTAATTCCGTTTAATTCTCTCCTGTTTACTACCACTTTGGGCAACAAATGCTAATAAAAGCTCGTTTCATTTCTCGAAGATATCAAGTAGACGCGCCGTGTTGAGGAACGATCAGGTCTCAGTAGGTTTATAGAAAGCGAAGCCCAGAGGAATGAAACCAAGTTGCCTGAGTTGCGCTCATGAATCTCAGATCTCGACATGAAGCAGCTGCCGAAGCCAACCAACGACTTGCTGGGCATAGTTGTCCGAAGGCCCCAGAGCTTTGAGTGCTGCATTTCGCATAAAAGGCTCATAGATGGGGGAGCCTCGCTTGTGATCGAGTGCGTGTATTCGATCTTCTAGGTAATCCGCCCTATGCCGAGCCAGGCGTATCAAGATATCGCCGTCCACCTGGGAATTGTCCTTTTTGGGATCGGCCCAATTGGGCTTCTTGCGTTTTTCGCGCGCAGCTAGGGACGTATAGAGAGCTTCGTCTTTTCGGCATAAGTCTTGCAACGCAAGTAGAAGGCGTGTCTCGTCCTCTCGTAGGAGGGAGAATCGGCAGACCGATCCATTAAGAGCGATACCGTAGATTGCACCGCCTCTCTCCCTGGGCGACTTCGGGAAAATGTCGCCCTTGGAGCTAGGTACAAACTGTAAGATGGAATCACATACCGAGGCCTCTTCCGGTGCCGGGGGCGCAAATACTTGGGTATTACGGAGCCCAGCATTGCTCGAAAGCCTTCCGGCCCGGACGTTGCCACCGCGAGTGCTTAAGAAGGCAAGAGAAGGCTCACCAGCGGTCACGTAGTGAGTAAGTCCATCAAGAGGCTTCGAATCATGAGCACGCAACTTCAAGAGATGATGCCCATTTCCATCGTCAAGAACTTCCAAGACGACAAATCCATGCCGAGCAGTAGTAACGTAGACGAATGGCTTTGAGACGGTAATTGCCACGGCTGGGGAAGGAAGTTCCTGCCAGCTATTGGAAGCCCATTTGATTGACGCACCACTGGGAGCCACGGGACGAATGATCCTCCCCGTACATATAAGCAGTGTATTGCCATAGGCCGCAATCGATCGCACCGGACCGTCAAGGCAGTCCTGAACATGCTTGGTCACGAATCGCACCTGGGAAGGATCCTGTGGGTCACCGGGTGCGGACATCAGGATGAGTCGGCCTCGTGGTCCGAAATCGACGGTTGCCGAGAGCCCCGTTCCTATCACGATGAGATGATACATATGCCCATTTCTTTCGAACATCCAGTCCATCATACAGATGATTCTCTCTCCCGGAGACGCGCGGGGCATCAAGGGTTGGTCTAGTGGATTGACGGGTTCCTGTGCGTCTGGAAGGACGAATGCCAGGCATGATCGCGTCGTTATATCACCGGGTCTGCTGGGTTCTTCGACTTCAGCCTTATCGTAAGCAAGTATAAGTCTGTGAAGGTATGGTGAATAGACTAATTTCCTTGCCGTGCCAGGCACGCCAATTCGTCGAGGCACAATCTTGGGTTCGCGATCCAGTGAGCAAATTAGAAGCTGTCGATCTGCAAAACAGAACAACGGTCCTATTGAAAGACCAGCTTGATGACTCTGTTCACTGATCATGCCAAAGCCATGGATCGCGGTAGGGAAATACGCAGGCTACAGTAAAGTTAGTAGTTATGCAAGCCTGAACAAGTGTCTCCTTTATACTAACATTACTCTGTTCAGTGATCCAAACACGCGATAGGAAGCAGTCATTCGGGACACCATCGGCACTTGTTGATACACGCCACAGCTCGCTATCGCAGATAAGCATAGCGAATGCACCGTGACTTTGAAGTCGAAGAGAGGTCATTCCCACATGTTTCGGTGTTACTTGATTCAAACCTAAATATGGCATGAGTCTTGCTAAATTTCAAGGTTTTCGGGTTCAACGACTTCTTGAACTTACCGATAAGAGTTGGGGCGTTGAAGTCAACCTGAAATGGCACTAGCACGCCGCTCCGCAGACCACATAGCAGATGAGCACGCAGAACACCCTGATCAGTTTGGCGAATCAGTGCAAGACTATCTATTGCTCGAGAAATGTCGTCCTTCCGATCAATGGAGACACTGGCATCCAAGAGGCAATTAATACTCTCGTGTTCGATGTGGAAGACTTGGATCGTGCCGTCGCCAGTGCCCATAAAGATGAATGCTGTATCTCCTAGTGTTTGGAGGGACAAGCAAACGGGCTCTTTGTCGATTTTAACGGTCTGAACGGTGTCCAGACCAGCATTGGAATCAATCACAACGACCCGAGTGAGTGTAAGCTCGAGTTCATTGTTGTGTCGAACGGCGGTGACCACAGTTGAGCTGGGACCATCAACGGTGACAGCGATGACGGTAGATTTAGGCTGATGTGGGATGGAGGTATTAGATGAAATACTATGAGGAACAAAAAGGTGCGTGGCTTTTTGTGTGACTTGCACGAGGATGCCTGTGGGAGTGCAGCCAGCAGCCAGTGTCTGTGCATTATCAAGGCCTGTTTCGGTTTCATCCAGTGCACTAATGCCGTCTTCAAGACTGGGGTTCATGTAGAGAAGCAGCGTGGACATGGGGTCAGAAAGCATGACATAGACGCCTCGATTGGCATCGTCACTAAAGGCCCACATATCTCGGATGCTGGAGATATCATCAAGGGGGACAGAGAAGCCTACTTGAGCCTCAAATCCATGGCGAAGCTCATGAAGTGCGCTGCCCCCGGAGGCGGATGACGCAGAACTGACAAATAGGCGATCTCGCGACACGTCGCATTGGACATTTTCATGTGTTTTGGATGGCACCATGACAGCGTCTGTTACCGGAGCCCAATTGAGGAATCTTTGAACACATTGAGGTTTATTTCGTGCCTCTTGAATAAACAGACCGCCATCACCCATACTTCCGGCGGCCAGAATGAAGTCACCTCCCTCGTGACCCATGTCCAGGACGTCAAATGCAGAGTCGACATCGCAGTGAAGCTGGCCCAAACTAGTCTGGGATTCTAGACCGCCTTCATTACCAAATTCAAGGTAATAGATCCAGCCATCTTCGCGGCAGAGGTAGATTCCATCGAACTTTTGACTGTAAAGCCAGTTGCGTGCAGGTCGTGCCCATTGGGTCCAGAGCGAGACCTCCTTGAAAGTAGCATCAGGTGCTATAAGCGGATATCTGATTGGTCGCGGATGTGAGGAATCGGAAGGGTAAACTGCCATGGAGATGCTTGTGACAACCAAAAATGAAGACTCCTTGGTTAGCGGCACAATCATCGTGGGCAACCTGTCTTCCCTGCGAAATTTAAACTCGACAATCTCCGGACGGAGCATCGTAGCATCTCGATCATCCCATTGGAGAATTCTGGCAAATGAGCCTTCAGCACTAGAGGAGACAATGAGGAGAATGATTCTCTTGTCGTCGGCAGCTCTGGGATAGAGGAACTCCATAAACTGGATGATCCCATCACAGCTGTAGAAATGTTCCTATAGAAGTTTTAATCAGAATGAATATGTCCCAAATAGTTGTGCGAAAGCATACACTTTTGATAGGATCGAGTTTTCCATCAGCCATCTGCTGCTGGATTTCCTTGGGGGATTTGAGGAGAAGCAGTCCGAAATAGTGGCTCGATGCACTGACTGCGACTGCTCGCGACCTATCAATAGTTAGGTTACCGTCTATACGATACCCAGAAAGGGGTCAACTCACTTCGGATCAACGGCGATGTGCTTTCCGAATCTTTCGGCCAGATCGACATCAACCGGCAAGGGCCGGCGAAATGTCACAAATTTGTCATCACCCGAAATTGGACAATATAGGAACTGAAGCTCTCTCATCTCAAGAGAAAGAACAAGAAGCTGAGAAGGGACGCGATCGAGGAAGTCTGAGTCGTCATGCATTTGATCATCGGCACCAGTTCTTCCTAGCTGGGTCTCCCACGGAAGTTCGGTGTTCACATCAATGACCTTGGCCCCGATAATGGAGTGATCAAAGTCAATCTTCTCAGTCACATCTTCTAAGAACCCACTAGTGGAAGCCTCTTTGACCTGCACTCGCCGCTGGCCCACAAAAACAACATCGTTGTGGTGGTTGCTGCGAAGACGAGCAGGGAGAATCCACTGTACAACAGGGCTGGGAAGAATGGTCTGGGTGAAAAGGCCAGTAAGTTCGCGCGTTGGGCGCGTAAAGAACTGTTCCTCATCCATGGAGGTGGTGGACCATAGTTCAGAGGATCTGCCGCTCGATGTTGCTCTCAGGTCATTGAGGGCCAAATTGACCGTGTCAAGACTCGAAATGTCCCGCCTCGGACCAACAGTTTGATGAATATCAACTGAAACTGTAGGAAGACCGTGGAGAATTCTCTGGGTAGTGCTTTGTGGTCGAGATCAACATGCGCTCGCTTGTATGGGATCATGCGGGTAATTCAATATCGGCAGGACCTACCACCGAGAACTTAGTGAAGCAGAGTGTCGGCCTGGGAGATCGATTATACAGCCATCTCAGCAGCTCTGTTCAATATTTTTCTCTACAGAACGTGTTTGGAACTGATTGATCCCAGAGCCGTCACTTTTGGGGGGGTGTGGCTCTGTTGGTGAGCAACACGTACCGCCTGCGGGGTGATGCGGCAGACTTGGTGGGAGAGGGGCTAGAAGCAGAAGGTGATTCGGTCACCAGTCACAGATGTGACGCCCGGTTGTCGATTTTCACTGTCTGACGGCGATGCTCTCTGGGAGCAGCCGTTGATATACTCGCGCGTATGAGCTCCAAATGCCGTTTGGTGTTTCGCAAGAGGGAGGGAATCACGTTTCCTGATGCCTCAGGCTACCAGGCGGCACCTCCCAACTGTCCCTCCGGACTCCAACTGCTGGCATCAGATACGACGAGTCTATGCTTGGCAAGCAACCACCACGCTGGGCATCTTTGATCTTCGAGCTCCATATGTGTGCTTTTTAGTGGTCCCTTACTTTCTGGAGATCATCGTTTTTTATGACTGGAGTGGAAACTCGCAGCAAAGCCGCAGTATTTGGACTGTAGCCTGTTGAAGGATACCTGAAGACCACATACAATCAAATGATCTAACTAAATCGGACGTCATACTCATCCATTTCTCAAGCACAGTTGAATGCTCTGGTGTCTTTGATCCGTCTTAATATTGACAGCGGGCCCATCAAACATGGACCCACGCGACAACGACCATGAAACACGACCGGTCTCGTCGGATGGGGAAAAGGAATTAGCCATGTCCAGAAACTCATCGGAAGAATCATTGGGCACTCAGCAGCGATCTAAGGCTAGAGCAGTGAAAGCAGCCGCAATTCGGCATGCTTGCGACGCGGGCAATGTAGAAGCATTGATCGCGCATGCCACCAGCGAAGGCGGATTGCTGGATGATGAATTGAGGCAAAGAGCATGTACGATCAGTGAAAGCCCTGTTCTCATTGATCTGAATTAATGTGGTGGTCTAGGGCCGATATTTTTACAATGCGACGCAAATTCACCATCAGAGGACCTCAAACCTCTCGACGGCCTACCACGACATGCCGATGAGGACCAGGTACAGCTCGATGTCAATCGAGCTTTTGTCTATTATCCTAATGGTTAGACTTCCAAAAGCTGCTCATTTGTTGCTAAACAAGACTGACATGATACTTAGTCCCCGAGGAGGATCTCTTGAAAAAGAAAGACCAATTGTCAGATCTCATCGTTCAGATCCTGAGGAACTATCCCATGCTATGCTACTTCCAAGGATACCATGATATCGTGCAGGTCCTGCTTCTAGTCCTGGGAGAACAGAAAGCTGCGCTGGCCATGGCGCGAGTATCACTCTTCCGAATCAGAGACTATATGCTCCCTTCGCTCACACCAGCCCTGAAACATCTGCAGCTGATCCCTGCAATCGTCGGAACTCTCGACCCTACACTATGGCAGCATCTCGCCAACATCCAACCCTTCTTTGCTCTTGCCTCAACTCTCACGCTCTATGCTCATGACATTCAAGAGTACAGCGACATTGCACGTTTGTTTGACTTCCTCCTTGCTCGAGAGCCGGTGGTAGCTATTTACCTGTTCGCGGCTATTATTCTCTCTCGAAAGAAGGAGCTGATGGAAATTCCTGAGGACGAACCGGAGATGCTGCACTTTACGCTATCTAAATTACCATGTCCACTCAATCTTGATAGTCTGGTTTTGAGTGCGGTCCAACTTTTCAAAGACCACCCTCCTGAGTCGTTGCCTCGTGGGGCATGGAAGCGGATTCCCAGTTGCAGTGTCCTCAAAACCTCTCGGGATGTCTCTCGGCCTTACAATGTCGACGAAGCGATACGAATGTTTCATCAACAGGCCCGACAAATGCGAAATGAGGAGCGACGAAAGCAAGCTCTCGAGTTCGGCTGGAAGCACAGGAGGGCGATCGGATCTGTGGCTTTGGCGATCCTTGTCGGCGCGGCATCTATCTACATCCGGAAGAAGGGACTGGACTTTTCAGTCTGGTACTACGTCGGCCGACTGCAGTCCATGCTCAAGGGCTAGAGAAATGCATTGAACCAAAAAACCATAGACAAGATTAGCTTATGTTACCGAACCTGTATACTAGTATTCAATTTGAGGCTACGTTAAGAGCAATGAAGAGTGAATTCAATCTCTGATCTAATCAAGAACATTAAACTGTGACCACACCAGATATGGTGCGAAAAGCAGGGACTGGCTTGTGTGTAGAGGGTAGTCCTCTAGGATGGGTCCTGGAGCTTAGCTGGCCCGCAGCGTGTGGCTCTGCCAATGTGGCGTTCCGTCGGGGAAAGCTGATGTGTACACTTCCACCTCCCCGATACCACGCTACTTCCCCAACTCAAATCCACCCAATATGGCAAACCGGGGCTACGATGTGGTTGTGGACGTGGATGCCGAGGTCAGTACAGCACATTCCAGCTATACCATCTCTTCTTTGACCTCACACAACATTAGGGCGACCTGGGGCATACCGACCTGCAAGAGGACCTTGAATTCCACCCATCCAGTGAGTCCCCTCACAAGGCAATCAAATATCCTCTACATGAATGAGAATCGTCTAATCACCGACCTTTTCCCAACATACAGACTTTGAAAATGACCAACGAAGCGCCAAAGTTCAAGGCGACTCCACCCCATTCTTAGGCGGCGGCCCTTCTCGCGGTCGCCGCGATCGCTCGCCTGGCGGCACCCCGACCAAGCACAGCTGGTGGTCAATCCACTACTACGAGCGATTCTTCGACGTCGATACAAACGAAGTGTTGCGCCGCTGCATGGCCGCACTCTACCCGCGCTCAAACTTCCTGGATGTTCTCGAGGGCAACGCCGACCTTTACGGACCCGTCTGGATCGCGACGACCGTCGTAGTCATTCTGTTCCTGACCGGAACTATCTCGCAGTGGCTATCGAATAACGATGACAAGCATTTCGAGTACGACTTTACTCTGCTGTCTGGCGCGGCGGGTCTGATCTATGGGTACACCGGAATCCTGCCCATTGCACTGTGGGGTGCGCTGCGGTGGTTCGGAAGCTCGACGGCGGACCTGATTGAGTGCTGGGCATTGTATGGATACTCGAACTTGGTTTGGATTGGAGTTGCACTTGTCAGCTGGAGCCCGTTGACCGCGCTGAATTGGGCGCTCGTTGGCGTTGGCTTTGCGTGGACGGTCTTCTTCCTCCTGCGCAATCTGTACCCTGTACTAAACGCTACGGATGCCAAGGCTAGCAAGATCTTGTTGATATTGGTTGTCGTGCTACATGCGGGTCTGGCGATTGCTATCAAGATTCTCTTCTTTGCGTGAGTTTCCCCTGCCACATTCGTTGGTCTTACCAATCACAAAGCTGACTTTGATTTTAGGCACGCGAGTCCAGTATCGAAGAAGAACAAGGACAAGGATCAAGGTGATGACGAGAAGCGGATGATGTTCTAGCAATGAAACTCCCCGCTATATTGGGAGACGCACGGGATAACTGGTTCCAGGATTTTGGTCTGGATATTGTCGGTATTGCTCAGGAAGCACCTGTTTCTGTTTCGTTGGTCTTTGTTTCCTTAGTTATAGGCGCTTTTACATTGACTTATGCATGTATTCTATAGTATCTGCTCGCCGTAGACGACTAGCAGTATGCCAATCGAAATCGTATCAGTATTCAAACTACAACTATTTCCCTACACTTCTCTGCTGCTCTTTCATGCTGAGAATAGCCATGTCATTTTTCCGAATTTGGGTTTCAGTCCTACATTTGACTGGAGGAAAGTAACATTACTTCTGTACGCAGAGACGATGGCTCTGTGGATATATATATCTGGTTTGAATTTGGAAGCTTCGCATCCGGATGGTGAGATGCGCTATAAATAATGTACCTACATACCTATGTTGAGGTGTAAGGATGAGCATCGCCGAACTCGTAGGTACCACCGAATCCAGTGATATATATTGTCGCGTACCCTACGTACACAATTCTGAGAAACCCCAGATATTTGCTATTGGAATTACATCATTGACCACTCGACACATGGAACGAAAGTGGGACATGTTCCTGGGGTTTTATTCGCAGCTGAGATTAGGCCTTAAGATCAGTTTACAGAACCAAATATAGAGTCTACGTTTCTCGGCTTGGCCGGTTAGGAACAATATTATGAGAAAGCCAGGAAGCCATAAGTCATTTGAAATGTTTTGAACTTTTACTTCAATTCATGGACCGCAACTTGTAGCCGGGAGGCGCCAACTAAAACAGTATGACTGTGGCTGTGATTGTTTCATCATTTCTAACGCCATCTGAAAACCTCTCCGTGTCGCATTCTTGCCAAACCCCAGACCAGGATTCTGCACCACACACCGAGCACAACACCGAAAAGCGAGTCGTCTATTTCAGCTTCTTCTTGGGGCGGAGCTGGTTGGTGTGACCGCACTTCTTCTTACGGCAGTTGGTAGCACGAGGGGGGAGACGGGCCTGTACAATAGTCATGTTAGCAAGCGAGGTAAGAAGATGGAATCACGTCGTTTCTCGTAGGTGCCATATATGGATATTGACTCCAAGTCTTGACGTCGGCGCAAAGGGAGAGAGGAAGGTGCACGTACGTAGCACTTGCGGCAGATGGACTTCTCGCAATTGTACTTGGAGGCGAGGGCCTTGAGGGAAGGCTCGATGATACCTCCACGCAGGCGCAGGACGAGGTGAAGGGTGGACTCCTGTTATGTGAATCCCGTGTTAGCCCCAACTCCAGATACATGACGTAACCTCGAATCCAGCAAGAATGGATCTGATGCCTCCTTATTTGCACCACGGTGGACAATTGAGAAATCGTCATTGACATGTCGAGTCTGAATTGCCCCTCGTGAATGCAGCCGCACATCCCAACCCAATCCATGCCATGATCAAAATATCCCAAAATCTCGTACCTTCTGGATGTTGTAGTCGCTCAGAGTGCGGCCATCCTCGAGCTGCTTGCCGGCGAAGATCAGGCGCTGCTGGTCAGGGGGGATGCCCTCCTTGTCCTGGATCTTGGTCTTGACGTTGTCGATGGTGTCGCTCGACTCGACGTCGAGGGTAATGGTCTTACCCGTCAGGGTCTTGACGAAACTATATCGAGCCGTATTAGTCCAGGCTCATTTCTTTCATTTCGTTGCTTTTGGAGCATGTTGGCTGTTCGTCGGGGGTGATTCGCGGGCAATGGGTTTTCGAAGAGTCAAAGGTGACCTACATCTGCACTGGAAAGACGCGGAAAAAGGGACATGTTAGCTCGGATGTTCACACGGGTCATAGGAACGCATTTAGACGGTGTTTGGCGAAACGTACTGGTTGCGAGTTTTCGTTGGTGTCGGCGGTCGGTCGCTGAGTTCGAGGCGGAGGAGGCGATGACAATTTGATGATTTCTCGCTTAGCAAAGGTGGGCCGATTCGCGGGCACGGGATTGCCCTAAGCCCTAGTCGCGGCTGCCATTTTGGGGTATAATCACGTGAGCGGATCAGTCTATTTCGGGAACCCATGACATCCGAAGTATACAATCTATGCATTTGATGATGATCCGGGTGTTGAGAAGCCTATTAGCGACACAAATAACCCAAGGATTGAATTTGAAAAGCTTGGTCCAGTATAATCCAATGGCCTTGGCCCCTGAAAATAACAGCAATCAATATGGAAAACATTCCAGCTTGATCAAGATCAATGTTGGAGAATGAAAGCGCTAATCAATTCAAAGTAGTTCCCTAGGATGCTGCATTTTGCGATCCATATATCATGGCCCATCTCCAACATCCAGGCTCGTAAGCTGCTCATCGATCTCGTCCATCTCATCGGCACTGTCTTCATCTGCCTCCCCCTCTATATCCAGATCCATCATTTGACTGAAATAATCCGCGCGTCGTTTGTCTTCCACGGTCTTCGCAATCCTATATTCAGTGATGGTAACGGCATGAATAAGTGTCTCTAAGGAAACAGCTGCAAGCTGAGCGGCAAGCTCATAAAAGGGTCTGGCCGTGTCGGGAAGTTGCGACTCCCACCGATATCGCCAGTACCAAGACCCTGGCCGGCGATCATCCTCTTCCGGATCAGGATTGACTTCAGTCGCCTTCAAGTCCTGCATTACTGCATGTACCAGGGATTTCAGAGCCTCTTCTGTGTTAGCAACCGTCGCCAGGGTTGCAGGTGATGCGGCTGGCGGCGGAGCGGGCGTCTCAGTCGTTCGGCTGGTTGAGAACATAGCTGCAACAGGGTTCACTAGCCGGAAGCTATCAACCCAGTTGCTTTCGTACCAGTCCATGTACTCGTCAAGCTGATTTGGAGCCATGTTCAAAACGTCTTTATCAGTGAGTTGAATGGCCTGCTCTTTACCAATTCCCCCGTTGGCATTCTCGCGGTTATTGAAGTGAGTCTGGGCTCGCGCCCACAGTGACCAATTTATAGCTTGAGTAGCAGGCTCTTTGGTCGTGGCAGGATGCCGTTCCAGGTCGTCGAAAGGGAAGAGTAATTTGGTCGCAACAACAATAAGTGCCACTAATTGGACCTCTGGTAGGTTGAGGGTGCGATTTTGCCTGGCGCTACCAAATGCATAGTTGAAACCAACAAGACCCTTTAGGAATTTAACAGTCTCATAGATATCAACTAGGCATACATTAGTTTTAGCTGGTAGCCACGGGAGAGGTGAACAATGTTCATACTTGGAATCGCAAGTCTTTTGATATGCCGGTATAAGATGAGGTTGGAATTAAGTTGCGGAAGAGTGATCTCAAATCGCTGCTGGTAATGTAGCGCTACATCCACGAAGGCGCGGTGCAATGTTTCTAATTTGGGTAGTTGCTTAAATTCATTGATCAGTTTAATTTCATTGCAATGAGAGGAACACGTCGCTTACATGAACATCGAGTCTTGCAATAAATTCAGGAGGGAGTTTATCTCTCATCTCATGAGGGATAGATTTTGCAACCCTGATGTAGGGAATATCTTGTCGAATGATCAAGCTGCAAGAGGAAATTAGATGCGACTGAAATGGATAGAACGGTTATTGGCAGAGCACGTACCGATGAAAGTCGCTGACGCAGACAGGGAGTCGCATGAGTATAGCTGCCAAATAGCAAAGGCCAACGGAGTCTAGTAGACGCGGCCATTCGAGATACCGCCCTCCCCTAGACTTGAAGCCCAAGCCATCAGAGCTATCAGTCTCGGGCTGAGAGCTAAACAGCTCTCTGTCATCATCTTCCTCGTCGTCTGTCGTTGCGTTGATCCTGAGGGTAAAGTCTTGCAACCTTAGGGCCCAGAGGTCACGCAGAATGGCCTGAAAATGACGGTGAGAATTTCTTCAACTTCCTTCTAAAGGTTGGACCGACCTCAAATTGCTCTGGGAAGCCATGATCGTGAATCAAGGCGTGGCATTGTTTCCAAAGAATTAGCTGGTAAGCTTGCAAGAAAAGCGTATGCGCCTTGCGACCACGATATGCTATAATGACCCGAGTTAGCGAAGGCTGACCCCAATGAGCCGAAGATGTCTAAATACTCTTTCGTGACCTCTCCTCCTTTTCCTTCTTTACCCGGTGCTTTTTACCCTGGGTACCGAAATCATCCGGGTCTTCTTCAATTTGTCGGCCCTGTAAAAAAACTTAGTATGAGTATCTTGGGCCTTTCCCCGCTTTGTGGCTTTGGATGATCCCGGGAGTGGTCAAACAAAGCACGAGGGCAGGTTTGCCAGGGCCATGCATACCTCTTGTAAGTGACCGCGCCGGCAGAACCAGAGGCCGTTGTCGAGATAGTATCGTCTTTCACGACATCCCTCCTGGCCACAGACCCCTCGGGTGACATACTCCATTCCGAGACGATATGGTCATGCTGGTTAGGCGGGAATGTCTGCCCGATGAGGTGCTGGTTGCGGTCAAGGTTGAATACTATGCTCGGAACATAATTTTTTTCTGCCTTGTTTTTCAGCGACCGCCATAACTACATCCTCCCGTAGAGTAGTCTGCATTGAAAGTGATCTATGAGCATGCAGAGAGCCCATCTTGCAGAAAAACTACGTTGAATAGACCTTTTTTTTTTCTTTCCCATTTTCCAATACCCTCTATTTGTCATAGCGGTCTATCCGGAATTTGATGCCCTCGTTCTACTCTGTAATTCTTCCTTATAGCACTGATGAAAGTGGGAGACGAGGTAAAGGTTTACGGGATTATTCATTCATCACACTATCATGAGATGCTGGGACTCAGAACTGTTCTTCGGACAACACTCATAAGGCCAACCAAAGCAATTCTTCTCGTCGGTCCAGCCTACATCCAAGGCTAGATAATGGACAGGCCTGGAAGCGACGGATAACAGGTCACTGTCCAAGGCATCATGTCCTCCATTGAACCATTGAAGATGAATTTTTTGGGGGGCGGAGGCCCATTTTTGAAACATAACGGTTGACATAATATGTGAGAGATCCAAGGACCTGGCGTTTATTTGGGAGCCTCCTTGGCCTCAATGGCGGCCTCCTCACCCATGGCGGTCTGGATGATGACGTCTAAGATGGCAGGTTAGAATCGGACTGAGAGTTATATAAAACAGCTCAAGGGTTTACTTACTGACGTCCTTCTCCTCCTCACGGAACATCTTGAGGATGCGGGCACCAACCTCACCCTCGGGCAGCTTGACATCATCCTTGGTGTCACCATCATCCTTCATCAGGGACAGGAAATCATCATCGGTGATGTCCAGCTAGAGAGAAGGCGAGTCGTCAGTAATGGATTCGTGGAAAGGCAATCCGAAAGAGAGGTGGAGGGGTAAATCGGCGCACGGCCAAAAAGGGCAAACACTTACGAGCTGGTACTCCTTGCGGGCGACGTGGGGAACATCCATGTTGTGGGTGGAGGGAGACAGATCCTCGAGCTTCTTGCCGGTGAAGATATCGGTGGCGACCAAGTGGACCTTGGCGTGACCGTGCTTGCCAGTCTTGGAGGTGGACATGTCGATGATCTTGCAGGGGCGGCCCTTGATGACGACGTGACCGTTCTTGCGCAGAGCAGAGCACTGCATGGGGAAGGTCGTCGACGCACCGGCGTCGGTGGACTCGAAGGTCATATCATGCTACCGATGGTATTAGTTGGCTCGAATTTTCGGGTTGTTGGTCTGCGCCTCGAGGGAAAGGGCAAAAGTTCGAGAGGGGGGGGGGGGGGGGAATTTGCATGTTGCTGGGAAAAGAGGGGAGGCTGATAGATGCGGGGCTGGCGAAGCCAGGTCGAGCGATTTGGGGAGGGGATTGGAGAGGAGCGCAGAAAGCGAAATTGAAGGGGATTTGCGTACCTCGTCAGCCATGGTGAATGATGTTGGGTAAGAAGGAGATAGGGGGGAGAAGGAAAGAATGTAGCAAAAATGGTGGGTTGGAAAGAGGAGAAGTTTTCTTCGACAGAAAAAGGCTTTGTGGTGGGGGGCTTAGTCGCTACGTCCTGATTGGGTTTAGTGCCTCCGGGGTGGTTGGAAGGGCCAGTGGGCTCTCTCTATCTCTCTGTCCTTACGGGGCCCTTAGCTGAGAGCGAGAGAGCGAGAGGTGAATGTGGATGAACTCGAGATATATACTCGTGCTTTCCTGACCTCCTCGTTACCATCTCAATTGGCCTCCACTTTACTCTCATGCGCTTTCTCAACAATGTGGCGCGACCGCATTTCCGGCCAGTCGACTCCCTCCAGCGCGAATCGCGCGCCCTCACTACCCCGGAGATCCTCTTCCCAACTATCTCGCGGACCCTATAACAATCGACCGGGCACAACCTCAAAAACCTCATCTACACCGCTACTACTAACTCCGAGCGACTCGACGACTTCACTTTCGGGGGGTGGACGAGGACCCAATGGCACCGGGTTAAGGCAAACAAGCGGACAACGGCCCCGTCCGGCCACCGTTGAGGACCCATTAGAGGTATTGAACGGGATTATTGGCATGCGCGAGTCGGGAAAAGGTGATTTGGAATCATCGACTCAGCCAGAATCAAAGCCGTCAGAGCTGATTGAGACGATTGAGTTTGATGGGCTGAGCCTAGAGGAGTTCGTCGCCAAAGCCGCCGTGGCACCTCCCACGCGACGGACGAAACGTAGTGAGGTCAACGCGCAAACAATCAAGCAGTTTGAACAAGAGCGAGACAAATTCCAGGACCTACATACGTCCATCACCGGCTGCGATGATGTGTCCCAGTCGGTTGAGCTGTACCTGAATGACTTCCAGACGGAACTGGGCGCAGTGTCAGCGGAAATTGAAACCCTCCAAACACGGTCCACACAACTGAATGCGATGCTGGAAAATCGACGAAATGTGGAACGACTTCTAGGCCCAGCAGTGGAGGAGATTAGCATCTCTCCCAAGACGGTGCGCACGATTGTCGAGGGCCCAATGGACGAAAATTGGGTGCGCGCATTGAATGAGATAGACGCTCGCACGACTAGCATTGAAACCAAGGCATCATCGTCGAGTGGGATTAGGGCGGTTGAAGACGTCCGGCCTCTTTTGGTAGATGTCAAGAATAAGGTATGCAGCATACTGCAGATCCCTGGGAGGAAATTCATGAAGAACATCGACTGACCGTGACATTAGGCGATTGAACGGATTCGAGACTACCTGGTATCGCAGATCCGCGCAATGCGGTCGCCAAACATCAACTCCCAGATCATTCAACAACAACGGCTTGTGAAATTCAAGGACCTTTACACTTATCTTTCCAAGGCGCACCCCGCCCTTGCTGGGGAGATCGCACAGGCCTACATCAACACCATGCGCTGGTATTATACGTCCAACTTCACACGTTACTTACAGGCCCTGGAGAAGATCAAGGTATACCCCAGCGATCGAAACGAGGTTTTGGGAGGCGATCCATCATCCCACCGAACTGGCAACATCCTCCCCGGCGGCCGAGCTGGCTCTGCTGCTCATGATCCTTTCTCGTTGGGCCGACGCGTCGATATCCTTCGGAACACCCATCAGCAGGCATTGTCCTCCTACCTAGCGGAACAAGACAACGCTTATCATGGGATCGAAGTGCCGTTCCGAAATTTCAACGTCGCGTTGGTGGACAATATATCCGCCGAGTATTCATTCCTCACAGAGTTTTTCTCTCCTTTTACATTCCATGAGATTTCACGCAAAGTCGTGGAAATTTTTCAGGCTGTCTTTACCTTGGGCCAAAATTTCACCAAGAAGCTAATTGACAACACTACGGACTCTTTGGGTGTTTTGATTTGTGTGCGTCTCAATCAACATTCAGCTTTTGAGCTTCAGCGACGTAAAGTACCCGTCGCTGACTCGTACATCAATGGTATCAATATGCACCTTTGGCCGCGCTTCCAGGTGATCATGGATCTTCATGGGGAATCTCTCAAGCGAGCTGGTTCCAACACCGGACGCAGTGCCGTTTCCGCTCTTTCTCTCGCCGGTGGAGATGATCTCAAGCAGTCATCGGCACCGCACTTCCTGACACAAAGGTTCGGACAGTTGTTGCACGGCATCCTCGTGCTGAGTAGTGACGCCGGGGACGACGAGCCCGTGGCGAACAGTTTGGCGCGCCTGAGAAGTGAATTTGATACCCTCTTGGCAAAGCTCAGTCGAAACGGCACCGATGCCAAACGCAGAGAGCGATTCCTCTTTAACAATTATTCGTTGATATTGACCATCATTAGTGTACGTTTCGATCTCTCAAACCAGCTCTCCCCCCCACCTGGCAAGTGCTGACTTGTGACTTAGGACACCAAAGGCAAACTAGCCACCGAACAGAGACAGGTAAGCCTTGATGACTCCGAATGTGTTCTTCAAACGTGCTAACTTACTATGATCATAGCATCTGGACGAGATGTTGAAGAACTGCAACAAGCGTTAGCGATCGCATAGCGTCTGGGAATATGTAAATTCTAAACCAAGGACTTTATGAGCTTTAGATAGTCTTCCACTTTGAACATAAGCATTTAATCAACTTCGAGGAGAATAAAAACTTCGGTCTGGTACCCATCTGTACTGGCAAATATTGTATCTTGTCTTAGCTGTCTCGTACTCGGGGGTTGTCCGATCCGAGGCGGAGCCGGCGATCGGCGTGAGCCCCGTCGCGGGGCCTCCGCCTTATCGCGTCGTCACTTACTGATCAATTGAATTGTTACAACTCTCCAATTGCTTCTGCACGAGATGTCGGTGCGCAGGATTGTAACAAGATCCCCTGCCCTGCGCCGCTGCTTTTCAAGCGCGCGAGTTCACCACGCGGACTTCACCCATGCGGTAAGTGCTTTTCCATTCCAAACTGTGCTATGCGACATGGCAACATGACTGCCAGCCTGGGGCCAGACTTGACGGGAGGTTGAAGCTGACATTGCAAAGGTTATTGGCGCCGGTGTCGTCGGCCTCTCAGTAGCCAGACAACTTGCCGCGCACGAGGGAACTTCTACGATTCTTCTTGAACGACACGATGCACCAGGCACCGAGACGAGTAGTCGCAACTCCGAGGTGAGACCGCTTCCCGCCCTGAAGCTTGATATCAGATAGCCCCCCAGACCAAAGACTGAACCAGACCTGACACACACTCAATTGACGGGCAGGTCATCCACGCCGGCCTCTACTACCCGGCCGACTCCCTAAAAACAAAACTTTGCATCCGCGGCCGCAATCTCCTCTACGAACTGTGCTCCAAGCACGCCATACCCCACCGCAACACCAAAAAATGGATCGTCGCACAAACCCCTGAACAATGGGAAGCTTGTCTACGGGTCCACACCCACGCCCAAGCCTTAGCCGACGCCCCGACTCGGCTCGTCGGTGCCGCCGAAGCGGCCACCCGAGAACCCGACGTTAGAGCCGAAGCGGGTATCGTCGAGAGCGAGACTACCGGTATAGTGGATAGCCACTCGCTGATGACGTATCTGCACGGTGACTTTGAAGATCGCGGTGGGGACTGCGCGTTTAAGACGCGCGTGACAGGCGTCGAGCCCATTGTCGGTGGGGGGTATAAAATCAGGGCTGTGTCCGGTGAGGATGGTTCGGAGACGAGCATCACCGCCGACACGGTGATTAATAGTGCGGGCCATGGTGCTTGCGCGATAAATAATCTGCTGCTCCCAGTAGAGCGTCATCGAGTCCCGCATTATGCGAAGGGCACGTACTTCTCGTACAGTGCGTCACGACCTCGAACCTCGGTGCTGGTATACCCAGTAACGATGCCGGGACATGGGGGTCTGGGAACGCATCTGACGCTCGACATGGGTGGGCGAATTCGCTTTGGGCCGGATGTTGAGTGGGTGGATGATCCTAATGATCTACAGCCTAGCAGCGCGCGTTTGGAGCAGGCCATCCCCGAGATCTTGTCTTATATGCCCGGCGTGGATCCGTCGGCCATCGCGTTGGATTACTGCGGTATTCGGCCGAAACTGGGCCGTGGCGGTGCTGTGAATGTAGGCCAGGGATTCCAGGACTTTATTATCCAAGAGGAAGAGGGTTTCCCTGGATTTGTGAACCTGTTGGGAATTGAAAGTCCGGGCTTGACCAGTTGCTTGGCTATTGGGGAGATGGTCGATGGAATACTCTATCGGTAGGTGAGAGAAACACCGACGTATTGCGTATTTTTGTGTTTAGCGTTGTGAGCTCTTTGCTCTCTGTACAGAAAAGGACCCTTGCATGAGATATAGACAACATGGTTCAACGCTGGAGCAATATTTAAGCAGTGCTTTACCTATGTACCTATTTTCATTATCTATATCGATGTCTGTAATTAAAGTCATATTCGTGTCAGAACCAGCCGGCCACAATGCTCCAAGAATTCTGATAGTAGGTATACATAAAGCCAGGCGACTAAGAAAGCCATGGGTTCTCATTCCACGTCCATCAATACGTCACTCATAATATGAAGGACGTATGAGAATTTCTTGACACTCCATTTCCCCGAGTCCTTGAGCAGGTTCGCATAATCAAGAAGAATCCGCCGAGCAGATTGATACCCACCCTGGACGGGAACGCCGCGCAAGTAGATCGTTGCTCCATTGCGGATAAAATTCACCGCTGGATCGTTGGTCGGTGAAAATGCCTGACTTCCCCGTGGCTCCATAAAGCTCGTAAACCCTTCCGTGCCAACCTGTTGCCAATCAATATCGTCCATCAACTCGATAGAGCCAACGCTGGTTAGCCCGCTAGCAGAGCTAGGAGCCATAAATGTGTAAAGACCAAGGATGAGGGCCGCGGAGAAGAGCGAGAAGACTGAGTGAAAGGTAGGATGATCGGAGGCTTTGCGGTTGGTCATGGCTTTGTAGATGTGGGCGGCGTGCAAACACGCTCTCCTTGCGGCTGGTGTCTGTGACCATTCAGCAATGTCATCGAGTGCTTTTCGTGCCGGAGCCGGCCCGGCACGTCCAGCAGCGAAATCAAAGATTTGAATATCGGCTGTGAGCATCATGCACATATGATGCCACATGACGAGGGCGTTGGGATTCAGTCGGTCCATTGCTTCACCGTAGGTGCTTGAGATCTGCGACTGCAAAGAAGGAAGGCATCTCGCGCGGCCGTCCATAGCGTACGTGTGACACGGGGCAAAGGGATAGCTTGCGCGATTGGAGAGCAGGCGATGGTAAGCTTCGGACTGGCGGAGTTGAATCATCGCGAGGACGGTCTGAATACATAGTTCATCCATAGGCCCTTCAAGGGCGGGGATGTCGATATTTTCGGACGGCGCCAGCGCCGTGGGCATGAGGATTCGCTTGCCGCTGCGGATGAGCTGGGTCCAGCGTATAGATGAGTGGGCCTTGAAGAGGGCTTCGTTGCAGGGCATGATGATCTGGATCGAGTCGGGGACGATGATAGGGCTTGTTGAGAGGAGAGCAGAATACCATGAGTCCAAGAGGAGCAACCCGATTATGATTTTTTTGCATGTCTCGACTTTCGACCATGCCTTCCAGCGCATGTCGATGTCGGGTACCATTTCAAAAAGGCTCATATCCAGTATCTGACCCTCCGTGGCAGCGAAGAGTCCATGGCGTTGAGTGATCTGCGAGTTGAGCTTGTTAGCTTGTGCCTGAAAAAGAATTACGCAAAATGTGCACTCGCCGACATGAGATTCACGTAAAGCATCTGACATTGTTCCAGATGATGTTTCTCCTATGTATTGATCAGTCTCCATGACGAGTGTTAAAAAAAAGAATGACTCCTACCCCGGTGAGAACAGCGAGGTTGAGGAACAAGAAAGCGGTAGCAAAAATAGACATTGCGCTATTTGGAGACTCAACTCCCATGGTACACTTGGCAAGTTCGACCGTTACTTTTTCTAGCATATGCTGTATCCTGCATTAGCATCTGTACACTTGATTTTGAGGCACTATACCAACGAACTCACAGAAAAATTCCTCGAAACAAAATTGGCCGTGCCCTTAGTTCCCAACAGCATCATGCCGATGAGACACATCACGTAGAGCAGAGGAAGGCGCGTTTTCTTCGCGGAAAAGGTAGGAAGGTGAACAAACGGTACAAGTGGGTGAAAAGTGCGGAAGTAAAGGTCTAGCGCCATGTCTAGAATCTCTGCGGGAGGGAAATTGGCGAACGACATAGAACCTGAGCCGGTCGTAGAAGGGGACATGCCCTCATTGCGTGGTGACTGCATTTGCGGGTAGGCAAAGGCCTGACCGAAGGCTGCCTGAAGGCGTCTCCTACAATCATTGTCTACGCCATAACGAGATCCTTGGAGCAGGCCAGATTCTTCTGTCACATATGGCGAGTTCACCGAAAAGATATTGTCCCCGTCTGTGTAGACAATGTCCCGCCACAGACTGTTCATGAGTCGGCCAGTGTGGTTCGGCGGTGCAAGCCAACACCGTTGAACTTTGGTAAATCGTTCAGTGGGAATATTATCACAGCCTGATTTACCGCTGTCCACAGAATTGCCGTTCTGTTGGTCTGGCGTGAGCACTGCATTTTCGCTCATGATAGGGAAATGGCCATCTCTCATCAGATCCAAAGAGCCGTGATTGGATCCCGTATCCGTACGTGGCTCGAGCCACAGCTGCAGCATATCATTTGGCACGGTGTCAAAAGTGATGCTATTCCGCTGCGCATTCTGGTCGCCGGGACTCACTTCATTCCATCCGAAGTAGGGCTGCTGCTCGTTGAGCATCATGGAATTAATATCGGGCCCAGCGCGCACTGATATATCAGCCAAGAAATCCAGGGATGACGATGGGAGACCATTCGCCGCGAGAGACATATCACCAGGAGTGGCAAGGTTGTGTATCTGGTGCGCCTCTGGACCGACGGCTGGAAGAAGCGGTGTCCCGTTTGCTGGACCGGGCATCATTGGCGAGGCACCTGCGATTAACGAAGCGTGCCGATCTGAAGCTTGTCCTGTTGAAGAATCCTTTCGTTTCACGGCCGTAGCGCTGGCATTGGGTTGATTATGGCCCTTGGCATGTCGGCTGAGAACATCGCTGTAATTTGACTACCCGTTAGATTTCCAGCCACAACCATGTCCGGGATGCTCTTATTTGGGCCGAATCGCGGCCCTCAAGGTAATGCAGCTGGTCTTACCTGCGAGAGAAGCGCTTGTGGCACACACTGCACTCGTACGGGCGCTCCTTGGTGTCTGTTATAAGTTAGAGTTGTGACCTCGCACATGTACTTGCAGACGGGGCAGACTGACGTGACCGTTCGTGTCGCTTGAAATGCTCGGTCTTTTTGAACTTGCGGTCACATATAGTGCACTTTCGGAGGACCATGGCGGAGTTCGCAGGTCAGCGACACATCACAGATACGGTATCATGGTTTAATCCCGATCGATGATGGAACGAAAGCTCCCCAACGCGCGCGAGACTCAAAAGATTGGGTCGAGAGGGGGGTCCGGTTAGTCAGCTCCGGGGTTAAGCCGATCGCCGCAAAGGAGATTCTCTTTTCTCCATTTTGACTGGCCGTCAACTACGGAGGACTGGCCTGCAAGAGACCCTTTCTACCGAGGATATGCCGCTTCCACGTCCAATAAGGCTGCTGCGGGACTAAATCACTGCTGACCCACGAATTACAAATCTGGAATACGGTCAGTATGTCGTGTAGGCCGCTCTAGTGCAAGCCACTGGAAATTCCCCGTGGGGGAAGGCGAAGCTGCTCCGAGCCCTAAACGACGAGCCAGCCGTTCCACTGCAGATCTGTACGAGCCAGGTCTGCCATGCCACAGAGGGCTACAACTTCGAGGAATAGAGGCCAAAAAAGGATTCAATGCAATGATCTCATCTAGCAACGACTAACCAACTCTCCTAAACTCATCGCATCCACGTTGGAATACAGATACCTTCCACATCTTCTCGCTGAATCAGCGCGCATGCCGAGTCGCTCATTGGCCTACGCATCCCCTCATGCCGGCAGTTGGCAATCTCGGCAAATACCGATAATGCTTGACGGCAGGCCATTTCCAGAATGATACACGAAAGAAAGTGGAAATAAGACCAGAAAACCACCAAGGTTTCAACATGCAGATTGAAAAAAGGCAAAATGATCGACACCCTCTTAATGACGCACAAGCTGAGCCAGCAGGTCATCGTCATAATACGCTTCCAACCGCTGCTTCCGAGCCTCGTTGTCGGATCTGACTTGTTTAAGGATCTCCTGAATGTTTGGATATGAGGAAAATTTGTCCTAGAAACTTCGATCAGATATGCACCTGGTTTGAATAACATTCAGGACAACATACCGGCAAAGCATCCCACACTTTCGGATCTGTGCCCTGGTTCTTGAAGGTCCCGCAGCCAGCGCGTGCATACTCGGTGAACAGGAACGATCGACTGCTCTCGATCATAATGGTCATTTGGTCTTCAATAATCAGCCCTCCGTCGACCTTAAGGATCGGGGTTCGAAGTCCACTTACTCTCGAGAATCTTGCGAGGCTCATTCACTTGGTTCCTCATTTCATACACGTATGCTTCGTTGAAGTTACCATGCGGGGTATGGCTGATTTCAACACTTCCGCCACCCGGAAGGAAGTCATCAGATCGTCCAAGACCGTTGCCGTATAGGCTGGCCAGGAACTCGGTCGCCGAGTTCCGGTGGAAGTACGGTAGACGGAAGGTGTTCGACGCGACATCCCACCGTGGACCGAACCACAAAAAGTCAACTAGTGGAGTGACAGGGTCCCGAGAGGGGGCCGTCAGGACAACATTGACAGAGGGATCAGTGTGATCGATTGAGGTCGCATTTTGGCTCGAAAATTTCGTTAGATCGTACTGTATGAGGAAAGGTCAGTATGCGCTCTACCTTGACATGTCGGGATATGCTGGCCCACCTTATACGGGACGACATTTCCGTGCCACGCAACCACGTCAAATGGACTATGGTCCTGCTCAATGGCATGATACAATCCATTTGCCTTGTTCACAATTGACCAATCCTTATGTAAATCGTCATCAATATACGCCACTGGATGCAGGAAATCGCGAGGATTCGCCAGACCATGTCCACCTAATGGGCCCAAGTCTGGTAATACCCAACTGGATCCCCAGATCTCAGTGATATAGCCTCGAGCAACGCTGTGACCGAGACCTCGACGAACTGCAAAGCGGATTCCGCGAGGAACCACGCAAATTTCACCAGGTTGGACAAATAGCCTGCCTAACTCAGTTTGAATGTCCAAGTTACCCAGCTGGGCGACGATGAGGAAATCTCCGTCGGTATTGCAAAATGCGCGGTGCTCCATGTCCGAATTGATCATGAAGACGTACAGGGCAACGCCCTCGCGCAGATTGGGGTCGCCGCTTCCTCCAAGTGTGTGTAAGCCATCAACAAAGTCGATTCTCTCGTCGTCCTTGGGCAACGGAAAGGGGGCCCATTCGCCTTGCTCTGCTAATGTCGAAACTTTCGGGTTGAGAGTCAAGAAACAATTCTCGATGTCTGATCTGTGGGGAATGTTGGCTTTGTAGCCATCTATAGAGAGGAAGTCAGAACTGTGAACCAATAATTGGCCAGATCATGGGAAGGTCATGCTCTCACGTACTATGAGCAGCAGCAGGCCGCACTCGGTACATGTACGTGCTAAAATTCGCTGCACGAGGCGCCCCGAAAGCCGAGTATGTAATTCCTTCGGTGTACAAGCCAAAGCGCGCTTCTTGGGGATTATTCTGTCCTGCCGGCAGAGTTCCGGGTATAACCTCCGACTGGTGTCTGTTGCCGAATCCGGGATTATACTCATATGGATCGTTTTCCCGTGTGGGCTTGCGTGACATGGTATCAGTATAGTGAAAGACCTTCTGCAGGTCCTTTACTGGCTTCCTCTCCTGGACTGGTGGCATCGGTGGACCTGCCATGGTTGTCGAATGTATGTATGAACTTGACAAACCAGACGTTTTTGCTCTGCTTCCAGAAAGGTGAGTTTTATGGTATAGTTGTTGAGAAAATGTTGGCATACGCTCTTCCTTAGTTTATAATGCGGCTTTCACTAATCGAATCCCCCAGTATTCCATACTCCAGAGACCCCACATTGACCTCAGCAGCCCCTATTGAGACCTTGGGTTTGGCTATGGGCCGATCCGGATTGCCCATCAGCGCTCTCTTGCGGGGCTATGTGGATGTGGAGCAGGTAAACATCAGAGCAGCCTGAAATCGACCTTGTGATGGACAAGAAACAGTACCATTTTCCTTTCTTTATGGCAATGGTGTTCTTATCCATAGCTAAGAGCATGCATAGGATTGGGAATTTGTAGGAGATGATCACAATCTAGTTCGCCACAGAACGTAGCACCTCTATTCACAATCCGCAATTTGAGTACCTAAGGTAACGCTTTGATAGAGAATAATCTAGTTGACAGCCAATACATCATCCACCATCCTTGCTGACGAACCAAGGTAGTTCTCAGGATTGCAAAGCTCCGCCAGACGTCGTTGACTCATCTTGTGGGTGACTTCCTCCTTCTCCAATAGACACTCAAGAAGTGTCCGATCATTTTCAATACTCTCCCGGCATGCTTCGTAAACGATATCATGGGCTCGCTGACGGCCCACATGAGGAGCAAGGCCCATCATCACAGCCTCTCCCACAATCAGTCCCTTGGTGGAGTGGAGATTATCCAACATTTTCTTGGTATTGACCGAGAGACCAGAAAGAGCAAATTGTGTCTGCGATAGCGCTCCAACGGCAATCACAAAGCTCTCCGGAACAGCTACCCACTCCAAGTGCCAGGGACCAGAGGCGCGCTCAAAGTCAGCGACCATACCGTCGAGAACTAGACCTGCGTTGGACCGGAGGATCTTGGATGCGGCCAGAATTACCTCGCTAGAAATGGGATTCCGTTTTTGCGGCATGGTGGATGATGCCCCACGATGAGGTACAAAGGGCTCTGCAACTTCACTGAGCTCATTGGAAGACATGATGATGATGTCCAGTGCTAGCTTGCCCATGGTGCCTCCAATGAGAGCTAGAAGGTTCGTAGCCTTTGTAATAGTCAGTAGGTTTTCGTTGTGGATAGTGTAGTGTGGAAGACTGACCTCAGCAATACCATCACGAGCCACATGCCAGGAAATGGGAGGATCATTGAGGCCGAGCTCTTCGGCCAGAGCCTTGCGTACGCGGACTCCATCATCTCCGGATCCCAAAGAAGAAAGTGTACCTGCAGCCCCGCCAAATTGGACAAGTAGAACTCTCTTCCGAAGCTGCTCCAACCTTTCGGTATGACGTTGAAAGCCAGATAGCCAGACAGCGCATTTATACCCAAAGGTCACGGGTAATGCATGTTGCAAATGCGTGCGTCCAGCCATGGGAGTATCTTTGTATTTCTCCGATAGCTCCCGAAGAGTCTTGATGACGTCCTTGAGAAGCCGCTCGATGATGTCCAATCCCTCCTTCATTTGCAGTACAATTGCTATGTCCATGATATCTTGTGTGGTCGCTCCCCAGTGTACATACTTACCCGCCTCGTCGCCACAGATAGCTGACAGCTGGCGGACTAGAGGGAGGATAGGGTAACCGACGATCTCCGTTTCGTGCCGTAACCGCTCAAAATCAAGACTTGACTTTTCTACTTCTTGGGTGATTCGAGGCCCGATATCTTTTGGGATGACACCGCATTTAGACTGGGCACGAGCAAGAGCGGCCTCGGCATCTATACAACGACGGATATATGCTTCATCATCGAAGACCTGAAAGCTATTAGCGTGATCAAGTAAGGCAATAGCCATTGATAGATTCGTGATTGACATACTTTGCGAATTTCTTCGGTGCCAAATAGCGTGCGAAAGATACTCGAGTCAATCGCGCTCACGGAACCAATTGACCTGCGGCCATTGGCGGAGGCAATGGCAAAGATCGGTCGACTGGTCGTGGCTCGGGAGAGCCGTGCCAGGCGCAAAAACATCGACATCGTGACCAAAGACGCGCTGTGCGAAAGCCTGATGGAACAAGCCGATAATTTGAAACAATCACGTTTTGTCCACTTTCATATGTCACCTTGAACAATCACCTTGAATCGTCCACCGCCAGAAGATGGGGCGATTGTTCTCCCGCGTTGCTTAAGGGCTGACCCCACATACCAAACCGCTGGGTGGTGGGGCTCTGGGGGGCTGGCGACAGTAACGCCAAGCTGTGTGCACGAGCGATCAAATATAGAAAACCGACTGATTTTCAGTGTGCTGCACCATAAGCTTGATAAATGAGACCCAAGTAGGTAACTCCAAGCTTTCTTGAAGATTTCATTCAAAGTATAAATATTCAAAATAGAGCAACTAACCCTCTGCACCATAGAATTCTCTAGGCAGACCATGTAGCCACCTATCTCTCTCTACATTACCTGCAGTTGGAACCGGCAAGGAATGGTAGATGAAGAGTCGGTAATGCGAGATTTCCCTTTCTTTAGAAAATTTAGGCTCAAAACATGTATATCTCTGGCAGTGGTTTAGTATTTGAGTTGAGTAGGTTATTATGCTTCGATTATTGACCTGATATCTTTTATATTACCCCTCGGATGACCAAGGTTTCATACTTGATTACAGCCTTGTGAGTATTCAATGAGTATGCACTGTGGCTTGCCCGTTGACGTTTCTGGAGATCTCTTTTTGAGCCTGTTTGCAAGGACCTTGAAACCGTATCATCAAGATCTATCCCACTTAAAGTATCTAGGGATAGCCTAGCCTCTCAAAACCCTAAGTATTTGAAGCCTATAAGCTATTTCATTGACATGAAACTCAAGGCGACCAGCAAAACGAGTCGAGGACTTGAATGATAGAGGGCAAAGAGAGGTGGGCGAGGGTTCTAGCGACCTAGACTCCAAATCGATCGATAGTCATAAGTATGGGAGACCATGGCCATTCCTACTCTCGAATGAAAAGGGATGCTACTCCCATGCCAGTACTGTAAAGTAAAGTTAGCATCACAACAAATGAGAAGACGCTAAAGCATCAGGATACGCAAAACTCACCTAGCACACATGCTCACAATCCCAATCTCCTTATCCTGTCGCTGTAGCTCCGCAAGAAGAGTAGCAGTCTGCCGCGCGCCAGTCGCACCTACAGGATGACCGAGTGCGATAGCTCCGCCGTTGCAATTAGCCTTGCTCATGTCAATGCCTAACTCTCGAAGACAGTAAATTGACTGGCTGGCAAATGCCTCGTTCATCTCCACCAGATCGACATCCTTGTTTTCGATACCAAGATATTTGTGCAAGTTCCTAATAGCAAAAATAGGACCAATGCCCATTTCATCGGGAGCACAGCCAGCAATCTGAGTACCGGCAAATCGGGCGATGGGCTTCAGGCCATGAGCATCAGCCCAGGACCGACGAGCGAGGACGGTGCTTGATGCGCCGTCGGAGATTTGAGAACTACGACAGAATCAAATTAGCTAAGGAACCTCTGGATCTTGAATCTGAAGACTCACGAGTTTCCGGCCGTACTGAAGCCATTTTCCAGAACGGGCTTGAGTGTCGATAACTTCTCAACGGTAGCTCCATGACGGACGCCCTCATCGCGCTCCACAACGTGATAGGTAATCTCATCAATACCCTCACTGACATGTCTAGCGCGAATTGGGACGATTTCAGCATTGAATCTGCCCGCCTTTTGCGCCTCACTCGCTCGTCTCTGGCTCTCCGCGGCGAACTCATCCTGCTCACGCCGACTAATTCCGTACCGCGATGCCACATTCTCAGAGGTCTGCAGCATCGGCATAAGACAGTCACGAGCATCCTTCACGGGTGACTCTTTCAATATCGCAGACACATCCACTGGGACTCCACGTGTGGCATAATTCCGAGACATACTTTCCACCCCGCCGGCAAGACCGACATCGAGTTGCCCCGCCAGAATCGAGTGGGATACATGCGTGATAGCCTGGAGACTGCTTGAGCATTGACGGTTGACAGTGTGGAAGGTAGTTGAATTAGGAAAACCAGCGGCATTGAGTGCCATGCGACCGGTTTTGGCGAAGCCCAGCTCTGCGAGGACGTTCCCGATGAGGACATCGTTAACTTGGCCAGGCTCGATGTTGGCCCGCTGTACGGCTGCTTGCATGACCTTGAGGCAATTAGCCAAGAACCCTGCGTCATGCTAGATAATAATTGCTTATCCACGTACTGGCATCAGAATCTCCTCGGGATAGACGTCCTTGAAACCACCTTTAAACGCCCGTGTAATGGGACTTCGCACGGCGGATAGGATGACCACGTCGTTGGGGCTCTTCTTGAGCAAGTCCCCCGCCTTTCTGCGCAGCATTTTGATCTCAAGGGAGGAGCCTTTTGGTCAAGCTAAGCAATTCACGGGTGTTTGATAAAAAATGAACTTACGGAAGCGTGGACATGGTGCTGGTGCATAATGGAGAGCTCCGTACTCCTCCGCGTGCGCGTGGGGCAGTTTTCGCAACAACTTGACGATCGCTTCGTTTTTGTTTACGGAATTGTATTTGAAATTTCGGATCTTTTCATGAGAGATACGTGTTATAAAGATTTTTAAGGCAGAGTGTTCTACGGTAGACCAATTGCAAATCGCAAATAGCTGCTCCTACTTCGTTATCGGTCCTTCTCCATGACGAACGGGGTGTGGGGCAAGCAGGAATAGATAGAGTCGGTAAGCTTGGGGATGGGTTTTACCAAAAAAATGTTTCTGTTCCGACCCGCCGAGTTCACACGAGACATGCATTTACCAAATCAGAGCCTAGTAGACCCCGCACTCGGAATCACCCCTCGTCCTTCAGATAGCTCATTCTTACTACTCATCTCCCAGCCACGCCCACGATACCGCGCCGGCCAGATACCCGACTTACCAGGAGCCAAGATTCCATTCGGATCCAGACAGTCCTTAATCTTCTCATTAAACTTCATCAAAGCCCCATCGTTCCAGTCATATGTGCCCGCAATTTGATCCATGAATGCCAAATGCGTGCGATACTCGCCATAGCCCATTCCCGCGGCATCGTCGATCATCCCCCGCAGACAAGCCCGTGCGTTGGCCCGCATAACGGGATCATCGCGGTTGAATACGATTTCCACGATCAGATGCATTTCGCGTAATCCTACGACAAAGGTCGGGAATATGTCTAGGTCGAACTCGTTGCAGCGTCTTCGTGCAATTTCAAAGAGAGCCGTCGCGTCTCGTCCTCGGACTGGTGAGACTGGACTGAATGCAACATGGCCTCCGTTCGGGTGCCAATTAACCCAGCGAAGCTCTTCAAGATCTGGTACGCCCGAAGCGACTCGATCACGGACCCAGAAGTAGTCGTCGGTGGGGAGACTGCTGGGGTCGATGCGCCGAGCGCCGGGTATCTTCATGAACTCTTTATGGATAATGTCCAGCTTGTAGGTGCGGGTATCTTGAGGACCATAGGCCATGCCGTAGTAAAGCCATGCGCAGTCACCTTGAGCATGAGCCTTTGCTGCGTCATGGATGATCTTATCTGGAACTCTTCCCTTTCCATTATAGTAGGCACTTCGAGGTTTGCCTTCCAAGGCGACTTGCATACTGATGTGGCGGAGTTGAGCGACGTTTTCTAGAATCATGGCAATTCGAAGAGGGCGAATGATCTCAATCTGTGAACAGATTAGAGTCGAAGATCTGTGATGAAATTATGCAACATTACTTACCAATTGAGCGAGATCTTCCTCCTTAGAGAATGTATACAGCTGTTTTGTGGTTAGTTTCAGCGGATAGGAGCAACAGCGAAGAAGCGTACATAGCTTTCATAGCCGCCAGGGTTGGGCATCAAACCAAACCCCATCTTGGTCACAATACCCATGTTAGATTGAGAGAAGATACCGCTATGGAAATGTCAGCTAAGACCCAGGAAAAGAACATGAATACTCACTCGGCGGTCGGTCCAAAACCGTAAGGGAACAGTTGCCAGCTATTGTTGCCGGGGAGGGCTCCCATCCCAGTTCTAATAACTTCACCCGTAGGAAGAACGACTTCCATCCCAGAGTGCATCATCCAGTGATCGCCATAAGGAGTATAACCAACACCCCGATCCATGGCATTTCCCAGGACCGAGCCACCTCCAATATCGGGCACATCAACCCATAGATTCTTGAGACCGCGAGCTTGAATCTCTTCATATAAGGCAAAGTAAGTCACACCTGGCTCTACCAAGCATGTGCAATCGTCTGAATTAATGTCGAGGATTCGGTTCATCCGGCGTCCGAGATCGATTACAACTGCACCACGGACTCGAGGTGCGGCGCCACCGTAGCCATCTATGAAGATGGGTTGTATGTTAGCTCTGGACTTTAGAAACCGATATTAATCTATGCTCTTACAATTGCGCCCAATCGAGATTGGAGAGATTGGGATACGATGTTTGTTTGCCCAGCGAACGATGGTCTGGACTTCTTCCGTGGTGCCCGGATAGACTATCGCTGACGCGACAAAGTCATCTTCCTGAGACACGTGCATTGCATCATGAGTGTTGGGATCTGTAATTCTGTTAGCTAGATCGGCAGTTGAGATAGCTGCAATACAGGATATTTTGACTAACTCTCCATGTACCTGGTGGGATGATTGTTAGCTGACCAGACCCACAAAATTTATAGAAATATCAAGCATACCATCCATCGACCAGCTTTGTCACGAATTCAACATGCTCTTTACCTAGCTCTGCACCAAGCTCCTTGATGGCTTTGTGGAATGCATTCTCGCCTACTCCCTGCGGTATAGCCACCTGGTTCCTGTTGCTAGGGGACTTGGTAGCAATATTGAAGATGGCAGACTTGGCTTGCTGGGCCTTGGCAAAAAGTCGTGCTGGAATGCCATTATGTTTCTCTGACAGCAGCGGTGTTGGGGATAAAGTGTTTTTGGCAGCCATTGTGAGACGGGAAAAGATTGACAGATTCTGACAATCAGCAGTCCATTTTCTTTGAGTTTTATCTTTCTATATGGAGAGTACTCGGGGGTAATTCCGCATACCATCACTCTTCCCTCAAGCCGATTGGATTAGAGACGTAGGGTTACGAAGCCATGCAAACGGAGAATGTACATGGTTTCCTTGCATTACCAGCTCATATGTTCTTTTTTAGCGAGACGGGAAACCCCCGGACAGGGATGTACTGCAGAGGCGGTAGATACTACATACATCATGCAGATGGGAGGGGTAGAGTAAGGCTACTCCTAGATATCCCGCGTGCACTTCCTGGGGCCTTTAATCTCTGCCCGAGGGCTGAGTTTTGCTGAGTCTGTCATGAGTACAAGTGCATTTCGGAAGGTCTTTTGAGATGTCTTTCTGGACAGCCCACACAATAACTCTCGATCTGAGTAGGTAGTCAACTAGTCAGCTAACTTAACTATCTTTCAAACTATGACTAATAGGAAGGTTTTCATGCTCGGTCTCAAGATTCTGAACTTGCCATGAAACTCCCCAATACAGTTGTTTGCACGTTAAATGGTGGCTACGAGATAAAATACTAGGCCGAGCGGAGATGGTGAGGGGAACGGCCCCGCCCATTGATCTGCACGCATCGACGCCCTAAAAGTCAAACGTAGAGTATGGGAGAGAGACCTGAGGCATTCAAAGAAATTATTCTGGAGAGGACCCCTTATCTAGACTTACTCACTAGGACAAGCCATCATCGTGGCTCGGGATCAAAGGACCAAAGCCAACGGGCCGGGAGAATCGGGAACAATTCCGAAGGCTTCTCGTCCGCTGCCGATGCTAGTCCCGGTGGTAAATTACCGGTAATACCAGGGCCAATTTACCAAATACCGTACGAGCAGTAAAATTCAGGCAAAGAACCACAACACTTTGCCCCGTTCTTTTTCCCTTTGCCAGCTTCAACTCTGGCCGACCAACATCAGCATTTGGGGCATGCCACATTCAAGAGCCTCCACATTATTCTGCGCCCTCAATTTAACCCCGCATCCCATGCCCTCCTTCCCCGTCATGAGAGCACATGTCCACATTCCCCAACCCATCGGCAGCCCTTGACTCCGTTCGGGTAGGGTTGTGGGGTCGGCTTCCGATGGCGGCAAAAGGGCTGGGGACACGCCGGGCTGCCAGTACGACTTGTGGGGAATTGGCTGGTTGGCCCTGGGCGGTGACCTCCGGCTAAGCGTTTTTTTCGGCTTCTATTGCTCAGCTCCTAGCCGAAAGCTTCCTTGCGGAATGGGGTCAACTTTCGCGATCATGGACGCTTCTTCTTTTCTTCTTTTCTTTCTGCTGGCTCAGAAAGCACCCTCCTCAGTGATCTCTCAAGGCTAGTCGACACCATCATGTCGCGGTCTTTCCCTGCGGTGTCGGTGTTCCGCCCCGTCTGGCGGCGGAACTTCTCTGCTTCAACTTCCAAGCGTGCCATTGACAAGCGCGCCAGCTCTGCTGCTGATGCGATCAAGAACATGAAGGGCCCGGCCACCGTCCTCGTCGGTGGTTTCGGTTTCTCTGGTGTCCCCAACACTCTGATCAACGCCGTCCGTGATCGTCCCGATATCAAGGATTTGACCGTGGTCTCGAACAATGCTGGTATGCCCGGCGCTGGTCTCGGTAAGATATACCCCAACATCTTCAATTGCAGTGCAATTGGGGAATTTCTGGCCCATGGGCGAGGGTATGCGCTAACGTCGATATCTCTCCAAAGGCCAACTCCTTGAGTCCAAGCAGATCACCAAGATGATCGCTTCCTTCATTGGCGAGAACAAGGTGTTCGAGAAGATGTATCTTACCGGTGACCTTGCTCTGGAGCTTACTCCCCAGGGCACCATCGCTGAGAAGTGTGCTGCTGGAGCGGCTGGCGTTCCGGCTTTCTATACCCCCGCTGCTTTTGGTACTATCGGTGAGTAGTTACTTTCTGACAGTCAGCCCAGGAGTAGAAGCTTATCATAACCCCGTGTAGTGCAAACTGGTGAACTCCCCGTTCGTTACAACAAGGATGGCTCTGTGGCTGAAAAGTCCAAGCCCAAGGAGACCCGCGTTTTCAACGGCAAGGAATACCTTTTGGAAGAATCGATTTTCGGTGACTACGCTCTGGTTAAGGCTCACAAGGCCGACAAGCTCGGTAACTGCCAGTTCCGCAAGGCCATGAACAACTTCAACGAGGCTATGGGCAAGAACGCCAAGTTCACCATTGTCGAGGCCGACGAGATCGTCGAGGTTGGCGAGATTGACCCCGAGAACATCCACCTGCAGGGCGTCTACGTCGACGCTGTCATCAAGAGCACTGAGAAGACGCAGATCGAGAAGGTTACTTATGCCAAGGACCCCTCCGAGATGCTTGCTGCTGGCTCCAGTGATGCCACCGCCCGCCGTGAACGTATTGTCAAGCGTGCGGCCAAGGAGTTCAAGGACGGCATGTACGTCAACCTTGGTATTGGTATCCCTCTGATTGCCCCGTCCTACCTCCCCGAGGGTGTCGAGGTTGTCCTGCAGGCTGAGAACGGTATTCTGGGTCTGGGTGGCTACCCCCAGCCCGGTCAGGAGGACCCCGACTTGATCAACCCCGGCAAGGAGACCGTCACTCTGGGCCGTGGTGCTTCCCTGTTCGGCTCCCACGAGAGCTTCGGTATGATTCGCGCTGGCAAGATTGATCTCACCATGCTTGGTGCCCTCCAGGTCAGCCAGTACGGCGGTATGTCTATATCAATTTCTTCCGGGCTGGTGCTTTTGATCAACTAACATTTCTTCAGATCTGGCCAACTTCATGCTTCCCGGTAAGGTCAAGGGTATTGGTGGTGCCATGGATCTGGTTGCCAACCCCGAGAAGACCAAGGTTGTTGTCACTATGGTGCGTTTTCCAACATCTTCTGTGTTCAGACAAGTCCAGTTCTAATCTCGTGATTTTACAGGAGCACACCGACAAGAAGGGTAACCCCAAGATTCTGGCTGGTAAGATTCTGCCTCTCTTCAACTGGCTAGGAAACCACAAAGCTAACCCCTCTATTCAGACTGCACTTTCCCCCTGACTGGCCCCCGCTGCGTCTCTACCATCATCACCGACCTGGCCGTCTTCGACGTCAGCACCACCGAGGGTCTGACCCTGATCGAGCACGCCGAGGGCGTCACCGTTGAGGAGATCCGCAGCAAGACTGCCGCTCCCTTCAAGGTCGCCGAGGACCTCAAGCCTATGCAGCTGTAAATGCATGGGAAAATTTATAAACCCCATTAGACCTCATGTTTTGGATACGGTGTCTGTTATTTTTGCGCATGTCAATACTCCCTGTAAATTGTGAACATTGATCCTTTTTCATCTCTTCAACTTGGAACTTTAAAATATTTGCTATATCTTTTCCTAGAACGTTAGACTCTTACCAGGTATCTTTGAACTCATTCACCTGTTCAGTATTGTCGTGCCTGCCTGTGTGCTGAGCTCATGTGGGGTCGAACCCACCTACAGATCGAGCAGTGGGGCTCTCCACGACGAGAGTGCGAAATTCAAATGCAGGCAAATCGGACTTTGAGAAACTCTTGAAGAAGATACACATAATCAACAGGGGACTCTACATTTCTCTATTCGTCATGCATTGTTTATCGTTATCAAGAGTGGCCTTGGTGACCAGGGCCACTCCCCCTCTGGGAAGGCCAGGCAGCCTATGTTTCTCACGAGGATTAGCGACAGCTGCGAAGTCACCAAGTTCCAAAAAGCTCCCACTGGGAGGAGTCCGAGTGTTGGACATGAGTCGAGTGCTAGCTGGAGTACGTGGCATTTATACTGGAAAAAAGATTTACGGCAACACTAGTATATGGGAATACTGATTGTGGGAACAGCCATATTGCACGCAGATTCTTGGAGATTTGGGGTATGTCTCAATTCCTTCGATTTTGAGATAGAGACAGTTAGAGACTAATTCACCATGTTCTTAGAGCTGAAATCATCAAGATCGAGCACCCCATTCGAGGCGATGATACTCGTGCGTGGGGCCCACCTTTTGCCGCATACACGGACGGCCGAACGGGTAACGGCGAAAGTGCATACTATCTTTCGGTAAGTCTTGCTCTAATCGATGTAAATTGGCTCAAGATTAATCTGCGCCAAGGTCAACCGCAACAAGAAATCTCTCGGTCTATCATTCGCACACCCTGAAGGCATCGAAATCATCCAGCAACTCGCCCGCGACTGTGATGTCCTGGTCGAAAACTACCTTCCGGGCTCTTTGAAGAAATACAACCTCGACTACGCATCCATCAGCAAAATAAATCCCCGTCTTATATACACAAGTATCACGGGATATGGTCAAACAGGACCCTACAGTAATCGGCCAGGCTTCGACGTCATGGTCGAAGCTGAGTTTGGCCTCATGCATTTGACGGGTACGCGCGATGGCCCACCAGTTAAAGTCGGCGTCGCGGTCACGGATCTGACGACGGGCCTGTATGCTTGTAATTCGATTATGGCGGCATTGTTAGCGCGGGCGAATACGGGGGAGGGACAGCATATTGACGTTTGTTTGAGTGATTGCCAGGTTGCGACGCTGGCTAATATGGGGGAGTCGGTATTGATTAGTGGGAAAAAGGACACTGGGAGATGGGGGACTGCTCACCGTAAGCCGTCCGCTCTTCTCTCTTTTGACAAGATTGAGATACTAATATGCTCCGTGCCTGTAGCATCCGTTGTGCCATATCAGGGATTCAAAACGGCCGATGGCGATATCTTCGTTGGTGGTGCGAATGACCGCCTGTTTGGTATCCTTTGTGAGAAAATCGGCAAACCCGAGTGGAAGGCCGATGCCCGATTTGTTACCAACAATGACCGCGTAACAAATCGTACTGAACTGGAGCCCTTGATCGAAACCGAGCTTTCAAAGCGAACTACGCAGCGATGGCAGGAAATCTTCGAGAGCAGTGGTCTGCCTTATGCAGCTGTGAACGACATACAAGGGACGATGAATCACGAGCATGGTAAGAAAGCATTTAACCCAAGGTGCGAGGCGAGTCCACTGCTGACCCATTTTCCATAGTGCAAGCTCGTGGGATGGTCCAGACCATTGACCATCCAGCTTGTGGGCCGATCAAGGTGATTAGCCCGCCAGTCAAGTATTCAAATGCAGAACCGAGTGTTCGGAGCCCGCCGCCATTGTTGGGTGAACATACGGATGAGTTACTGCGGGATGTTGTCGGTCTGAGTGGGGAGCGTATTGAGGATCTCAAGAGGAAGGGAGTCGTTGCATGATAGAAGCCAAGTGTACGATTATGTGGTATAGACTGAGCATTTAGAGTTAATGATCTGCGAGAGAAAAAAGAACAAAAAAGAACAAATTCTCTATTGTCTATACGGTGTTCTCAACCCACGTCAGGATACGCCTTCCGTCGCAGGTGGCTGTGTAGATCGCTATGAAGTATGTCGTTATATCTGTCATCGTCTCCCATGGGAGTTTCGTTTTCAAAAAATTGCAATCCGCTTAGATTTCCATCATTGGCATTGAAGTCCAGTCATTGGCCTCTTCCACGGGCTCTTCCGATATGCATCGATCACACTGGCAAGTAAACTTGAACGATTTACGCAGATGCTCGCGCCGCGACGTCAAGTCGGTGTACTTGGTAAGATCGAAGTAAGAAATGCAACATTCTTGACCTGGTAAAATGTCACGAGAGGCCATGAAAATCATGCGGCCATCTGCATCGGGTTTATGTGTCATCTTAAAAATGTCAGTCTGGTAATTAGAGTTGAAACAAGGAGGCCATCTTCCTTACATTTGGTACACAGGAGTGGTTTGCCATTGCAGCCGTGGGATAGACCGCTGCGGCAAACTGCTCCCCTCGACTAATAGAGGGTTGTGGAGGTGGATAAATGCCCGTCTCTCGTGGATAGAGACCGAACGAGTTAGCCTCCTCCTGACAGATCAGGTGCAACACCTGGTCTGCACTTAATCCATGAGGCAGAACCGGGCCATTCTGGAGATATTTCTTCACCAATGTGGTCCAAGATCGGACCAGCTCATGGGGCCATGTATCGACAGATCCGCATAGCGACTCGATACCAGCCCAGCCATGTTTCAAAGGCTGCGATGTCGGTACGACATTCTCATCTTGCGGACGTGGCTTCGTTTGGCGAGAAGCAAGCAAGCGAACAATCACCCATAACATGCCGAAATCGTACTCGCCCCATCTCTTCCGGATGGGATCGGCATAGCGTTTGAGCCATGTACATTCGAAATCATGGCGGGCCTTGTCGGCATCTTTGCAAGTGCTGCTGCACCACGTAATATCCGCAATGCAGGAATTGGAACATGACAGTCTTCCTGACTGCCACGGAGACCGACGATTACAGGCGGGATTGCTGCAAATGAGGTCGTCATTTGTTGCTGGGTCATCCACGACGGGAATTATAGCATAGGGGTGGTCGATGAGGACGCAGGTGCCTTTCGGGATATGTTCCGAGGCTCGTAGCTGACGGCCTTTGACCGGGTCGATGCTCTCAATTAAATTCGGATGAATCCAATCGGACTGTATTTTAGGGATATCGTCTATGCGATTGGGTATGGGTTCTTCAATTGTAATATATACAACCTGCGACATTGTGGTGGTAGTACTTGGATCGGGGCTCGTACTAAGTGTGGTTCTACGTTGGCTTTTTTTTTTCTGGTCTGGGGGCAATTATGGAGGCCATCCGGCAAAAAATTTGCTGGGAGGCAAGGCTTATCGAAAAATCACACAATTCACAGAGTCCACTTCATCCCTGAGGCTTTTGTTTGGTTGGGCTCGTCTAGTGGGGCGGTTCCTCGCCATGTTGAATTTGGTTGAACCAATCTGATCGCTCTCCGAGCCCTCGGGGTGAGGTTATTCCTAGCGATTGCCCCCGATTGGCCGGGTGAAACATTCGCATAACTGCATATTAATAAGTACTTTGATTGGTCGGATTCGTTTGTAGCGGGGCATATCGACACTCGACTGTAAATCTTCAAATATGAGCACTGGAATCTCAACATGGCATTGTTGCAAAGGGTCAGGGTAGCAATCGAGAATTTGAAACACATCCAAATATTGATTCTAAGATACTCTTGTGGTTCATGGGTTTCAAATAGGTAAGCAGGTGATTATCAAGGTTATGAACCTTGTGCAGTACATTGGGTAAGCACTTTGGACAGGAAATATATATTTCAAGTCAATCTTCCAGACGACGACAGTCATACTAGACAGTATTCAAAATAACCAGAGACCCATGCTCATATGAACGTTCTTAAATTTAAGTATTTATCTCCACATCAAATAGTTATACCTTATTGAAGATTTGCCATAGATCAATCATTTCCATACTGGTTGCCAAATGGCGGTGACATTTGTGATGAGTTTCAACTCCCCACTTATTTGCCCCGCTTCTACCATCCAGAATACATTCTTACTACTGTATCCCAATTGAAAGCAAAGTCCCCCTTTTCTTCCCTCGAGCAGGATCCATCTTCCTGCCCTCAAGATCAGTGTCCTAAATGACGTCATCATCGTATCCAGAGGAGGATGAGACGCGTCTCCCTTGCCCTAGCTGGGTATTCTCGAATTTCTCGAATGTGCAGTAGGTAGGTCTCCTGACGCCAGCAACCTAGGGTCTGCTTAACAATCAAGTAGTGTAGCCAGAGACCGTTCTTGGTTTACTGATGAGTACACCCCTTTTGAGACATTTTTCGAAGACGACTCGTTTGTCACGACCCAGGTCAAGGTCATCGGGGTCGGATCTGTCAATCTGCCTGTTAAATCCTTTCCATATGACGATGGCCCGGAAGCACATGGGGTCCTTCGACTGGAAAATGTGCTACATGCTCCCAGCGCGATTTGCAATATGATTGGAGATGTCCACACCAAGAACTTTGCAGTCTCTGACCTGTCCTTCAGGTCAGACGATGGCCTCTGCGGATCCATTTATGACGAATCGGCTCGTCACCCTGTTGCCTGGCTGGTTAAAAGAAGGTTCTTAGAGGTCCTATTGAGTGAGCCTCCACTCGGTCCGAAAGTTGGCCCTTCGCCATTCGACCCCGATGTTGCCTACGTACTGCGAGCCATTTGGCCTCTGGAGGAGCAGCGGAAATTTGAGACAGTGAAGAGCTTCCGAGAACAGAAAATTAAATATTGTCCACCTCTGACCTCAGCTGAAAAGGCGTGGCTGAAGACAATTTGGGAAAATGAGTTCAAATTTCTCCTGGACTTTGGACTGAGAATCAACAAGGAAGAGGACCGGGAAGAAGGGCGGAGGATTCTGCGAAAGCTTATGGAGGAAGACTGAGGGTAGTAAATCGAGGATGAGAATGTAGTTCTCATCATTGTAACACATCTCAGGCCGAAGGAGCTCAGTACCTTATTCATCCGCTAGGTTATCTCTGCTACCCAGTAGATTGGCATTGAAAAGTTTAGGGGCTGGTGTGCTTTGCATGCCGCAGGAGCTACAATTATTGTGTATCTCGTGTGGCGTCCGAATTTGCGGCGTCGGTATTTCCCTCAGTAACAGGCCGATCTTTCTCGGCGTTTGGGCCATTGTCAGCCTTGGGATCATTGTCAGCTTTCAAAGCATGAGCAAGTAGCTTTGATGTTTTAGGACGACCAGATCGACGCTTTGATACGCCTTCTTGGCGTTCGGGTTCCTTCTTGATTGTATATCGGATTGTTGAGATGGGTATTGAGGGTGATCGTTGATGTATGCGTTTATAACCCCAATTGATGGCATGTAGCTCACATATTCGCTCGCGTATCACAGGGGTAAGTTCTTTTGAGCGTGCCATGTCAATAGTATAGTCGGAGCAGACGTCAAATTGTGGTTATAGGTGACACAGGGTGTCACGAGAGGAATATCAGCGAGTTCCTACGACGCGTCTCTTACAGGTGGGATGCCAAAAGATCTTGGCTTTACAATGATATATGCCTTCAGGCCAAGGCAACAGGAGTGGAGCACGTTTTCGAAATGTCAAGGGAAAGTACCCAATTTTTTCCTGCACCAGTGAAGACGGAGTCTGTCAAGGCTTGGAAGAATCGACCAAAGCCGAATGGCCGTGCAAACTACGCAAACGCGCATCATGTGATGATACTCGATAAGAATTCTTAGGAGAAATTTTTTGGTTCGAAAACTTTGTAGGAAAATTTGGATATAATTTGATAGCTATGAGGATGTATTTGGTTGGTATATCTGCAGCTTCTCCTTTCGCTGCAATCTGCCCCAATCATCAAAGGGAAGAGAACAAAGAGTTGAAGCACCTTTCAGACCTCCTCGACACCCACCAGGACCAGCCGACCGAAGTCAGACGCCGAGACCAGGTCAAGATCATCACCACTCCCTAGACCAACATGCAGACGCCGAAGCACGCGTGTCAGTCGAGGCGGGAGTCCAAATGGCTTCACTTTAGGGCATCGAGGACATAGCAGTCATCAGCAAGGGTGAAGATTCTGTGGCTCGTTTAAAGAGCTTAGAAGTGGGACGTCTACTCTAAAGTGATTCTTTGAACTGTAGGAGGAAAGAGAGGTTAGCAAATGCTTCAACGAGGAGTGAAATGATCACTGTAGGGGGTGGGATCACATACGTAGAGTCGCTTGAAGAAGAGAAAACTTTGGGGACGAGCGACACCTTTTATATTTGCGCGGGACCCACTCGCGGGTCGCGCAGATGAGTAAGCATGATTCGGGTGTCGGTGAAACCTACCTCCGGACCACGCCTGCGACCGAGGGAGGTTAGCGTGCACTCTGGTAGCAAGGTGAAAAATTATCAAGTGCTGCTGGCAGCCCGGTAATTCAGGCTGTCATATTGTGATATGCCTTACCCATCTCTGGTTAGACTTTGTGTCCAGAAATCGGCCTTCATATGTTCTAGCCAGCTCAGTAATTTACTACGCGAGTACAGGGCGAGCACACAATTCTCGAAATTCTACTAGAATAACGGTCAGATCTGGTGGTCAGAACGACTGAATGAAGACAAGATGTATTCCCGTAAGTTTGATAGGAGGACCTGATGTAGCAGGAAAAGCGAGCGATTCAAGGTACTAAGCGACACCCTTTGATGTAGTATGCTATTTATGGGAAACTTTCGAGGCATCGGATTCTAGCGTTATAGAGGAACCTGTGGCATAAGGGAAGGCCAGGAAAGTGATAGACGAACACTGGCGTGAAGATTCATTTGATATCTAGGGAAAGTAAAAGAGATCTTCCGAGCAAAAGTGATTAATCATAAGTCTATGAGTAAGGATCCCTCAGACTCTAACAAACAAATGAGTGGATCATGCAGTTAACCTTGCAACAAAGTGCGAACCAGTAATGAGTGACTCAACCGATGCATATTTAAGGACGGTTTCTGAGCAAATCTGAACAGTCATAATGGAGTGATAATCCGCGGTGATATCCCTACTTAGACGGCCGAGCATATGCCCTCGATTTGAGTCTGAGGAGGACCGACGTCAACAGTGGCGGGTCCAGTGACGGTGGTGACGCTCTGGTCAACTCCCTTGAAAGTGCAAGAAACACCAGAAGCATCAATCTCGATGTGGGAGATGCTCAGAGGATTAGCTAATGAAGTTAGTTTTCCTGATTCCTCAATTGCTACAACAGCCATCATCATGGATATAGGAGGACTTACTAATCTGCACAGCAGAGCCATCAACAGGGAAGGTCTGCCCAAACTTGGCATCAGCTGCACCGATGAAGCTGACTGCGACTTGAGTTGTGGCTGGATCTTCTTGGGGGTTGGTAGGAGGGGTCGTAGGAGGGGTGGTAGGAGGGGTGGTAGGAGGGGTGGTAGGAGGGGTGGTAGGAGGGGTAGCTGGAGGAATGACTGGAGTGGTGTCACTGACCCCCAGCTTCGAGCAGGTGCCAGAGACCTGGGTCTGAGGGGGCCCAACGTCGACACTTGCAACTCCGTTGATGCTTGTGACACTGTTGTCAACACCGTGGAAAGTGCATTGGATGTCACTAGTACTGGAAGAGATGTGCGAGATGCTCAGAGGGTTGCCTAGTAGAGTTAGCGTCATCATACAGGGCTATAGAAACTCGCTAGAGCCAAACTTACTGATAGGCACCTCAGAACCATCAAGGGGGAAGCTCTGAGAGAATTGACCATCAGCAGCGCCGATGAAGGTGATAACAACCCCGTCAGTACGACGCAGGGGGCTGGCACTCGCAGTAGTAGCAAAGGCGACAGAGAGGGTCAGGACGTCGGAGAACTTCATTTTGAGAGTAATCGAGGTTGTAAAAAGTAATAGATAGTCTTGATATATGAATAGCTGTTGTCTTGTATGTGTGTTTGGAATGAATGCGAATTTGACGGAGATCGAGGACCTTTTTATACTTGAGTCTTGCTCTCACCTAGAGGCTATTTACAGCTCTACATGATAATTATAGAAACTATCATGTATGTACCGCCTTAAGATGCACCGCCATACCCAGAAACACGAATGGTGGCGTAGACCTAGCGAGCCAATTTAGGCTTCCCAGCCTGTAGTTTGTAGAGCAAATGAATTCCTTAAGCGGCCAGAAGGCTGAAAGTCTCGTATTCAAACCACGAATCTTGATGGAAATCCGTCTGAGCCGCAGTCATAACCAAGGTTGGGGGGCTGAACCGTTCGTATACTCTCCATGGTCGTCACTGCAGTGTGTATGTATGTATATAATCCTAGTTCCATGGATAAGGGTACATCAACGTACCCGTTCCACGGTGGACCATCCTAATAATAGTCTCCAAGGCAATATTTCGTTTACGCGGTGATCCCCATCTAGTATGTAGATCGTGAATGCCAAGACACTGTCTCAGATATGACACCATCTATCAACAATTCTGAAACCCCCACAGAGCATGAGACAATGCAAAAGAAGATGTTGTATATGCAATGCCAAGGTCATTCGGCTCTCGCCACCTCGGAAAAAATTCAGGCGTGAGCGCGGCTGACCGCAACACGCTAAAGGCTCCGATTGGCGGTACACTCGGCGGGACTACTTACATGCAATTCGTTGATAGGCTTCCCCGCACAAACGATCTAATCGGTGGTAGACCTCGTCAGGCCACCTTACCCAGCCTTACATAGAGGCTGAGCATCACCGAATATCTATCTGACCGTGCTGGCTGTGATCCTCAACGCGGCCACACCATCTCGTATCTTAGGGGATATTCCCGAGAGGCCAGGGACTCAGGATGACGGCATCTGCGTAAGCTCCGAAGCGATTGAGAATCTTAGAAGAGCTTGCACTTCAGGCAGTAATGCGGTCTCAGAAGAACCACCGGGCCGGGTTGATCAAGAGTTTAAGTACGGGGGATTACTTCCCGCTCTGTAGAATGATACTCTGCCTGAGAGACCCAAGTGGCGAGGCATGCGATGGCCATCCGATAGTAAAAGACTTCGGTTCCACGATCTCCCAGGTCAGCACGGGTTTCTATAGTTGGAGGCCTTTCCTCTGGTAACGAGAGAGCGAAATTTTGCTCAACAGAATGATAGAAATCCCGAGTGAATACAAGGTAGTACTTATTCTGCGGCGAGGCTGCCCATCGAGCTTTATTGATTTGATAATGAACAAGGCTTTTAAAAAGCACCCCGGTCGCTTTTGAAATCGACCTGCCATTCCTCCAATGAAGCAGTGATCTAAACAAATACACCGACTTTTGTGATACAATTTGTCAGCTCATTCAGAATCGATACAGCTGAGCGGAGTGTGGCGCCTGCAACAGAGATAGCATGCACTAGGTGAAAGGGTCACTGTCTGCCTGAGCCCCCGATCAAGCTATCATAGTCCATGGCGCTTGACCCTGGATGGGCCTTGGGTATAGTCATTTGAAAACTCTCGTGGCTCATCGTATTCCTCTGGCGTCAAGCGACGCAGGTATCCTCCTGCTAGGAGTTCCTTGACGTTGTTGTAGGTCACGAACTGAGTACCCATACCCGGCTGCTCGAACCACGGCGCAATAGGCCCCATTCCAACGACGAAGCTCCTCGTCACTTCATAAACGTAATAGTTGAACGGATGATTTCCATCATAGGTATCCAGGTTGCTTGGTGGCAGGGCGCGTTCGATAAAGGGTGCACCCAACGGTGCGAGGAACTTGCCATACTCCGAACCGAAGCGATCGACCTTCTGACCGACAGGCAGTGTGGCATTGCCTAAAATCGGTTCACCAGCAGTGTTGATAACGAAGCCGTTGGCGGGCGGGTACTTGTATGTAGCACCGGAGTCGGTCGAACCAGCCCATTTCTCGAGGAACGTCGCGGGACACAGGCCGCCAAAGCGCTCGTAGCTTTGGAGCTCGTTGTCTAGAGGGAACTTCTTGGGTGCCTGAACAGGTCCCAAGCGTGGGTCACCACAAACATAGGTATCATTTTGGGAGGGAATTCCGGCACAGGGAGTGGGATAGCAATGGTCTGGGAATTTGTACTGTGCTTTGTTAGGGGCTTTTTGTGTCGTCAATTGGGTAGCGGGACATACTTGGGCAGCGCTGCGGGTATTATGAGGAAGAGCATTAGTAGACAGCACCAAAGAAGTGAGCCCCACAAGAATCGTCGAAACATGCATTTTGAACGCTCGTCAAAGGAAAAACTGGTGTTTCTAACGAAGAGAGGGCTCGAAAGTCTTGAAGATGAAGTTCCGATTCATGATTCTCCCGGAGCAGCTGGACTAACAAATTAATACTCCGACCCAGAAATGCAGCTATCGTTATGTTTTTTGTCGTTCTAGTGGATCACTTTGCGTTGTTTATTGTGACTGGCGGAGATGGTTACCCAGCATCGCTTGGCGACGCACCCAAATTCAATAGCGTGGCTGATTCTGTCGTTTTGCTGATCCCTTGGCAAAGAAGGGTCTTCAGCTCCTGCACGTCGTCCACTATTCAGCCCGCCCTTGTTATTGTGATGGCCGTGATGTGAAGATCGTGAAGAGGCAGAAAGAAGCGATGCACATCCATACGCTCAATTACTTTATCTCGCCTTTCTCCAATTGTAGCCCCATGTGCATTGGAACATAGCAGTCCTCAGGCAGGCCGGTGGTCTGGCGGACCTAGGATAAGCCCATTCAGCCTCAAGCTTGCGAGCCGATTTGGCAAATCCCGATCACCCAATGAATCCTCAAAGCAACAACCAAAGCTTGTCTAATTTTGATATCGAACGCAAGCATGATCCTAGTGGAGGAGGAGAAGAAGAATGCATAATTCTGTCAGACACTGGGCTCAACACTGTCCACAAGCACTCAGACAACATTTGAACCGACTCAAGAAGCATACAAAGGAAGGTAGCGACCTTGGAGTTGCTCAAGTCCAATTCAAGGCCTAGCCTTTACAGACGTTTGCAAAACCGAATACTTTCTAGAATAAGCTTGACGACACGCGACAGGAGCTGGCCGCCACCCAAGTCTCACATAACACATACGATCTCAACCCGGGAATAATTATTGCTCCATCGTGCCTGCCAGGTGTTTCCAGACTACACAGCGGCGCTTTTGATCATCTGGTATTGGCTCCATACCCGTTGTATTAAGCTGGAACCGCATCCTTTGGCCACCTGTAGTTCCCCATGGCTTCCATTCGGGAGCTGAGCTGTCACGGTATGTATTTGGGTCCAGTGAGAGTATAAAGCTGATCCAATACTTCATGACAATAGGGACCATCGGCTTGTTATAAGTCAAGTAGGAACAGTTGTTGCATGCCCCTGCATACCCAGGGCCCCAAACCGCGGGCTTCTCAGACACGTGCGGTACTCCTAAGCCGACGGTCTCGTAATCTGCATCCCAAACATTATAACGATAGTTCCAAGTGCGGGAGTGTGAGAAGTATTGTGCGATAGATGAGGCTATCTCGTTTCCGGGACAGGTAAATGTGGATTCTCCGTAGGCCTGAGCAGCTGGGGCAAAGTAAGGAGCGTGGTCTGGCATTGATGCCCCTGGTGGATAAGTCACATTGATAAGTTGAAGGTCAGCGGATGTCAATCGGGGATAGTTGGCTTGCATGAAGTCTAGAAACTCCGCAGAGGTACTGGCATTGGGTGCGAAGTATGTTCCTTCGTCATTGTCATCGCCAACTATTACCGGAACTTTGGTCACTTTTCCTCGTTCGAAGAGCGTGTAGAGCTCATCTGGGGCAAAATTGCCATCAATCACGGGTAAGAAATACCACAATGGGTTTTCCGTGGTACCAGGGAAGCGCGAAGCCACATCGGCAGACTGAAGCGTCGCTGTACTTTGGGATCGAATGCAAGCGAGAGAGTCCTCATGGCCTCCACACCCGACATCATCCACGAATTTCTGGAACTGAGACTCGGATTCGGCGACAGTTCTGTGAGCAGGAAAGAATGGCGACTCTGCTATCGCCCCGACAAACAATTTCTCCCGCTCTCCACCGTAGGCCGTGAGGTGGTAGGCCACTGAACCACCACCTGCGGATGTTCCATGAATGACGATGTGATCAGGATCCCCTCCAAACTGCGAGCAAGTCAGCTAAGGTCTATGAGAGATACTTCGCGCCAAACATAGTCAAAGAGGCTCAGTCTCACCAGATGGATATTATGCCGCGCCCATTTCAATGCTTTTTGCTGATCAAGAAGCCCAACGTTCAGATCGCCATTTTTCCGTATCTTTTCACTGGCCAGAAATCCAAATGCACCGACACGGTAATTAATCTGTACGAAGATCATGCTGTAATTGGACTGTGCGACGACTTCAGATCCATTGAAGTTCCTGTCAGAGTTGGCAGCATAACCGCCGCCTTGAATGAAAAACCACACCGGCAGTTTCTTATGCGGTGTTGTTATACTTGGCGCAAAGACATCGATGAAAAGACAGTCCTCGTTGGTGCTGTTGCTCAGTGCTGGGCCAGACCCAGCTGTCCCGATGCAGGTTGCCCCGAACTAGAATGGTGTGAGAACGTGAATCCAAGCCCGACGCCCCAGCAAGGTAATTACCTCCTTTGCAGCTTGAACTCCAGTGGTAAAAACGGGATCTTCCGGCGCTCTGAATCGTAGATCTCCTAAAGGTGGTGCAGCATATCGAATACCCAGAAACTGATTCACTCCATTATCAAGAGCAGTGCCTTCATACTGAGCATAGCCCAGGTCTACAATTGGACTTGAAGGGCTGATCTCGTCCAAAGGGCGTCCCTCCACTGCTAGAGGAAGTCCTAAGACTAAATACGCGACAATGGTGACCCAAAACATGGCGAATGCTCCGAAAGCGACTCAGGTCAAATTCTGCTCTAAGAAAAGAAGGGGTACTCAGGCTATCTCTTAAATGGACTCTCTTTGACCTTACCTCAGGAAGTGAGGGGTGAAATGGGACCCTACGTCTAGTCGATACGGACCTACGGAAGGATTCCAGTTAAGAATGCGGGGAAAGTTTTGCTCAACCTACCACAACTAGAGTTGGAGGTTAGCTCACGGAGAAATTATGTCATGAGGCATCGTAGGAAATCTTGACTGGTATTGATTCTAGGTGCAGGTGCGAAGGATGCTAGCTTCAAGACCCTGCACGGAGGAGAAAGGTCCGACCGACCGCCTATTATGCAAGAACATATGCAGGGATCTGTATAGATGCCCCTCGCGCCAGAGCTTTCACTGCTTGAAAAGATGAAAAGAATCATATTATGTATCGATTGATGGGCAATGGTCTTTCTCAATGACTTAATCTTTCTTGTTCATATACGGCAAACAACCCTCATAGATCTCCCGGTAACCAGGATATACAACATTCCTCTGGAAGACCCCTTCGTCGACCATCCTCGCACATTGAAGAGAGCCCGCAATGAAAAAGTCAGTATAGCTTGGGCGGCACCGAGTATGAAAGGCCCATCGGCCTTGTTTGTCTGCATCAGTTCCCCCAGGGCACGAATATCGTCCGCGAGCGAATTCCAACTGTCCTCTTCTCGACTGAGAAGATCTTCAAGAGGGTGTCCTAGTATGGCCTCCCGGGTGCGTCGAAAATACTCTTGAGAGCGAGGCGATAGGATGTTTATCTCGCGTGGCATTACTGAGTTGCGGAACGTCGTGCCAACAACAGCGCGTGCTTTGGCTTCAACCTCGCGGCCGAGCTCGGACATCAACTGCACTGGAGGTTCTGGGTAGGTAGCCTCGATGAAATGCGCGATGGGTGTCGAGTCCACCATGTAGGTATTACTCGGCACATGGTGAATGGCAGGAACTGTGTACGTGGACTGGGATTCGATGCCACTGAAAAAGAGCTAGAATCAGAGAAAGGAGATATCGATGCGCGACCAATGGGCGTTTGGCCTGTCTGTTCCAGGAGAAGCGTAGCCAATCTTCGCTCGAATGATTCCAAATAAAACTTACAGTGCTTTCAGTGTAGGTTCAATATCGGGAAATTCGAGGAATATGGTCTTGTAGGGAATTTGTTTATAGTTCAGCAGAAGGCGGATGCGCCACACTACCGGAGAGAAGCAAACTTTCTTGGAGCAAGCTAAGTCGTACAGCACAATCTGGGGGTCAAATTGGGATGCCATGATTGTTTATGAGTCTCGAATAAAACAAAACTGTTGAGTGTGAGCCTCAATCAAATGTGTGTCCTATGTTCTTGGGACTCTTTATGGTTGAAGACGGAGCGTTCTTTCATGAGTCCTCGTATTCTCCGTGCCCCGCATCAGCCGAACACCAGATTTGTAAGAGGGAATTTCGCGGCTGACAAAACTAGAAAAACATGATGCGTATTCTGAACATGTTCAAGGATCCTAAAAATTGCAAATTAAGTGGTCGTGTCCATTCCATTGGGACTGTATCCCAGTTGGTTTCCCGCTACGCTCAATCTCGGAATTCTAGGAATAACAAAAGGCATGGACTGAGCCCCCGCCGATCATGAAGGCAGCAAAAATAGCGACAGTCCACTACTGACGTTACAACAGAGGGTAGTTTGTCCCGAAGCAGTATAGTACTGGCTCATGCTCCATAAGCCCGCCGGCTTCGCGCAGGAACCTCGTATTGCTTGTGCAGAGACCTCACTGATGTTGTCCTGTAGTCCACAAAATCTGCATAGATTCATGCGGAGGACATTTAGGCTAAGGGGTTAATCTTAGCTTCACCGAGCGTCTCTGCTAAAGCCCCGGGAAGCCCATCCAAATTCAAGGTCTTCCCAGTTACCCATGCTTCCTGTTTTGTCAATGGGATCAACCTGGCCGAAAGGAAAACAGTGAGAGCGCTGTCGATATCCCAAAAGTAAGAAAGAAGAATAATATAGGGCCCACTGAGGAATAGGCGAAGAAAAGAGGGGGAGAACCGGGAAGTTCGAGAAAACAAAGGGATGGTGGCTGGGTAAGGATTTTAAAGCGGGTTTCGGTAGAAGAACTCAGGTTTGAGTTTCTCGACAGGCGAAAGGTCGAAATCGGATCTTCAGATTTTCAGTCACCCCGCTATCTTAATATTGAGGTGGACTTTGAGGCGATACTAGGCTATTCTCCTCCGATGGACAGCGACGTTGTCATGATAGTCGAGTCCGGGTGAAGGCGGGAGAATACTCTATGATTAGTCATGGCTGGAAGCCATTGCGCTGTGGATTCAAACCGTATCCGTTTAAGCCGACTCCTGACAAAATCGATATTCCGCGTCCATAGGTCTCGGTTCAAAACTGGGATCGAGGAAACGACACACACATCTGCCCCCCGCGCCAACGACGGTCGTATGCCGGCCTAATGGTTCATCAGCGTAGAGTTCGTAGTATATCGCCCCTTCTTAGATGACCCGCTATACTGCTCATAGCGGAAATCTCATGTCCTCCATCGCAAGGTAGGAGATATTACGAGGAGGAAACGAGGCTGAGGTGACATGCTTGGGCGTTGATCAACAAACGGTAAATCTCGCTAGGCTCCCATTGCGCTCCCAGGATGTTTACGTGATTGCTCGACAATCGGCCTCGGTCGGAAACTTGAAATGGTATCAGGCTTACGCTGACATTCTTGGGGTGCAAATACCTGATTGGGTTAGCGGCGGGGTGCGGGTAAACTAGAACAAAAAGAAGAACGATGTAAAGATTTGTTTTAGAGCCAGCGATAGCCTTATTATTAGTTATACGATTCAGCTAGCGTATGCCAGAGCGATCGCTATATTAATACTCAATAATGACAATTTAAGCAGCTTGTAGTTAGTTAACCGTTGGAAGTAGTTACTAAGCAGTGTTATTGGTGGATGAAATGCTTAGAAGTATACTTATCTGGGCCACTCGGATCTAACCGATCTGAGAGCTAGCGCATCGTTAAAATCATCGCTCAGGGTCTTTCCGTGAGCTAACTATTGGTATAAAGGCCACTTCGCGCCCGCACGTGCATCCGCTTCCTTGTCCTAAAATCTCTGAGCCACTAGTTGGGATTTTACAACCATGGCAAATACCCCATCCGACAGAGAGTATGCCACGAAGGCATGTGCCGCGTGTAGGTCTAAGAAGCGGAAATGTGACAGAGTTCTTCCAGCCTGCACGAGGTGTGCACGGTTAGTACAGCCTGGTTCTTCGTTGACATGCCTCAATAACATTGAGTCGGCACAGCTTGTTTCAGAACTGCCAGTATGATAGTGAGCCGTATTCAAGAGGCTTCCCGGGACTTGTGGCAGAAGAAATTTCTGAATCGCTGTAAGTGTCTGTCGGAAATCTAGCCTTCGGCGGGTACTATGTTTCTCACAGCGGGTTGTTAGCGCAAGCCACTTTCAACGGATCGTACCCACAGAACAAGCCCGGATGAAATCAAGGCTAGCCTGTTCAAAGTGTAGGGTAGGGAAAAGGCAATGTAGCAAGGACGTACCGTCCTGCAAACGATGTGTGCGGTAAGTCAGCCACGTGGAAGCTGCTTTGCGCGTCTCTGATCCAAAAGAAATGAAGAACAGGGAGTGTTTGCCGATACGATGGCTTAGAACATGAGGATTCGGCAGATACTGCCCTTCCTCCCCTGCTGCTGCCCTCGGTGGGAGTTACCGAGCTGGTAGATGGGCATCATGGTCTTAGATCCTACCCTACCAATGTAGAGACCGATGTCTCAGAAGATCCAGATGTGCCAATTACAGGTGACATAGAATACAGAACAGACTGCACAATGGAGGAGATAGCAAAAAGAGTCTCCTTACAATATCAAGGATATGAACACACTTCTGCTGTCACCAGACGAACACCGAGCCCCTTGACAATTGATCACACTAGCCACCATTACCTGGACCCATTCCATACTTATCCGTCCAATCTAAGCCGCGAAACCATCACGCGAACGTTTCATTACTGTCGGTATCCACACCCAAAGATTACAGGTACATTGCTGATCAAATACCGCAGCCCTTCAAGAAATGTGGCCCAGACTCTTCCCCGGTCTGAAACACAACGGCAAGAGCTTCACCCATGAGTGGATGCAATTGGCCCTGGCCTGTCCACCCCTCTTCCGCGCATGGCTCCATTCAGGTGCAGAGCACCTCCTGATGCGACAGAGAGCATCTGGCCACGCCCCGAGTCCAACGTCCCGGAGGGACACTTACGAATTACTTCTGATGCGACAAGATGCCATCGTCGCCTTGAAAAACGCCGTGAATGACGACCATCCCAATACGGTCACGGATCAGATCATCATGGCTGCGTTCGCTCTCGCCTTACATCCACACGAGCGACACCCAGTGGCAGCTTCTCGAATGAGAACGGCCCCTCTCTCCAACTTGCAATGGTTGACACGGTTCACCGATATCGTGATCTTGGACGGCCACGTTCAAGGAATCCGCCATCTTGTACAAGCGAGAGGAGGATTTGAAAAGTTAGAAATGCCCGGGCTTTTAGAGGGACTGTCGACGTGAGTGACGTTTCACAGATTTTGTTTGAGCTAGAGCTAATATTTCTGAAGCTGGGACCTGATCACATCTACTAAAATGCTAACAAAACCTTTCTGGCCACGGCGGACGAAACTACAGCTTGACAGTGCTGCCAAATTCTTGGCAAAATATGAACACACAGATGTTACAATCGGTGATTTCCATGCTCTCCTATGGTCTGAGTTTCCTCATTCCATTATGTGGGTATTCCACGCTCTCCGCGGATACAGTTCTTTGCTGGAAGGATATTCTGACGGACGTTTGTCTGATCTCGATCTGGGCTATATCCTCGACCTACGAAACCTTATCCACTACCAAGTATTATCCCTTCCGTCTGCTAGGGATGACAAAGTTGGAAACGCTTCACATAAATACGAGTCATTCCGATTGGCCCAGACTATATACAGCCTTCTCGTCTTGTTCCCTGTTCCTTTAACGACAACTCCGTATCCAGAGCTGGCGCGCCTTCTACGCTATGAGCTGGAGATGGCCTCTAAAGATGGTTGGGCCAGGATTCCGACATTGTTACTTTGGATTTTGGCACTTGGTGGGATTGCGGCTTTGGGTACACCGCATCGCTTATGGTTCGTCCAGAAATTGCACATGCAACTTGGGAATTTGGGCATTATCAGCTGGGAAGGGTTTGTCCACATAATGGGTACATTGATATGGTTGAATAGCCCATGCGGTATAGAGGGCTTGATCCTTTGGAAGGAAATTCAACAACATGGTCATCAGCCACTTGCCGAATATAAACCAACCCTGGGATTGGTGCATGATGAGCCCGTGAGGTTGGGCAATTGATTGCGCCGCTTATCTTGATATCTTACGATATATTTCTCACATCCATGCTTGATCCTAGCCGAATGACCGTCGAAAGGCTTTTCTCTCAAGATACTGGCCTTGTGTCCGAAGGCGATCAGATTCAAGCGAGGCCTATCCCTACTGGACAAAACTTCGCAGGGTACCGCAGATGGATTCGTGCAATACTACTTTGAGTTTTATCAATAATACCGTGTTACGCTCACTTTTGGAAATAGACTGTGTTGTTACGTGATTGGTCATCTTCATGTCGGGCTTAACTCAAAGGCTTTGTACTGCGTACAAATGTACACAACTATAGTGCTTCGCTAAATATGAATCCATATCTACCCCCATTCACTTCTGGGAAGGGTATCCCCCTTACCATGTCAAATAGATATCTCAAAGTGCTTTATCTATCCATTGCCCTTGATAATGATATCACGAGGAGGAGTCATTCCATAGACACATTCTTAGTATGACTGATTGTGTCGGATGACATACCACAACGACTCTCGGCAGTCTTTGATAGTGCGGAGGTAACAACGAGCGAGAAGATGGCGAGTGGTGCGTTCGCTGGGTCACCGATGATAGTGTAAATATCCAGGGCCACATTGCCCGTTGTGCCAACCAGAGAAAAAGAGAAAGATTAGTACTCGTATGTTGAGCAGGTTGCGATGAGAATATGGCCTCTTTCTCTCTAGAAAGTGGCTTCGCTTGAGATTAATCAATCTGAATGTTTCACACCTAAACACGGAGGATGGATCAGTAAACCAGACTGTCATAGTAAATTGTTGATTTGGAAATTGTCAAGGGCTCCGATGATTCATAAGCTGATCTCAGCTGAGAGTCGCTAACTCGATTACTCCACCGCCGCCGCTAGCCTATCTAGTTGTGCTAATTTAAGCATTTGTTCGCCGCAAAATAGAAAATTACAAAGAAGCTTGGGTCAAAACCGGGGGTTTCTTTCATGCATTAACGGCTGCAGGGTCCGATGGCGCATGTTGAGGTACCTTGGTAATTGATTGGGAAAGGTTTCCATGTGGACTTCGGTGAGTACTTCCTGTACAGAGAACTCCACGGGAATATATGGAATGTCTCTGAAAGATAGACCTCGACTGATATGGAGCATCGAAAATTCCTAGTTTAAGATTCTCAACACACTCGCAACATCGATCTTTCTTCTACAGGCCCATAATGTTAATGATACTCAAACGACATCAGACCTGTGATAATATAATGCTGATACACTTTTTCCCTTAGCAGGACCAGATACTAAGCAGTAAAGTCACATGGTAGCGATCCACAGCAGTATCCATGATGAGCATCCAAACCACCCTGGAAATCAATGTTATGGCATCCATCATCAGTCCTCCACATGGACGCTCTGAAGTTGTAGTTTCCGCTACTCTTTTCACCAAAGCTTTTGCCCATGTCAGCTTGGATTATGGAACATATAATGCTAGGCAAAACGTACGTAATTTGACACTGAGTGTCGACGCAAGCATTGAATCCTCCCCACAATTCACCCTGGTAGACAGATCCAGTATTGTAGTCGGTCAGGGTAATAAACTGGAATGTCTTGCCTTCGTAGACGTTGTACGTAGAAGCAGCCATTTGGCCGTAAAACGCAGATGCATAGCCTGCAAGAGAGACGGCGCTCAGGACGATGGGGAACTTCATGTTGACTGTGATGAGTGTGTGAAAGCTTCGAGTGGATTGAGGTTTGTTCCGGGTTTCTAGCTTGTACGGCTAGGATGAAGTATTTATAGTTTTCTGAATTGCAAGACATCAACGTTGCATTATTGATAAATTTATTGCTGGATTATTTAGTTGTCTTTTGTGGGGTTCGAGTTTATTCAGCTAAGAATGCACCTTCTGCAAGCAGAATAGCGTATAAGTTGACTACCCGTTTTCTACAGGAAGTCCGTCAAACGCCCAAATGCCACGATGCGTTGAGTACTCCGTACATTATGAGCTAGTCGTTTATTGACTGCTGACCCGTCGCTTTTCAAACCAAAACAACGGGCGCGTTTGTTCATAACACCTCTAGCGCCGTGAGCCCTTCCTTACACTATGGTGGCATTCTGGTATTGTCTCCAGAAGTAGCCAGCCCTCCCTACTGAGGTGGTTCCCCCTCTTCACATACAGAGCAGTGTTTAAATATATGTAACTATAGATTGCAGTAACCCAAAAGCGAGGCTTTGTGAGACTGGTTACATCTGACAGAGAGATGCAGGCGGAGAGGATTTGTAGCTCCATATCTGTCCCGGCATTCTCAGGTAATTCGACCCATCATGGTTGTCAACTTCTTCTGTAGCGGAGTAAAATGTCTACTAGGGTCAATGGAGACCCTTCCTTGGGAGCGTATAGCTTACAAGCCCATCGTAGTCTTTACCCGGGGGATCAGAACGAGACGTACTCGACCTCTACCACGTCGGACGCGGTCGGAGATAATCTTGAGCTGTATACCACGCCTCTGTTTTTATTCCAGCGTGACAGTTAGGATCGGAATTACTTCGAAGCGATCCGGGTCAGTTAACCGGCGAGTCTGATTAATGCAAGTGGTTATTATTCGCAAAGCTGTTGCGCAAATCCACAACTAGCCTAGCCCGGATCCGAGTCCGGATCCGAAGTATACAATCATCTCCGGACTCGGTTGGCTGAACGAAGTATATAAAGATCGATGATTTCTCGAACCTCTCTGTCAATTAATTTACAGACTCGTTAGCATAACTTCTCTTTTTACCTCACGCTTTAAGAAAAAAAAGAGTGCAAATCAATTCTCGCCATACTTTGGCCGTTTCACGAACAGCAAAATCATCCAACATCTCAGTATGCACGCTCTGATTATTGGTGGTAGCGGCCGCACAGGCAAGCTCGTTATTGAGGAACTGTTACGACGAGGTAAGTCAAATCAATCAATTTTTCCTCAATCGCAATTTCGAAGCTAACGTGTATTAGGACATGGGGTTACAGCACTCGTCCGAGACCCGGCTGCAATGGAAGGACTTGACAGCATCAATATCGTGCAAGGTAAGTCAAAGGGCACCTTCCAACTAATGCGGTAATCCGAACGCTAATCATGCTTCAGGATCCCCAACCCAACTATCCGATGTCAGAAAGGCCTTCCACCATCGTATCCCGGACGTCGTCATCGTCACCTTGAACGCCCCCCGCGCCTCCGACAGCCCATTCGCCGCGCCGATCTCCCCACCACGACTGATGGCCGACAGCAACGCTAACGTGGTGACTGCCATGAAGGAATTCGGTGTTCAAAAGGTAGTCATCATGCAAGCGTTTGGTGTGGGAGCGTCGTGGCCAAACATGTCTTGCTTGTTGCGCGGATTGATGAGCAAGACCAATATGAATTATCAGTATGAGGATCACAACATGACCGATGAGGAGGTTCGAGCTAGTGGTGTCACCTATGTGATGGTTCGTCCGTCTCGGTTGGTGGAGAGTGATGTTATGACGGTGCGGGAGTGGCCTCATGATGGGAAGGGGGTGCCTTTGATGGCTAGTACGAGTCGCAAGAGCGTCGCTTGTTTCCTGGTGGATGTGGCTGAGGAGTCGCGATGGGATAATACTGCGCCGGTGATTACGAACTGAGTGGGTTATTGGGTTATTCTTGTAATAGATTGATCGAGTATTGGGAAACGATATAATGTTTCTGAAACCATGGAGAATTTTCAAACAATAAGGAGTCTTAACAAATCGGTGCTCGTCACCCCGAAACAATCCATATATACTTCGGTGCTTCCTCACCGCTGTATTCCATCGCCCAGCAGATTGTACCTCCACGCTGCTTTGCTAATCTATGATCGGCCTAGGTCTCCGGGCCGGATTGGACTCGTGATCGTATGTTCATATATTCCACATAAATGATCCATCATCAAATGAGAATAGATCGCTGACAAAATTTTCGAACTCGGCGGTGGCTTGAGATGGTAGTTGCACGGCATCCGGTATCTGGGACTGGGGAGTAGATGGCTGTTGCCCCGGATTTTGTGATCGTGTCAGGGTCAGAGAGGGCTGAATCTGTAGACTGATGAGAAGGCATTCTAAAGCAGACGAAAGGTAATTACCAGTTGTGCCAAATTCGGCAAATCAGATGTAAGAGTGTGTTGCGTGGCAATGGAGAGCAGATGCTGGCGGCAGGCAGTCAAAGTGTTCGTGGCTCCTTGTAGCATTGAAACCTCTTTTTGCTCTGGGGATCCACGGGCGCGAATCGACTGAAGAACAACGGTTAGCAAGATGAGGTCTTTGATGTTGTTTCCTCTGCAGTGAACTCGACGCGTGAGGCTGCCTATCGTGTTCTCGATGATGCGGGTTAAGCCAGCTCTGCCGGGAATCGGTATGCGGGAATTTCTGGGCTCGGTGACGTCTCTGGTGGGAGATGCAGCCACCAAGGTTTTGGTGGGTAGCCTCATATGCTCGCATACACTGAGAGCTGCTTGCAAGATGTCATGCTGACAGAGTGTGTAGAAAATGTCCCAGTAGGCGGTTGTGTTTGACACGTCAAGGTCAGCAAATTGAGGGTCAAAGTGGTCTTGGTAAGAAAGAATGGCAAGTGATGAGTCGAGACAAGCCCCTCGTATCTCATGGAAAGATGGGTCATCATGGGAGATGTGGGTGATGGCAGGACGAAGAAGGTAAAGCAAAGGGCGGCGAAGGAAGATGTCGAGGAGGACGTGACTCAAAACAGACGCGGGGCGCGCGCTTTCCGTGTCGTGATCTAGCTTCAACTGGGCTGGAACATCAGAAATGTATTTCTCCAGCCGTAGGCCTTGTTTGACGCGTTCACTGAGGTTATCACGCGGGTTTGTTTGTTGCACCGTGTTCATCACTCTAATCCGATGAGCCAATGAAGTGGCGAGGGTAATTAGACTCAAGGAGTCGGTGTCCTCGACAAGGGGCCTTGGAGAGGGCGACTTTGATGTTGACTCGTCAAAGTCGACATCGTTGATATTCAACGGTGTGAGAGGCCCGAAGTCCAATTGTGGTGTCATGACCGGCATGCCAGATGTAATAGAGGCCTGAAGATCCAGTTCAACAATTGTGATCCAAAGTCGTCGACGGCATTCTGCCTGGTAGAAAGACAGGTTGGTGGATTGAGAGAGATTAACATGCAGCCCCATCACCATACCAGAGCGGACAAGGGAGCCACTGGCTTTCCATAGCTCTTCTGAGGGCACAAGATGGAGCTCCTGGGAGATCAACAACAATGTTTCGACTTGCAGAGTTGCCAGATCTATACGATGTTTCCTAGGGAGGTTAGACAGCCAGGCTTGTAGTGACGGGGTGGCATCTTTTGCCAGGTAGTCCCATGATGATGATTCGTTGGGGGTAGATGGTTCAGGATCAAATGAAACAGCAACAGTCAAGACAGCTGTCAGAAGAGGCACAAAGCTGGACGCAGAGTGGTGGTCAGGATCTTGCCAGAAAGAAGAGCATTGGCGGAGAAAGGAGGGGACGTGGATGACTCTAAGAGTCCTCTCGCAGTTGGTGGTGTAAACTTCCAACAGCTTATCACAAGTTGATTTGGGAGGAAGGGAACTAAGAAGCTGTTGCAGTGCAGGGGAACTGTCCATCTCAGAGAGCGACTCGGGTGTAGTGATGGGTGCCAGTGACTTTGTCTGAAGGAACTGGACTTCTTTGGCCAGCCCCACGAGCGCGGAATCTTCGAAGCAGTGGTTGATGAACGCCTTCGCGTCAGGGAACTTTGGACACGTCAGTTGGGATGAGGTCTAAAGATCAAACGCAACAAAAGGACTTGCCTGATTCAGAAGCGTGACGCGATTGTTTTGCCCGTGATAACGTGCTCGCGACCCCTTGACGACTAACGTCCCGAGAGAGGGTGAGGTGGTGAGTGTAGAATCTGATCGAGGCCTGCCCGAATGAGGCAAACATATGAGAAGAGGAAGGTCGGAGAGAATGATGTGGTTGCAACCTACCATGAACTCTGAACAAGAGCATCTCTCATCGGGTCCAAATTGCCAGCATGCGGTCGAACCGCGAGGAGTTCCTCCAGCTTGACCACACGCTGCTGAAGATCCTCGATAATGCCGGTCCCCGACCGCGATTGGGTTTGTTGATCATCACCTTCTCTCTCTGTGGAAAGCTGAACTCGCTTAACCTTGGGAAGGGACTCGCTAGACTGAAGAAGCTGGTTGTAAGTGCACTCGGCACGGCAGCCCGCTTTACTGCAGTTCTGACATGGCGCCGCGCGGTCGCATTTCAATTTCTTCTCTCTGCATCGGAGACAGGACACTACCGGGCGTGGCCGCTTGCGCGAAGAAGAGATCTCCATCATAGATTGAATTCATGTGCTGTCGAAGTATGATTTCGAAAAGAATTGGCGCGGACAGCGAGCGCTGGAGCCGGAGGATTGTTGTTGATTGGTGAAGTCTACCACGCTACTCCGCGACTAAAGAGATCACCAGCACTTGGCTAAACGGCCCCCAACTTCCATTTGGTTATTTCCCACTCCATTGCCATTCTTCTTCTCGACAGACCTTGACAATAAATTACCGTCTTATTCACGAGGGGTCCAACCAATTTTGAGCCCTTTTCTTTCGGTCGGCGTGCTCACCTACCAGGCTAGGCAGCTTTCAAGATTTACGAGCAAGGAGATTAGAAAGACGTAGCAGTATAGTCAAAACAATATCGAATGAAGCTAATTTAAACGAGAGTATGCTTCCAACAGGGCAGCTCTACGTTGAATAGTGCCAGATAATCGGCTTAAGAGCAGTTTTCATGTGATGTTCATGTTGTATGACATCCAGAAACATATGATCAAATCACATCGGGCAGGACTGGATCTAGTTACTTGGACTTGGCTTTAGTAATCATCGCCACGACTGATGATCTCCTTGCCCGATTCGCGTAGCAGGAACGTCTATCGATGGTTAGATATGAGCTACCCAGGAACAGGAAATGGACATACATGTTCAAACTGCGCCGAGTACGATCCTTCAATGTCCATCAAAGGCGGGTACATTTCAACCACGCCTTGCGAGACAAGGTTGTTCATCTATTGAAATCGTCAGCAACTGACTCAAGAAAGACGCCCAAAGTATACTTACTCCTGCCAGATAACGCTCAACGCCGAGCCTCTCGAGATATCGACGGCAGAACACGAGAGTGCCGAAATTCTCGTTGATCTTCTGGTAGAGAGATCGAGCCGAGGCAAGGTGCGAAGTAACTCTCTTCGGCGCGAATGGGTCTTTTCCATATCCATAGACACCAGGCTAGATAACCAATGAACGCATTAGTATCACTTTTTCTCCAATGTTCGGATGCAGCAGTACTTACACCGTCGATGGTTGAGCCTCTGCCCGTGGAGCCAAATGTCTCACAAGCAAAGATTTCTCCTTCTTCCATCTTGGTCTGGTCTTTGGTCTTAACGAAGGGGATAGACTTTCCACCATGGATCTGATATTGCTTGATGTTGTGGCCCGAGAGGTTTCGCACGGCCTTCACGGGGTATGTCTTTCCGTTGATCTCCACCTCGTAGCTCTCCATCACCTCCTGGATGGCAGCGCTGACATCGCTGATTCGGACGTCGATTCCAGCATTCTGTATACCGTCAATACTGTTAAATACAGGGAGGAGAGTTTATGTTGATTTACCTTGATGCCAGTATTTGTCGACTCCTTGACGGCCGCAAGCAAATTGTCATAGGTGGGATCGAATGACATGGTGAACGCGCTGTCGACAATCCAGCCATTGATATGAACGCCAAAGTCAACCTTCATGACGTCGCTTGGTTGGAGGACTATCTCCTTCTGGCCCGGATTGGGAGTGTAGTGCGCAACGCAGTTGTTCAGCGCCAGTCCGGTGGGGAATCCCAGGCCAGAGACAAGACCTGCGCCGGGCGCAAGTCCATCGTTGTCAAGTAAAGCCCTCACGCCGTCATCGATGCCCTCGGCAATCTCCGTGAGGGTCTTTCCAGGGCGAGCAGTCTCCCGAGTCCACTGTCGAACCTGGCGGTGCACTTCAGCGGCCTTCCGATAGTCATTCAAGAAGCTGTCGTCTTCAAGGTGAGTGCGACCGTTGTATCGAAGTTCCTCCGAAGTGGTGCGGGCCGTGTTCTCCACGGGTGCATAATTCTGGATCTCACCAGCCGGGTACTGGCCGGAAGGGAAGAGATCACCCAGGGGAACTCGTGGAGGGGATGACTGCTTCAACAACGAAGTCTGCTTCTTCTTCGACTTCTTTCGCTTTTTGTTCTTCCTTTTGGAAATAGTTTCCGATGCAGGCTGGTCAATCAGCGATACGGTAGTAACGCCGGCTTCGTGCTCATCATCTCCGTCGTCATCGTCGCCCCCATCTCCAAGGCTACCGTCACCGTCGCGGGACAGATGCGCTCCGCGCGGCTCTCCGCCAGTGGTATTTGTTTTGATTGAGCTCGACGACTCACCTGTTGAGGGTAAGCATTGATCAAAAAGCGGGGACTAGCCATGCCTGGCCAGGAACTACGTACCACCACCATTGTGGCCTTCGTTTTCGAGTGTTTTGGAGCCCATCTCGACATGAAGGACTAGATCTCGTGATAGGTGTCGGTTGATGAGGGGAAGTCACAGTTTCGCCGGACAAAATCTTCGTTGGTTGGGGTGTCGCGTGCACCGTCAAAGGCGGTGTACTTTTCACGAGGCTGCAGCCTCGCCAAATGAAGCCAAATTGAGATCCGCCAATTATCGTCGACTAGGCGGAACGTAAGGTACCACCATTGTCTGCTACATCTCTCGTTTGAAACCCTGTATGCTGCGACTTGGGTGCGAGTACACGCTCTGAAACGCTAGAGTCTGGTATAGTGTTGATTTCTACCACAAGATTCGAGCTAGACATATTCTACATTCTGGCCTCTTTCGAGGGTTTCTTATAGTACTGTGTCATATCGTGCCGCAGGACCTCCAGTCCCTAATCTGTATATTAGCTTCCATTTCGAGAGAAACGCACTCGGCAAGTCGATTGAAACTCACCAGCGCCAGCTCCTTTGCCAGCCTTGGATCCGATTCCGCCTTGACGAGGATATTGAAGAACTCGTCATTCTCACGGGCGTTGTCCGGGTCTTGATCGTGCAGTCGTCGGAAGTTCTCACGGGACATGGGGTCGATAGTCTCGGTCCAAATGCGCTTGCGAACGTCGCTATAAATGTCCAAAATACTTTCATCTGCTAAGCCTTTGTGGATACCGATCAATGAATCGAAGAGACAGCCCACGTCGGCGATACCGCCCGTCAGACCAAGCCCTCCACTGAATTCGGGTTAGTCGTTTTGCCCAGAGGTAGGCGCATCTTTGAACTCACAATGGGTTGCACAGGTGAGCTGCATCCGCCGCCAAGATGATTCTCCCGACACGGAAGCTGGGGGCACACCGCTGTTGGAGTTTATACGGGCTTATGTTGGTGATGGTATAGTCTCCAGGCTTGGGATTTCCAGGTAGAATCTCCTCATAGCGTTGTGGCTGACGTGCGACATATTCTTCCCTCGTGAGGCCAGGAACATCGCCGTAGGATACTCGATATAGTCCGTCCGTGGTGATGCGCGCTGCCATGTACCAGTTCTTGGGGTGGACAATGAAGTTGCTATCCCAGTAGCCGTATTTGGTGAAGTCGTAGTATACCTGAGGATGATGATTATCAGCCTTACTCTTCGTATCTATGGGAGTGGTTTTTACCAACATTCGTCGCAATAATCTGTGCGTTCAGAGTCTCCCCGGGATATTCAGGCCCGAAAAGCTCACGCCGCACAGTGCTACTAGCACCATCACAGCCAATAACATAGTCTGCTTCAGACCGTGCGGTGCCCGTGGGGGTCTCAACGTCGACCCAAGCCTTCCCTTGGTCCTGACCAATACGCACAACTCGGTGTGACCACTTAACCGTTGCTGTAGGCTGTCTCTGTATATGCTCGTACAAAATCTTTCCCAGTCGGTCAAGTGGAAGCACGACCATGCTGTACGGGTAATCTGCAGGGAGCACATCATGTTTCATGCCGGCAATGAAAGTGGTATCCATTTTCCTCCATGCAAAACTCTTGCATCGAATACCCACAGCTTTCACATCGTCTAGAACTCCAGCTCGTGCTAGTTCGTAGGTAGCAGGGGTTGCATAATGAGCTGCACGAGGTTGATCGTCAAGATCCGCACCAGCATCGAGAAGTTCAACTTCGATGCCCTGTTTGGCGAGCAGAATCCCGAGGATCAGACCCGAAGGTCCAGCACCTACTATGATCACCTAGAATCCAGATAGGTCAGTCAAAATTCGGGAATCACAGGACAAGGAGGAGTACCTTTCGGATGGGCATCGTTAGAGAGATAAATTGGCGTTCCATGCAGCAATGTGCCAATGGTTCATTTATGAATTTGTCGAGAGGTGTGGTTTGGAGCCTCTGATGTGCGACTGCAGGCAGCCTAAGCAGTGAATCGTGAAGCCCCTCACAACGCCCCAACACCTCCATCCCTCCACGCTGTGGGGCTCACCCACTTTTTCGATTCCAAAGGCACACAGACCATCTCTGTCGAACTATAATGACGGTGTTGCGGGGAAGTTAGGTACAGCTAAGGGTCGTCCCCCGCGGGGGGCATTCGGGGGAATCCCGGGGATGCAGCGAATCGCAATACTCTCCGATGTGGATTGTTGCCATATAATTATTTCCGTCTCTTCGCTGAGGGAAAATGCGTCCTTGGACTTTTGAGCTATAATGTAATTCTGGTTGGTGACCAATTTTCTCCTTTACCAAAGGAACCTTTGCTGGAAGTTGAGAGAGGGTGCACCATTCCAGGAGCTACTTGTCGACACAGTAATAGCTCTATCTTCCCCAATCAGTGGATAAGGTCCGCTGTCAGCGGTGTCAACCTCATAGTCTTCACTTGCATTGGCATTTGGGTCTTTCCGTGCTTGTTGAGGACCGGTGGGCCGCTCTTGGGCCCGTTGAAGAGCTGTTGGAGATGTAGACCATGACTGAGGCCCTTGAAGAGAAATGGACGCGCCTGAAAACTCGACACGCTCTTCAAAGGGCCGGTTGCTTGACCCTTGAAGTGCCGAATTCTTTCGGTTTTGGCCACTGGGACAGCTCGAGCGACTGGGAGAATGTATGTTACCCACTACTTGGTGTGGGGGACTAGTCGCACCCTGGTCAACACAGAATTTCTGCCATTTCCGAATATTGTCGGCCTTATCAAGAGGGAATTGTGCCCAGTCTTCAATTCCTTTTCTCTCAATCCTTGAGAGGGGCACATATCCACATGGGTCTGTTCGTTCGAATGGAGAGTCCTTAGGGAAGGCCTCCAGCAGTTGCGCGTTCGAGACTTGCGAAAGCAGTCTCAATAGCGCATTCTCTGTGACTTGTAACCTGTGTTCCACGGCTTCAATATGCCCTTTGGGGGGACCGCTTCAAAGAGCATTTAGCTGAGGAACGCGGTATTCGCAACATTGATCTCAACGTACCGTCTCAGTTGTTCTGGCCAATTGCAAGGACGATTATACTCCAAGCACTGTTGACAGACTGGCCTTTTTGTTGGAAGAAAACAGATAATCGTTAGATGGGTCCGATCAAATTGCAGATAGAATGCCTGTCAAGCTTACTTTCCCCCACTACACTGTAGTAGGATCAGAATATGTGAGCCATATCCTCAACTTGTTTCCCTTGGAACAACCTACCTTCTGCTTCCTGGAGCGACACGTATTGCATGCGGTCGTAATTCTAGAAGGCTTACCCTTCGTAGTCTTGACCATTTTGTATATTGGGACACCAAGTGAAAGTGGAAGTTGAGGAGTGTGTGATTGAGAAACGGGTGAATTGATCGCCTGAAAGTTCTGCCGATGGTGGGGTGAACCTTCAGGCTATGCCGAGTCACGCCGAGGGCCGTAGAAGATATTATACTCTTTAAAGCATATGTCAAGATCAATCAGTAGCTCGTCAAATTGAAGTTATATTCTATGAAAACATTTCGTTCAGTTGTTACGATCAAAATCCGATCATGGCTCCATCCTATAACATTGCCTCTATTCCCGGCGACGGTATCGGCCCCGAGGTTGTGAGCGCTGCTATTCAAGTGGTCGAAAAGCTAGCCAAAACGTTGGGAACTTTTCAGATCGAGTTCACGCATATTCCGTGGGGAACCGCCTACTATAAGGAAACCGGCCGATATGTCTCCGAAGATGCACTAGACACTTTACGCAAGTTTGATGCAGGCATCTTTGGCGCCGTTGGTGCTCCTGGTATGCTATACCATCATACGTCACCTGTGCTAGATGTTTGCTAACCTGAAGCTAGACGTTCCCGATCATATCTCCCTATGGGGTCTTCTCCTTGCTATCAGAGGTCCTCTTCAGCTGTACGCCAATGTCCGACCGGTGCGAACTTTCCCGGGAACCAAATGTCCACTGAACACCGCAACGGAAGGAATCGACTGGATCCTGGTCCGTGAGAACTCCGAAGGCGAGTATGCAGGCCAAGGTGGTCGCTCGCACGTTGGACAGCAATGGGAAACTGCTACCGAGGTGGCCATTTTCACTCGTGTCGGCATTGAACGAATCATGCGATTCGCCTTTGAGACGGCCCGGTCACGGCCTCGAAAGCTGCTGACAGTGGTAACGAAGAGTAATTCCATGCGCAATGGAATGGTCCTTTGGGATGAGATTGCAACTTCCGTTGCGAAGGATTACCCCGATGTAACATGGGACAAGATGTTGGTGGACGCAATGACTGTGAGGATGGTGGCCAAGCCTCAGTCCCTTGATACGATAGTCGGCACCAACTTGCATATGGATATCCTTTCTGATCTTGCTGCTGCTCTGGCTGGGTCAATCGGTGTGGCGCCATCAAGTAACTTGGACCCTACGCGCAAGAATCCATCGCTTTTTGAGCCTGTTCATGGTAGTGCTTTCGATATCACTGGGAAGGGAATCGCCAATCCGGTTGCCACGTTCTGGTCTGCCGCAGAGATGCTCAAATGGATTGGTGAGAAGAATGCAGCTGAGAAGCTGATGACATGTGTGGAAAATGTCTGTGCCATGGGTGTTTTGACGCCAGATCTCGGTGGCACATCCAACACCCAGGGAGTTGTTGACGCAGTATGTGCGGAGATTGAGAAAATCAAAATCTGATCATATGGAACAATGGCTTTTAGCCGTCAATGAAAGTCTCGGAAATCACTAGAGTGTAATGAATTGTTTATGAAAATGATGCTAGCGAAGTAGAAATCCTCAAACTTTTGAACTTTTTGCCATTCTCTGATGCATTGACAAATAAGAATACATGCCGTTGTGATCCAGGTCTTTCGTTACAGGTTAGCCAAACATACCGGGTTCTGATATTGAGGGGCTGCCATTTGGAAAAGATGTTGTTTTTCACAAGGCTCATGCTCGGGATATCACTCTGCATCTGATTCACACCCCGAAAATCTCCTTAGAGACATGTGCAGTGAGAGGCGCTGAGTGAATGGAATGGTAATTGAAGGAGGATAGAACTGTGCAGTTCTAAATTTTCCATTTGTTCGGATTAGTCCTTTCATTCTATCTCGGTCGTGTCAATCAAGGAGGGCTTTCCATCATATAAGGGTAAGAGTTCAATATTCAACGTTCCTCTAAAAACCGGGATACTGCTGCCCAATCATATCAAGTAGCGAGTCGAAACCTGACCCTTCAAATAGATCTCCCATGTTCAGATCAAAGCTGGAACCCCCAGCCAGGTAATTGGTATCCATGTTCTGAACTTCCAGGATTTGTGAAGATGGTCTCTCGGTAGCTGATCCCTCTCCATCAAAGTTTGGCTGATGCTCAGAGGTGACTGGAGCCGAAGAAATCCTAGGTCCTCCATGGTCATAAATAAAGGTTTGGAGACTTTCACGATCCGTAGGATAGACCTGCTCAGCTCGATATCTGCATTGGCCACCGCTTCTCATAGTTGTTTTTTCGTGCGGGTTCGACGGCCCTAGCGAGTCCTTTGCTCTTTCCATCCTTCCAAGGGCATAAGAATGTGAGTTCACTGCTAAATTTGGGTCGTCTTCCATTTGTTTGATCTTTGTGGACAGCAATGACAAAGTCATTTGACAGTGCCTTGCAGTTTCCCACTGAGAAGACATGCAGTGCAAAAAGGTCAAACACTCTTCGATTTCCCTGTGAGATCTGAGCATATGCAGACGTTTAATCAAGGTAGGATGATGAGAAAGAATCTTACTGTAGTCCCTTCCCCAACGTGTATTGCTTAAGTTGGCAGGCAAATGCCAAGACGAGCCCGGACATCCAAGCAGCCGACAAAAATCCAGGCCAGAAAAAGGCCTGCTGATTGTCCACCTGAAGCCGTAACGCAGCAAGAATGGCGCGGGCTGCCCCAATGCACGTCTGCAGTCCAGAAGAAAATTCCGCAGATGAAGGATCCAGTGAGAGTGAAGGTCGATTGATGATCAAAATCAGGTGCTGATATAGGATTGTGAAGAAAGGTCCAAAGTCAAAGGGGATGTCGGCAAGCGGCAAGTTTGGATCTTCACCAGCACCGGGTGATTTCCCTTGAAGCTCAACAGGGAGGCTGTTCCACCACTTGTGGACATCCGTCACTAAAAAAAGCTTTGCACTCCTGGAGACGGAACGAACGAGAATAGATTTGTGAAATAATTCCAGAGCTCGCCCGGTCAGTGTACCAGAGTCCACAAAACTGGCCAGAACACCCTCCTTTTTGCGGTGTTCTTCCATGTGGCTGTCCCGACGTGCGGCACTCACAGAACGTGGGCGGTCCGAAGTGACACTCTCCTCCGTGGGATTTTCAGCTCCATCGTATGCGTGCCCAGTCTCTTCTTTTGATTTCGATGTAGACAATATCGGATTAGAAATTCTGACTCGTGGCGGAGAATGCAATTCCGGTGCAGCTGGCAAACAGACGTCAATGTCTGAGTCCTGGATACCTAGCGGCAAGCCAAGTGCCTGGCTCAGATATCTATCGATGGCATATGCGCACCAGAAAATTCTCTTCCGCAATTGCCGATCATGGGACGAGAGCTGGGCATAGCGAAATGGGCAACGATGCAATCCAGCGTGAAGCATCGACCGCAAAATACACCCGCCGAATGTTGACGCCGGCCTGAGTGACATTTTAGCAACAAGAAAGACCTGGGCAGCAAGAAGTGCTTGTAGGGAGGCGATATCATGTCGTATTGAAAGGCTGCCCAGCAAAGCAGTCATGCTGCCAGGGGACTGAATTTGGCATCCTGGCGGGACCTCCACATCAGGACAAAGTAGGGCTCCAAGATGGAAGCTACATTGAAAGATCACCGTCCAACAGGCGCTTCGGTGATCCGGGGTTATTTTCTCGCTTGTCCCTGTTTCCGGTGCGTTCGAATATAACGTCTCCATGGCCTGCAGGAAGGTGGGCCCATGCAGGAACGGAAAGAGGGGATGCCAGACTTTGAAGTAGGCCATCATCAGCTCTTTTGCCAGTTCCAGTGGCGGCGCATTGCCCAGGTAGGCTGCTACTTGTGGGTCATACTTCCACTGCAAAGGTGCCTCCCTCGCTCCAGGTGAGGAACCGGAATCTGCGCTAGAGGCTGCCAGGCGCTGTCTCTTCTTATGTCGGGGCAAGTCATCTGCACCAACTAACGTATCCTCCGCTGTCGGAAATTCTGTCTCTGGGAACCCTGATCCATTGAGACCAGTTGAAAAGGCCCTTTTCACCGTGTTGACGAAGTAGACGCCGCTAGAACTACCGACAAATTGACTGTCCTCGTTGGAATGTGCTGTCAGGGAGCCAATCTCTGACGTGCCAGGTGTATACTCTGGGCGCTCCATTCTGGAAATATCATGACGTTTGTGAGGATTCACCGTCCAGCAGTTGCCGTCTAGCCCAGCACTTCGTCGATAAATGTCACTGCATAACCTTAAGTCCACGGCCGTCCTAAAGTGAGGCAAAAACAGCGTGCAAAGGTGATGATGAGTCATCAAATTCAGTCCGACCCGAGCAGCTTCCTAAAGAGAGAGTACTCAATATCGGTGGGTGCTCAAGCTTTGACAGACTACATTCTTAGAAGGAATATCTGATGGTTATTCAAGGGCAATGACAGATCATTGAAAAGCAAAAAGGAGTATTAGCCATCCCATGTTTTGGACAAGTGCCACACTCTCGAACCCAAGCGCAGCAAACAGGGACGGGAATAAAAGCCATTCCGTGAGGAAAAAGTAGAACTCTATGTTACACTCGTAGGGGGATAAAGGTTGGAAATACGAGGCGGAATTGAAATGGATCAACAAGTCGAAGGATAGGGAAAACGTCACAACTCCCTCTCATAAGCCATAAAAGGAACGGCAGAAAAAGAGAACAAACTAAGGGAAATAAAGAAGTCTGCATCCAGTGCCCAGAATTGAAGAAGATCAACTTTTACCGACCCCCAAATACAAGCGCTGTTCCCCTTTGAACCACTCAGGCGGAGTGGAAAGAGAAACGAGAATGGTTCACGGGAGGAGTGTACGATGAAGGTGAGAGGCAGAGAGGGAGAGAAAAAAAAATTAAAATCGAATGTCGTGCCGCGTTCACTAAACACCAGTAGGTGCCACTGCCTAAGACAGAACTTTTCAAACCGAGGGATATCAGGATTCGGAGGGGAAGAGCAAGAGATAGGGGTGGTCAATGGTAGAAAGGAAAAAAGAAAAGAAAAGAAAATGTCATCAAAACGTGCGTCCAAAGTTTTCCGAGCGGTGCAGAGAGCGAAATCAAGCCTGGGCCTTCAGTCACGGTTGCCTGCGAGGCATTCAGCAGTCGAGACACGTCGCTTAAGACTTGTTCTCCTCCGAGGAAGCCTCCTTGGCGGCCTCCTGGGGCTTGGCCTCGGTGGCCGCCTCACCATCGGTACCCTTGTTCTTCATGTACTCATCATAGACGTTGAGAGCCTCATCGACCTTAGCGCGGAGGGCCTCTTCGTCATCCAGACTATAAGACAGGAATTAGTATGCGTTTTCCCAATCATCAGGGGGGCAAAGGGGAAATATTAAACTTACAGTCCAAGGAGCTCAGTGTTGTCCATCTCCAAAAGCATACCGGTGATCTTGCCGGCAAGCTCGGGCTGCTGAGCGTGGATCTTAGGGTAAAGAGCCTCACCGAGCATCTGCTTCTGCTGGGCAGGAGGGGCGGAGGTAAGAGCCTGGGAGCTCAGGCCGGTAGCGGGAGCGGCCTCGTCACGGCCGGGCTGACCGGCGGGAGCGGGCTGGCCACGGCCCTGACCACGACCCATCTGGCCGGGGGGGCCACGGAAACCACCGCGCATGCCCTGGCCCATAGGTCCAGGAACCTGGCCACGACCACCAGCACCACGGCCGAACTGAGGCTGCATGGGGTAGCCCATACCGTTGGGCATACCGCCGGGGACCTGCATACCCATGGGCATGCCCTGGAAGTTACCGGGAATCTGCTGGTTGGGGCCCATGCCACGGCCGCCCTGCTGACCGGGGAAGGGACCGGGGTACTGGCCGGGGCGTCCACCAGGGATACCAGCCATGACCATACCGGGCTGGGGAGGGAAAGGCATAGCACCACGCTGGGCACCGGGAATGAAGCCCTGCTGGCCGGGAGGGTAGAAGACGGCGGGCTGCATGTAAGGCTGGGGCATACCGGCAGCGGCAGCGGCCTGCTGTTGGCGAATAGTGTTGCGGGCCTGGATGCTAGCCTCAAGCTGACTGCGGCGGACATCCTTGCGCTGGGCGAGGGCGACGTAGAGGGGCTTGCCATTGACCATGCGCTGGTTCATCTCGGTGACAGCCTTGGAGGCCTCGTCGGGGCTAGAGAAGCAGACGAAACCGAAGCCCTTGCTCTTACCAAGGAGCTTCTTCTCACCCTTCTCAGTCTCCTGCTCCTCGTCGCCCTCCTTCTCCTCACCCTCCTTCTTCTCCTCCTGCTGCTCCTCCTTCTTCTCTTCCTCCTTCTCCTCGGTCTTGTCGCCCTCCTCCTTGGCCTCACCCTCCTGCTCGGAATCGGGGGAGGGGGTGCGGTCGGAGACGGAGTCGCGCATAACCTTGGCGGAGGTAATGGTGCCGTAAGAGCTGAAGAGCTCACGCAACTTCTCGTCATCGACGTCATCAGTCAGGTTCTTAACATACAGGTTGACGCCCTGGTACTTGGAGGCCTTCTCCATACGAGCAGCCTCGTACTGCTTGCGGAGTTCCTCCTCACGCTCGTGCTTCTTCTGGGCACGGCCAACGTAGAGCTTCTGAGACTTGATGTCCTTCTCGTTCATCTCCTCAACGGCGGCCTGCGCGCTCTCGTGAGTGGAGTAGTTGACGAAACCGAAGCCACGGCTCTTGCCCTCCTGGTCGTGGCTGAGGGTGGCAGAAGTGATCTCACCGAACTTCTCGAACATGACGCGGAACTCCTCGTCGGAGATCTCCTGGTCAAGGTTCTTGACGTAGATGTTGGTGTAGTTAGCCTTCATCTCCTCGAACTTGCTCTGGCGGTCCTTCTTAGAGATGTGGTGACCGACGAAGACCTTCTTGTCGTTCAGCAGCATGCCATTAACATGCTTGATGGCGTTGTTAGCGGCCTCGGCAGTCTCGTAGTGGACGAAGCCGTATCCCTTGGAGTTACCGAACTCGTCCTGAGCGACCTTGCAGCTCAGAATGTTGCCGAAGGCAGCAAAGGTGTCGTGCAGAGCCTTGTTGTCAATGGCGTTGTCCAGGTTCTTGATGAAAACGTTGCCCTGGCCAGTCTTGCGCAGAGCGGGGTCACGCTGGGACCACATGATACGGCAGGGCTTGCCCTTGATGAGGGTGTAGTTCAGATCCTCCAGAGCGCGCTCGCCGTCAGCAGTGTTGTTGTAGTTGACGTAGGCATAGCCGAGGGAGCGGCGGGTGACGGCATCACGGCAGACACGGATGGAAGCAACCTGACCGATGGAGGAGAAGAGCTCGTAGAGCATGGCCTCGGTGACGGAGGGGTCAAGCTCGCCGACATAGAGGGAAGCCGAGTGGGGCTGGTTGTTAGCAGCAGCCGCAGCGCCCTCGGCGGTGGCCTCGGGAGCAGCAGCGACTTCCTGGGCGCCGGTGGCCTCGGGGGTGCCGTTGACGGGAGCCTCAGCGGCGGGGGGGTTGGTAGCAGTCTCGGCAGACATTTTGATTTTTTCCTTTTCTGTGTTTACTATAAGAGATTAGCAACGACTCGCCAAGAATAAATTTGTAGATAAGTGAGAGGAAAATTCCACGACGTTACACCGCAGACCATGCAGTCTCTTTGACCAGTTCATGGATTCATGGATGATGGGTGAAGTCAAGGGCAGCGGTGTCATAGGGAACGAAGCTGTTGCCATACACAAGGTAGCGCTTCCGCGGAACAAAGAGATATCACACCAAGCCGAGTGGGGTGGTGGGCAGGCTCAATGACGAGGTGCAACAAGAGAGACAAGCCACTGACAGCCAAGCGAGGACAAGTGCGAGGGTGGGTGAAGTGGATGGTGTGAGGTGAAGAGGTGAAGAAAGAGATTGGAGGGGGAGAACGTTGACCAACCTTAGTGGAAGGAGAGAGGCGGATGATAGAAAATCTTCCACACACCGCACAATGGGGGGGGGGGGAGAGATAAGATAAATGGGTGGGTTTTTTTCGAGGGGGTTTTTCTGGTTTTTTTTGGGGATTTTTTTTAGGCTTTCGAGAAGAGGTCGAAAGGAAAAAAGGATTCCTCAAGAAAGAGAGAGGGGTTGTAGGAGATCGAGGGATGGAGAGAGGAAAAAAAAGTCGACCCGCGAAGAAGGCGTTCTGGAAAACTCAGAGCAAAGAGAGAAGGAACACGCTAGTCCCAATAAGGTAGGCGGTACTGGGTCCGTTGAAGGGCTTGCCGCCAGGCAGTCACGGGACGAAGTATGAAAAGGCTGACGGTGGAATGCAGAGCGAAAAGAACCAAACGGTGGCGAATGAAGGATAGAGAAAAAAATGGAAATTGCTTGAGGCAGAAATAAGAGGAAACTACCTTTGATGTTACCCTGGAGAGACTAGGGACATGAACGGAAGCTGCCGGGGGCGATATTTAGGCTTCCAACCATCCAGGGCTGCCCACGAGGCAGACGTAATTAGACCGAGTACCCGAACTGCGAGGAGCTACTTCTCACACTACAGCTTCTAACAGCCAAGAATACCAGCTAACAGCCAATACCAGTGAATAGCCTGTCATTTGCTCAACGCCAATGCTATGCATACACGAATCACAGGCAGTTGAGAACTGTGTACATACAAAAAGTTAAAGAAAAGAGACAAAGGAACACTAAAGTCGATGTTGGACATGGAGGAGCGTGAATGAATACCATCAACTTAAATCAAATCCAGCCCCGGAGCTCACTGCATACAGTAGCTTGCTTCGCAGCGTCTCAGCATCGGCATAGCGGGGCAGCTTCAGTAGGTTGACACAAGTGCTCGTACTGGGAAGTCGTTCCTGGTCCTCGCTGGAATCTCGGATACTGAAACGCGGATTGAGATGGCTAAATCCAAGCAGTGGAGCACGTGGTGTTGAGGTTACAAATCGGATCACCTTCTGTCGCTCTTCGTTGTTCAGCTCATGCATCACTTTCCAGAACAGCTGCACCGTGGGGTGTTCTTGGTTGTCGTCGCCAATGGTATACACGCCACCATACTGGGTGTTGCGCCGAAGATCCTCGACATCGATATCGCCGGTCTCGCCACTAACCAGTGTCTGCAATTCAGACTGGTTGAACATGGATAGCCAAGCGGGCTGAATGATTTGACCAAGGCCCTGCAGGAAAGCGTTGGTCTGCATGGAGGGCTGCACCTGCAATCGATACCGCGCAATATACGAGATGTAGACGAGTCGATTCTGATTCGTCACCGGCGTCTTGGAGCCATTGTATCGCAACTCTCTCGTCATAGTACGGTTTGACGATCCGGGCATAGGGATAGTATCAGTGACGGTGAAGTCCAGAGAGAAGTCCTCCACGTCGCCGGGGTAATTCTTCAGTTGAAGCTAGATGAAAATCTTTAGTTAGATTATAGACCACGAAAAAAAAAGATACGTGACTCACCAGGCCTTGGTACAATCCCTGATCGAGGTCCTTCAGGTCGTTTAGGTTGGCTCGGTAAGAAGATTCCTTCATAGCCGATCCAGTGCCACCAGTCAAGGCCCACTTCAGCAGGAAAAATGGTGCAAAGTTGACATCAACCAAAATTCCCTCGTAAAGACATTTGCCAATGACCCGGCCGAGGAATTCATATCGACGCAGAAGATCACGAATTGACTCGGACCATTTAAGACTAGACTCGCTTACTCCGGTCTCGCGCAGGTGTTCCTTGCATTGCTCGACCGCTGTGGGATTTGGGTAGAGCAGATGCTGATCGTTCTCCACAAACATACTGAAGTCCTCGTCGGTCTTGAATGCTTCGCTGGTAATGCTAGTGAGAAATTCCTTGGTCACTCCACCGCCATCGATGCCAGCCTCCATGGCGCCAAATTGATCAATGAAACTGATCTGTATAGGTTCCTTGAGACCATCCCCTAGAGGGTAGAATTGAGCAAGGGCATCATCAAAAACATTTTCACGTCGAATTTCGGCCTGGTGGCGAGCCAGCACATCTTGGACAGCAGGATGGCCATTGATCATCTGACCCATGGTGGCTTGAGCAACAGATGCACGCCAGGAGTCAGGATCAACGAATCCATGTCGTCGGCGGTGCTGATCATGGAAGATGAATTCGCGGAAGATCTGGACCCGAGTGGCGAAAGGTATGAAAAATGGCATGTTTCGAAGAATCTCCAGTCTAGGTGCAATGGCCGCCAGTACCCTTCCTCGAGCAACTCGCTGTTGATGACGCCGCAAGGACTCAAGGCGGATGGTCTGCTGAGCGTGACCGGTCCCTGCCAGGCCAGATGGCGTGTTCGCATCGTCATCCGCCAAGTCAGGCTCACCTGAGTCATCGGCTCGGGCTTGGAACTCATATCGTCTCTCCTCCTCTCCGACAACGGCAGAAATGAAACCTTCCATGTCGAAGCGGCTAGTCATGAGCCAGTGATCCTTGGGTAGGAACTTTCGACGTGAACTGAACGCTGGATTAGCTTCCGATACGAATTATTTATCTCGTTTGTGGGTCTTACTCTCGTTCATGCAACATTCGCAAGAGGCCCGTTACAAGGCCCTTGAAGTAATCCAGTGGGATTCCGGTCACCCCAGGAAGATTGTTGCTTTGTGATTTGGATTCGATGTCCTTCGTGCTTGGTACCAGCTCTGAGAAACCGGATTTCTGTGTAGTACTGTTGAAATAACTGCTCAAACTCACCCCCGTCGGTCCAATTTCTGGCTCATTCAGGTCAACCGCATTCCAATAAAGTGTGAATGCAAGGTTCTTCAAGAACACTGTCATATCTTTGATGTCACGCAGTGGTAATGCGCTTTCCCTGGTCCACGAAAGCTTGGCATTGTCCGAGGACGTAAAGGACGACGTGCTAGAGAAGAACTCATCATCATCCATGACCTTCAGAACAAAAGTATACAGCTCAAGGAATAGGAGTATTGTTGTCCACTCTTGATCGCGCTGATCTTGGGGTATTTCCGTGGCTTCCTTCGATTGCTGGGGCGACAGTAATAGTGGAAGCACCTTCATGGAGTCACTGCTGATGACCTGGAAGATGCGACTGGACCTAGTCGCCTGCCAGAAGTATTTGATAGCCGGTATCTTCGCGTCTGGTTGGCCAGAAATCTGTTCGCCAGATGGGGCCGAGCCTAGATACAACCACATGCGGATATCATCGCCTCGTCGGGGGAAGATCCGCAGTAGATTCAGGGCGTATTTTGCAAGGACTCTGGCTTCTTTCGATGCCTCAGAGTCTTCGCTGGTCGACTCTGTCTGTGCCAGGGGGGATGATCGGATACGGGAAAGCAGACCAGTAACACTACTTTGGTTGATAAGGCTATTGATTTGATCCTTGATAAAGGGTTGCAAAGGCCGCACACCTCGAGGTGAATCCATCTCTGTCGAGTCCTCGACCTCAAAGCCCTGTACGAGGAAGGTAGCCGTTGAAGTCAAAAGATCAGAGACCACTATCACAAACTCCAGCTCCGGGGTATGTGAACTGTTTTGAGTGCCAGACGTGTGTTGTTGGAAGTATATCAAATATGAGAGCAACCAAGTGCGCGCCTGGATGTCTTCTAGGATCCCAGTGCCTTGAGTGGTAGATCCCAAGCGTGCTGAGATCGCCAGTGCCAGCATTCTGTAATTTATCTGTCCTGCGAGTCCATCCATCTTGCCCAGGTAGCTCTCGAGACTCGGAATTGTGAGATAAGAAACTGCGAAAGATTCGTACGCAGACATGGTCTCAGAGGTGATCGGTCGGAGAAGAGCAAGTACAGCTTCCTGGAGAAGCTCGGGATGAACATATGGTTGATCTGTTCCCCTGGTCTCTTCAGATCGGTGGAGACTCGACATATTAATGGTTAAATATGCCATGGTACCGTAGTACGTCTCTGCGAGTGTTGCCATCTGCTTTGGCATCAACCCTGTGAGGAACATCATTGCTCGTAAAAGTATCTCTATGGCGGCGGTAGGGATGGAAGTGTTTGCAGCCGAGTGCAGTACATTAAGAACTGATTTGGCAAGCCGTTTTAGAAGCTTGGTCCATTCGCCCTCTACTGCGATCGTGTGAAGCGTCAGAAATGTTTGCTCAAAGGCACCAACAAAGTACACCAGCCGAAGAAGGTCATCATGCCTTCGTGCTGAGACAAATTGAACAAGCAGGCGGAGTTGGGTGAGGCACTGGGCAGCGGTTGCATATGGCGGGGGAGGGTGTGAGGCGAAGAATGAAGCATCTGCAGAGCCTTCGATGGCCGCCATCAAGTCCGTGGCCCCGGACATATTCCTTTCATTGTTATCCCACTCCATCCTCCACATGCCATATGTAGCTTTCCTACTGCGATAGCCCCGCCACCCTCGCTGGACCACCCGGACGGCATTCTGTTTCTCACGATCTCGCTGTCTCTGAAGGCGTTCTTGTTGTGCGATCGCGACAGCACTTTGTGGGTTCGAAGCATGAGGGGTATTTCGGCCAGGTGAGCCTCCTGGGAAGGCAGCGAACGGATTATTGGCGCGGCCGCTGAGGTTGACCTGCCTCGGACGGCGAGAGCTTCCGGTGAATGACTGAAACATTGTGAGGAGGGCCCTCCACCCGAAGATGCAGTAGAGATACCGACGCAGATGATCTATGCGAAGAAGAGGCGCTGGAGAGGCAAGAAACACGAGAGATGCAAGCCCATAGCGCACCGACTGGGCAAATCGAAGCGAATGTGAAGAACTATGACATACGCCGGTCCGATACGGGCGAGCATGGGGACCTTATCGGGCTTTAACGCACGGGCCACGCACAACTTCGATAGGCGCTAGGATATTGCCACGCTCTGGCTACACGCGCGGCAAAACTCACTTGCTAGGATCGGAGTTTACAAGAGGTCTGGAAGTTATAGTCATTACAAAGGGTGATATGCCAGGCGGTCCAAGGATAGACAGGCTTATAGGAAATGAATTTGACCCTGGCATGGATCGCCATGACAATAAGATCGTGGTCTTTTTCCAAACTTCACGTTACGAGTCTAAGATCCGCAAGATCACAAATGACAAGGCATCTGTAAGTGATGGAAGGTGGGCTTTGCCCAATTTGAATCGAATATGCTATACATATAATACATGAAAGATTCGATCGGCCGGCGAGCGATGTGATGGTAGATCGGGGGGTATGTGGCCGTCGAGTGTGTAGGTGGAGGTGACATAGTTTGGTGTCCAACCGCTAGAAGAGCACCCATTAGAATTTTCAAGAGGATAAACGTAAATTACCATCATGATCTTACATTGCAATGGTAGAGGTGTATGCCTCGAGCAATATTGTCAATGGCTGGTTCAGGAATCGCTTTATTGTTTGGGGGTCTTCAACTCGTCCACGGCCTCCTGCTCGGCCGTTTCGCGGGCCAGAACCTCATCGGGGTTGCTTGAATACCACTGGTCCAGGAAGTCTTGTCCCTTCAGGCCATCGATCACTGTATACATTCGTCCGTTCCGTTCAATTCGCTTCTTGTAGGCGGAAGGTGTCGGGGTCATGCGTTTAGAGACAAAAGGAGTGAGCTATGGGTGGTCAGGAATGGCTTTGACATCATCCGCGCGACTGAGGCATTCAATGAGCCTACCTTGAATGTTTCCAGATCTTCAGGGACGACGTAAGTGCGGACTTTCTTCCAGTCGATCACGTAGTTGCCCTTGGGGTCGAAATAACCCATCGAGCCTGTGCGGTTACCCTTGTAGTAGCCGCCATTGACCTGCTTGGTGGTCAGGCGCAGGCGCGCCATCATTGGCTGTGACGGTTTAAACATTTTCGCGAGGTTCGACGTTTCAAAGGGAGGGAAAGCGACTGTTGCGAGGGTCCGTTGAGGTTGTGAGGACAAAAGTTCGGGGCGGTCGGGCCGCGCTAATCGCCGCGCCGAGAACTTTTTTTCTGGAAGCAAAAAAAAGTTGGTACACAAGTCGATCAATCTGCCAAACCAAACCCCTCCAACCACGCAGCGGCTTGGTCCATTTTTTACTATTTCTACGGACCCGTAGCTTCGGCTGGTCTTATTTGATTCAATTTTTATTCTATCACAGCCATGCCTCGCCAGCAAACGCAGTCGCGGGCTCCGAAAGAGCGCAGTGCCCGGAAGCCACCAGCGCAGAGGGGCCCGAAGGGCCGCGGGCTCGACGCTCTTTCTCGCGCAGAGGAACAGATTCCAACCAAGCTTGGTGTGCGGCGCAATCGTCTCGGTGACTACGACGACGGAACATGGCGGAAGAGGCCTACGAACGACGACGACGATGACGACGACGAAGACAATGAACCCCGCCCGAACTACAAGCGGCGCAGAACCGACGCTTCAGACGAAGGTGGCAGTGATAGTGAAGGCCATGAATGGAAGTTGGGGCAAGTCGACACTGATGATGATGAGTCTCTGGACAGCGACGAAGCTCTAGGATCAAGTGATGAGGAACGTTTCGAGGGTTTCACATTCCGCGGGAGCTCGTCGAACAAGTCCAAGCCCAAGCCGAAGAGCGAGACGAAGAAGCGGACGGAGATTAGCCTGTCCGAAGATGTTGATGACTCCGACAAGGAATTGTCCGACGAGGAGGAGGATGACGAGGATGATGAAGACGGCATTGATCTCCTTACCGCCTGGGACATGAACACAGCAGCTGAGGAGAAGGCCGCCCAAAAAGCTGCGGACAAGGCGAGGAGGGCTGCAGATGGTGAGGATAGCGACGAGGATTCGGGTTCAGAGGGCGACAGTGAGGATGATCCAAGCGACGACGATACCGACCTGTCTCTCTCGGACGACGATGCAGACGCTCAGAAAAATGGGCTGTCTAAGCTTCAGGACTTTGTCAAGTCTATGGAGGTCGACAGATCTAAAAAACCCAAACAACGGTCCCAAGAACAGAGCACGCCTACTGAATACGGGTTGACATCCTCGCGCAAGTTGACTGTCGCTGATCTACTGCCGTCCATCACGGATTCCCGTCTGAAGAGCTCTCTCAAGCATGTCGATGCGGCTCCTCAGACCACAAAGTCGGGGATCCCGGGCAAGCTGGATGCACCGTTGGCAAAGCGCCAGCAGGATAAGCTTGATCGTGCCGCCGCTTATGAGAAGAGCAAAGAAACTCTTGACCGATGGCTCGAGACGGTCAAGGCCAACCGCAAAGCCGAGCACCTCACCTTTCCCCTTCCCGATCCCGATGCGCAACAATTCCACCGTCTGGACGTGGCTAAGCCCAAGACCGATTTGGAAGCCACTATCCAGGAGATTCTGGTTGAGAGTGGATTGGCAGAGGCCAACGGCAAGTCTGCCGAAGACCAGGTCCAAGGCTTTGAAGAACTCAAGGCCCGCACGCTCCCTATTGAAGAAATTCAGGCTCGGCGAGCGGAGCTCAGAAAGCGACGTGACCTGCTCTTCCGAGAGGAGGTTCGTGCAAAGCGAATCAAGAAAATCAAGAGCAAGTCTTACCGTCGTGTCCACCGCAAGGAGCGCGAAAGGCTGGAGCAGCAGGAGCGCCAGGCTCTCCTCGAAGCTGGTGTCGATCTCGACGAGGCGGAGCGGGATGAGAATGAGCGAAAGAGGGCGGAGGCACGCATGGGTTCCAAGCACCGTGACAGCAAGTGGGCCAAGAGCAACAAGCAGACTGGTCGCACTGCGTGGGATGAGGAAGCCCGTAACAGTGCCGCTGATCAAGCCATGCGAGAGGAAGAGCTGCGCAAGCGCATTGAAGGAAAGCATGTGTCTCGTGGAGACGAAGATTACCTGGGATCCTCGAGCTCGGAGTCAGAGGACGAGGACCCATGGGCTTCGGATGCCGAGGACCGAGAGAAGCGCAAGTTGCAAGAGAAGCTCGCAGCTCTGGAAGGTGGCGCTTCCGACGATGAGATCAAGGGCCCTCATTCTACTCTTTTCTCCATGAAGTTCATGAGGAACGCTGAAGCCACTCGTAAAGAACAGAACGAGGCCGAGCTTCGTCGACTCAACCGCGAACTACACGGTGGGGAATCAGAGTCTGAGGCGGAGTCGGAGACCGGACGACGCAAGTTCGGTCAGTCTGACAAGGCAGAGGCCAAGTCCCAGGCAAGAGTTCTACCCAAGGACGACCTTGAAGACGCACTCGACTCGGACGACGAGAATCACCAGCGGAGAGCAGCCGAGCAGGATGTTGATATCATTGTCGACCGTCCTCCAAAGCAGAAGTCTGCTGCCGTGTCTGCCTCTAAAACGCCCTCTCGGTCAAACCAAAAGATGTTCAGCCAAGAAAATGAGCCAGCGGCAGAGGAAGAAAACCCCTGGCTTGTTCAAACTGAACGCAACAATCGTCGACGCACCGGTACGGACGCTCAGGAAACCATCGACATCTCTCTTGATGCCCAACAACCTCAGATCTCGCAGGCCAAGACTCCTGCCAAGAAGGACAAGGCAGTCAAGGCGGTGTCTTCTCATCGTGATGAAGAAAGTGACAGTGATGATGACAATGTGCCTGTTCTGTTGAAAAATCACGATCTCGTGAAGCGGGCATTCGCTGGTGACGAGGTTGTTCAAGACTTTGAGCAGGAGAAGATGGACACCATTGCCGACGAGGGTGACAAGGTTGTGGACAATACCCTCGAGGGATGGGGCAGCTGGGCCGGCGATGGTATTAGCAACAGGGAGAAGAAGAGACAAAAGCGCAACCTCACTACGGTGGAGGGTGTGAAGCCCGAGAAGCGCAAGGATGCCAAGCTCTCCCGTGTTATCATCAACGAGAAGCGAATTCAAAAGGTATGTTCCAATCCGTCTTGCTGAGGCTGTTCAAGCGCAGTTCAGTACTAACTTTCCTTTGCTACAGAACAAGAAGTACATGGCTAGCCAGCTGCCTCATGAGTTCGAGACCAAGGCACAATATGAGCGATCTTTGCGGATGCCCATCGGCCCCGAGTGGTCTACCAAGGAGACCTACCAAGCCAGCACCAAGCCTCGTGTCATGATCAAGCAGGGTATCATCAAGCCCCTGGAGAAGCCTCTTCTGTAGAAACGCTCGAGGTGTCATGATACCCTTTGTTGCCGACATGTATATCCGTTTTGCATTGCATATTTAGGCCGAGTCTGGTCAGCTACCATGCTCATTGGCCCAAAAGAAATACCATTTAGATTTCAATTTCATCAAGCTTCTATCATGGTTTAACATTGAAGGTACATGCTGTACAACTCTGAATGGTGTACTTCTTCGTGTATTTTTTGCATCCTCGGGTGGTGATATCACAACACACAACCCGTCTTCTTTCGGCCGTTGCGTAGAATTTACCCTCCATCATCCACCTGCATAAACATGTTCAAACTCAACCCTCCCAGCCTTTTCGCATGGCGCATGGCACGGGATGCCATCACCGGGCTGCGCCAGTTTATGTCTATGCATCTGATGACGAGGAGGCGCCGTAGGGCAAAAGGACCAGCCTCAGCCGAGAACTGGAATGCTGCCTACCAGCGCGACTTCCAATGCCACGGTACTCGATGGACCATCCCGCCCATCGGGACTTGCCTGATGGCTGAATCGCTCGGCCCATCATGCGGGCACCATGGAACTACCGAATGATTCATCGGCATCGAGTCATCGCGAATGATCGCAGCCTCGAGAGCGGATTGACTGTGCCTCCGGCCAGCTCCACATCCTTGGCGCCGCCAGCAACACCGTTGCCTACGGCTTGAGAGGCTCCATTAGACTTACATATCTTTTACGAGCCGCTCCTTGATAACTTGATCGTTCCCTTTTCAAATATTTTGACAGGAATATTCGACAGGTCAACGGGAGAGATCAACATCAAGCCGTGCTGTGTCCATCTCACAGGCCGCCGCACTGTTTACACCCCGCGTCACATTCCTGGTAGTGGAGACAACATCCGCCGCTTGGGCGTGCGCCGCGAATATCGCAAGACCAGTGTGGTTTTCTTTCCTACGCCCTACATTGCTGGACTGAACACGCGCTGCGTACCGCGTGAAAGCACCGGCCACCCTTTGCTTGAACGGGGTGAACTTCGGCGCACACGAGTCCCAGTCCATGAGGATCGACAATTCCGGAATTCTTCCTGCAGGCCAGTCACAACAATCCAATCTAAGCTCACTGGGAGCTAAGGACAGCTCCTGGAATTTGTCGAACGTACTTGTAAGTCCCTGTCCCTCGTGCGTGCCCCTTTATTGTTGCTTCTTTCTGGTGTTTGTGGCTTGCCCTCTTGACAACCCAGACGCTTGCACTGTGCTGTTTAATTCGTATTCTCTGTAGAGGACGAATAGAAGCATAGAGTTGGCTATCTGTTAGTTCAGTCAATGATTGATTGAATTGGTTGACCTGATCAATTGGCTTGGCTGGCCGTGCAATCTAAAACCAGCGCGATGGCGGCTCTGTGGAAAACTACAGCCGTGCTAACTTGGCTTCTCGCTACAGATTCAGTAAACTGTCTGCCACAGCCAGCGGGCACCATTGCTGAAAACAGCTTGGAGCAATCAGCAACGCATCCGAAGACTGCCTTTAAGACACAGTATCCTCCCTCAAACCAGAGGATTGCCATCCCAGAGACGGAACCAGTATGTTTTTCTAGCTCAAATCAATGGTTGTGAATGAAGAGTTATGCGATAAGGCTCATGTTGACCTCCTTCGTTAGGACTATCGAGTTGCCCTTGACAAGCGCGGTCATCCATCGCAGCTTCCTTTTCCAACCGTCGACGTTGGTCGCATCCTGGAGGACATCGGCGGTTTGTTGTCACCCCAATCCACCACGTCCCTGCCAGATGCACTTCAGCCTACCGACTCTCCGACGGACGTTTCGCCAGACACGATAACTTCTGCTACGGGTGAGCCTCGGGCGATCACATTTCTGCAAGAAATTCTCGAAAAACTTACTTTGATCAGATTTGATACCCATCCCATCTGCCGCTCCAATGAATAACCAAAACATCTTCGAGCCAGTCGCGACTGGTGCGGTCCCCGACAACATCGAGACTCGCCACGACCACCCGGTGCAAAACGAACATGTAAGACTCCATTCTCATACCAGTCAGCCAACGCGATACTGATATGGAACCAGGCCGATGCCACCAAACCAATCGAAACCAACAAGTTCTATGCGGGTCTCTTCCTGGGGTCGCAGACCAACGCTACTTTCACTCAGCCCTACTCCCTCGCCTGGTCGCGAGGAGGTGGAACCCTCAAGAGCTGGGGAGTGAGTGCTTCTCATGCGGAGGAGAATCTCCTTGCCTATGGTCCCCCAAACCCCAACCTGCCTGGCAGCCCAGTCAACTACTACATCAACCCTATCGGTATCCAGCATATCATTTTGTCAGCATCTGAACTAGATGAATCTAGTGTCTTGAGTACGGAGGAGCCCAAGGCGTTTTCGGCTCAGGCTGTTCTCAAGCGATCGGGTGGTTCAGCTCAGAGTATTACGTTCCCCGTTGTTCAGGGTATGGGCTATGTGACTGGTGTGTACAGTGATCTGCAGCCCCTCGTCGAGAGTGGAGTCTTCTTCCGTCAGGTCGTCAATTCCGGATCCCCGAAGCCAGGTATCTTCAAGTACCAGCTCTTCCTTGAGGATGACACCGTTTGGTTGCTCTACGCTGCGCCTGATGATGGAAAAGACCCGCAATTCGAGCTAGTCTCGACTTCTAGCCTTCGTGGTCCTGCTGGGTTTACTGGTACTATTCAAGTTGCCAAGAATCCTGCTGATAAGGCAGGTGAGAAGTTTTATGATAACTCTGCCGGCGTGTATCCCATTGCGGGTGCTGTTTCTGGAGCTGTTACTGGCACTGTGGGCACTTATGGTCTTTCGTGGACCAAGGCTGGCAAGAATGCTACTGATACCCCCCTCATCATGTTTGCGTTGCCTCACCACGTCGAGTCCTTTGATGCCAGCACCAGTGGCCGCGCCACCAACATTCACCTCCGCACCACCACCAAGGGAAATGCAACCGCCGTGATTGGAGACAACTGGGTAATGACCGAGCCGGATCTACCGATGGATATGGGATTCGCTCCTTGGTCACCTACCAAGGGAAGCGTACACACACTGTCTGCGAGTGCCCAGCAGTCTATCATCCAAATCGCTCCTGTTGAGCTACAGCAGGATATCAATAGCCAGACCAATCTCAACAGTATGTACTACAGTGGCAAGGCCCTGAGTAAGTTTGCGACCTTGATTTGGACGGTAAGCAACCTCGGCAACGGCACCAACTCTGATGTTGCCAGTGCGGCATTGGTGGAGCTCAAGAAGTCTTTTGCTCGCTTCGTGCAAAATCAACAGCAGTATCCCCTTGCCTATGATTCGGTCTGGAAGGGTGTTGTGTCAACTGCCGGCTATGATGGTGACTTGAATGCCGATTTTGGCAACACTGCTTACAATGACCATCATTTCCACTATGGCTACTTCATTCAGGCTGCCGCCATCATTGGTTCCCTTGACCCCACCTGGCTGGCTCAAAACAAGGATTGGGTCAACATGCTTGTTCGTGATGCTGGAAACTCTATCGAGGATGATCCCTACTTTCCCTTCTCGCGGTCCTTTGACTGGTTTAACGGTCACTCGTGGGCCAAGGGTCTCTTCGAATCCTTTGATGGGAAGGATCAAGAATCCACTTCGGAAGACACTATGTTTGCCTACGCTGTCAAGATGTGGGGCCAGACCACTGGCGATGCCAGCATGGAGGCCCGCGGAAACATGATGCTGGCCATCCTGCGCCGCTCGCTCAACAACTACTTCCTCATGCAGAGCAACAACACCAATCAGCCGAGCAACTTCATCGCGAACAAGGTGACTGGTATCTTGTTTGAGAACAAGGTTGACCACACTACCTACTTTGGTAACAACCTGGAGTACATTCAGGGTATCCACATGCTGCCGTTGCTGCCCAACTCTGGCTACACCCGTCAGCAGCAGTTCGTTGCTGAGGAGTGGCAGGCTATATTCGCAGCCAACGCCTCGACCCCCGCTACCGGAGTGGACGGGGGGTGGAAGGGTGTTCTGTTTGCGAACCTTGCTCTCGTCGATCCTCAGGCGTCGTGGGACTTCTTCGCTCAACAGGAGTTTGACTACAGCTGGATTGACGGTGGTGCTTCCCGTACCTGGTACCTTGCCTATGCCGCCGGTGAGTTTTCTACACCCCCTATATCAATATCATCAATACTAATCCAATTCAGGTCTCGGTGGTGGCCCTTGAACGGGTCTCAAGACCTTGCCGTTGTTGCTTTCTATCCTCTTATATCGGTGTTGGTGGCTTGCTGATGAAAATTTATCCTGGGATATTCTTCTCTTTTTGCTTGGTTGGCGTTTTTGCTTTGGCTGCAGGCCGATTTCCGTCTAATAAGGGTTCCAGTCAACAGTATATCTTCATGAGGCTATTGTACGTGGCTATACTTGCGCTGCGGTTAGGGGTATATACTATCTTGATGAGGGAGTTGTGGCAAGTGTTATCAACGTACCTAGATATTCCAAGCTATTGCTCTATACCATTTACTGTTTACGTCCTCTTTCAATCTTTCTGTAGACTGACCGCGCTATCTCCCACTGGGAGTGTAGATTATTGACACTCCCGGGCAACAACATCTTGAGATGGATCCTCAGGATCCAATTCAAAGTCGCCGATGTTAGTGAAGTAAGTGATATGCTATGTACCAAACCGCAGCGAGTCTAAATGGAGAATCCGAGGTCGTGCGGGTAGTCAAATCGGGCACATCCGTGGATATATATGTTTGCCCCGAGTAAGACACTAGCCGCAAAAAGTCTCCACATACGCGTGATAAATGATAAATGTTGCAGCTAACAAGGAAAGGAGAACCCCCAGAAAGAGGCTAATAAATGTATACCAAAACCAGAAGCCAATGGCAAGGACCTTACCACCAAACCTTGTAGCGACTGCATGGTTGCTCCCCAGGTCACCTACGAACAACTTCAGCGAGAGAGAGAGAGAGAGCCCATTGATGTCTATTGTAACGATATATATTCATTTCTCATCAATTCATAGCGACATAATCATACAAGGGATTGCATTTGCGCATCCGCACGCGGAAGGTCCAAATCTACGACCCAGGGCGCGTTATACGGGTGATAGCCCAGCGTCATTATACTGGCATTTACGAACAGCGTCTCCGCGCCAACCCGCAATGGCCGTGCACTCTCCGAGCTGATATCGTAATATGCCGCGCGACGCTCCAACATATCTTCCTTATCGGTGGGAACCTCTTCTTGTTTAAGCCCACCGTTTGCAAAGGCATTCCATGAGCCGCGGATAGCTCCCCATCCCTCGTGGATATGTCCGAACATGTACAGGCGTGGACGGGCGCGCTCGGCAGCCCGGAGGAGATGCTGGCAACCGACGTGCTGGTGGTGACCTTCGTCTTGACCGACGAGGTCGAGGACGTGTGCGGGAGGGCCGTGGGTGAGCATGATGTCGACGTTGGGGTAGTCGGGGACGGGGTTTGCGGGTGCCGGGTTAGAAGAGCCGGGGAGGGGAGGATTGAAGCGATCTTGGGAGCGAGGGTATGCGAATGCCCAGCGACAGAACTCGGGCTGATAGGGCGAGGCGTAGATGGTCAATTTGGCGCCATTGGAAAGGGTGAAGGAGTGGACGCCTTCTTCGAGGTATCGGATACCCGCGGCGCGGGCTGATTCGTTCGTGTACAGGTCCTTCACCCGACGTACGTAGGCCTGCATTTTGTCGGCTGGGGGTACATCGCCGGCACGAATTGCGTTCGTGAGGGACTTTTCGTCGTCCTCGAGGAGGATGCCCTGACCGCCGAGCCATTCTGGCCGGCGATGGCGTCGGTATCCGAAACTGGTGAAGTGCTCTTCGTCGAGGGTGATGTCGTGGTTGCCGGCGATGACGAGCTTCAGTTCGGCATTCGCGGCTTTGAGCATCGAGACCATGGCCTCGTGCTCAACGCTGTAGCCGACTTTGGTAAGATCGCCGCCATGGAGAAGGACGTCGGCCCTGGGGAGCGGGCTGCGATAGGCATATGAGGTTTCGAGTGGGGGGTACGGGACTGCGGTGTGCGTGTCGGAGATCATGCAGATTCGGGTTTTGATCCCCGCAGAGGAAGCCATTGTGGCCGTTGAAAGTGGCTTGAGAGTGAATTCGGAGTGTCTTACGAGAGAAGAGAGAAGGTGTGACATGGAGGAAAAGAGTCCAAAGTGTTGTTGGGGAAGAGAGAAAGGGCAACGACGGTCCATAACGTCAGACCAGTTGTTTTCCCCCGCCGAATCGAGGATGGGCTACATTACGATATTTTCTTCTACGAGGGCCAAACTGTGCAATTCCTTTCGGAATGAAAATTGAAAGCGGAGTAAAAAGACACCAGAAACATCAGGTAAACGTAAACAGGAATCATTCCCATGTAATTGACGGCTCAGAGCTCTACAGACATTGCATCCGTGGATGCCCAGATCATGAAAATTTTCTGGTAAACATAGCTGAAACTCCGATAACCACCCGTGCAACGACAACCCATGCGGCTCTCCTAACCGAATGGTTTTCCCTTTTTGCTTTTTCGTTTACTTGCGGATCGCACGCTGGTAGAAAGCCAGCTCCTCACCCTCCAGGATGTAACCGTCAACACGGCCGGACTGGCCGGGGCGCGAAGAAACGACGGCGAACAGACGACCGGACTCGAACTGACGCTCGATGGCGCCCTCAACCTTGCCCTGGTCGGCGAAGCGGGCGGCCTGCTTCTTGGTGACGGACTTGGACTTCTTCTCCTCGGTGACCTCACCGGTCTTCTGCTGGCGTCTGCGGCCGATACCCTGGCCGTAGTGGGCCTCGTACCACTGACGGAAGGGAGCGGCGTCGATCTGGACAACGGCGGACTTGGTCAGGGTGTTGGTGCGGACCAGCTCGTTGTTGGAAGGGTGGTAGGAGACACCGATGACACGGGTCTTGCGGGCAACACCCTCGGAGCCCCAGGAGAAGTTACCGGACTCGAGACGGAGAGCACGGTACTTCTGGTTGCCACCACGGGTGCGGACCAGGTGGATGCGCTTGGTGCCAATACGGGTGTTGGCGGGCTGGCGGCCCTTCTCGAAGGCTCTGTTGAAAAAAGAAGAAAATGGGTAAGAATGGGTTCTCCAAAAAACGCAAGATGATTCCATGCAGGCCTCGATCCTCTACCCCTTTGCCCTCCTCCCAGAACATCGGCACAAAAGTAGAGATCCATTTCCCCCCAAGATGCAACGAGAATCCAAAGTTCAAATGGCAGGTGTGTCGTACCTCTTCTTGCGGTAGAAAGCACGCTTAGCACCGGTGGCGCTGCGCTTGTGGCGAGAATCACGAGAGATACCCATATTTGCGATTTGATGGAGGGGTCTGTATCAAGGACGAAGAAAAAAAATATTAGAAACTCGACTCGTTTCGGCGCGAATAATCCTCCGCAATTCCAGTCCTTCTGTTTCGATCCAAGCGACGGTCCGGGATTGCTCGAAATAATTTTTTCCCAATGGGCTGAACACGGTTGGCGATCTGTGTGTGTCGTGGGGGTAGTTGTGGACGAAGGCGAGACGAATGTTCAGATCTTGAATTGAAGGTGGCCCCAAAGGGTGGAAATTGTCGAAAAACCCGAATGTGCGACCCGGACGAAGCAGAAGAAAAAGAATTGAGGGATTGGAGAGGCGTCTTGCGTGAAACTCACCTCTAACCTGTGGCCCTTCACCAAAGAACACGGATAGGTTGTCGTTGGGTGTCGTTGAGAGTTGCGGTCGTGGAGTCCGTCGAATTTCGCAGGGCCAGTGTGTTGCTCGCTTGTGCGGTTGCCCTAACTGACGCTAGTCCCAGAGGAGATTAGCCTCGAGTTCTCTGGTCCCATGCAGTCCCGTGACCGGAAGACTTGTTTGCTGACTCATCCTTTTCTGCCGGCCAGCCCGTTTGCCACAACTGGACTTACAGTAGTGGTTATCTAATCTCCATACGGGTAACTAACTAACCTCGAGCGAATGCTCTTCAACTTTTGGATTTGGCAATACAAGTGCAGTAGCTCAAATTGAAGAATTACACTCTATCAAGCTATCAGCATGAGTAAGAGTATGTGTTTTCTGCTTTGATGGCCAGATCTCGCAGAAGCTATCGGTGCATCACGTGATTTTCAGAACTAGACGTGGCGCGAGCGTGTTCAACCATCAAAGAGTCGCATCTACAGTACTACTAGTCTGTCAACTTCTTCATTGCTAGAATTTACTCTCTCCGAACACCTCTCGGTGCTTTGAAAATAAGCTGGGTTCTCGCTAGCGATACATCCTACTTGACAGACATATCGGGAAGAGGAATTCCATACACCAATATCAACAAATCAAATGATCATGTCCGGAAGTTCTGCACCATCTTTGATACGTTCCATATCCTGACACCATCACACCTCCACCCCACCACCTCATTCCCTCTTCCCGCCCTTCTTCGCCCTCTCCTCCTTAACGATATCCCGAATACGTGCAAATGCCCCGAATCCCTCAATAAAGCACGAACCCATCCAAGTAAACCACAACCCCGAACCAACGGGCACACCCATCGGCTTCAGCCGCAACACGGCCATCGCGACACTCTCCAGGACGTGAATTGCAACCACGGACGGGAAAAATACCGGCCAGATCCTATAAATGAAATGGGCAAAGTCTGGAACAAACTTGAATCCCATATTCTCGAAGACAAATGCGCCCGGTAGGAGATTGCTACGCTGCCAGCAGGTGGCATAAGTGAACAACACCAGGCCGAAGATAACGGCTTGGAAGCCGCGCGGGGCACGGTATTCGGTGAGGGTTACGTCGGAGCGGCCGAGTTTAGTGAGGCTTTCTTTGTGTAGGGCGACGAGGCGGCCGCGGGCTTCGGTGTAGTCTTTCATTGGGGGTTGGAGGGGGACGTTGTAGCGTGTGCCGTTGGCTTTGAGGATGAGGTTTGAGAGGGTGAGCTCTTCGAGGGTGGCGCCTTGGGATTCGCGGGCGCTAATTCCGTTGTAGGCTTGTAGGTAGAGTTGGAGGGAGTCGCCGTGGTCGGCATTCATGTGTTTGATGATGAACTCTTTGTTTGCCATTATGGGTTGGTGGATTGATTTTGGATGGTTGTGAGAGTATTGGATGGGAGAGCGGTATGTGTGTCAAAGAAGACCGCGATCGAGATATTGAGAGATTGATTGAGCCTTTTGACTTAAGCTTCTTGAAAGGTGAGGTAGGAGGTGGAGGGTGGAGGTGAATGCGAAAGTTGATCTTCAGGTTCGCGGCCCCGTAAATCTTTGCCAAGACCCGAGCCTCGGCCTTTCAGCATGTGCGGAGCGATGCGAAGAGCCGATAGGTACTGAGTTCCTTTACTTCAATAAAGGATATACTCATTTTAAAAGGGGAAGATATATATAAGTGAAATTATTGGATCTTGGTCTGACACTGTAGAGTCCGTACATACCGACATCAATTGATTGCCGAGGTGGAGATATATACATGGGTGGAGGTAGTATCCAATATAGAATCCGGTAAATCGCCAACCTACGCCGCGCCGATCACACATCACATATGGCTTGAAGAACAAAAAGACAGCCGAAATGGCAATGATGACAAGTACAGATTCAAAAAAAAAGGAAAAAAAAAAAGATTCGACGATCAAGATCGAGGCTCTATGAAAGCAGGACGTAGTAATAGAGAGCAGAGAAAGAGAATAAAGAGGCGGAGGCATCGATCGTGACAATCATAGGCATTTGGCAGAATGAGACGAGGTAGGAATAATCGTTTCGAAGGAGAACCCGGTCGAGTAGGAATGCAGTAAGGCGAAGGACGTGAGAACGAAATACAATGTTTCAGGCACTGTAAGTTGGGCAATCAACTCCTAATTCACGTTGAGCCGGTGGATATATTGGGGGGAGAGGAGAAAGGGAAAAGGACTTGGGGATGAATCACTTACATTAGCGCAATAGTCAAGTCACCGTGAATACGAGCCTTGAGCTCTATTTCAATCTCCAGGTTCAGTTCCAGCTTCAACTTCATGCCTTCCTCGTCATCGAGGCTCTTCTTCTTCTCTTGTGGGACGATGTTCATGCCACCCGAGGGAGCCACCTCGGAACTGGTGCCCTTGGACCAGGGCTGCATGGACTTGCCCTGGACTACCTCGTCGTCGGAGTAGTCCTCGTCATCGTCAAATTCTTCGGAATCATAGTAGTCATCGTCGGAGTAGTCCTCCTCCTGCTGCTGCTGCTGCTGTTGCCGGCGGCGGCGTTGGAGCTGTTGATTTTTGTTGGGGACTGTTTGGTCCTCGTCCTCGTCTTCGGAGTATTCAATGTCATCGGCGCTGTCGTAGTCTTCCTCCGAATCGTACTCGGGGACTTGGAATTGCTTCTGCTGCTCCTTGGTTTTTTCGGCGGTCGCCATGATGTGAGTGAGAGGGCGTCTAGTATCAGGACACGACTATGAGGCAAGGAGGGGAGCGACGGAGGAATGGATATAATGTAGGGACGGGGATGCGGAAAGGGGAAAATGGGAGCAACTAGTTTGGTAGAAGGTTGGAAAAAAGAGGCAAGCGGTGATATGATATCGAATTTGCTTGGTTATACACCAAAAGGAACGGTGTAGGAGGATCCTGCGATAAAGAGGGGGTGGCTATAGCATCATCGGCATCATCGCTCTGCAGGCCGGGCATGACGTTGGCGGCGGGTGCGATGCAGCTCCACCGAAGAAACGACTTGAAGAGGCTTTGTTACACGTGTATTGGTGGTAATGAAACAAAGGTAACAATAGGTAGCAAACGAACCGTTCGAGATGAGCCATAACGTCATTGCCCGAGGGACGTTATGGATCGGGCCCAAAACTAAGTACTTGGGGTATACTTCTGCCAACGCCCTGTAAGACATAGGGACGCTTGGTCACTACGGAGTCACTCTCTTGCCGTTTCTCGATTGTCACTACTTTTAATCCTGTCAATCCTGTCAATTCTTTCAAGCCTGTCAGTTCTGTCAAAATTGCCCCCGTTATTCCCCTGGGGCAGACCCGTGGATCAACCTTTCGCCTCGTGGCGCTTAACCAGTCCCGCCCTGCCATGTCAACCAGACAATGTCTCCTCCTCGCGTCCATGCCTCCGAGTTACATCGCATATTCTCCGACGCCAACTCGTCATCTGGTTCGGCCGAACCGCCAAATAACCCAGAGGGCCAAATGAGCAAGCCAGCCCAAGGGTACAACCCTATCCGACGGAATCCCCGACATCCCAGTGGCGTCATGGACGTATGGCTGGTCCAATCCTGCTTGGACACCGACAGGTCTTACGTCGACATTCATTTATAAAAGTGGAGCACGGGGCTGGTGTCAGTGCCAAAATGCCCCGGGCGGCACGGTGATTGGCGTGTGGATTCCCGGGTTTCGATTTTTGCAGGGAATTGATATACTTGCTACCACTGTACGGAGTACAGTTTCTACCGTGTAGTATGGTAGGGAGTACTGTAGTGTACGGATTTGCTTGAACCAAACCTTTCGTCTATTGAAATTCCTTAGAAAAGAATATACCGGAATATGCCCATCCGATTTTAGCCCTGCCGATCACACCGTTATCCATCAGCGGAGAAAAAAAAAGCCAAGTTAGTGGTCCTGTGCGCCATACGGAAGCGGTCCAGGGCTGGTTCAAGTCCCCGAAATCGTAGGAAGTTGCTGAAAAGCCGGGGGCTAGGCTCGTTTAGCCTCGACGTCATATCTGCACGTCTCCACTTTCTCTTTTTCCAGATCCATCCATCCAGATCTTGACATTCACTTGGGAACCACTAGACTTGGTCCCTTTTACCAGGCAGACATTTCAATTGAATGATTTGGCTGGTAGCCCCAGCCACTCTTTCCCTAAAAAGCCACACGTTTGTAATGAAACACCCAAAAAAAATAGAACAGCCTCTATACCCCGAACCGTTGTCTGACGTCGGAGGCGCCACTTGTAATCCCCGTCAGCACCGGTTTCTGGGATATAAACGAGGTTGAACAAGTGTAAACGTGGAGCTCCGCCTACATCATACCCATCCCGGCCGTACGGTGCAATTACATAGGTTACCTCTGGACTGCTTGACCGTCTCCTGTCTAGTGACCTGAAGTACCTGCGGTACCTATAGTTTACCTTCGCACGTTACGATTGTCCCCCCAGTGACGCTTGGTCCTTCATAACCCCGTTGTCTCCATCCGATCACTTCATATTCCCCCTCTTATCCCCCTCATCCATCGTCTTCCTCTTCTTCTTTTCTTTCCACCATGGCCGATCAAGAACCTTCCACTCCCAACCCGGACTCCTCTAGCACCTCCACCCCCAACAAGCCCAAGCGTGCCCCTCCAAAGCTCGGCAAGAAGTCTCCTGCCAAGCAGGAACAGACTCCTCCACCCTCCGAAAAAGGTCAACAAGAAGAAGACCACGAAGAATCCGAGAAGCCTCAGGCAGAAGACAACGAGACTGCTGAGAATCAAGATCAAGATCAGGACCAGGACCAGGACCAGGATCAAGATCAACCAGAGCCGCGCAAGCAAGAGCCCGATTCCGAAGAGGAACAGGAGAAAGACGCTGAGCCCGAACCCGAACCCGAACCTCAACCAAAACCCGAACGCCGTCGTCGCAAGACCCGTCCTCTCCAGCGCGCCCAAGACTCTGACGTCGAATCTATTCCCCGTAACGAAATGGAGGGTCAACCCGAACAACGCCGCCAGCGCACCCGCCGCACCCGCCAGGCCCAGCAGCAGCAGCAAGGCCAAGAGGGCGGTCCCCTCGGCGGCCTCGGTGGTCTCGGTGGTGTCGACCAGGCAGGTCAACTGGTGCAAAACACCGCCGGCAATGCGCTAAACGGCGTCACCGGCTCAGCCGGTAAGGCCGTCGGCGGAATCCTGGGCGGCGGACAGAAGGAGGAGAAGGAAGACGGCGGTCGTGATGAGCAGTTGCGACTGCGACTGGATTTGAATCTGGATATTGAGATTCAGTTGAAGGCGAAGATTCACGGTGATCTTACCTTGGGGTTGTTGTCAGTATACCCTTTTCTCCCATTGAGTCCCTCCCACCCCGCATTGCCCCGCGTTATGTTGATAATATTCATCTATACCTGGTTACGGAATCTGTTTGACTGACTAATCTGACCTTTAGGAACTAATTTGTGTTGGATAGCAGCTAGACGGTTTTTTTTTTTTGCACCGTCTACTATATTTGATTGCTATTCGACTCATTTCACATTCCCACTTCGATTTATTTCATGCCCCTCATGATGAACAACTCCCATACGTTACGCTTACGCTTTACCTTCCTGGGCGATGCAAGATGCAGGACTGCATGGCTTCGCTTGATTTCCTATTTTCCCCATTTTCTTTTGTTATTGAAAGTATCTTTTACTCGTGTTACGTTTCTTTTTGTGTTGATTTTGCCTCGGCTGCCCCTCCATTTCCTCCTAGATCTGGCTCGGCCGCTTCTGGTGTCTGGCCTGTGATGAATATTTCTTGGATGTACAGTACAATTATCTCCCTCGTCCTTAGTAACTGGCTTTTGGCGAATGGGATAATGAAGACTACATGATTCAGAAGATTGGATTTTAACTACATCCTACATATTGTAAACGTTCTCATTAAGTCTGCTTTCGGTTCTTGACAGGAGATGCTGTTATTGGACGGTTGATCGAGTACGCAAGTCCGCAGCAAACTTGCAGACTTGTGGGACGAGTGTCACGAACTATGTGGGATCATTGGCTAGCTCCACGTCTATCTTGCGTTTTCGTGTAATAGTATAGAATAGGCTCATACCGTTTTTACGCGATCTAGTGACGGAATACAATTGGATGGGCTCGTCATTTCAAAAATCTATTTATTGCTAAGCTTAGTTAATCATCGAGGCAAGAAACCGACCAGATCAGAAGATAATACCAAACGTCAAAGAACGAGGACAATGCAATGTAAATTGGAGCGTTGTTGACGCCGTATATACGGTTCTACCATATCCACCCACTTCCTATAGTAAGTATTCAACAAATGACAAATCTACCAGGTAAGATTGCACAAAAAAAATTTCACAGCTAGAGAAGCCAATCCCCCTCATAGACCCGCAATGTACATGAGTCCATAGCCGATGGTTACAATCACCACAAAGGCCATTAAACTCGACGGGATACCCCGGGTAAGGAAGTGGCGGACTTGGAGATAGCGCTGACCGGTCTGGGGGACCTCGGTCATGATCGCAGCTGGTGGTCAAGTCAGTAACGGGAGTCAAACGACTAGCAAAAGATTGGTGAAGGACGTACTCATGTTAGGGAACCCGCTCGTGGGCAAGGCCATGGCGACAGAGCACATCAGCGCACTGGACATGACAAGCAAATTGGGGTGGGGGTTCTCCATGCCGACACCGATCTGGCGAACGAGAGGGAGCATGATCAAAGCGGCGACGGTGTGCGAAATGAAAGTAGCAATGACGAGGATCAGCGCCGAGAAGACGAGTAGCACACTATAAAGGCTAAGATGCTCGACCTTAGCGGTGATTCCCGAGGCAAGGGTGTGCAGCAATCCAGAAGAAGTAACGGCTTTGCCAAGGCATAGACCGCCAGCAGCGAGAATAATAATAGTCCACAGGAAATTGTTGAAATCCTCCTTGTTGAGGATTCCGGTTCCAAAGAATAAGACCAACGGGATGATAGCGATCACGCCCATGTCACCAAAGATATGTTCGAGTTGATGGCTCGCACACCAAAGAGCAATGGTCACCAAAGTGACGGCACTGATGAAGTATTGAATGCCAGTGAAGCGGTCTTTGACAGGGCGAAAAGGTATCACCGTGGCGTTGCGGCCGGGGTTGAAGGTAACCAGTAGAAGACCCCAAATCAATAAAATGGATATAATGCAGACGGGGAGCGAGATAAAGAACCAAGTCCCCCAGCTGATGCTAGGATACATGTTCTGCAAAGCGATAATATTCTGCGGGGATGCAATTGGAGATGCAGCACCACCAACATTGGCCGCCAACGCAATGCCCAGGACAAGCGCCTTGGCAAAATCGGAATCGGGAGACAGATTGCGCAGCAAGGGCTGAATGATCGAGTAGCAGAGCACAGGAGACGCAACATTACTGATCCACATACTCAAAAACATGCTCACAAACATGTTCGTGAGCAGGACAACCTTTGGCTTCGACCCAGCCTTGCTGAGGACGAACATGGCCATGCGCCGGGCAATGTCGTACTTGGACAGAGCTGCGGCAATGGTGAAACCACCGAGTAGCAGCATGATCACCGGAGTCCACATTGATGCAAAGACCATGCTGGTGGCCTCTTTCGGTCCCAGTCGCTTGTGAGGTTTATCATCGGATCGCATAATACCCAGGATGACAACCAGGAATGGGATCAACAGCGAAGTAACGAAAAGCGGGATGGCCTATTGGGATGTCGTCAGAATCATATATGATGGAATCTTTTTTTTTCTAAAGGAGAGTGAAGTCTTACCTCAGTCGCCCATAGGATGCTGACTAGAACGAGCATTGCTAGGCAGTTTTGCTGTTCGACCGATTCCATAATTGGCACCGAAAGCAAAGCTCCAAACACAGCAAAACTAAACACCAAAGTGCCGAAACTCAAGCTACACAGCCACAAAGGGAAGTGGATCCGACCCAGGGGAGTAGCAAACTCTTGCGTGCGGATCTCTTGCTTATCGCCTTGGCGGCGAGCAGTGGCAGGGTCTTCGTCGCCTCCCAGAAGAGTTCGACGAATACCTACATTGGCAGCCTGTGCACGACGTTCAATCTCGATCATCTCACGCCAGACCGTGTTTCGCTCCCAGACCACATGCTCACGAAGGTGTAAGCGTAACTCGCGGGTAGCAAGCTCACGATTCCCCTTGGTGACGATATCCGCGTACATGGCCACGACCTTTTCAATGTGGCTATCCACGGCAGCCATGGTGAGGTCGGTGAATGGGACTGCCGGGTTAACCACAGTGGCCAGGTAGTCTCGGCGCATGTTGCGGAACAAGGTCTTGTCGTACTTCTTCAGCGCTTTGGAGAAGCCGGTCCTGTTCAACTCAATGAAGGATCTCAGCTCGCAGAGAGAGACGTATGACTCGATCAGTCGCTTCTTGAGCGATACGCCTGCATTGTACAGAGCTAAGAATGTCTGATCACTCATGTTAGAGTCTCGACGGAAGCGACTGCTTGCCTGACCGAAGAAGGTGGAATCTGCCAGGTCACCCGCGTGGGGCTCATCGGTTGTAGACTCGCCATCGGTAGACGTCCGTTGGCGGAGGCCGAGAGCTGTCGTAGCGGCATGCTCGTCGTCACTATCTACGTCGTCTTCACTCACAACGCTTGAGCGGCGGCGCTGGCCATTTCCATAATTGCGGAAGACGCTTCCCGTGCCTCGTCGCGAGCTCGAGCTCAATGTCCTAGCCTTGATAATAGTCTCGCTGACTGGATCCATATTGACACCATCGGTCTCTGACAGATAATTCATAGCCTCCTGGATCAGTTCATCCGTATTCTGAAAGATTTCGGCCTGCTTCTGCTGATAGAAGGTGCAGATCTTGTCCAACTCTGTGTCCAGCGCGCGCTTGAAGATCCCATCGGGGTTGGCCACCTGGGAACTACCTAGTAGCGGAGCGGACTCGACATCCGCACCGGATTGGCCATCGGGATGGTTGACTTGCTTCTCAAGGGTATATATCCTGGACAGAAAAATTGCAAGATTAGCAACCTGGAGTAGGACTGGGGCTCCCACACATTGACATCCACGACTTCCATGCATCCACACAACTCTGTGCGATGTAACACCCGCGCGAAGTTGCATCTCGAGCCGTAACCACGAGCCCATATCCAAAACATCCACCAAACACGGAAGGTAGTCACTTGGACACTCCAAAGAGGCAATAGGACTGGGCCAGCTTACAATTTCTTGAGATTGCTGTACGCAATATAATTGGAGCTCCAGTCGGGCACAGCATTGAACTGAATGCTATGCGAGAACTTCATTTTGGCGGTAGTCTCGAGATCGCCGGCACTCTGAGCTAGTTCTGCACGGTGAGCTCGGCGTCCAAGGGCCGCTGCCCAGAACCTGAGTCTAGTGGAGCGGAAGCCCCGTGGGCGCTGTTCGGACGAAGCTGTCTTCTCCCAGTCTACCTCCCCGTTTGCGCCCGAATCAAGTCCTGCTAATGACCGTGAGCTGGCGGCTGGCTCAAAGGCCCGAAGAGTACTTCCGAATCGTTGTGTGCGAGCAGTTGCAGTCTCTGCTGGTCTCGCCGCAGGGGGTCTGCCAACGGCGTTGAAATCGACGAGTTCGTAGGACTCACGGTGCGAGGGGGGAGCCACCGTCGTGAGGGGGCCGGAGGGAATTCGGCCTAAGTCATGTAATTGTCCAGCAGAAAAGAGGGGTTATCTCGAAGAAAAGAGGAGAATCCTGCGGGGCGCACCAGGCGGATCGCGGTGTGGTCAGCTGGAGCCGGTTGCGTGAAATGCGTGGGTCGCACTGATGGTCAGGCCTGAACTGAATGATGGGCGGCTGATCGACACTGTCTTCGATGCTTGATCTTATTCTCCGAAACACGACCAAAGGCAAAGAGGCATCTCCCTTGCTAAAAAAATTGCTGGGGGGGTTCTCGCGATGGTCGTGAATGGCCTCAGTAACTGGCCAGCCCAATCGGGTATAGACTGAGATGTCTGAGTAAGCAACTTGGCAGTTTCTAGCCTATCAATGCACTGCTATTTTCAGCTGAAGTGGAGGAACTAACTATATGCTGTCAAATGGTCGTGAGCCTCGATAGAGAAAAATAGAGTAAATGCGAACAAGACAATAAGCTAACTACAGTAGCTCCATAATCGGAGAAATTGGGCGATTGTGCGAACCTTATTTCATAAAATAGATGCGAAATACAACCAAAACTCAAAATCCATATGACCAGACTAGATATACTACATATACAAAGGAAGCTGAAAAAGGAATGCTCACACCACATGAGCAGCAAACCTGATTTTTCAGACCCATAAAAAGAATTTGATCGATTAGAACAAAGAACCACCATCGTCGGCTATTTTACCGACGGCGAGGCGCAAGTCCGAGGTTCGCACGGCCAGAAATACCAATCTTGTGCTGCTGATCTCTGCGGTCCCACACACCACTGCGACCCTCGGCGACGGCTACTAACTCGTTGGCAACCCGGTTGGCCAATTGTGCGTCACGTCGCTTCTCAGATGCGTCCAAAATCCACTTGATTGCGGCACGGCGACGTTGGCGGAGGTTAAGCGGGTGGGGGACCTGCACGGCAGTACCACCACCAACGATACCCTTCTGTTGGCGAATGCGGAAAAGAGGGGCCACCGAGTCGATGATGCAAGTGAGGTAGAGGACGGGGTCGAGGGGAAGCTGAGGAGCAGGGGGACCACCCACGAGAGGACGACGGGGGTTGATGTTGGGGGGAGAGGAGGTACGGAGGTGGTCTAGAATAATAGACATGTTCTGGAAGAATTGAATGTTAGTTTCTTGTTCAAACAAGGAAGGACGAGCTGATCCCACCTTTTGGGCGCGAGCCAGCTTGCCATCCTGCATGAGCATCTTGGTGAACTGCTCCTGCATCGTGTCGTAACGGTTCCGGAAGTTCAACGTCTTCTTCTGGGCTGGCAGCACTGGCACATCAAACTTCAACCCCTCGGGCAGCCGCGCAGCAGCCTGCTCGTTCACCTGCTGGATCATATCGGCAAGAACAGCGGCGGAAATCTCGTCTTGGGGTTCGGCGTTCTGCACGTCGGGGAGACGGCTACGAGCCGAAGTCGAGAACGAGCGGGAGCCTCCGGTGCTCTTCTTCAATTGATCTTGCATGACTTTGGGCATGTGCTTCAAGCCTTCCTTATCGCGCTTCAGGATCTGCTCCGTAAAGAAATTGTCAATTGCTTTACCCCATGGTATATCTGGAAGAGAGAGGTCTCCCTCGGGCCACTCACATCAGCAACTGGGCTCCCTTGTTCCAACTCCGGACTTGACGGCTGCCCATCACAGCTCTTCTCCTTGTTATGCAGAATGCGGTCCATCTCAGCAGCCTCCTCCCCGACATGAGGCAGCATGTCCTGGGTAGGGAAACTCTGTTCGTCCGGCGAAAGACCCTTCTTATTGTTCTGTGACGAGTTCCATCTTTTCTGGACTGGAGCCGACTGCTCGCGGAATCGGAGAGGCAGAGCGACGCTCCGCTGCACGCGCGCAACGGTGGAGGACTGGCGAAGGGCGGAAGCCGCCTTGTTGACTGTGAAAAGGCTGAGCTTGGGTGACATTGTGCGAATCAGTGACACCTGGTGCTCTGGATTGAGGCGTGATCAAGATTCCGATCTCGATGGAGACCCGCCGGACTGCGGTCTGCAATTTTCCCGGATTTGCTTAGTCAACGGTTCCTTGCCCCAAATGATGTAAACGCACATTTACTTGACAGCTTATAAGGCAACAATAATTCCGTATTACATGCTGCCTGATAATCTTGTCAGATAGAAAAACTCTGGTTTGACATACTGGCTCAACTATTAGTTTGCCAAGCCTTTTTGTGACTCTTTGCCAAAATGGGGTTTTCATGAAATACGATCGCTCTGACTCCCACATCGACTATGACTTGCGGCTCACCAACAACACGAGTTAAACACACACAACCATGACTTTGAGACTCTGCAAGTAAACAGCAACCAAAAAGCATAAATATTGCCAACTATGAGGCTCTCCGAACTTCCATCGGAGATTATCTGCAATATTGCATTATATATCCCAACTGTGAACGGGATAACACGCCTCGCACAAACATGCCGTCGAATATATAGAATCATTACCGCAGAGGAGTCATGGCTATTCCGAGCATTTGTCCAAACCAGATTCCCAGCAATCCAAACACCGCCATTTTGGAAAGATGCAGCATGTGCTCTGACATCGCGCTCACGAGCTGTGGATCGACTGGGTGTGATTGGGAGATTTGTGATCCAGCCTGAGACCATCACTCGTATTGGAATTCAGGAGGAAACCCGACAGGATAATCCCACTATGGGCTATCGCCCTCCCATTGACTCCTACGAGACCTGGAATGGACAGTCTTGGGCAGACAGGAAAGAAGTCCTTGCATGGGGTGCTGGTGAAAAACTCTTGATACGCACCAGACAGTCCGGAGAACAGCACCGAGATGATTGGATCTTATTCAACGACGTTGACCAGCCTAGCAGCCATGATGACATTCTGGGTTTGCACCTCCTACAACCAGATCATGGCAAAGAGAATGACGTTGAGAATGTGATCTTTGGACGGAGACAAGGCGATATTCGCCACATCACACTCACCAGCAGTGATGCTAGCCATGAGTGCAAAAAGACATTCCGAACCGAAGGGTTGGAACTCAACGAGACAGATCTGATGCATGGTTCTAATCCTATACTGTGTGCTCAATTTCTCCAAGGCTCGACTGCGCTATATCATTGTGGTACTGAAGCCGAAAATGTCGAACCGTTCGCGTGGATTCGCCCCGAACGATCATCTCGCGGCCGGAAGGCCAAGCTGCTGTCATCATCGCGGATTGCCGTGGCTACTATGGACGAAAAAGATTCCATAATAATTTCAAGAATCTCGCCAGACGGTATCTTTACGGAAGAGACAATCGGTATTTCTTCCCTGGATGTAGAGGATAGATTGGGCCATTACGCTTGCCAGGCCATTAGTGCCATCGAGCCTCTCAACAATCATCCTTTGGCTGGATCACCTGGCGATGTTTTTCTTGCTGCATGGGGTGACCGCACTGTTCGGTACGAAGTATAGGTTACATCTGCCCCTGAGCTCATGCTGACTGTATTTCTAGCCTCCACGATCTCAGATCTCCACGGTCCTACGAAACCACATACGAAGATCCAACAGACGACAACTTCATATACAGCGTGCGCGCGTTTGGACATGACCGATTTCTGGTTGGATCTGGTGGTAATGCGCTGATAAAGTTGTTTGATCTCCGCTGCAGCAGCTACAATTACCTCGAAGCCCAGGGTGCTCGGCCCACAGCCCCAAGCAACGTACCGATTGCTCATAACCATGGCCAGTATCCAGGCAAGGATTTCAACATTTTCCTTTCCGCTCAACCGCCTGCCATTTTCAATCGACATAACAATTCCCGTCGACGCAGAACGGCCGCGTATCCCTACCGAGGCCCGATATACAGCATGTCTATGCCCTCGCCGTCCTCACCAACCGTCTACACTGGGGTAGCAGGCGGACTGATCCGGCTTGACTTTGCTTCAACGGATGATTTAACTGGGCCAGCGAAGGAGTGGTACGATTGCAATCTCAATCTTGGATTTGATGCAGAGATGAAGCCGGCAGACGGGTCGAGCTTTTTCACGGTGGCAGGATATGAGAGACCGGATGCGCGTGACTTGACCACGACCTCAAAGCTGAGAAAGCAGCATGACTCCTGGAATTTCGAGCGCAACGAGGCTCGAAAGGGTGTGGTGACTGGATGGGATCATCGGTGGGAGGCTCTGGAGAAACCTGGGGCTTGGCGGCGACAGGATGGCTAGAGTCTAGAATTGCATATACTGCGTCTTTGCATAGAGTTTTTCTTATAGAAATACGTAGACATAAAAGGAGCAATTGGCTTGAGGAATTTTGAACTTTTAGTGGTATTCTAGTAGGCGCAAGCAAATATGTGAGTAGCAAATCGCAGGATAAGAAAAATTCTTCCGAAGCTCCGTAAGCGCCATGCTGGGTAAAAAGGATCGCTCGTCCAAGAGGGACGAGGTAAGTGGACATCGACGTGATATGATCATCGAAAGTTACACCCCCCACGTAACAGTGAGCCCGTTAGCGTGTCGAACCCACCTCTCAGACAAAACCCAGAAAAGAAGTATGAAAAACCATCGAAGACAGGGCAGCCCCCCGCCATTGAAAGTGTGTAGTGGACAGCAATTGGAGTCACGAAGAGGAAACATTGTTTAATCATCGAACTTGAAGGACTTGCCGCCCGCGATGTCGATGGGGCCACCACGGTAGGAGCCGCGCTTCTTCTTATTCTTCTCCTTGGTGAATCCCTTGCCGCGAGTTACCGAGAGATCGGCGTAGGCGCGTTCAGCGTAGGCGTAAGGAACGTATTCGTTGGAGATGGCGTCATAGGGCTCCTGGCTCAGAGCAGCCAGAGGGGTAGGGCGGGCGCCAACGTGCTTCTTCTTGGCCGCTCCATTTCCAGGTGCAGGGCTGGCGCTGGAGGAAGAGGTTTGTGAAGGCTTGCTCTCAGCAGCTGGAGAGGCAGACACCGTTGCGCTGGTATCGGAAGAGGAGTTGCTGGAGACGGGGACGCCACCAGTGTTCTCCTCATCGGAGCTATCAGAGCTGTCATCTGAAGACGAGCTGGAGCTGCTGGAGCTGGAAGAATCTGGAAGCGGGGTCTTTGTAGCCTTCTTCAGAACCTTGGCGTCAGCCTTCTTGGTGGCTTCGGCCTCGGAATCAGAGTCAGAGGAGTCAGAGGAGTCGGAATCGGAATCAGAGCTCGAGCTAGAGGAGCTGCTAGAGCTAGAGTCCGAGTCGGAAGAAGAGTCAGAGCTAGAGCCAGACGAAGACTCGGCCTTGGAGACCTTAGCCTTCTTCGTCTTAGGAGCCTCATCCTCAGAGTCGGAATCCGAGCTGGAATCGGAGGAGGAGCTGCTAGACTCAGCCTTGCGCTTCACACCAGTGGGCTTCTTAGCAGCACGGGCAGGAGTGGGAGCCGAAGAATCTTCCTCTTCGTCATCAGCGTCGCTGTCGGAGCTCGATGAGGCGGAAGAGGAAGGAGATGAAGAGCGGGACTTGGGAGCATCTCCCATGCTCACGTCGGAGTCGCTAGCATCGCTGTCACTATCACTGCTGGAGTCGGAGTCGCTGTCACTCTCGGAGCTGCTGCTTGAGCCGCCAGAAGTCTTGTCCCAAGTCTGGAAAAGTTCGACCAGGGAGGGGGCGTTTTTAACATCGGCCTTGGTGTTGCCATTCTTCTTTAGCTCCTCAGCGAAGGCAGTGCTGGTAGCCGAGAAGCCATTACCGGAGAGGAAAGATGCGACGGCGCCGAGCAACTGGGGAGGGAGAGTGGTGGTTTTCTTCTCGACCTGTCCATAGAAAGTCAAGTTAGATCAACGTCCGCAGTAATTCTAGTAGCGAGTGAAAACCTACCTTCTTGGCCGAAACCTTCTTTGCAGGAGCCATGGATCCTGGAAGATCTGAGTATGTGTCTCTCAATTTGCGTAGTCACCAGAAATGACCGAGAAGCAGAACGGTACGAGGACGGAGATTGATTTATTTAGAGTCGTCTTTCAGGAACCAAAAAAAAAGTGGAAAAAAAGTATAGACAAGGCGGTGGGGATATTTCAAATGGTGATTGGCGGAGTCATCCAAAAAAGGCGGGCAGGCGGTAGTTTAGATGTAAGCTGCACGTGACTGTGTGTTGGTAATATGGTTTCTAGCTGAACGATTCTTAGTATAAGGTAGAGTTGAGAGATTGAGAAGAAATGACCAAAAGGAAATTTACATGTCAGAAGAATAATCACATGGAAATTATCATTGACTCTCGAGCTCTGCAAAAGGTGCACAAGAAGATATAAATCGCCAAAAGTGGTCGAACTAAACCAATGACTTGCTCCCACGAGCTTTCTCCGCCCGCGACCCCAAACATAATGAGCTAATCCACCTCCGACACCTCCCACCGAGCATTGCATTCAACGAGCAATCTCGTTGCGCCCTTCATATCCGTGATTGAACATCGCACCTGCGAGTCTACATTGCCGGCCTCGATTTCGCTGTAGGCACCGTGCGCGAGGAACGCTCCCGGTAGACTTACCCCGGCATCCCGAACATGTCTCCCTGATTTGTGCGGATCTTACCAACGAACCCGGTGACCCCCGCTTGATAAGAGACAGAATGATGAACGGCCGTGATCGTCCCCGTCCGCCAGCGACGAATGATGCGCGACGCGGAGCAGATCCTCGCAATGGCTCCGGCTCCGGTTCCGGGGATGGATCCATGTCCAGAGCCGAGAAGTTCGAGGACGAGAAGAAGCGCATCATTCAAAGTTGCTACTCCAAGAAGGATAATGATGGAACTTGTATGTGATAGGACCCCATTCACTCCTTTGCGACAACAAAGGGGCGTTCCCCCTCCCTGCTCAGGGGATAGGAGCACTTAGCCGCGGCTGGCCACAGCGAGGATACGGTCTACTTGGCCGAGCTCGACGTGGCCATATCACCGGACCAAGAACCATCATATCTTTTTGACCCGCAAGCTGACTCTCTTCGTGTTCGTAGTGATTGAATCTTATATTACGCACGTCCGCATCACGGAAGATGCCGCGCACCCCTCGACCCCTGCCCCACCGGACTCAGCTCCGGCGAACAAGAAACCTCGCGTTATTATAGTGTCCGTCCGACGGTCGGGCCGTGTTAGAATGCACAAAGCCCGTGAGAATAATGACGGCACCTTCTCCATTGGAAAGACGTGGATGCTGGACGATCTTACGGGGATTCAGTCGTACAGCGCTTTTGTGCCAAAGTCGCCAGTCGAACAACAACACAAGGAATGGGCAGGAAGTGTTGGATTCATTATTAGCGTGGGAAAACCATATTACTGGCATGCCAGAAGTTCCAAGGAAAAGGAATTCTTCATTGGCAGTTTGGTGAAGATTTACAAAAAATATACTGGGGGCAAAGTACCGAACCTCATTGGGTTTGACGAGAGAGAAAGGCAACTGCTTGTAGGCAGTACGAGCCCCTCATCATCTTCAGGCCCAGCTCCACCAGGCTCGCGGGGTAATCCTAAATCGTCGACAGACATTCCCACGCAACCTCAGCATCAACCCCCGCCGCAGGCATCAATTGGCCGCGACCCTAGTCGCGATGGAGCTCGTGAGGTTCGCCGAAGGCCCTCCGAGGACCCTGTTCTGCGGTCTCAAAAGAGCCGTGAGCAGATGAGCCGTCCTTCTACTGCTTCAAAGCCGGCACCATCACCTTTCGGCCCGCCTCAAAACCTACCACCTCTCGTGCCACCCCCGCGCGCAGAACCGAAAAGAGAGCTACCAACAACATTCTTGCATACCGGCGATGAGCCTAACCAGGGCCGGGCACAAGACGAACCCCGTCCTCCATCCTCTCGGGAGGGCCGCGCAGCAATTCCACCATCACTTCTTGCGGCTCGAGCACCCGAACCAAGACCCTTGGAACCCAAGCGCAGTACAGATGCTCTGCGCCCCACGACACCTGGGTCATTTACCAGTGAAACGCGTGGCATCAGTGCAAGCCCTGGAAGCGGCATTGGTCAGAAGTCTCCGTATCGTGATGCTCCCGAGAAACCGTCTGCAGTGGCTCAAGAGCCTGCACCAGAAGCAATCACTGCCCCCACAGTCGCTCCAGAGATACCTAAGCCTGCACCTCCACCCGAAATAGAATCTCCAACTCCAACGCCGATTTCAGAGCCTGAAGTCGTAGCATCCACAGCAGCGGCCGAAGAAACATCGGAACCCTCAGCCGCGGAAGCCGGAGTTTCCAAAGATGCGACTCCTACTACTACTCCCACGCAGGCAGCTGATGAAGATAACGAGGCACATCGCCCAGGACTAGGCCCAATGATCAAGAAAAAATCCACAAAGGATATTGCAAGTGCTTTCCGCAAGGCTGCTACTACATATGGTGCCTTCAAACCACGTCCTGGCGGAGCTGGCGAGCGTCTCCTCGCAGCAGCAAAGAAGCAACAGGCCGAGGCTATGGGCCCCGATGGTATCACTGGAGTTGTGCCTGCCCCGTCTAGATCTGTCAATGATCTCCCGAAGACTTCCGTAGACGATACTGCAGAACGAGAGACATCGGTAGCATCACCGGCATCTGCGCCCCCCGCAACCACCAATTCACAGCCCGTGACACCTACTGTTGAAGTTACGCAACATCCAGTCGATGATTCTTTGCTTCCTTCAGAACCTGTACCCGGAGCAGCCGAAGCAAAGGATTCCCTGTCAGAACTCACAAAAGTGGAAAGCCATACCAGAAGTCCATCCCCGAGCGCCCAAAGTCGTCGCCGGAAACGTCGTGAAGATCATACCATCAAATACTGCCAGTCTCTTGGGATTGACCCCAGTGTCCTGGATGGACGGGGTATTGACTTTGATGATATTTTGACTGAGTTGGGATGGAATGGGCGACTGGGCGACGAGCAAAAGATCGAAGATTTGGAAGCAGACGTCCGTCGGGAGATTGGCCGCGTTGAAGCAACCAGCTGGCTGGGTAACCTTGAACAGCAAGAAGGCAAGGTGGAACAACTGGCTGTCCTGATCGACAAAACCATTGAAGAGTGCGAGGAGCTAGATGGCTTGCTCACGCTGTACTCGCATGAGTTGAACACTCTACATGAGGACGTTGCGTATATTGAAGCTCAATCTCAAGGTTTACAGGTGCAGACTGCCAACCAAAAGCTTCTTCAGAACGAGTTGCAAACTCTCCTCAAAACTCTCTCGATTTCTCCGTCCGATATTCGTCCCCTCAGAGAGGCCTCTTTGACTAATCCTGATGGGTTAAAGGAGGCCGAGACTGCGCTCTCGACACTATATAAGGCGATGCTGATGATTGATGCTGATATTGGGCAAAACAAAAAGAGACAGGCACACGCCAGCGTGGGCGTTTATGCAAATACCGAGATTGGTCAAATGCGTGCCATCAAGGAGAGAAAGGGCGAGTATCGCCAAGCCGCTTTGACATTCCTTCAGCGTCTGAAACCATTCATGACCGTTGCCTTGAAGACTGCGGAACAGAAACGGGCGGATACCGTTGTTGGCTCACCTCGAGACCCCCTGAAGCTGGATGGCTCTGCAAGACAGAAATTCCGCGAAGAAGTATGGAGATACAACCCCTTGATGCTCTTCGCGAAGGAAGTCAGTACGTCAGAATGGCATGACCTAGTTCAGCTGTACGAGCAACAATCCAAGCCGTCTTATCAGAACGACTTCCGCGACAACACGCTGGCGTGGAAAAAGGCAGCTCGTAAGCCTACTGGAGAGGAGCAGGAACTCCTTTTTACCCACCAAGAGAAGGAGAAGGAGGGTGAGGGCATCACGATGGCCGCTCGTAAGCTGACCGTTCGTCGCGGCAAGACCATCCGAGCTGCAACTGGTCTGCGCTTGGCTTCGAGCGAAAAGAAACCCACCAGCAAGGTGGAGCCGTGCGAGGCATTCGCCTCCAGTCTACGGGAAACATTGCATATGATTACGGATGAGCAGAATTTCGTCGTTCAATTCTTCCACCTCGACTCTCTTGCTACTGCCGACTTCTCGGACCTGGTGGCTGCTGCTAGCCCAGAGGATCGCCAATGCCCCGACTTCACCGTTAAACATTCCCCCGATCCCGACCGTCAGACGGCGAAGCGTGTCGAGCAGATCATGGATGAGATTTATTCTTTCTGGCCTAATGACCTGCAGAGCATGGTGGATTGGGCAGTTCAAGCTGATCCAATGTAAGTTGTCCTTGAATTCGCATTGTTCACTATGCAACGGCCCAGCATGCTAATATACATCTCCCTCTAGGCAAGGAATTGGCATCCTGTTTGCTCTCGAGTCAGCTATGACTGAACTAGACGACACTAATCAAGAATTCATCACTCACTCTCTCCAGAAGGTCCACGCGCGATTGATGGGCTTGTTCAATCGTTTCGTGGATGAGCAGATCCGCGGTATCGAAGACACCAAGGTCAAGGTCAACAAGCGAAAGGGGGTCATTTCCTTCATGCGGGTCTTCCCCAACTTCTCCACGGCCGTCGAAAATATGCTGGCCAACTCGGTTGCCGAGACTTGTGAGATCCGTGTCAGTGTGAATGATGCGTACGACCGCATCAACCGGGCCATGTGGGAGTCACTGAAGTTCATCGCCAAGGAAGCACCCGGCCAGCTGCCCGGAGTGGCTGCCAGCGCTGGAGACCCCGAGGATAAGGAGGTCCTCAACTACCACATCTTGCTGATTGAGAATATGAACCACTACGTCGAAGAAGTTGATGTACACAGTCTGCCCGTACTCGAACGCTGGGCAGACCGAGCACGCCAAGACTTTGACGAGCACATGAAACTGTATCTTGACGCCGTCATCTATCGTCCCCTGGGCAAGTTGCTTGACTTTATCCAGTCCATCGAGACCCTGCAGGCCAATGGCAGTCCGGGTGAGATTGCGACGCGTGCTAGCCACTCCCGCATAGTGGCCAAGAAGGTGCTCTCCTCGTATGACGCCAAGGAAATCAAGCGTGGCGTGGAGATGCTCAAGAAGCGCGTTGAGAAGCACTTTGGCGATGCCGACGACCCTGGTCTCAGCCGCAGCCTGGTGCTCAAGGTGCTCCGTGAATGCGAGCTTCGATATGAGAATGTATGGGACCGTACTCGGCACATCATCGACATGGTATACGAGGGACAGCTGGAGATGGATTGGCGCAAGGAGGATGCCGTGACCATGTTCCGGAAATGAGGTCCCTGTTTGATTCATCTTCCTCTTCCCTCTAGAACCTTTGATTTTTTGCCCTCTTTGATTGGGACGTTAATTGGCGTGTGTGGGATTTGCAGCGGACATTTGGGTCACATCAGCTGGGCGTATGGGTTTCGTAGTCCTATGTGTTTTAATCTATAGCCCGACCATGATATACCGTTCTGGAAGAATTCTTCACGAAAGTTGGTGAACGTCGTCATCTGTGATTCTATACTGTAATACTGTCCATTGATCAGCGGCCGTTCTCCGAACATGGTCAATAGTCATTCCTCGTGCCATCCCATTTTCGTCTACTTTGCCGTGCCGCATCCCGATGATTGGATGGCTGCCCCCAATGGGCCCACCGGTTCGAGGCCGTCTCAATTTCCATTCAGGGGCACGCTCTGGTCTGTGCTTCTCTCGACGGACACGCAGTGTAATTACCTTAAAGTGGACTATCACAGAGGGCTACGTATTCCGTAATGAAATTAGACCGTCACGGAGTAAGTAGGTTAGATAACGGGCAAATGAATCATGAGGTCTACCGGTCTCAGAGATATGGTTGATTGACCGTAATTAAGCATAGATTGGGCGGACGGGGTTAATCCGAGAACCAACCAGTCCCTGACCATTAGGGGCACCAGAGGCTGTTATAGTTGCACTCCTCCCAGCTCTTTTTGCGATTACACTGCAATTGCATTGGAAAGGCTAATCTTCGAGATGAAAAAAGGTCAAGCGATCTGAGCAAAGTCACGATCGGATCTAGCAGTAGCTATCCTCCCCAGCTGAAACTCACAGGCTTGCCAATTGGGCTAAGAAAAACCCATACAAACTCCCCCAGCGGTCGGTGTGGGGAGAGAAACTGAAGATCGGTGATTTGCGCTCTATGGGATCTTCTTTCTCCTTTCATACCATCACCGTCGATTCTTTTTTTTTTTTTTTTTCTCTCTCTTCAACTGTTATTTCCTTAGCCTTTGTGGATTCTTCTCAATTCTCTCAATTCCTTTCATACTTATCTTTTTTATCGTGAGTATCCCCTCTAGCAGAAGCCCCTGGTTTCTTCCCCCACTGTTCCTCGCCAAGGGCTGGAGGTTCGTCTCCACAACGCGAAAGGTTTCGCAAGGGGGGGGGCACGGTCTCAATGGGACTCTTTAGTCTCTTTGGACCCTTCGAGCCGTCGATTACGGTGTCGAGGGATCGTGCTAACTGTTTCGATCGTCTGCACTCGCTTTTGCTTCTTCTTCAAACGTCTTTCTATCCTCCCCCCTTTGGCCCCCAACCGCCCCGTGCCAATTGATACCACCACCACCACGATCTCCTTCTTCCCCCCTCGATACCCCAGCGCCTCCTAATGATATGACCCGCTAGATCTCACGAGCTGCCGCATACCTTCGATCGCACAGAACATTTCTCGATCATCCCTTTCACCCGGACCTAACGAGGCTGGAATCTTTCCGTGCATGTCGCGTTCCAATTGACCAACCCAAGATTCCCCCGTCGTGAACCTCTCCCCGGCCCTCCCTTGCTGGAATTCTTGCGATCGGGAATTCCCCAGTCCGCCCGTCGCGGGGATTGGCAACACAAGCCCGAGCGCCGAAGCTTGTGGCCTTGACATTCCACAGATCGCGCCGGCTAGACCAGTCTCGTCGCCGCTGCCATGCCCTGGCGGCCGCTGCCTCGCATTGCCTTTGCGGTGGCCATCTACCCGTTCCACCCCTCTTCCCCGGCGGACCTCCCCCTCGAACTCGGCGATGAATTGTATATTATTGAACAAGGCGGGCTGGACGGTGAATGGTGCCGCGGATATCTTGTTGCGCCACCGTCATTACTTGCGGGATTGACCAGTACCAAGGGTCAAACGCTCGAGGCCCGCGTCTTCTCGGGTATCTTCCCGCGGAATTGCGTCGAGATTCACGAAGTACTTGGCGACGGCGAAGGATATAAGGCGCTACTCAATGGCGATCGGAAGAGCGTAGATCGCCTGACCCTGCCAGGTCTGTCGGGATTGGATGCCGACCTGGTGTCGCGCAGCAGTGTGGCCTACTCGGTCACCGAGTCCCAGACCGGCGGTGAGGTGTCCGAGGTGGTAGTCGCGAAGAAGGGCAAGCCCGCGCAAATTGTGATTCACAAAATCGACGAGGCTGATCTATCCAACCCGCCATCCGCTCATACCTACCGAACTGGTTCGATCCCGCATACGCCCGTGACTCTCGCTCCCCGCGATCCCGATGCGCCGAAGCCTGCGGCCCCCGTGCCGATGCTCAAAATTGGTGACGAGACACCCACCTCTCTAACGGAGCCATTGGTCGATGAGATTGCCTCCTGCCTGCGCGAATGGCACTCGACAAATTTGCATGAGCTGCTGCTGGCTCGCCAGTATGACGTGTTGGAGGAAATGTCAACGATCGTTCAAGAATTGGATTTCGCGCGGCGCCAATTGCTGCACAATGTCTTGACTGGGAAAGAGAAGGAGGCGCTTCGCGATGAGACGGTCTGGAAGCTTGTCAGGGCCAATAAAATGCTGAGCGGGGATACCATCGTACGAGACCCCGAGCAGCGAGGCCGATTGTTGACGGGTGAAGATTCGGCTATTCAACTTGCGAAGCTCCAGTCGGAGATGAGTATGCTTGATAGCAGCCCCATTACCAATTCTGATAGCACCGCTCTCAACCACCTCTTGTTGGAGATCAACGCCGTATCTGGAAATGCCCCAGGACCCGTCTCTCTTGGAATTCAGCTGTATTCGCGGTCTGACGCTGGCGCATATAACCCGATGTCCGAAACATACAGCTTGGATATCCCGTCTCCTGATAAGTTTGTCAGTTTGACACAGAGCAATAAACTAAAGACGCTATTCACCGAGCTCGCTGCAACGGATATTGGAGATGGTTCCCCAAATGGTCGCCAACTCTATGTGGTTGCTTCCGTGCGTGCGGCCGAATATCGGTCGACCGTTGACAACACACCCGTCTCGAGATCATCAATATCACGCGAAGGCTCTACGGCTTCGAAGCCAGCTGGAGCTGGTGGAATCCAGCCATCGGCCAAGGGCAGTCTGCGTACACGGCGAAGCATGATGTGGGCACCTAAGACTCGCGGCTCACCTAGTCTAGACCAAATACCCAGGTCTGGGGCCTCGGGAGCTCCGCGGTCATCAAGCAGCTCGTCCGCCCCGCAAGAGCCAAACGCTCCCTATCCGACCCCGACGAAGGAGAGCTCTGCCATTCGAACCATCGGTGTGGGTATTTTGGAGGTCTCCCCAATTCTACGACAAGATCGGGATACGGAATCTGTCATCAACATCTGGTCTCCTCCCCGCGAAGGCGAAGAAGGCGAGGTTCACACAGACGGGTTTGATAAGTTACTTCAAACCCTTCTTCCCAGCTCAACTGGTCGGTACATACGTGCCGATACTGCTCGTCTGCACATACATCTGCATCCGTTCACGAGTACCGACCCGGAAGCCCTTGTGCGCCAGAACCCAACAATCCTCCAGGATGTTGTACAGACTCGCCGCATAGGTTTCTCCAAGGCGCCTACCAAGCCCCGATCAGATATCTATGTGACTATCTCGCAGGCTGTTTTCCCAACAGATGCTCTGCTGTCTCACCCAACGGCTGGCCAGATCCCTCTGCAGCCAACTACCGACCTCCGAAATCTCCAGCTCACGCTAGAAATTCGTGATTCTTCTGGTGCCCGGGTGGACAAGTGTGTCTTCCCTTCATCTGCCAACACTTCCCACACTGCATGGCGGACGACAATCGCCCAACGGGGCACGCCATGGTACCAGACGATTCGTTTGAATATTCCCACCGAGAAGATTCCCGGCTCGCACATGATAATGAGTGTCGCCGATGCGCCAGAATTCCCTTTCGCTCTGGCATGGATGCCTCTTTGGGACCAGCAGGCTTTCATCCGAGATGGTCAGCACTCTCTGCTGCTCCATGCTTATGATAAGCAGACATCCAGCATTGAGAATGGCAAGGGCGCATACTTGAATCTCCCGTGGAGTGCTCTGGGAAAGAACGAGTCGGCCAAAGATGAAGCGGTCACGGGCCCTTTGGCAACTCTGCGTCTCCAGACTCACCTCTGCAGTACGGAGTACTCGCAGGATCAAGTTATTTTGAGTTTGCTGAACTGGAAAGAGCGTCCTGTCGACGAGGTGCTGAACACCCTTAAGCGGTTGCTTTTCGTTCCGGAGATGGAGATTGTCAAGCAAGTCCGTGGAGTTTTCGATGCGCTTTTTGGCATTTTGGTTGAGAACGCCGGCAACGAAGAATATGAGGACCTGATATTCAACAACCTGGTCACTGTACTAGGAATCGTTCATGATCGGCGTTTCAACCTGGGCCCTCTGGTTGACCATTACGCGGACGAGCAATTCAACTTCCCCTTTGTGACCCCATGCCTGATTCGGAGCTACCTGCGCCTTTTGAATGCTGCGACCGATTCTTACCAGTCCCGTAATCTGCGTGCTGCGTTCAAGGTTGGACGACATCTGCTCAAATTCATTATTAATGCTCGCGAGCAGCAAAAAGCCAAGGAAGAAGGTATCGGAATCACTTCGGTCCAGTCAACCTTCAACAGGGACTTGCATACGATTTTCAAGTCGATGGAAAGCCTTATGAAGAACACCTCCCCGGCTTTGGTTGGAAGCAAGACTTTGATTGTGCAACACTTCCATTCATGGCTACCCGAGCTGTCCAAGGTCCTTGGCCGCGATGAAATGATTATGATTGCTCTGAGTTTCATGGATTCTTGCAAGGATGTGACGGGGATGTTGGTTCTTTACAAGCTGGTTCTCATCCAAAGCTATACCCAGTTCGAGATCTTCGCTTCTGGGGAGGAGAGAAAGACTCTGATTTCCAGCTGCGTTGGCTGGCTAGCACCTTATTGGGGATCGACTGCTAGCGTGTCGGACCAGTATCGTGACCAGGTTCGCCTCAGCAGTGCCATCGTGGCCCAGCTACTGACGCAGTCTCACCCTCAACTTTACGATTTCATGCCCAGTATCGTTGCCTCTTACTGTGCTATCTCTGCCGAGGGAGTGGATGATACGGAATACTTGTCCCTGCTCTTTAGCAAGTCTTTCCCCTTCCAGGTCAAGGTTTCCAAGACTCCCCAGAAGTTTGATGAAGCTTTGGTTGAGTTGTCAGCAATCATGGCAACAATTTCCAAGATTGTGACACCCACGACTCCTAATCTTAAGGAGCTGGAGCTCGCGACGTTCGTTGGACAGGCACTCGAGGCCCACAACTCTATCATTGACTGCGAGGCTTACCCGGAGACGTGGTTTAGCATTCACGTGTACAACCATCGCGCCGCAATCAAGAGCCTGGAGCACCTTGCTCTCCTCCTGATTGACAAGCTACTGCCAGATGCTGACGACGCTGACGACTTTGACACGAAACTCTGGGAGTCATTCTTCACGACGCTACTAAAGGTGATTTCAAGTGACGCTTTGGCTCTGGAAACCTTCCCGGAGCAGAAGCGCCGCGCGGTCTGGAAGATTGCGGGTGACGTTCGCGAGCAAGGTGCTGATCTTTTGCATTCTACGTGGGAAGCAATTGGTTGGGACACTACAGATGAGGAGCGAGAACGCTTCGGCCTGAAGAAGCTGGGTGGCTACCAGGTCCAATATGTACCGAATCTGGTGCCCCCTATAATTGGGCTGTGTTTGAGCGTGCATGAGGGTCTTCGCCATGTTGCCGTTCACATTCTCCGGACGATGATTCTGAGTGAATGGGACTTGAATCAGGATATCTCCATCATTGAAACTGAGATAATCTCTAGTCTAGACTCTCTCTTCAAGGTCAAGCACATGAGCGAGAGTGTCAGCCAGAAGATCTTCATTGGAGAGTTGATGGACTTGTTTGAGGGGGATGCCGAGTCTGATGAGGATCTGTTCAATGCTGTCAAGGGTCTCATTGCTACCGTTGATGAGCTCCTCGATCTCCTGGTTGCCTCACAGAGCAGTAGCTCGACTCAGAGTCTGCATGCCCTGAAGCTTATGGAATACATGAAGGATATGGGTCGCGAGGACATCTTCATCCGTTATGTCCATGAACTTGCCGACCACCAGGCCACCTATGACAACTTCACCGAAGCTGGTCTAGCCCTCCAATTCCATGCCGACCTTTACGATTGGGACGTCAACAAGCCTCTTGCTGAGCTCCTGAAGCCAGCTTTCCCAGCACAGACTGCGTTCGAGCGAAAGGAATCTCTTTACTTTTCAATTATCCAGCACTTTGAAAATGCCATGGCCTGGGCTCCTGCGTTGGCTTGCTACAAAGAACTTGCAGCGCACTATGAGAGCACGACCATGGATTTCGCGAAACTTTCCCGCGCGCAGGGCTCCATGGCTCGTATCTACGACTTTATCGCTAAGGGTGCCAAGCAATTCCCGAGGTATTTCCGCGTGGTCTACAAGGGTCTTGGATTCCCGCCTAGCTTGCGGGATAAAGAGTTTATCTTTGAAGGCTCCCCTACGGAACGCATGGCGTCGTTTATCGATCGTATGCAACGGGAGCACCCTACTGCGCAGATTATGTCATCGGGCGAAATTCCTGATTACGAGGGTCAATTCCTACAGATCAGCGGTGTTACGGCCCATCGCGATGTTTCTCATCCTGTGTATCAGCGGTCCAAGGTGCCTGGATCTGTTCGTGAACACTTGCTGATCTCCGATCCCTCTCGCTTCTCGGCCACTTCTCGGAGACATACCAGCAGCTCAGATGTGCGGGAGCAGTATGTTGAGAAACTCATCTTCTCCACTGCGGAGCCTTTCCCGAATATCCTTCGCCGCAGCGAGATCATTGCCGTGAAGGAGATTGCCCTCTCTCCTCTGCAGACTGCCATTGAACGGACCTGGCGCAAGACCCAGGAATTGCAGCTTCTGGAGCGTCGGGCTGCATCTGGTGAGGACAATGGCTTGTCGAATCTGACCGAGGCACTGGAGCAGTTGCTTGAGATGCGATCATCGCCGTCCAATTGTGTTGCTGTTTACCGTGCATTCCTGAGCGGTGCTCAGGGGATCAAGGAAAATGGCGACACCGCAGAGACAGAGGATGGCGATGACGAAATGAATGGTGAAGAAGATGTCCCGGAGACCATGGACCCGATGGAGAACGCTCTTGCGGTCGCTCTCATCGATCATGCTCTAGCTATCAAGCACGCTCTGTCGCTCTATCAGCGTCCCGCTCACCAAGCTACCCAGGCTGAGCTCCTCCGGCGTTTCGAGGCAGTGTTTGACCCTGAGCTTGCCTCTCTCTCGACCACCCCGCCGGAATACTCATCGCCGACACCCACCCAGCCTGCTCGGCGGTCACCATCGTCCGATACGCGGCGCAAGCAGGCTGTGCAGCGATCCGTCAGCCCGGAACAAGAGCTTATCCGGGCATCCCGGGGTTATACACACAACCGTAAACGTTCAGAACGGCAATCGGTCAGCCACCGGATTAGCATCATCAACCCCTTCAAGCGGTCGCATGTTGCCTCGAACTCTATCTTTACCATCCAGCAATCACCCGAGAAGGCTCAGAATGTGACGGGTGACCTTGACGAGGGTGCCGAAGACGACGCCGCCACTATCCACAGTCGAGCCACGAGTCGATCCCGGGGTGGTAAGAGTGACAAGCGTCGCAGCTGGTTCGGCGGAGAAAAAATGAAGCATGGTTCGTCTCCCTCCGTAGCTGCCGTCAGCGAAGACGTCCATGGCGCGTCTCTCAAGAAGCGTCCCTCGCGAAGTGCATCCCGCGACACTGCTGCCCAGTCTCATGACGGACGCAGTCGTGCAGGCTCGCAGCATCGCGGACCGGTTGCTACCGGTGCCGTGAGCACACCCGTTGAGCGACCAGCTCCTGCCTCGAGTGGAGGGTGGTCAACCATCCCACCGACGCGCGATTATTCGCGCCCAGTGACTCGGGACAGCACCCATACCGGCCGCGACTTGGCAGGCAGCTTGAACGGAACATCGCGGGCGTCAGTGTCGGTGCAGCCCGTGAACAATAACTCGAACAAGGACGGGATGCGCGACTCGGTTTTCCGACGGTTTAGTCTGTTGAAGGGGGTTGGTCGCAAGACGAGTCGGATGGATTTCAAGGCTACCGGTACCTTGCAAGAGGAGTAATGCTGGTTTTCCCGCAACCTCTTTCTCTTGAAATACCCTTTTTGGTTCCCATCACGTTGACGCTTTCCTTTTCCTTTTTCTTTTCTTCTCCCTTCCTTCTTCCTCTTCTCTTCTTCTTGATGTGACTTACTACTTCTTTTGATGTAACCTTTCCTTTGCCTTTGTAATTTCTCCTTTTTGATTCTCCCCGCCCTCTTGAGTCTACCTCTTTCTCTTTCCTTCCCGTCATTATTTTTCTTTATGGATCGGGGGACTTTTGTCTGTTTTCTTGAGGGGTGTTTTGAGATAGATACCAATGTTGTTCTAGTTCGTATCTCCGCATAGTGTTTGGCCTACGTCAGTCTATCCTTTCTGTGGTGCTTAATGGATGTACAGTAAATACCTCAATATTGGGGATATCGAATACTAGATATCTGCATGGCCTCGTTTAAATGACCAGCCACATTTTGCTTTTCGTATAGTGCTTGGCAGTGTCTGATCTCTTCCCCAATTCTCATTGCCAAATCCAAACCATCGTCCTTGGGACGACCCAATGCATCACGCTGTGTGGCAGTGCATTCCTTGGCCCAGAGCGGATCCAATCAGCATCCTCGACACTAGTAACTCGGGTGGGTCCGCTTCCCCCGATCGGCGTCCAAGCTCCCTGGTTCCTAGCGCTCTCTGGTATCGTAATGCAGTACTGCAGTACAATACTGTACTCTGTCTCCGTACTCTCTTCCAACTCCCAAGCTCCGAAACGACGCTAGTGTCAATCAGATGCTGCATCAAGTCCATCGAGGCTGTGCACGTCTGCTTTCCTCCATCGAACTCTCGCGTAACCCATTTTTCCACCACGGAGCTATACCCTCCCTTTCCATTCCTATCCACACCCCCGCCTGTTACGTCGCAAGCTAACCCACTGGAACCACGGGTTTGTGGCTGGAAACACCCCCGCCCAATTCTCCATTTGACTTCCCTCGACTGTGTTCGAAGCTTGGCTCATCAACGAAACCAAGGATATGTGTAGGTTGAACTCTCCTCTCCGCAACGCTTGCTCTACTTTTCCCTTTCCACTCTTTCCCTCTTTGTCTACCATTACCTATTCATCCCCTAGTCTTCTTCCCTCCTCTTCCGCCTCTTCCCGACGAGACCCTTTGTCTCCAATGACCCCGTGCAACTGACAATCTACCTACCCGTTGCACATCTTGCTGACGTTTCCCTCGCTTCCCACTCCTTAGCTTCCGTCGGGTTTCGCTCGCAAGTGCGGAGCCATAGCTTCGGTCTCACCAGGAAAATGAGTTCCTCCGGCAATGGTCGTGCGGAGGCTGGTGAACGTACCGCGCTGTTGGGTCATATCGGTCACTCCTCGTCATTCTCCGGCCTGGCGCCGCATGAGCAGATTGAGCATGGTGGTCATCACCATCATCCCAAGGATAATCGCGTTTGGGTCCGCTGGCCTATGCATGTCGTGCGTTTGACCTGGTTGACTCTGGTCCGCGATTATGTCAATCTTCTTTTGGTGGTCGTGCCCTTGGGTATCGCTGCTGGGGCACTCGGTTGGGATCCGAGTGCCATCTTTGTGTTGAATTTCTTTGCCATTATTCCGCTTGCGTCCCTGCTGAGCTTTGCGACGGAAGAGTTGGCTGCGACGATGGGCCAAGCTTTGGGTGGTTTGATGAATGCTACTTTTGGTAATGCCGTTGAGTTGATTGTAAGTGCTGGATTGTCCTTTTCCTCGTTGGAAAGATGCTTCCTAGGTTTTGTTCGAAGGGAATGCTGATTGACTTGGGCTTCATAGGTCAGCATCATCGCCCTCAAGGATAACCAGATCCGTGTCGTCCAGGCCAGTATGCTCGGTAGTATCCTCTCCAATATCCTGTTGGTTCTGGGCTGCTGTTTCTTGGTGGGTGGTCTACGTCACCGCGAGCAATCCTTCAATAGCACCGTGGCCTCTACAATGTCATCCCTGATGGCAGTGGCATCTGCCTCGTTGATTATTCCGGCTACTCTCTGGGCGGCCCTGTCCAACTCCGAGCAAAGTGCACGCGATAACATCCTCATCTTGTCCCACGGTACCGCTATCATCCTGCTTGTCATCTATGTGATGTACCTCTGGTTCCAGCTCCGCTCCCACGCCGATCTCTTCGAGGAAAGCAACAATGCCGAGACTGGTCAAGGGGGCGAGGCAGAAGCAGAAGAGGAGGAGGAGCGTCTGCTGAACCCGGTGGCTGCTACCGTGGCCCTGATCGTCGTGACTATCCTGGTGGCCATCTGCGCTGATTACCTGGTCGGTAGCATCGACAGCATCGTGGAAAAGACCGGTATGAGCAAGACTTTTATCGGTCTGGTGCTGATTCCCATCGTTGGCAATGCCGCCGAGCACGTCACTGCGGTGGTGGTTGCGTACAAAGATAAGATGGATCTCGCGATCGGAGTTGCTATTGGCAGCAGCTTGCAGATTGCCCTCTTTGTCACTCCCTTCCTGGTCATCCTGGGCTGGATCATGGGTATTGAGATGACTCTGCACTTCCAGACCTTTGAGACCGTCGCTTTCTTCATTTCCGGACTGGTGGTGACTCTCCTGATTCAGGATGGCAAGTCGAACTACCTGGAGGGTGGCATGTGCCTGGGAATGTATGTCTCTTTCCATCTCCGCATATCACTCACTTGATTATTTTTCTAACTTCCTGTACAGGTATCTCATTCTCGCCCTGGCATTCTATGTCTACCCCGATGATGTCAACGAGGGAGCTGGCGGCATCTTCAGCAAGCTCGTCAATTGAGCTGGGCTTTACATATCTACAAAATCGGAAGAACTCTCTTCGTGAATACTCGGTCGTTACTCCTCTCTTTTACCTACTTGACTATCAGTCTTCAGTCATAGTGGGATTATGTCCTTATATCTTCTGCGCACTCAGCTAGCTGGTCTCTTCGTTGCGTCTCCTGTGGCCCACCCACCTGTTTTCCTTTACTCTGTTCAAAAACCTTCCAAATTCATGCGTCCATAGGTTCTCCTCAATGCAACTGTCATTTACCTTAATCCGGGTGCTCTGCCCACGTGCTCATTCACCAGATCTGTTCCTGGAAAAGGCTGCGGCGATTCCCGACTGGCTGATTATGTCATTTTCTCACTGTCTTATCGGCCCTATCGGCATTGCGGGGCCGGGCAGTCATCATGATCACCTGATTGGGTGCCTCTGCATCGTCAAAAGAAGTAGCGGATCCACTCGACGCACTCCATCTCCTCGACTTGACTAGTTCGGAACAGGGCCGATTCCACACTATCTCTCCTCACGCGGGGTCTGGCCTACCAATGACCTCAATTTACGAACCTCATTGTGGACATATATAAGTAGTTGCGCCTTCCCTTCCCAACCTCATACTTGTCACACACAGGCAAGATCGAGCAGAGAATGGGCGATCTGAGTCGACCCACCTGATCTCCCCAATATGGCCGTATCGATGACTTCCCTGGTGGCCATTGCCATCGTGGCTGTGGTGGTGTACAAGGGCATTATTTATCCTGCCTTTATCTCGCCGCTGGCAAAGGTCCCTAATGCACATTGGAGTGTGCCGATATCGCCGATTTGGATGCTATGGAGGCGTTTTCGGATGCAGAACAATCGAACCATCCAGGCTGCGCACGAGAGACTTGGACCCATTGTGAGATTGGGGCCTTCTGAGATCTCGGTCAATTGCGTGGATGATGGGATCAAGTCTGTTTATACGGGTGGGTTTGAGAAACATGAGTGGTATCCCCGGGTTTTTGGGTCGCTTGGGTGAGTGGGTAATGTCCTTTTGCGTTACCGTTACTGGGCTGATGTTCTGATCAAATTTGGTATCACAGGACTGTGAGCATGTTCACCATGGTTGGAAGCAAAACCCACTCTATTCGAAAGAGGATGTTGTCCAATATATACTCCAAGTCAACGCTACAGACGTCACCAAATCTACGATTGGTCTCTAAAGCGGTTATCCTCGACCGTCTACTACCGATTTTGCAAGAGGCTGCGGATTCGGAAAAACCCCTTGACGTGCACGACCTGAACCAAGGATTGACCATGGACTTTGTCTCTTGCTACCTCTTCGGTCTCCGGAATGGCACGAATCATCTCCAAGACCATTCATACAGAAAACACTGGCTCCATTTGTACTTGTGCCGGAAACCATATGAGTTCTACCACCAGGAAATGCCATACCTGAATGGGTGGATGAAATGCCTGGGTCTTCGCGTTATCCCGAAATTCTGCGATGAAGCCAACGACGTACTCGATTCCTGGGCCCTGGACCTCTGCGGCAAAGCAGAACAATCAGTGAACTCGACCGATCCGTCCGTCGAACCTATTGTCTACAAGCAATTAAAGCAGAGCCTGGATAAGCAAGCTGCCAAAGAAGGTGTCAAGCCCGATCGGGCTCAGCAATTGAACGATATCGCATGCGAGATGTACGATCAACTCACCGCGGGCTTTGAAACCAGCGCCGTGGGATTGACATATCTCCTCTGGCAACTTTCCCGACACCCGGATATCCAGGATCAGCTTCGCGAGGAATTGTCCACCCTGGACCCTCCCATTGTCTTCCCTGGGTCATCGGAACTGCCATCGGCCAAGTCCATTGATAATTTACCGTTGCTGGAAGCTATCGTCACGGAAACCCTCCGTCTTCACGCCCCGATTCCCGGCATTCAACCCCGAGTCACGCCCGAGCCTTCGTGCAGCTTGGTTGGATATGATAACATCCCTGGAGGAATAAGAGTCAATGCACAGGCTTACTCGCTGCATCGTAACCCGCAGGTCTTCCCAGACCCGGAGTCTTGGCAGCCGAAGCGCTGGCTCAAGGAAGAGAACGACCCGGAAGAGCTGGAAGAGCGGCGTCGGTGGTTCTGGGCGTTTGGAAGCGGAGGGCGGATGTGTGTGGGAAGTAATCTCGCGCTGCAAGGTATGGGTTTGAAATTGACAGTGATACGTTGGCTGGGCGATTTGCTAATGAAATCTATAGAAACGAAACTCGTTGCTGCGGCTATTTACTCGAATTTCCGCACTACCATCGTGAACGACGATGATATCGACGCTATCGATGCTTACACCGTCCACCCCCGAGGAGAGAAACTGATCCTCAAGTTCGAGAAAGTCTAGGGTCCAGCAGAACCGATTGAGTAGAGCTTTAAAAAACTATATTTTCCAAAAATTGCCAAGATAATAATACAATCAATTCTTTTCAAAGGCAATGCCACGTTCCACGTAGGTATAAGTACTGTACAGATGCGCAAAAGAACAAGACCAACTCCCGTATCACCTCGGACAACATGGCCGTCACCAGTGCAGCGAACGCCAATATCAAGAGTCTTACTCGAGCCTGACATTAGCACTTCCGCTTACACCGAGCCTCGCAAGGTATGTGTGATCCCAAAACTCCCGTATGAAGATTTCGATAAATGGCACGACACGGACGTCCCATGCCGTAGTGTCCACACCGAAGACCGAACATTTAACCCAAAACACCGTCCTTCTTGCGCGGTCCCACCACCTTGGGGTACATTCTCATCAGATGGTAGTTGACAGTGTTCTTCTTCTTCTCTTGTGATTTCTGTATAGCACGGGAATATATTAGTAGGTAGGTTCGGACAAGCGAGGTCGACGGACGGGTAAAGACGTACGGGTGCATCCATGCACTTGCGCAATTGCGCCTCGAGGCCGGCACAGCCTTCGTGGCCGTATCCTTGAGAGGCCCAGCAGTCTATTCGCAGCGGAATCGAGTCAGTAATTGATCATTTACGGGGAAATCGGGAGCTGTTGCTGGGGCTGGCTGGCTGTCACCATCGCGGGTTTGTGCTAAGCACGAGACCGATCGTGGCAGTCACCAACCCCTGCCCCTTCGTTTCCCAGGTGTCCACGGAGGCACATACTCAGCATGGAGGACATGACCGTAACGCAGGCGTTTTGCTCATTTTGATTCGGTCGGCGGACACGGAGGTGGTTGATGGTGTTCAAACGGAGCGGGTTCAACCGGGTCGTGACGTTGCCCTTGGGAGACATGGCGGAAGAGTTGGATAGTCGGAAGAGGCTACAGGAATGGAATTAGAAAGGATCGAAATACTGCGAGGGGCCTCTGTGGACAGCAATCGAGATTGGCGCGCCTGCGATGGGAGTGATGCGCATCAAAATCCCCTCGAAGTTTTGGCTCCGCTACAGGTGGGAATTGGAGCCAGGACGGCATACGCTTAATAAGCCCGGTTCTGCCGGGTCTTATTTATCATGGCTAGTATGGCTATCAGGAGAACTGTGACCTTGAAATTAAACAAAGAGGACACCGATGAGATTAATTTGTTCATCTATAATTTCTACTAGTATGTCTCAAATCTTTCTTTACTCTCCGTCCTCCGCTTTATAGTCTTCCGCATTATAAGCCTATTCGTCCCCTCTGTATGTCTTTTAGATGGTCATTTACACGGACTTTTAGATGGTATTTTACATGGACTTTTAGATGGTCTTTTACATGATCTTTGAGATCGTCCTTCAGATTGTCTTTTGAGTTTCCTTCTATGAGAAGATGGTTCATTTGTGGCTCATTTTCAGCTGACCTGAGTAAAGTCGAGGGCATCCATAGAAAAGCGGCTTCCTAGGCGGTCTGTCTTATCTCAAGGGTGATGATCAAGCGTGTGTCGGCCTGGCCCCAATTTCCCGCCCTTGGACTCCGCGGAGGTGGATGACATAAGCAGCTTGGATCGGAGTTCGATGTGCCTGAGCTTGCCACTCTCAGAACTTGTTTTATACCCAGTTCACGAGACCCTTTTTTTGATCATCAGTGACCTTATTAGGTGTCAAGTATAAGGGGCTGTCGAAAATGCCAGGATCCCAAATTTGGAGTGCTCAGTTGTGTCGAGTGCCCGTTCGTGCATCGAGGTGCGCAGCTCCCGCAACTCGATACCTTTCGGCGTCATGTCAACCAAGACAACAGAACACGGCGACTTCCTCGGCGAAGAGCCAAGGGAACCACAAGAATGATACCGCACCAGCAGAGGAGAAGGAAGAAGGTGCCATGGCCCGTCGGTTGTCGCAGATGACCGAGGATGCCATGCTGGAAGGTGGCCGATCAGCGCGCCGCAACCTAGAACAGGCGGGGTTCTCGGAGGACTTGAAGAGACAACTGGAGGAACGAGTGAAAGCAGCTTCATTCAAGAGTGAATATGCCGCTGCTCACTCGATTCTGGACATGCCGGTACGCTCTTGAGACCGAATCCATGTTTTGATCTATACAACTAACAACATCCACCTCTCACATCCATAGGTCAGCGCTGGCCAAGGAACACGCGAGACAGCCGCAGCTCAAGCATGGACAGGCACAGAAAGCTTTCAAGACACAGCCCTCCGCATGCTCGACGATGCCAGCAAACCAATCCGAACACCCTACAAAATCCCCCAACCCGTGAACCTCCAACCCGCCGCCAAACCCAAGCACTCGACCGGAACCCGTCTCGCCGCCGCCAAAGAGCGCACGTCCAAATACGCCTTGAGTCAAGACCCAGGCCTATCCGATGATCAACGCGCAGCCATGCGACGAGAAATGAGAGAAAAATTAATGCCCGGCGCTCACTCCATGCCCATATCCATCCAAGGCCTATCATCCTTGGCGAACGAGCGAATCGAAGACGCCATTGCACGCGGACAATTCGATAAAATCAAACGCGGCAAGGGCGTCAATACCGAGACGGACCATAATGCGAATAGTGCTTTCATCGATACGACGGAGTACTTTATGAACAAGATTATTCAGAAACAGGAGATTGTCCCGCCGTGGATTGAGAAGCAACAGGAACTTGCGTCCGAGTTGAGTCGGTTTCGACAGCGGATACGTACGGAGTGGAGGAGACATGCTGCGAGGTTGATTGCGAGTCAGGGTGGTTCTTTGGAGGCGCAGATGCAGCGGGCTAGGGGGTATGCTGCGGCCGAAGCGCGGTTAGCTCAGAGAGCGAAGGCAGAAGCTTTGCTGAGGGATGATAGAAGTGATGAGTCGGTTTCTGAGATCGCATCGGATGGACGGATTGTGTCGAGGGCTGCATCGCCAGAAGCTTCGGTCGAACAGATTAATGAGGAGGCGGAGGGTACTCTCCATCTTCCGCCGCTGCGAGATGAAAGTTATCTCGCCATTGAACGCTCCTATCATGAACTCGCTGTGAAACAACTCAACGCTATCGCCCGTTCATATAATCTACAGGCGCCACGCTCGGCTCAGAAACCATATGTGAATCTTGAGCGGGAGCTCAAGTCTTGCTTTGCTGATGTCGCCCCACAACTCGCAGAGGAGATACGACGGCGTGCCACAGAGCGTGCACGCCCATCGTTCCCTGTGGCTGCTCCGAGGTCGAGCGTGCTCGGCTCGCTGGGCACGGCACAGTCGGTGCATGTCTACGAGGAAGATAAGGAGAATGGATATGGAATGAAGGAACTCTGGAGAGATTTGTTCTCTAAAAAGTGATAAGAAATAAAGAACGGCAATAAAACAGGAGGGGTCTTAGAAAAGGTGCCATGTGTATGATATCAGTCGGGACTCCCCTCTCCTCCAGGCAACCAAGGTGAAGATGTACTTGTAACGCGATAAATCGACTCTCGTTTCCAGAAGTCTTTCGTGAAAGTGAATTCTCCATGGTGTCTCGAGTAATAATGGAACACTCAAACACTCCAAAGCGGAACGTTGTGTCACTCCCCCCGTTCAATGTCGATGCCTTCCGAGTCCTGTGTCTTGTGAGTCGAACCCAAATTACGGATCTCTCTGTATACTTCGACAAGCCAAGAAATGTCGCGGACGCTCGACAGCACCATTTCAAACGTTATGAGCCCGCAAATGCACGCACCAATGCACCCGCAAATGAATCACGCCACGGTCTCGAAGTTCAGCTCCCAGATTCCAGACACCAGATGGGAGCACCCATCCAGACAAGAGGTACACATGATGTGAGAATTGTCAGATAATGAAAAAAAACCACGGAGGAAGCCCAGTGAAAGGGCTCCAAAGCCTGTAGAACAGTAGCTCAATGCAGCCAGATATCCTGGCGTCAAGACTCGGGAGAATATCGAGAGAGAGGGAGGAGGATTCCTGCGATATGACGCCAACTGCGGTGGGATTGGGGTGGACGATAACAAAGCGTGAAGAGGCTGTTTGGTGTAACAGAATTGGCCTTCGCTAGAGAGGCGCAGGGCTGATCGAGGCACAGAATGAAGGTAGTGCAAGTGGGGACGCAAGCAGGATTCAAGTCAAATTGAAGGGCGAGTCCTCTTCACCCTTCAAGAAGAGTTTGGAGTGACTCCGATACTATGCAGACGAGATGGCCTTGACTCTTTCTCTCTTCAGGTATGGATGACGCGCAAAACGAGCTCGTCTGTATCTCAATAAAAGGAAGACACTGAGAACGACTGCTGGTAGGAGCAAGAGAGTTGTCCAGAGAAGTGAGGTTCCGTATGTTGCCAACGGCCTCGCAATGGAGCCCGAACGACACTCAAGGTTACTGCACTGAACTGTGTCGAGGTCTCGTCTCAAAGGAATAATGAACTGATGCCAGGGAATCTTGGGCCAGTTGCCGGGTGGCCAGCCAGCCTGACCAATGTCGGAATCACCAAAGGGCAGTCTGGAGATTAACTCGACGTCCCCTACCCAAATTTCGTTGATGGCGTTTCCTTGTTCGTAGAAATTTCCTGACTTGACCCCTTTGACAACGGAGACGTTGTGGCCCATGACTGATGGGGAGAAAATGAGATGCAACGGGTCATGGCAGAAGGAAAGAAGAAGAGCGAGGAAGAGGAGGAGGATGGAGAAATGTGGGCATTCCCAACGCAAAAAGCAGGAAGGCGCGCCGTGTGAAGAAGGAGCGATGCTCGAACTATACAAGCCACGTGACTGACACAAGTCCCATCTTCACCAACTCCAAACTCCAACCCTTGAACATCCTAGCGAACTCACTACCATCGCCTATCATTGGACATCAAATTCTCTACTTCTCTGCGTCCTGATTGGTTAGTGCTTGGTCCCCCCAATGCCAAGATATCACTGTGGGTACTCTCATCTCAGCTTCTGACTGGCCGCCCGTTGGTGATGATCGTGCATCCGGGCGCTTACTGGCGACCAACGACAGGCCTCGACGGGCCTCGACAGGCGAATGCTTCCCCTGCAGCCTCGACACTCTCTTCACATCATCACACCTGGTGGCTCACCATGTTTTATACCGATCCCATCCCCGCTCTGCCGCCCCGTCACTTCTGGAAACACAATGTGCCACTCGCTCGCACCAGATTCGACGGCACCACCGTTTCGACATGTCGATCGGCACAACTTGACTGCACGCTGCACTTGAAATTGGATTGACCTCTCCCCATTTCTCTCCCCCACCGTGACTGATCTTCTGGTCACAAAAAGTGCCGGCGATGTCTTCCTTCCCGGTTGCTTTCTTCCCCCCTTTTGTTTCAGTGCTTCTCCTTCTGGTTTCTCATTCAAATTTGGTCTCTGGATCAAGTATAGAGCACGTTGGACGCTCTTCTGAGAATCGTCCCCCTCTGGATAAGTCGCTCCTCGGGATCCAGATTGGCAGCATTGCGGGTGCCTACTTGGCCTTTGTCGCGACTCTTCTTGCCCTACTTCTATTTGTCGGACGCAGAATTCGTCGGACGGTTCAGTCTTCCAACTACTCCCTTCAGATGGAAATGCTACAGCCAGTAAAGCAATCACTCAGCATGGATCCCAGCCCAATTTCCCCCATAACGCAAAATCCCCCCAGTCCAACAGCGGGCGGTTTCACTTCCTCATGGGGTAGCATTCCTCGAGGAAGCCGACCATCTCAAACCTCTGTTAACGGTAGTATGGTCACGATCGACGAGTCGGTTGTGGCCTCAGACCGTCAAAAGGCACAGGATCAAATGGAAATGCTCTATGCGGCAGTCATGGAGCATGATGCTCAGAAGGCCTCCGGGGTCAACATCTCCGCGAGAGGTGCGGACTCGCAGGCAAACTCCCCCGACAGCCAATATACGAATCCTTTCACAGACAGACATGCGTCTCAGCCTCTAGAGCCCTCGTACAGAGAGCCATTGAAGTCTCCCAAATCGAATGGCTCCCGTCTTACCAAACTATTCAGCTCGAAATCAAGCTCGAACCCAGATGGAGGAAAGCTGCGGTCCCCGCGATTCCCCCTTCGCAAATTGGGCATTTCATCACCACTTGCTTCGCCAGATCTGACTTCCTCTCGGTCCTACGGTCAGGACCAGGCACCGCTGTCTCCCAGATTCTACAACCCGGGACCGCCTCCAACAGCTCCTCGCACAGGGCCCCCTGCTGCACAGATTATGGCCCCTCCTGGCCGGGCACGGGCACCGCCCGCACCGTTAAATTTGTCTACTGCTGGCCAGCCCCCTTCCAATTTGCCGTTCCGTGACGCATACCCACTACAGAGCGCACCGGCAACGAAGACTACCATCTTGGAACGCCCGACAAAGAACCGCAACGGGCCTGTAACGGGCATGCCCACCCCCTACAGTGCTTACATGCCCTTCACGCCGGTCACGCCGTTCACTCCCGGGCGAATGGTGACCAAACGTGAGCGCCGGCGCGAAGAGCGTGAGAATGGCCTTCGAGTGTTGAACGAAGACGATCTAGTCAAGGATGACAACGATGTGTGGGGATGAGCAAGTAATTGACGGCATTGTCCTAGTGCGTTTTGGTTGGCGTTGACGGGAATTTCGGTGTTCATTCTATACCTTACCCCCGGAGGGACAATATATCTATCCTACAACTTCTATATACATTGGCCGTATCTCACCTGTGATTTATGATGTGCACGAGCTCCGCCGATCTATTTATATTTCTATTTATTTGCCTTCTTCAGGTGCTGCGTACCATTGATGATTGCCTCGGCATAATCTGCCCGACTTCCAGCTTTCTCTAGAGTCAACAGAGCCTGGATCGTGCACCCCCGCGGGGAGGAGATACTCTCACGAAGAACCGCAGGATGAATACCGGACTCCAAAGCAGCCGAGAGTCCCCGTAAGCCACCCAGCATCATCTCCATCGCGTCGGATCGCTTGAGTCCTTCGGCAACACATCCATCCAGGATCCCTTCAATAGGTACAGTCATGGCTGCGAGAGCAGCACCAACAAGCACCGAGCCAAGGTCCATTTGACTCGGAGGAAGGTACTTGATCTCACCGACTTGCTTGAATATCCACTCGACGACCTGGGTCATATGCGTCGGAATTGCATGTTCAGGCGTCTCAATGATAGTAACCGACTGACGAAATTGCGCGCCCATGTTTGGGATAGCCTTGACGATGATTGGAGCTACGACCGAGTGAGAACTATCTGGAACATCGTCTCCGGTCGAATCTAGCGCGCCCTCATGGATAATCCTGGCCAAGTTCTGTGGTGTCTGTCCGGCCAGCAAACTGATGACCAGCTTACCAGCGAGGGCTTCTTCGACGCCCTTGGCTCGGAGAACATCTTCTGCCATGAATGGCTTGAAGCCAAGCATGACAATGTCGGCACTTTTCATAACCTCAACGGGGACGGCTTGAGAAGAAATCACTTCCACGTGAGGCTGCTGCTCAGCAGGGATCGAGGCTCTCAGCCGATCCGCCGAGGCGGCGGTTTTGGTGCAGGCAATGAATTTGGATACTGGTCGTGTATGCTCAGATTTTGATTCATTGGTGAATGCAGCATCGAGTACACCGTGTAGAATGGCGCCTCCCATGTTTCCTGCGGTAAATGATGAGTCAAGTGTCAATTGCGGGCTTGGTTGGGGATTTGGTCACTGACCACACCCGATGAATGCTACGGTGGGCTCTGAGAATGACATTGTGCAAGAGGAGTATGCTGGCTCGGTGTATGTATGGGGAGTGTGTGTGAAAGGTTGGAGTTGAAAGAATGACGAGCTGTCTGGAATTGGAGAGCAGGAGCAACGAGTCGGAGCAGGCGTCCGAGGCTTCGGGTGGAGATGCCGATGTATTCAGCGATAAAGCTTGCTTGATTACCACCATCATTTGAGCTGAGAACTGTAAGATCTAGCAATGTGGATATTTCAGTTTCTCCCTCTTTACTTTCATCAAAGTACACTATTGGAAGCAGACTACGCCAACTCTCGGTAGTCCAGAGATGGGCTTGGGCTTCGCGCCGATTTCCACGACCTCCGCTGATAAGATTGTCTTATCTCGCTGTAGGTAACGTAATTCCCGCATGACCGGGTCACCCGGTTGAGCGGGTCACCCCATCGAAAATCGCGTCTTCCTGCCTACCTACTAACTTCAACTACCTACCATGCCACCAATTCGCTCTGAATCCTCGCAGAAATTAGCTTGTCAAGAGGGCAAGATCCTATTAGCCCTTTTTGATTTAGAAAATGGCCGTATCAATTCTCTTCGCGCGGCGGCAAAGCTATACGAAATACCCTTCTCTACACTGCAAGCACGCGCCGATGGCCGAATTGCACGCGTTGATAAGCGCCCAAATCGCTTTAAATTGACTGAATTAGAAGAGGATTCGCTTGTCCATTGGATTATCTCTATGGATACACGTGGAGCAGCGCCTAGGCCGGCTACTATAGGAGAGATTGCTAATATCCTACTAGCTGCACGCGGTAGCCAACCTCCGCCTACCGTTTGTAAGAACTTGCCATCAAAATTTGTTGAACGTCGCGATTAGCTTCGAACACGCTACTCAGTACGATACGACTATCAACGCGCATTAAACGAAGACCCAAAAGCCTTACGAGCCTGGTTTGCGACCGTACAAAGCGTGATTGACGAGAACGGGATACAAGCGGAGGATATCTATAACTTTGATAAGACAGGCTTTGCAATGGGCCTTATATCCTCGCAGAAGGTAGTTACGCGAGCTGAATTCTACGGTCGGAGACGTCTCCTACAGCCAGGAAATCGCGAATGGGTTACTACGATTAAATCAATCTGCGTAGATGGCTATTCGTTACCGCCATACGTTATCTTTAAGGGCAAGGTTTACCAATCTAGCTAGTTTGATAATCTACCGAAAGATTAGCGATTTAAAGTCTCCGATAACGGTTGGACTACCGATGAGATTGGCCTACGCTAGTTACAAAAGCTCTTTATCCCATCAACAAATTCGCGCGTACGAGGTAGATTTCGCTTACTGATCCTTGATGGCCATGGTAGCCACCTTACACCCCAATTCGACCGAATCTACGCAGAAAACGATATTATACCCCTTTATATGCCTACGCATTCATCGCATCTATTACAACCACTAGATATTAGCTGCTTTGCGGTAATTAAGAGGGCGTACGGCCGATTCGTTAGCGATCTTACGCGCACGGGATATAACCATATCGACAAGTGCGATTTCTTAGAAAACTACCAACACGCGCGGCTAGAAGCCTTCCAAAAGCCATCTATCATTTAGAATAGCTTCGCAGCTAGTGGCCTAGTACCAGTCGATGCAGAAAGAGTGCTTTCGAAGCTTAATATCTCTCTACGAACACCTACACCACCAAGCAGCCGGCCAAGCAGCAGATCTAGCCAATTCGCACCAGAAACGCCTCGAACCGTTATTCAGCTCTATAAGTAAGCTTCGATGCTTAAAGATCTATTAAAGCAGCGGTCAAATAGCCCTCCGAGCCCATCAAAAACTATATTAGATCGGATTATCAAGGGCCACAGCGAAGCGCTACATAACACCGCATTACTTACGCAGGAGAACGCGAATCTACGTATGGCGAACGAGAGGATCGTCAAGAAACGCAATCGGTCGAATAGGAAGATACCCTATAAAGAGGGTTTAACCGTCGAAGAGGGCCTTCAGCTAGCTGCGCAGCTAGATTTGCCAGAAGAAGCACCTAGAGTAGAATCGCATACGCAGGGCGAACTACCTAGTCAGGCGGATAGGCCGGCAATTAGGGCTCCGCCTAGGTGTAGCGGTTGCAGGGAGATTGGCCACAGGATTAATGTATGTAAAAATCGCTATATTTAGTTGAATTAATGGGTGTTGGTTGAGATAATCAATTCTCAAATTTGCTAATGGGGGTAGGTGACCCGCTCAACCGGGTGACCCGGTCATGCGGGAATTACGTTAAGTGGGGTATTTGGACGTTGTTCCGAGCAATCTCGAAGAGAGTTTCTACAGTTTATTGCTACATAAACTTGTCAAGAACTGATGAGCAGCAGTCTGGTTCATAAGAGACTAGCTCGCGAAGGCTCCGCGACCAAATCTATCCTCTGTGAACCATACCTCTCCGCTTAAACAGAACAATTCCAAGTCTATCAGATCTTGGTGCACTTACCAGGGGTTTTAGGGTCGTGATAAACATAGTAAATGCTGTACGAAGGCTGCTGGTATTCAGAGCAGTAAAAGATTTCGCTAAACTATTGCCCGAACGTGTGAGCGTCTGGTCCTAATACTGTGTTGTTTCACAGCAAGTACCGGTTAGCCACGCAAATCGCTGACGGATTCTGCCTGATACCCGTCGTTCTTGAGTGGGACACCGGTAATATTATCTGGCTCAGACAGAACTTGACTCTCAAGGAGTGTTCGAGGTTTTATGTCAAGAGTATAGCCGAGCGCTTTTCGATGCTCAAGGTCGTCCTTAGGGCTGTCCCGCCTGAGGCAATCAGGCCCCACGATCGGCGGCCGCCCCTCCGATTCGCCGAAGTCCCGCATTCAGCCACGGCTGCTTTCGGGATCGGTCGCTGTCAACGAGGGGCGATCATCTGCTTGTTTTGCTTTGTCGCATTTTGATTTGCCTCGCCTCTGCACTGATACTGCCTTTCCTTTCAACTACCACTTCTCACATCAACCTGTCATCTTGGCCCTGCACAGCTGGAGCATCGGGCCCTCTACGAGTCTGATCGCGTCCGCCTTGTTGATCACCCCCGCTCCCCCACCTTCCAAAGTCCCGCCTATCGTCATCGTCGGAGAATTGGCCAGCCTTGAGATTGGGCCCAGGCTGATTTAAATTGGAGACTTTTCCACATCTTTTGCCCGACTGCTCCCTTGGCGTGCTGAGAGGTTTCTGTTTTACATGACGAGAACTCGGTAGACTAGCTCCCCCCCCCCCCCTTCTGGTGAATTGATTTCATTTGGATCTTGGCGAATGCGCGGCCTGGGGCGGTGGTGTTGACTTGCAAGGTCAAATCCCAGCTCACTAGGTTGAACGATCCCGGTCCGACCTTATCTTTTACCTTCCTTTCCCTCCCGTCATCATCTCCCCGTCTCCTGGACCACATCACGTCGAGCTTCAACCCCGACCAGATGCCGCTCACTATTCTCTCCCAATCGCAGCTTCGGCGGCTGCTGCTCTCTCTCACCCGAGATGAAATTATCGAACTCCAACGGAGCCTCTCTGAAGCACTCCGAGAATACTCCACCGGCTCCCAGGATCAGGGCTGCTCGGCCACTTATCAGCCCCAGCGAACTGCCATCACCCGCTCAAATGGTTGCACCACACTATTCATGCCTGCCACCACGGGCAAGACACTCGGTATCAAGATGATCTCCCTGCAGGACGGTGGCACCGCAGGGTGTGCCGTAGAGCGTGGAGGGTTCGATATTACAGACGGCGAGTCCTCATCTTCTCGATCACGCGGTGGTTCTGTACGAGATTCAATGATCTCGCTGTCATCGGAGATGAGCGATTTGTCAGTTGAGTCATCCCATGAAGATGAGAGCTCGATTAGCCCCTCCGTCACTACGGGAAGCAGCGTCGGCGGCGAAAGCACCGATAGCTCTACGCTCCTAAGTGGTTGCGTCAATCAACAACCAGTTACCACTGGAAATATCTCATCAACCCTTGGAGCATGGCCGGGGGCAGGCACGCGCGACACCTCACCGAGGGGAAGCGTCACTCTGTTGGACGCGCAGTCACTCCCATTCGGTCTGATCAACGCCCACGAGCTGACGGCCTTCCGCACGGCGCTGGCATCCCTGATGCTTTTCAACAAGCGTAAGAAGGTCCGCACCCTCCTGGTGTTTGGGGCTGGCACTCAAGCATACTGGCATATTCGCCTGGCTCTGATCCTGCGCAATAATGAGATCCGGCGTGTCTACATTGTCAACCGCTCCTTCGACCGCGCCGCGGAGCTTCTCCGTGATATCTACCTGCCCGAGAACACCGAGTGGCGCCGCGATGTGAAATTCTCGGCCATGAGCAGCGACTTTGGTGAATACAAGCGCATCCTGAAGGAGCACGTTCGAAAGGCCGATGCTATCTTCTGTTGTACCCCCTCTCCCACGCCTCTCTTCCCCGCGGAGTTTTTGACTTCTCGAGAGGGCCGCCAGAAAGGTCGGTTCATTGGCGCGGTGGGCTCCTACAAGAACCACATGACCGAGATTCACCCCGATATTCTCCGGGACGAGGTCAATGTCACACCGCCTCACCGTCACTTCCACAAGCATACCAGACGTAGCGGCGTTATCGTGGTGGATAGTCTCGACGCAGCCATGAAGGAGGCCGGCGAGATTGTCCAGGGCGGCATCAAACCTCATCAAGTGGTCGAACTAGGCGAGTTGATGATGGTGCGCCACGCCGCTCACAAGTCTAACGAGGAAGAGTCTGCCGACGAGGAGAAGAGCCTCCGCGAGTGGGTGGAGCGCGGGAATGTCATCTACAAGAGTGTCGGGCTGGGCCTGATGGACTTGGTAACGGGCGGAGATCTCGTGCGCCTCGCGCGGGAGCGAGGACTTGGGACAACGGTGGAGGACTTTTAGTTTGCATCTGATATGATCATAGTCAAGGAGTTGTACAACGGCTGGTTTGCGGACGTTCTTTGAAACCGATCCGCCTTGAATATTGATAATCTTCTTTGTTTCATTCAACCTCCCTTTCTCGGGCACAAATGGAAAAAAAACTAGAAAGAGACAAAAGCGAAAGCCCAAGCATAACCTGTATTGAATATATCGCTACTTTTCTCAATCGTTACACTTTGACACGAAGCGACGGCCCGGCCTTGACAATCCGCGCAGCCACCATCGCCAGCATCGAGAGTCCGACGCAAGACCCGCAGAATGCCTGCAGGGCCGGCCATCCGATTGCTTTCAAGATAGCCCCTGCGATAGGATTCCCCGTGAGCAGGCCAATGGCTGCAAACACAAAGCTCATACCCATCCGCACGCCCACGACGCCCAGATCAGGCGAGAGACTGACCACGGTTGTCGGCGACAAAGACACGAACGCGCCACTGAAGAAACCGTAAAGGCTACAAAAGACGAACAATGTTTCCGCGGTCTTGACCCGAATCCATACGAACGCGAGCAGTGCGGTGGTGAGACTGCACGGGATGAGGATGTTGAATGGGCCCGTCCGATCAGCCAGCATATTGGGAATGATACGCCCTAGCAAGGAAGCCAGATTGAGGGTGATCAGTGCATATGATGCGGTGGCTGGATGCAGAATGTTGTGCTCAATGGCATAATTCTGGACAAAGAAGAAGGGGATATACATGCCCATGAACGCGAACAGAACGCCGCCACTATAGATCGCGTAGGGGATCTCCTTGAAGGCCGAGAGCTGTAGATAGGCCCGTCGAGTGGCCGGAACCAGGCGCACACGCATCGTGAGCAGGGCGATAGATTGGGTAAGAAGCATGACCAAAGCGAGCAATCGCACCGAGGTGGCGAACCCCAAGGATAGCTCGAACTGCTTGAAAATCGCAGAGTAGACGATACCGCCTACTGCAAGGTTAGGGCCCAATCTATAAACAACCAGGATTGATGAGGGAAAATGCGAAAACACGTACCGACGCTGCCGCCACTGGTAGCGATTCCGGTCGCTAAAGAGGCATTTTTCTTAAAGTACGTGCTGAGGATGGCTACTCCGGGGACGAACAGACAGCCAGCTCCCAGTCCCGTACACAGGGCCTGGGCAAAGAGCAGCTGCCAGTATTGCGAGCAGAAGCTGACCATCAGGGTGCCGAAAGCCATTAGTGCCGTGCCCGTCACGATCAGCGCCCGGAAGTAGCCCGCATCGTATGCCGGCCCCGTCAGGACGGAGATGAAGATGAGCAGGAAGGCCTGCAGCGATCCGATCCACGAGATAGCCGCCGGGCTCGCATCGGGAAACAGCACGGTCTTATAGTAGGCCTGGAAACTTCCATAACAATTCACAATGCCCCTGGAAGAAGTTGAAATGTGTTAGCATCGGTGCGGGAATATGTCGTGACAAAGTGTATAGGCACCAAAACCTACCAGCAGTTGAACATCAGAAAGAATGAACCAATCACTTGGCTCCAGGCTTTGATCCCGCCATCGGGGATTGTGGGATGATCAGGCTTCACCACATCGTGCTGCGCCTCCAACAATGGCCGTCGTTCATCCGCATGGGTCATGGTGGGCGATACTGTATCAACTTGGTGCAATTGGAGTGTGATATCCGAGTATCCCACTGTGACAACGATGAAGGAGAGGAAAACATCCACGAAATATGCATTGAGTCAGTGTCGCGGATTCCGAAGCTCAGCTTTCACCTATTCCATCTTAGTCAAGTTTCATGGAGGCTTGGGTTCGGAAATGCAGGGCTGCCATCTTGGCCCGATCTCTCGTTCTCCGATTGGCTCGCTACCTATTCAATCCCTGTATGACCGAGCTTGTTCTGGAGGCATATGCCATGTTTCAAGAGGACACGGATTACTTACTAATACCCACCATCCGAGTGTTTAGTGAAGTCCGTATCAAAGGAGATATATCCCGGATTATGTCCGGCAACGATTGGCGTTCCCCTTCCGTTCTAGTGCTCACACCCCTCGCCGCTTCTGCTCATTGAGTACGGAGAGAATTGAGCACGCTCCTGATCGGCCTAAGCTGCTCAGTGATCCTTATGTAATCGATCTGATTCACTCACTGGGCCTAATCTGAGCGTGCTGATTTGCTTACTGCGCCTGATGGGTGTGTCGAATCAATCAAAAGCTTAGCTCTACTGTGGGTCCGAAGCTCGGCCGGAATTTGGGGGCCAAGAGCCTCGTTGATATAACCGAGGAGGGGCGGGGAGAGGAATACTACTACAGAGTACGGATGATCTACTGTAGTATGTGAGTGCTATGATGAGGCCATGTATTCATTTTCACCTATAGGGTGATCGAATCTGACTTTAATAGAGGTCTTTGATGTAGAATCTCCAGGGCACCGACTACTTAACAAGGGCCCTTGCGTCGAGCGTACAAGCGATGGCTTATTTACTGCACCAAGGCATCAAGGTATTTTTGTAAAGAACCTAACCTCCAGGATCCATTGGGTGTGATTATCGAGAAAAACAAGAGCTATGCGAGCTTCTTCCCGTGCGCCTTGTACTGCCTACCATAAACGTTCACAATGAGCCACGTTGTCGAGCCGAAGCTGCAAGATTGTGGTGTGAAACCTATGGTAATGTTCACTTTATAGAGTGGCCGCCGCATTTGCCTGATCTAAACCCAATTGAAACGGTCTAGGGCCTGTTAAAACGGGAATAGTTCAAACAATGTTTAAGGCTGGCTAACGGCCGCTGGCGGAACGTTGATTGGGATAAAATCAGAGGTATTTTGATTGATTCGTGAAACCATATTGATCAAAAGGCGATTATGCGATTGATCTGCTGCATGCCGCGTAGGATCAATGCAGTGCGTGCAGCAAAGGTTGGTGTACGAAATACTAGATTTATTGATAGATCAGCCAGTTTTTTGTAATAGAATGCAACTCTAGCTGATATAATCATATGGCGGTTGCCTAGTAGTAGAATCTGTAAGTCGCAATATAGTTAGTAGAATTATATTATCGAGGGTACACAGACTTATGACCTACCTATGAGTGTAGGTGATTCTGCTCTAAAAGCTGAACGATCCCTACGGGACTACGGGTAGAGTAGCTCCTTTGAATAGTTTCAAGGGCTTTACGACCAATCATATCGTGGATAGTAATTCTTTGTGGATTTAGCCTGGTCATAAGTACAATAACTCATGCACCAACACGCGTCACGATACAAAGAACCAAAATACGCTGCTACCTCTCGGTCGGATCTTTTAGTCTCGCCTGCCCCCAGAAAGGCCCAGGAACAGGAACAACTAATCTTCTTCCTAGGGAGACCAAGTTTGCTCCAGTGGGATCGCGCGATTTCTAAGTCATTGGTCACTATTTAGAGGTAATCTTGTACACAGTCCGCACAGCTTTGATTACAGTTCGCCCGGAGGCAGAAAGGTTGTGCAATGTCTGAAACGTTATCCCCCAAGAATGGGGATTCAATGCCGCATAATGCAGAGAAGGAACAAGCTCACGCGCGCGAAGCCACTGAATCTAAATCCCAGCACATCACGGGCCTAAGGCTCGCACTGGTTGTTACTTCAGTTACTCTCGTTGTGTTCTTGGTGCTCCTTGATATGTCTATCATTATGACAGTGAGTTAATATCTAGTTAGCTCGAAGCTGAATGCAGCGCAGATAACTAACTCTAGCCCTAGGCGATTCCACACATCACAAGCGAGTTCCATTCTCTTGGTGACGTAGGGTGGTACGGCAGTGCTTATCTCTTAGCTAAGTTTGTCTACCCTATAACTTCTCTCCTTAGGCTTACTACTTAGCGGTACAACAGGACTAACTAACACCATGATTAGCTGTGCCCTCCAACCTCTCGCTGGGAAATTGTATACACAATTAATATTAAAGTACACTTTCGTTGCCTTTATCTATCTCTTCGAGCTAGGTTCGGTACTATACGGTGCCGCAAACTCCTCGACTATATTAATTATTAGGCGGGCAGTTACAGGAATAGGAGGTTCAGGCCTAGTTAACGGGTCCATCACTATTCTATCTACAGCGGCTCCTACGCACAAGCAACCATATAAGGAAGGGTCATCCCTAGCGTGCCTCTTCTTACCTATAGCATACAGGCTAACAAAGCTCATCAAGTGTTGATCGGAGTCATGATAGGTTGTAAGTCCTTCCGATGATCGAAAATATTTACCACAAACCGTTCGTTGTCTGACAGGACGTGGCAGTGAGCCAGATCGCCATCGTTTATAGTCCACTGCTCGGAGGAGCTTTTACTCAACATACCAGCTAGCGGTGGTATATATTAACCATTGGCCGTTATAGTATTACTGTCCCTATTTACTTAACGCGGTGTCAGGCTTTTATATCAACCTCCCCATCGGGGCCGTCGCAGCAATCCTCCTTCTCGTCGTCCCTATACCCGACAGAATTCCATCCGCTACAGGCCAGGCACCTTCCGTCAGGCCGAGGTCCAATGCTAGAAATATCCTTCGCAACCTAGATTTAATAGAGTTTATGATCTTCGCGGCGTTCGTATTGATGATTTCCCTCGCACTAGAATGGGGAGGATCAACCTACAGCTGGCGAAGCTCTGTCATTATCGGCCTATTCTGTGGCGGAGGGCTTGCTCTGATCGCGTTCGGGGTTTAGGAGCATCATATTAGCGATGCCATTGCCATAATTCCAGGCTCGGTGGCGGGTAAACGAAACGTCTAGTGTTCTTACCTCTTCCTCGGCTTCTTTTCCGGCTCCTTGCTCATCTTCTCCTACTACCTACCCATTTACTTCCAGGCCGTGAAAGATATTTCCCCTGCACTAAGTTATGTGTACATATTGCCTAGAATTGTCGCACAGGTCTTAATGGCTATGGTTTCGGGAGTCGCAAGTAAGTAAAGCTAAAGAGCTCACTCACATATTCCCCGTGCTCCTTCCGGTTCATTCCCCTTATCTCCTTTCCCCACCAGTCTTATGCCATCAAGCTTAAATTGCATGTATACTAACATATCACGCAACAGTCGGTAAAACAGGATATTACATGCCCTAGGCACTAGGCAGCGGTATCCTTGTCGCCATAGGCGCAGGCCTTGTATCCACCTTCCAGCCCCATACGTCTACCGTGAAATAGGTCATGTACCAATTCATTGCTAGCTTCGGTCGTAGCTCCGGAATGCAGACGGTGAGCTATTCTCTACCTCTTCACCTCTATCATTATTGTTGCCATCTCGTCAACAGAAATTTGCTGACATCAATACTCCACCGACTAGCCTATCATTGCAATTCAAAACACACTTCCTCCAGAACATGGCGCCCTCGGAATCTCTCTCGCTGTCTTCGGATAGTCCTTTGGAGGATCGCTCTTCCTGAACTTTGCAAACCTAGTCTTTGATTCCGGCCTGAGCACGGGGTTGAGTGAATATGCGCCGACCGTCGATGCGGAGGCAGTTACTGCAGCGGGGGCGACGGGCTTCAGAGATGTGGTCGCCAAGGAGAGCCTTCCAGGAGTTTTGCGTGCTTACAGTTTAGCTGTCGATCATACGTTTTACCTAGCAGCAGGCGCCTCGGTGTTTATGTTCGTGTTTGCTTTTGGAATGGGATGGCGGAAGATTAAAACTAAAAAGGACGCTGACGCTGTGTCTGGGTCTGATGCCTGACCTTTTACGCGACTACTGGCGGTTGATCTGTGTGCATTTCATGTGGTTTGATACGCTATTAATAATCATTCCTTTTCCAAGAAACCTATCGGATCGCACTTTGTGCTGGACAATCGCCGATCCAAAGAGGAACTGGGAGTTGTCTATCGGCCGTGGGCGAAGAGTGTCGTCGAGTTCGGTACTCAATATGCGGCTGACAGGAAATGCTGGGCCAAGAATCGTGCATAGAACGTGAATATCCATAGCAACTCTAAACCATGGGACTAATATATCTAAGTGTATTCCGCGTCACTGCGGAGGGGTAACCCGCAAACAAAAGTTTTAGCAGGGACACGTTCCCCTGAGTTGAGATAGTTGGATCGAGTCTTGTAGATTTGTAAGATATCTGTCAAATTATAGATTTTAGGAATTGCTGGGTAGAAAGCCTAGAAGGCCTGGTTCGGTTGAATTACTTCCATTGGACGGGGGACGCCAAGGCTGTGTCCGGCGGGTATACTACACCCTTTGGCCAAGCAGCAGATCTAGCCTCGAGCTTAGATTGGTTATTAAGTGAGGCCTTGTATTTCATCGTTCTTTGCCACATGCGCGAGCCATATAGTTCTATCTTGTTGGACCAAATCGTAAGGACACACAGGCCTCCTTCGAAGGACCACAATACATTTTAATTGGAGCAACAGCAGTGTAAAAAATCACAATATTCACGTCAAGATTAAACAAATTATAATATGAGAGCTCGCTCCAAATATATTTTGGAGTCTGTACACCTCCCCAACTCTTCCTAGATTCCTTCCATTCAGTTTGACTCACTCGGGGACTCAACTGAACTGGATTTGTCGACAGGCTTTTGCTTTTTCCACTGGTGCACTTTCGTCGCCCAGGTCACAAAGTAGACCAAAAAGAGGCTCGAAAAGGTGAATAGCACGAAGATACCCCAGTCGCCCCATATTCCGCCATTCTCGCCATTACCAAGTCGGAATCCTTCCAAGTACTGATTTCCCGTGGTGTACTGACACAACTGGCAGTTATCGGTAGCGGAAGGATTCAAGACTTGAACCTGCGCGGAATGAGCCCAGGATGAGAGATAAGAATCGCATGTTTCGTTGGCGGGCGGAGACAAGGAGACGATGTCTCCTTCCTTGCAGACGACGTGTTGATCTTGGATGACTGCAGTGACGAGACCACCGAGGAGGTAGGTGAAGGGATTAATCCAATAAAGCTGTAATCTTCACGTCAGAGCTGCTTTCACAAAACGAAATCATCCGGCCCATTTCTGCCATTGACTTGGGTATCATAACTTACCCAGTATCGCCAAAATACTTGAATCTGATCGTAGGGAACAATGATTCCGTTGAACCAGTTGACGGCGCAAACTAGGAACACAAGAACGTTGCCGGCTGTTCCAAGGTCGGGGCTCATGCCAATCATGAATAAGCCGAAGAGGACCTGTGGTTGCACTTCAATTAGTCGTGATTCTTTGGGAACCTCGTGACAAATACTTATTACAACTTACCTCAAACACCTCGAAGGTTAGGAGCGACAAGAAGACATAACCGGCCGCCTCACCCGTGGGTAATCCGCAGAGGAAATACCAAATGACAAAGTATAGAACAGTGCATACCAAGGCGCCAGGCATCTCGGCTGCGATACTCGCCGAGCACAGTGCCTGCCAACCGTAGGTGCGGGAGGGGCCCTCCCGACTTTCCCAAAGAAGCCGAGCGAAGAAAAACCGCGCAAGAATGGTATTGACAATCGTATTGACAAGAAGGACGATTGAGAAGACGCTCAGCAATCTGGTTGATTGTGATTAGTATTCATTGGTGGAATATTGGCCTAAAGTAGTGGGATCGATTCGGGGGTAAATGCACGTGTGCGTACCTGTTCTGGAGATCACTGGGAGATGTTCCTAGCTTGTAGACGGTCGTGCCGATCAAGATCGCATGGACGACATGCACCCAAATCTTCGAGTACATGTATGGTGGGTTTCGCCATTGGTTCTTCAGCATTCGGATCGTGAGCAGCCATGACTGCTGCACAACAGAGCCGTTGTATTCGCCATGGCCAACCTCCTCGTCCACGCTATTATTTCCTTCTTGGTATTCCTTGTTAATTCGATCCACGTCCTCCGCAGCGGCCTTTGCTTCGGGAGACTCGCGCCAGTGCTTGGCCCATTCGCTTCCCTTGGTATCCTTGCGTGCATTGATACCAGCACCACCAGTTTCAAGGATAAATTCGGCAGGATTCGCATCGGGAGGCGGGACAACCCCGTGACGGGTAAAGTAATCCAGAACCTTGTCATTGGGGCCAAAGTACAGCTGTTCTCCTTCTGGAGAGAGAGCGAGCAACTTGTCAAACTCTGAGAATACAAGAGCAGAGGGTTGATGGATGGTCACAAGTACCGCCTGACCAGCGTGGGAGAGCTTGCGTAGGTACATGACGATATTGGCCGCCCCCTCCGAATCTAGACCCGATGTTGGCTCATCTGCGAAGAGCACGCGAGGTCGAGCTGCGAGTTCGACACCAATCTGAGGGACAATTCATGAGAAATTAGATCCCTTCATCTAAAAGCAATAATGATGAATATCCTTACCGTTACTCGTTTTGTCATCTCGACTCCCAGTCCAGAGTTTTCATCGCCAATCAAGGCGTCAGCGACATGCTTTAAATCCAACAGGTCGAGAACCGTATCCACATATGCAAGCTTCTCGGCGCGCGAATAAATATCCGGTTGACGTAGGAGAGCAGAGAATTCCAGTGCTTCCCGAACCGTGGCGGTTGGATCATGAAGATCAGCTTGCTGTGCAAACCCTGGATTATTGTAAGCATTGATCCCTTATCATCAAAACCAGCTCTACTTCAAACAAAGAGAGTCTAGGCACCGACCTGTTACTTTCTTGAACGACTGTCCAAGGGCCTTATTTCCAAAAAGTAGCTCTCCTCCGACCTCGCCTGTCACATTGATCTGACTCAGGGCCTTGAGCATTGTAGTCTTGCCAGCGCCACTGGCACCACAAATCGAAACGAAGTCTCCTGGCCGGATATACGCCGTAACACCCTTGATAATGCGTTTTTCGCCAATGTCAATGGTCAAGTTCTTCCAAGTCAGTGAGGGACCGCTGTGTTTGGCAGGTCCAGATTTCGGCTCAGCACCACCAGAATTGGGTAGTTCTCGCTCAATGTCCTTCTCAGCAACCTCAGTAGCTCCCGACTGCAAATTAGCATTTCCTTGCTTCTTAGCAAAGACGATTGGCGACCCGCCCTGCGGTGTGAATCGCATCAACTCACTGCCAATCATACTGATGATGACGTAGGCAACAATGAAGGCAAAGAGGATGCCCACGTTACGCCACTTGTGTGAGAGAAGGAACCCCTGGGATTCGGCATATTGTAAGCCCGGGATTGATTGCTGTCCTGCTTTGGCTCCGTTGACCAGACAGATCTGGTAGTCTGGTTCTGCACCGTGCACATCGGGAACCATCCCACCGCTGCAGTCGAGGCTCAGGCCATCGAATTCATTAACAAAGACCTGGATCAAGGTTACATTAGCTGAAGCTTTTGTGGGACAGTGCCTTTTCCAACGGTGTTCTTACACTCTCATAGGCATAGTTGATTGGACTGAGATAGTGAAGCCAGCCGAAATAAGGTCTCATGTCCTTAGTCGGGACCAGGAAACCAGAGAATAAGATCGTGATAGTCGAGCCAGTGCCGCCGAATCGGAAACCTATGTCAAGGTTCATATTAGAATCACAATATCTGCAAGACAGTGAGATGTCCACTTACAGTCATCCAAAGTCGGTACGTAGTACGCAAACATCCGCAATAGATTGCTGAAACAGAGAGTCGACAAGATGAGGACAAAGAAGAAGAAGAAGAACTTTCCCGCTTCGACCTGTAGCCCAGCCAGGAAGTAGAAGACGATGACAAATATGCAGTGCTGAGTAAACACCAGTGGCACGTCAATGAGGACTCGAGCTAGAGCCACCGCTGATGGTCGATACATGTGCAGAGCCGCTTGACGTTCTAAAACGGGACGATTTGTATGTGCATCAAAGAGCTCCGGGAACTGAAGCCAGCCGTTGACGATGAGGGCAAAGAAAATCAGACCACCTCGGGTGAACGCACCCTGGGCATCTGCCGAGACGTTGAAATACTCGCTTCCAATAATCAGACACAAGATGATGGTGGCAATCCATTTGCCAAAATGGATGATCCTCTGGCCACGCACCAGCTGGACCTCGCGTAGCAGACACTCCCATATTTGTAGCGGATAGGACAAGTTGAACGACGTAGTCCCTTTGGACTGAGCGGCATGCGGGTGACCTAAGGACAGTGAATCGTCGATTTCATGAAGTAGACTGGCGTAGTTCGAGGAGTTCTTGAATGTTGCTGCAAAGTCGGCAGCCGTGTGCATGTTTGCGGCTGCGCTGCCCGGTGTCGCTTCACGGTGGGTAGGATCGGTGACGTATGAGAGAAACTCGGCAGTGGTCTGGCCCTTTGCGCGTACGAAGCCCAGATCCTCAAAGTACTCTCGGGCCTCATCGATCTTGCCGAAGAAGGCTTGTCGTCCTTCGTAAATGACCAGGACCTTATCGAAGTAGTTGTACAAGGTCTCTCCGGCCTGGTACAGGGTTGCCATGGTGGTTCGATCGCCTACCTTGGTGAGCACGCGAAGCGCCTTCACGAAGTCAAGCGCGGTAGACGAGTCCAGGCCACGGGTGGAGTTGTCGAAGCACTGTACCGATGAGCCAGCGGCAAGGACCTCGGCGATCGACACACGCTTTCGCTCGCCTCCAGACACACCAGGAAAGAATGGTCCACCGACAGGCGTATCCAGAGCATGGTCGATACCAAACATCTGTGCCATCGACTGAACCAGCTCCTCGACCATCGCGCCATGGCGGGCCTCCGACGGCAGGCTGATCCGGAGAGCGAATCTCAACGTTTGACGCACGGTCAACGCCGCAATATGCTGATCCTCCTCTGGGAGATAGATCGTATCACGGCGATGGCTCTTCCCGAACTCGTTCGCCGGAATTCCCGCATACTGCAGGTCACCATTAATTTCGAGGGAGGAGCGATTGGCCAAGGTGCGGAGGAAAGTCGAGCAACCACTTCCAGGTCGGCCCAGAACCAGTAACATCTCACCTGGTTTCACGATTCCCGTGAAATCTTCAAGGAGATTTCGGGTTTTGGTCTCCCCGAACCCCTTCTGGAACAAAAGCTTCTTGACAAAGTTGAATTGATCAATTCCAAAAGTGTTCAGGCAGGCCCGAGGGAGCGTCTTGACAGTGACCGGGCCTGTGTCCGGAGCGGAGACGGTCAATCCGCGCCAGCTGATAGGGACATGGGCGAGGTGGGCATTGCCCGACGCTTGCTTCTCGATCAAAATGCGGATGGCGGCGTCACCCTCATTGGTGATTTTGGGTTCCAGCTTCTCCGTGTTGTGTAGCGAAGAAGCCTGGGACTCTGGTGTTTCCGCCATGGTGGTTTAAGTCGGGTGAAGAAAGACCAAAAATCAACTGCGAGGTTTTATTGGCTTTTCTAGGTACGAGCCATACCAAGGAAATAAGAAGAGCACGAACAGCTCGTCAAGTGTCTAGTATGAACTTGACTCGAAGAAAGCTGGCAATGGATAGATTCAAATGTGTGGAAAGATACTGAGGGTTTTCCCAGAGAGGAAATAAATGGATTACGACCATTTTGATCCGCAAGAGCTATGCTCAATGGACAGCTCTTTGGTAGTACCGCCCTTACCAATCACCTGTCTTGTCAGCTCTCTCCCGGTAGTGCAATTTGCCCCTGTCGAAGCAGCATTACTCCATCCAAAACAACGAGATCCATACCTCCCCGAGATTATAGACACGTGATGTCCATTCTGCTCCGACCCATTCACGTGCTTGCTTGTGGGGCAAGAAAACTGCCTGACCGTCTCGGAGACAGTAGGCTTACTAATGAGTCGGGCATTGAGAGAGGGCGCCTACTCCCGGGCGACCACACCCCGGTACTGCTGCTGATGTTGGTCCAGGTAGCAGGTCATGGGTAAGGCTTAGACATACGCGCCATCCTATGAGACTTGGTTATAGTGCATGGCCATGAATTGTATAAGTTTGAATAAATACTCTCATACACAATGGACGTATATGGTGGACCTGTGCTGGCATAGGGTGATAATTCATTGGTCTAGCTATATAAAAATGGCGTTTCTTTCAAACCACTTCTAAATATCGCAAATATAGATTGAGAATATTGGTACTGCTGAGACTAAGGGCCTCGTTCCTGGCATGCAGCAGCCCACGAAATTTAATTTTATATGGGTATGTAGCGGTTTTGCACCAATAGAGCGCCGGAAGGTCAAACCAACAATAGGGAAAAAGTCATGAGAGAGAGGAAACTAAACAAACAGGAAGATCATCTCCTTTCAAAGCGCTTCTCCGTCGTAACCCCGAGGCCGAATCTTGTGACACGCCAAAATCATCCTGGTTAAGGGTTGCAGTGACGCGACGTTCAAGCTGCCCGCACGGTCCGAATCGAGTAACTCCTGAAGGGTACGCAAGGTATGTGAACTTGGACGCGCGTATTCACGGGCCACACGCCATTCCTCTTCGCTGCAAGCGCGCCACATATACTCCGGCGCTGGAAGGGGCATCTGTAGAACCATGGCATCATCCAACGGCTCAAAGTAGTCGTGGTGCAGCCGTCGGGCTTCGGCGGCGAGTATATTAATGATGTGAATGAAGAAGACATTACGGCGGAGAGATTCGGCGAATTTCCACTCAGACCAGCCTGGTTCATTTCCTCCGAGGGCTTTCTGGTGAAGCTTGCAGAGGCGCCGGGTCATCTGTCGGTCGCGATCGACGCATAAGAAGGGGATCTTGAAAGCAATGGGAAAGAAAGGGACGAAATGCAACACTCACCTTCAGCAAGAAAGAACTATGAAGTTCTGCGACCTTTCCCGAGTCTTCGCGACGTCTCTCATTGGCATCTTTGAAGGGCGTGCTATTACCTGATTTGGGGCTTTCTATGGACGAACCCCCAAACAGTCCCAGAATCTGATAAACGCAGACTGCATGTAGGGCGGCAAGACATGTTTCTGGACGATCGCTGTAATTGTGGAATTCGCGCAGCAGCCGCTCCCGTTGCGAGTTGATCATATTATCAACGAACTCAAAGCTAGACTCAACCGAGTTCGAATAGGCCGACACGCATGCCAGAGCGATGCCAAGGGGCTCGGCCATGCCCTCTTTGGAGCAACGGTAAAGGCGGTGGTGAATGAAGGGAGACCAAAAGCCGGGCTGCAGCATCAGTTGGGGATACCCGCGCAGAATCCCGAAAAGCTCGTGAGATAGATTGGCCGTATCCCGTAGTGCCGGACCGGACAAGTCCGGCGCAAAGGAACTAGCAAAGATAGTAATGCCATCCCGGGAGCCACCAGAGTTAGCAGTCTCTGCCTCGTCGCGACCAGCGGACGGTTCTCGGTGACTACTGCCTGCTGATGAGGAGAGAGGTGGTAAGGGAATGTCAAGAGGATCGCCTGAAAGTAACAAAGAAGGGTTGTCTAGAGGATGGGGTGTTTTTGATTTTTCTTGCGGCGCAAGGTAAAAGGACGCCGTGTGACCGTGGAGGTTGTCGCCTGCAAAGCCTGACGCTGGGTCAGGCCATGTATTCTGGCCTGGAAATCCCGTTCCCTCACCCATCGAGGAAAGCATTAGACCGATGTTGTCGAGAGCCGGGCTCCAGGCTATACCGTCCATGCCGGAGGTACTATGACTGCCATTCCCTGGCATCACCATGGCCGTGACGGGGACAACGGGGGTCAATCCTGTGGACGTCGGCTCCAGGGATACCTCCACGGGTGTCATGAGCTCTGCGCCCGTGTCCTGATCTCCGCGTGTCGAAGACGTGTTGGGATAGTGACAGGCGGAGCCCATCTGAATGCATCGGCTACAGGCCGGGCGGGTCAATGAACAGCGCAACTTCTTTTGGGCGCAAGTTTCGCAAGATTTGCGCTTGGAAGCACGTTCCTGGCCGAAGGTTTTGGCGCAGCGACGTCGATGCCGGTCCCGGAGATCCCCTGTCGGACTTGTTAATACATTTGTGACACGAAGAAAAGATCACATGCCCGCAGCGACAACGTACGGCGGCTATAGGTCTTGTTACAAAGACCGCAGCGGTACTCGGCATCTGGAGTGTCGGAAGAGGCTCTAGAATTGGTATATTCCATGCAGTTATTCCAGTCCATGGTGCTAGAAGTGGACGATCGACGGCAGGCGGTGTATGGGATGACTCCTGGGTGTTGCAGGCGGGGCCATACTAGTGTCGCGGAGCGAAGATGTGAACAAAGGGGGAACTATGCGCCTCAGCCGCAGTGACTGGAAAGACGTCTTTAATGTGGATAGATGGTGTTCTTTACCTTTGGCCTCGGGCCTCCGGCTTGGTGAGGGGGCCTTGAAAGTCAAAAGTTCATTACGCTTGTGGCTGCTTCGTCACCCGTAAGATTCTCGGCCACCCGTTTGGCTTGGCGCCCCTCATTGAGCTCAATTGGCTTGGGACGTGGTCTCCCACTCAGCACGCGAGATCCTTGGAGCCTATTTACGCCCTAGCCAGAAGTTTAGAACCGAACACGCCGTAAACGCTAAAGGCTTGAAGGATGAGCATCACTCACGTCTTTTCTAGATTCGGGAAATGACATAAGAGGCTAGGCATCCCCTTGCGACGCTGAAGAAGTGGCACGTTTTGCTGACACTTGGCCCCGAAAACGGCAGGCCCACCGATCCACCGACCCTAATAGGTAGTGTAAACCTTCCTACCTCAAAGAATTATGGCGACGCGGGCCCAATCATCATATTGACATCTCACTAGTATATACTAGAGAACGAAAGCTGCTCAGCTAATAGGAGACGGACGTATCAAACGTACAGGTAGTACATGTGGCTAGACTTAGAGCGTCCATCTAACTGGCTACTCAAAAGAACTACCATTCTATCTGACCCTCACTATACGAGGGTCCTAGCCAAACGATACTACCCAAGCGATCATCTATTTTGAGGTATCTTTTGTTGGGGAAACGACGTAAAAGGTAATTCGCGTAAAATGTACCAATCTCCACAATCCTAAACATGAAAATATGAATTTTGCCTGGGTATTGAACTATCATCTTAAGGTTTTCGGTATACATATTTCTTTGACCATGGGGATGGGAAGATACACTTTACTATAACTCTTAGTATTCCTGATAGGGCGCCCGAAAAGTTCGGCGTCAATACTAAGCATTATATTAGGAAACTATATCTTCTTGATATCCCCAGTCTGAAGGTCTAACCATGCATGGATGTTGAGGTGTTTGACTGTAACGAGTATCTTCTGCAAGGTTTCTCTTCAAGCAAATACCTATTTGAGGGTTGTTTAGGTGACCCACACTATACGAGGATCCAAAGAATGGCAATCTTGCATGGGCCCAAATATGTATGATGCATGCGTCGTAGCATGCATCATGCATTGCTATATGTGTGAGCCCGATGTCGTGATTCCATCTTCCTGGGCGGGCGAAATCGGCTAAGTGGGGACCGCAAGTCGGAACTTTTTGAGCGAAATGCCCCCGGCCACGGTAGACGACTCTTGCGGCACATGCCGATGCACACTAAATTCTAGACGGGAATTACTACATCTAGACAGACTCTAAAGATAAGCATTTATTCCACTAGGTGAGACCAGGCAGGGATTTAGCGGCACGGGCCAGGGTCCGTTCATAAAGCCCTCAAAACGCAAGATAGCGACGGGTCTGCCCGATCTTCGAAGAAAGACATCGAGATGCATCAACGAGTGCTCTAAAGCTTATCAGAACTCACCATATTATAGCCTCACATGCCAGATTAGTCCACGAGGCTATCTTGCGCGATGGTGTACTAGATTAGCGACATTGATATACACGACATCGAGATCCTTGTGCCTACGAGCAAAAATGATTGGAGGATACACTCATCTTCAGCACTGGATTCTCTTCATCCGCGACATAATCAAATTCAACTTTTAGCTACTACTGAATATAAATAGATTGACCCGACTTCAAGAATCCATCTGAAGACATCTCCATGAGGCTTCCTTCCGGTATGTCTTCAATGAACGTTCTGATGCGCCTGTGCAGTCTTCCCCCTAGGTATCTGCTTATACTTGGACTTAATATGCGACTGGACGATGTACCTAGCCTTGAGAAGCAAGATGATAGCGAAGTAATTGAAGACGGGGATTTCCACTCCAGTATTGTTGTGCATTTATCATCAACGATATTCTTTCTTTCTTATTTTGAATTACTTCTAGTACCTTGCCCTCGGAATTTATGGGAATTCACGCCTTATACTGGCGCTTCAATGGCATACCCTAATTTGACAGGTAGAGGAGTATTGGACAGTGAGGTCTACCTAATAATCAAGCAGTATTCCAACTATGATCCTTGCTAATCCACGTAAGCAGTCTATTTTGTATAACGTCTAGGTTGAAACCCAAGTACAAATATTATCAGATAGGACCTCAAATGAAACCCTCTGGACGCGTTGTGAAAGGGAGTACATAGTTGCGCTCAATGTATGCATCAGAATTCCATGCTTCAGGTGATCGATAACGTGGTGCACCTCCAAAGTTGAAACAATATCATATGTTGCCTATCATATCCTAGAGATACGATAGGAATACGCCATTTTCACACTTTCGCAGAGGGTGCAATGCCAGTCTCAGGAAGATCTTGAAGCATACCGAAAAAGTACACGCTATGAACATTTGCGTGTCTGATTATAGTTTCATCTTGTCTAAACTAGAAACATAGCCATTCATTCCACTACTATGGCGGGGAAGTGTCAAGCCTTTCTCAGAAGTGAGGGTTGTCTTAGGTCAAACCGGCCTCGCCATGGGGATTGTCACGCTTCCTTTCATGAAGAAAATGAAATAAAATAGTAAGAACTCTGCTCTAACCTTCCTTCTCGCCCTGCTGCTTGCTCACAAAATCTGCAAAAGAATTGACTACATTCAAAGCCTGGAAATGTGACAACCGTGGATCGCACAATGAACGATAGTTGAGCGCAAGACCCCGCTCAGATGATCCCTGTTTCGTGCCGTCCAGACATTCTGTAACAAACTCCCCAGTCTGCTCCAGGTGCAATCCGCCTAAAATGGACTCGTTCTCATAGTGTGTCTGCCACGTCCTCGTCAGCTCCTTCAGAATACGATCAACGTGTCGCGTTTTAACACCACATGTGGTAGTTTGCGTGTTGCCATGACATGGATCACACATCCAGACAGGACGATGACCGGTTTCTTTCACAGCTCGGATCAGGCTCGGTAGAACCTTTTCGACATTATCTGCGCCAAATCGCGTAATGATTGTAATGCGGCCAATGTTGTCATCGTTTCCAGGATTCGGACACAGAATATTCAACAGCTCGACCAGTGTTGAGCCGTCCATAGTCGGTCCGATCTTGACTCCGATCGGGTTGCGAAGACCACGTACGTACTCGACATGGCCTCCGTTCAACTGACGGGTTCGTTCGCCGATCCAGACAAAGCTTGCCGAAGTATTGTAGCGACCGTGTGTGACAGCACTCTCAAATGGCAAGTGTAGCGCTTCATGAGAGGTGAAAATGGCTCCTTGGGGGCCATCGAACGAATCGATAGGCTTCCCAGACAGCATCTCGTCTATACCAGGAGTGGAGGGCCCAGGAGTAGGTGGTGTGGCGGGGAGTTGCCCTTCTTTCATCAAATCAAGTGTTGCTCGTGAATGAAAATAGCCGAGCAATAGTCGATGCGGATCAGGGCGCCGTTCACCAAGACTCGGACCGTTTACGTTGTGACCGCGGAAGGCATGGATCTTTGTCCCATCGGGCAGGACTTCCCAGGGGTTAGATCTTGGTTTGGCGTATTGGCCAGCTATACGGCCCACTGTGATGACGGGGAGGTTCAGGCATTGAGCCAGCATTCGCGACTGCTCCTGTAACAGTCTGACTTTCTGATGGATGATGTGCGGACGAACATCGTTGAAACTCTCGGCACAGTCGCCACCTTGCACGATGAAAGCCCGCCCTTGTGCAGCAGCAGCGAAGTAAGATCGAGCAATCTCGATTTTCGCGGGGTTCACCAGGGGCGGCAACGAGGCAATTGTATTGCAGACTTCATACAGGGCCATTGGATCGCTGTATTCGACGGCCTGAGCAACATATGGCATCTTTGTCCATGACTGGGGACTCCAAGAGCACCGAGGTGGCTGTGTGAACATGGAGTCTGTTTCAGCAGACTCGACTGGGAAGTCTCCCATCACGATTATCAGAGCGAGGAGAGTCTATGTGGAAGAATCTTGTGAGAGTTAGAGGTGTTTGGTGCTCGCGAAGCTAAACCACTTACTGTGAGTCTTGATTTAAAGTCCCTTGAAGTCACGTAGCTGAGACGGCAGACGGAGATCACCCTGTTACTGTGCTCTCTTAAGGAAATACGAGGGACCGAACCCAACCCTCCTCATAGGACGTACTGACTCCTGGTGACACTTGCTTTTTCTTTTTGTCCAGGCTGTAAGGTAGTATTGTCAAACCCCGTTCGCTGACGATAGATTGCACGAATTCACGGCGTCCACTCACATAATTCGGAGAGATTCGTGGTCATTGTTTGCGGATCCAATGCTGTCAACTTAGACCAATCCTGAAAGGAATGTTCCGTTTCTTGCCACTGCCTTCATCATGAATTATCTCCGAGGTTTCATTGGACACAGGCACCGGATCTCTGATGGTGAGGATGCTCTGTAGTACGCAGAATATCCTTCTCCTCCACTGACACGGCCCCTCGCTGCAAGTCACCCCTGTCACATCCGCACTCAAAGTGGGTATAAAGTATCCAGCGTCTCGTATTCAGCCATTGTCTTCCGAATCAATTGTTGAATAGCTGAATTTCCAACTTCCAAGTCAGGTAATGGTACAGATTATGTCCCTTTCTCGGCATGACCCACTACCTCGACAATGCCTCGCCTTCCCAGGCCTTTGATAGAGAGCAGCCTCGATCTGGACGCTGATTTGCGTATTCTTATGCATGGGTACGCCACCATCTGCATATGCATGGTGTGTATGGGCTGCAGAATGTCTTTGCCAAACCACATGGAGGCCATGCCACACGGCATTTCCCTGGTAGAACTTGGGCCTTATCTATTTCCCCAGATCAATCATGCATAGCGCGTAATTACCGCACAATTTTGCTGCTAGATAGGCATAGAAAAACTTGCAAGTCTGTGGCCTTTACCATGTATGGAAGTATTCATAGATGGTGGGGGGGTTATAATCTCCGACTAAATTCGTCGATATTTCGAAGGTTCGCACGCGATGAACCTTGGCTACAACTGAAACGCCTTCATATTCTGGATACAACCTGCATGAAATGGACTACATGTAAGCACTACTGTAAGCCTTCCGGCCTCATTCGTCAGCTCCAATTCATCGCCTGATACCGATGTAAGCGCCGCCCGATTGTCGGAGGAAGATGGGCTTGATCCGAGAAGCACATGGAGGTTCATCGGGATACATTCAGTTCCGGCCATGGCAGTGCTTTCGTTATAGTAGTTCTAGAGGGTTCAAGGCCCACTTCAGATATCCTTGCAAGGCTATCTACTCTGGCATGTGTCAAGCTTGAGCTCTGTTGTCACGAAACGTGGTCCGGTGGGCTCAGATCCAGGTTTAACCTGAGTCATGGGAAAGTATTGAATAATTAGATTTATATGACCTGAGACCCCCTGTAGATATGTTCATGAGGTAGAATCTAACAACAATGAAGATATGCCAAATGGTTCGCCTCCGGCCCGTGCTGACGTTGTCGATCATTATTCTCCACTCATTAGAAATATGAGGGCCTTGGTTGCATTAGTGCCACCGGGAAGCCTTCGTCAAAGCAAAGTTTAAGACAGTACGGAGTTACTCGAAGCGGATCGGACTTGGCTGGTCCTGCATGGCCCCAAAGTAATCCCTGATCTCGGATTGGAGTTACTGAACGGCTACCGGCACATGTAAGATCATACAACGAATATTCCTCTCTCTGTGACTGGATCCTTGTATGTTTCAACGCTTATCGATATGGTATCCCCAACAAAGAAGCGTGATTACAGAGAGTCGAGCCACCATCGTGGTTTCACCAATCTCACCAATCAACATTGCTACCTCGGGGTAGGATGCATAGAATTATTCTCCCGCAATTGTAAATCAAAGTATTTAATCTGTTCACTTGTCTTGAAGGGTTTACGCACGGCAAAGTAATACGCAACATTCAACATTATAGTACGAGGACCCGAACAGGCTCATCCCTCTCCGAGACGGGTGATTACGAGCCCGTTAACCAATATGCTTTTCGATTCGAGACTCCCTCTGCCTCCTGTGCCAGACACGGACGCCTTCTCCTATATCTTTTACAAAGGCCGGAGAGATTATCCAAAGAACAGAGTCTTATATCGTGTCGACGGCACAGATAAGACGCTCACGTATGCTCAATTGGAGAAGAAGAGTCGTCGATTCGCGGATGCGATTCGTCAACGGTATGAGATAAAGCCAAACAACGTAGTGGCTATCCTGGCAAAGGATAAGGTAGGCCTCTCCGCCACGATCTCATTTGTACTCGTCAACAAGTGCTAAGTTGTGGCTAGATCGAATATGCCATTGCCTACTGGGGCGCCGTCGCTGCTGGTGCAATGGTTGCTCCCATCCCGGTCCAGAGTGAAATGAGCGAGACGGACGTTGCCGCTCGGCTCGTGCAGGCCAAAGCAAAGCTCTTCATTACTGACTCCGACCTCCTCATCTTGTCGGAAGTGGCGTCCGAACTTGCTGGTGTCATACCAATTTTGACATTGGATAAGACCAAGGAGAGTTGGCCGACTTTGGATGAGCTAGTCGAGGAGGGAAGCGAGGCGCGGGTATTTGAGCTGAAAACCGTGCAAGAAGCCGATGAACACAACGTCTTCATAAATCGAACTAGCGGCTCAACGGGAAACATGAAGTCAGTCCTCACCAGTCACGCACACTACATTTCGACAATGGAAGGTACAATTGGTACTATTCCAAAGAACACAAATCCCGACACCGACGTCTGGGTTTCTCCGCTCTCCCTGGGATTCTTTATCAACTCCAAACTGCATATCGGACTGAACATTATGCTGGGTATTCCGGTCGTTCTGATGAAGAAGACACTCGACGAGACCACTGTTGACGTGATTGCCCGCCACCGTATTACCTTCTTGTTCATTACGCCACCGATTGCTGCCCGACTTGCTCGCGCCGATATAAGCGAGGTTGACGTCAGCAGTGTCAAATGGTTATTGACGGCGGGGGCTCCAATGCACGAGAACCTCCGTAAAACGGTCTCAGATCAGTTCGGAGGCGTTCACTTGACTCTTGAATGGGCAACTTCCGAGACTATGCTCCTGGCCATGCAAGTGGACGAATCCTCCAAATTGCCGGGATCTAGCGGTACCTTGGTGAACGGTATTCAGGCCAAGGTTATAGATACCGAGACCGGAGAAGAGCTGGATGCCCACGAGGAAGGAGAGATCTTGGTACGTAACGTGATCGCAAGCTTTAAGGGATACAAGGACAACGAGGTAGCGAACCGCGATTTCGACGGAGAAGGATGGTTTCACACTGGTGACTACGGATACCTGGATGAAGACTCGAACGTGTACATCCTTGATCGTATTAAAGAGCTCATGAAGGTCGGGGAAGGGTACGGAAGCCACGTTTCTGCTGTGGAAATTGAATCCGTTCTCTTTGAGCACCCGGTGGTGTCAAGCGTCGTTGTCGTTGGGGTCCGCAACACAGAACTGCAGGTTGATCAGCCAACGGCGTTTGTGGTTTTGAAGGAGGCTTTCCGCGAGGAGACGGCGAAGACAATCAAGGATATTGAGAAGTTTGCCGAATCAAAGCTAACGGGTCTGAGACGATTGACCGGAGGAGTCTATTCCGTCCCGAAGTATCCCACGACAGGGTTCAAGATTAACCGGAGGGAGTTGAAGAAGATGGTTCCTGCACTGAAGGGGTAGCAGAGGCGATAAGGACACCAATGATGCAATGAATAGAATACAACCTTGTCTTGAACTGTATTTCTTGTTCTGAATTTACCCAGTATGCCATGCCTCTTGCTAGAAATTAGCCAAGTAGTCACATGAAATATTCTTGGGGAATCTGGAGATATGAATTTGTATTACATCCGAAGTTTTAGTGATAATTCTCGGTATTGAGTCACACATTCTTAAATCTATTTGACCGACTTTATCACTAGGTAAGATTCTAAAATTTATCATATGAGTTTTCGGTGATCGTACTAGATATGCGGGTGTCTGTTACCTATGAAAATTCTAGTACCCTATCGTTCGGAATAGTCGAATCCGGGAAAATCCAATCACAGGGGCTTCCGACCAGAAATCATCCTCAATTCCGGAGCATAGCCAATCGCCTTGATCTCTTCCACTAGGCGGTCCAAGAAGGCGTGGTATTCCTCGGGCGTCTTGGCAACGCCAGGGATGCCATCCTCTGCCCCAGATCAAAGTCAGTGAATGAACCGCACAAGGGCAAAAATATGAGGGAAATCACGTACCACCTATGCGACCAGCCAGATGCCGGAAGCTCTCCACCCACAGCTGGGCAGACGAGTCGCGGTCCTTTTCATGTTTCGCACTTGCTCCATAAGCAAAAGGATATGAGACGGTCGTGATATCTTCGAACCCATACTCCTGCAGCAGGTCGGTGAGTTTTTCGCCGATGTAGATGTCCATGCCTGCCGTCTTAGTGGACCAGATTTGGGTCAAAGCCAATTTGTGCTGCTCGGGGTGGGTTTCCCACAAATTTGGGAAGATCCATTTGCATTCGACAAACTGGATGCGACCGCCGGGCTTCAACACACTTTGGAGATTCTTCAAAACTCTGGGCCACTCCGTTTCCTTTAGTCCCCAGACCAAGAAGCGCTGGTGGATGATGTCGAAGTGTTCTTTCCAGCCCCAGCTATCGGGGAATGACTGGAGGAGGTCATGCTGGCGAAGATCGAGATGGGGGTTTGCCAGGAACAAGTGGGAGCCAATATCAATGCCGTGAAGGGCAAGCTGCTTCTGAGGATAGTCGCGAGCCAGGTCCAGCAGCCAGGTCCCTAAAGAACGTTAGACATGAGGCCAACCTTAATAACTAAGCAATTAATAGCATCGGGGCTTCTGCTCACCGTCTGCACAGCCACTGTCGAGGATTTCGAGTTGCTGGCTCGACTCGGGCAAGGGGAATCCTAGCAGGTTGCCATCGCTGCAGACTTTGGTATACTCATGTTGTCTCCTGAGCCGGTCGATTTCGCTGACGTGATGGGGCAGGAGATATTGGCCTTCGGTTCCCTCAAATACCTCCTGTGAAGTAGAGGTAGAGTTTTCTACGGCGGCCATGATTGATGAATTTACGGACGGTGTAAATGAGCTGAGATCCTTTTTAGACACGAGGGGGATTACTCTCGTAGCACCCTTTTTGTACGAACACTGAAACTTCCGCTACGCGGCCGACCTCACGATGTCGGAGATGTTGATTTTACCAGCCATTGCTGGCTGATCCAAGCCAAATGGCCTAATAACCCCGTTATCACGACTGCGCCGCGTCTGCTCCTGTGATTGGTTCTGCTCAGGCCAGGAACGAAGGGGTGGCCATGTACGGAGTCAGCGTCGCTGGTCGGACATGGATGGTCGCGAAATGACCACGATTCTCCGAATCAATCCCGGAGAAAAAGACGCCATTAATAATCACTGCTACACAATTTCATCATTCAGGCCGACCGTGCTGGAGCAATCGGGATGTTCCTTTTATCGGATGAATGAAGGTTCTTACGCCAGTGAAGATCCTGCTCTTTCTCTGTTTTCTCCTCGGAATGCTAAACGCAACAATGATCAGACCGGCCGCTGAAAGCGCCATCTACCGTCTCGCTAGCCTGGGAGGGGGCATACTAGCTGGGCACACCATCAGTCATAAGCCAGAAGGTAGTGCTCGCGATAAGCCCCAGCCCCATGCATGGACTCTTCGATCGGGCGTGTATACCCCGCGTGAATTAGTCGAGGGTTTCGCCCCTCTTCTAGATACGGTCGTCTACCGTCTGGGCGAGGATGCCCCGAACACCAGACCGGCCCGGGCATTGCTCCTCGACAATGTTGCCCATAACCTGGCCACCAACGCTCGCGAATCTACCTTGCCCTTCCAAAAGGATGTGCCGGACCACTCGCGCAGGGAGATAAAGGAGCAGGCCGAGAAAATCGGCAAGGCCCTCGTCCAATGGGCCCGCGAAGCCGTGAATGGCCCCTTCGATCCCAACCTCGACATCCGCAGTCCATGCGAGAATCATCTACTGATTCCGGTGAATGTCGACCTCATGTTTGGGCGTCGCAGTCAGCCACACCTGATGCAACTGTTCAATGAGTACATGCACCAGATGGTGCTGCTTCGTGACGCTCTTCTTCCCTTCAGGAACTTCGAGGACGTGCTGGTCCCCGTAGACGGCAAGGCTGCTCGGGGCATTCGTCACCTGGAGCCCAGTCGTGCCCAATTCCTGACGGGCCTCTTCACCAAGAGCGTAACTCAGGCTTCGGTGTTGGCGTACGCGAAGGCGCTTCTGGCACCAGATTTGCCCCGGACCCAAACCGGCGGTTATGGCTTCCAATACGAGTATGGCTCCATTCTACCCGCCGTCCTAAGCGGCGGGGAAACCCCATACCACTTGCTGGAGTACGTCCCAGCCAAGATTGATCCATCTCAGAAGAACATCCTGTTCGACTACGAGTTCTCAGACTACTACACCGCACCCCGGCCTGAGATCCCCGCTGGCGCCAAGGTGCAGGGTGAAGAGCTGCTAAAGTTCCGCTCCGAATCCGCATCTGTCGGAGTGCAGAGCGCTAGTCTTGGCCTCGTGCCTTCGGCCGAGTCCAATCCCGTCCGTCAAGTAGAGCTTCGCCTTGAGCTAAGCAACGGCAAGTGCGTTGGTGTTGATGTCGGTCAGATTGCCCGTGGACACCGCTACGCATATCAGGCGCTCACAGGCAATGATGTGAACCTCGAAGATAAACCTGCTATCGTCCACTCGGCCTTGGACATTCTCCTGCACCCTGAGAGTGGACTCATCACCGCTAAACAGGGCGGTGTTCATGTCATCCCGGCCGAGGCGCCCATCATTGCACTCGCACTTCTAGGGAAGCTCTACCCAGAGAACGTGGTGCTCCTGCCGGAGGATGGTCACCTCAGCCAGACTGAGAAGGCTGGTAAGGGTTTCGAACCTAAATTTATCATCTGGGGCGGCGTAAAATCTGGTGGCTACAAAGGACGTTTCTGATTTCACTCTAGTCAGGTTATGCATTGGAGTTTCCTTCGTTGTTTTGTTTGCTTTTTATTTTCTTGGATGGTGATTCCTATCGCTACGGAGTTACAATAAAGAACTTGTGTCATTGAAATTTACCCCATTTGACTACCTATTTGTAACGTATACGAGCCGAACATACTGCTTTGAAGTACTTTTTGTTGATTTTTCGGAGGTCTTCAATACCACCAGGCTTTGAATGTTGTGCCGTTCCCTTTGGGCACACTAGCCTTATAGGGTAACGTGAATCTAGGTAAAGTGTGTATAGTATACTTGGACTTGTAGGATATCATAGCTTCTAGGGCATCTTCAAAATTATTCAGCGGCTGGAGTTGCTCTTCCTGCAGCAATTCCTATCCTATTCGTTGTCCTAACAATTTCTTCTCTTTTGTTTGTGAATATCAAATCATTTTGTGCAACATGAATCTCTAAACATTTCGTCATACAAACTCGAAGTGCCAATCTACCAAATGGCACATTCTCCCAGGCTTCCACACAGAAATGAATTGGAGCGTGCTAGGGCCTCCGCCAGGATATTCAGGTGGCCATTGTGGGAATAAACACATCACTAAGCGAGTGAAGAGAATAAATCGAGTGACTGCAAGTCTAATCGGATCCCTTTGAAGACAACTAAGGAAACAAAATTAGGAGGGGAGTCGGAACAATGCCAATTTTACATGGCCATGGAGCAAGCAGGCGCAAAATAATCTTCAATTCGTAAAACCTAATCTGCAAGAGCTCTTTTACGGGAAAAGAAACATCACATTCATTTATTTACTTAGTGTAATCTCGTACAAAACAAAAAGAGAAATAGGCCAAGATCCTGTAGAAAGACTAAATCACACTGCTGGCACCTCTTTGCGGTGCATATCATCCGACCATTTCTCTGGGAGCTTTCCCTCGTCCAGAAGTCGCGCCATGCGCTCTTTGACGTGCTTTCCTGCGATAACAGCTTCATACTGTTGCGGGTAGTCATCGGCAATGCACTCAGCCAGGGGCTTGATGACGGCATCGCGGTTTGGATGACCAAACCAGGCAATAGCATATCGGGCAGGGACTACGTTTGTCACTGATCCATCTGCCAGCTTACGAGTCTCCACGGGGGGTGCGACAACTCTATGCTCGGTGGATTTCAGGCGGTTGTTGAACCAGCGGGCGAGAAGGTCCGCCACGTTCACAATCGCATGGCCGGGAATGGGAGGCGCATCACACCATTCGCCCTGCTTGTTGCGCACCTGTAAGCCGCCAATGGAGTCGTTGAAGAGCAGAGTCAGGGTGCCAAAATCTGTGTGAGGCGCTGACCGAACCCGTTGGTCGAAACTCTCGACGGTCGTCTCGGGATAATGAAGTAGAGCCGTGTAGGAATCCTTGGCTTGGACCGAAGGTACGAGGGTCTCACGGGGCAGTCCAACTTTCTCCGTCAAGGCACGCAAGATCTCCAAATGCATCTGGAAGCACTCCTCAAAAAAGCGCGAACAGTCATTGCGGAATTCAGGCCAGTCCTTGGGCCACCGGTTGGGACGAGTGGGATCAGCGTCATTTCCCAGCCCAAACGCCTCTTTCTGATCTGCAGTTTCGGGATTACGAGCAGTTCGGACTGGTGCAAACCACCCGCGAAAAGCTGATTTTTCGTCACCTTCAATGGCGAGTTTTTGTTCTTCTGGTAGGTCGAAGAGCTTGTGGATGTGGGAGAAAATGGTTTTCACGAAATCATCAGTGAAGATGTAGCCTTTCAGATATATGAAGCCAACATCGTGGAAGGACTGAAAGAGCTTGTCTTTCTCTTCCGCAGCAATTATGGAATCACTTGATACAAGCCGCGAATAATCAATGACGGGAAAAATAGGGCTCGCCATGGTAGACAAAGTATGCAGAACAATTGATCTTGTTACTATAGAACAGCTGTATCAAAGACAACAGTAGGAACGTGAGACCAGCCCTTTCGATAGATTCTTATAAGCCAATAAGTAAACTTTGCCACATCGATCTATTTGGCAATTAATGATTATCTTGGCCAGGAAGGTGGTTTTCGCGTGAATTGAGCAGGCATATTCCGAAGCGAATGACATCTAACGATTACCAAAATATGCAGCTTCATCCAACAAATTCCGGTCGTAGTTGGCTGACGTTGGTTCTCCGATAGCAGATTACTCCGGAGACGGCTGGCCTTGGATGACGATTCCGTGCCTTTGGAGCTACGGATACACTAATGCATGTGCGTCCTAGGGTGGAGACTGTCAGATCTTACGATGTTGCACCACGTATCTGGTTTGGGGTCCACTTCATGGCAGCAAAAGTGAAACACGTGCAAGGCAACTCTCGTATTTTAGATTTAGATTCAATCAGTGGATACAAGGAGGATACCCATCCATCTATCACGTCCACTTCCAAGCCCTGGGTCACCTTGGAATCAATAGGATACAAGTAGATTACTCTCTGATTTGTGCTTTTGATTACAAACCCTTGCCTTCAGCCAATTCGTGCTCGATCGCGGCGAAGAGGAAGGCGGTTGCACCTTCTAGATCATTGTAGGCGATTGTGCCATCGATGTAGAACTGTAAGAAGTCAATGTCAGTGCTTGCGAACTCTGCGCGTTCCCGAAACAATCTACTCACCTCGTAGGAGAAGTTGCCACCAAGCCCACGAACCTGCACTGTGCCGTTGAAACCCAATGTGCCATGTGGTTCATACACCACAAACTGATCAATCAGCCCCTGGAAACCCTTGCCCGCGGAACGTTGAATTGCTGCTCGGTCTTCTGCATCCTCAATGTACCCCAGACGCAGACCCTTATACAGGGAGTAGACGAACATTCCTGAAGCACTGCTTTCGATGAAGTTGCCTTCGCGTCCCGGCCACGACATGACCTGCCACCACGCTCCAGTATCGGGGTCAATGGCCTTAGCTGCAGCCTTGGCTAAATCAACATACAAAGTGTGCAGGCGTATCCACAGATCTGATCGGTGTGAAATGGGTAGAAGCTCCAGTGTGTCTACCAATGCCATGGTCATCCATCCATTTGCACGACCCCAAATTTCAGGAGTCGCACCGGTTACTGGATCGGCCCAACGTTTTTGCTTGGTGTCATCATAGCCCTGCGCCCATAGGTGGGTGTCTTGATGCTCGCAATGGTTTGAGAAGAGCTCGAATTGACGAAGAACGTCATCGTAAGCGGCGGTTGCGTTGCCAATGTCCACCAAATTCGTATAGCGAGTCAGGAATGGAGCGAACATGTATATCTGCTCCACAAAAGCCTGGTCGGGGGTGTTGGGATACTCGAGGTCCGGGGTGGAAGTGTCTGCTCGGTACCAGTACATACCCTCCGCAGTGCGTGGCTGCGTGTCCAGGCTTTGGCGCAACTGCTTCGCGGCTCTCAAGTACTTTTCATCGCCGAGCTCTTCGTGCAAGTAGAGCAATCCATGCCCTAGAAGCAAGTCATCGATAATGTGCGTATGCTCCACGTTGTAGTACCTAAGACCGTCTGCGCCCAGTTCCGCCTCGACGCTCCGCTGAAGATAATCGAAGTAGAGAGCTTTCGAGTGCTCGTTGGGAACTTGCTGCGTCAGTCGCTCCAATGCCAATTGAAACATGCCGTGTTTGAATACGGTAGAGGTCATGGTGTTAGGCTTAACCCTCAGAGCATCACCGCGACTGATGATGCTGTCAGCCATCCACTGTGACCATGGCTTCTGAGCTGGCACGAGGGGTATTTGGGATGAAAACGGTTGCGATTGCACATTGGCGACGAGGAGCGCAGTAGCGACGGTGAATTGTATGATACCTTGCTTCATTGTTGTTAATGTGGTCATTCCGCGCGCGAAAATATCAACAGAATTTTGAGGCGAGATCCTGTGAGGAAACCAAAATAAATTTACATTACAGGCTGCAATGAGGAGCTATAGCTCTATAATTCTTTGTGGTGGGCCAGAACAGCCATCTCCGAACACGACAGTCATCTCCGAGCGTATCGGAAGGCACCGAGGAGCAGGCGCCCAGCGGGTCTTATGTGCACGCACTGCTTTCTGCACTGGGCTGTCAACTTGTAGTTTCGAAAGGTTCCTGGAGTATCTTGAGCTAGTCCCGATCCTTCTATCCGTAAGCAAACAGTTCGTCTGAAGACGAGGAATCTACCTATGTAGCTACATGGTCATGCCTCTTGTAATTCGTTACATCGGTTGGTATTTTCTTCAATGTAGTCCTGATAACATCCAGACCAGAAATAGAGTCGTCCAGAATAACGACTTCTGGATCCTCAATTACAGTCATCTTTTCTCAGAAAACTCCATATTTTGTAGCCAAGGGTACCCAAGGCCCTATGAAAAATGTTGTCACAGTACATAGATTAACTCCGGATTCTCCAAGTCCGTCAAATCCTTGAACTCTGACAAAGGCACCTCTTGGTAATCCGGATCCAAACGTATCCTTTCCTTCTGCGCATTCCGGACCCTGTACCAATAGCGAATCACCAACATATCGATTAGACATGCGGCCCAGCAGCAGCAGATTGTGATTTCAGCAGGAATGTACCGGGGCGCATCCTTCGGGCGGAATGTTTGAGGCCCTGATCGATGCCATGGTTAGAGGATTGAATCGGCGCAGCTGCTGATGTGTTGGTGGTTTAAGAGGTACTTACCGAGAATATTGCCCACGCAGTACCCTATCATGTAGATAGCTGCAACTGTAGTCTTCTTGGTTGACCCTGCTACATTGGTCGAAATGAATGACAGCAAAGCAACGAATGCGGTCGGACTTGCTTGTGTGAGGTAGAATGCGATCAATCTCCCGAGGCTATTGGACAGAGGTAAAGCTGCAAGAAGAACAGCGCCCAGTAGTCCGATCGCCAATCCAACACAGCTCACGTAGATTCGCTGATGATATTTATCACTGAGAATACCGCTAACGATCAAGCTGATGGCTTGGATTGCGCCTCCAGGGGCACTGTATAGAAGCGACTCGGCTGCCGTATATCCCGAATTCTTGATAATTTGAGAGAAGAAGTTGGTAATTCCACCGTTGGGAATATTGCCCGCGCAGGCAAAGAATGCAAATGCCCATGTCATGGGGTCAAGAAGAGCTTCTTTGAATTGAGACATCTTGAAATGCTTGTTACCAATTCCTTGTTGGTTCTGGCGGATACGCTGGACGGCAAGAATCCGATCCTCGGGTTTCAGAAAGCGAACGTTCCACTGGTTGTCCGGCATGTAGTATAGGAACACAAGTCCAATCACCACGGTGAAGCAGCCTGTGACCAGGAACAAGATTCGCCACGGCTCAATGGCCGTATCTCGACCTTCGGTGCCTTTGGCGATACCGTAGGCTAGTACGCCACCGACAATCATCGCTACGCCGTTGAAACCGAACCATATCCCCGTGCGAGATCCTTGCTCATGCTTTGTGTACCATTGGGATGTGAAGAGCGCAAATCCAGGTGTTACGACCGCTTCGAAGACTCCGAGGAAGAAGCGCACAACGGCCGCTCCTCGGAAGTCCGTCACGGCCGCGAAACAGGCCAATGTCGCCCCCCAGAGAATGATGTTGAGTGAGGAATACTTCGCGAGGGGATAGTGTTGCAGCAGTCGGCTACTAGGGTATTCTACCGCCAGATATCCTACAATATACCAATGTCAGCTCGGGAAATGGTTCGTAACAGGCACCAGAACTGACCGAAGTAGAAGATACTTCCCAACCATTGATATTGATCGCCAGTTAGTCCTATGTCGGATTGAAGGCCCATAACACTTGCGTAGGAGAGCGTGGTTTCTAAAACTTGAATCAACATTTTCCATTGCTTTGGGCCTGATATCACTCAATCTCTTACTGTCTAGAAAATTAAGCCCATAGATAGTACATAGTAGCTATTGGATGTATCAGCATTCGTGACCGAGGAAGAACCATGACAAAGGCTTTGTGACGCACTGGAAGTAGATTGCGATCGATTATTTTCAACAGCCGTGCATTGGTCTCTTTGTCGATGTCTTGGACCCCACCTGGCGCTCCCGCAAAGGCTCGCATAGCCTCATCCTCCTCCTGCAGCGGGTTGTGAGGAGCAATTGCTTCTTCTTCGACAGCCATGATGAAACGTTGTCTTCGTTGCGATATATCGATCGGTGACTCGATATCACGTAAGTTAGTTTGACCTAGCCACGGCTGACGAACAACGGTTAAGTACATAAACACCGTCGCGTTTGCACCAGAATAAACCAGGAGCGTCGGACTTTATTGGTCACTGGCGAAAGCTCTCCGATTGGAAGGTGGGGGAAGCTTCCGAAGCTGAAGTGGTATTCGAGCTCATTTGTCAGATTGTCGTTCAATTTGAACATGCATATACGTATGTGCTACCGTCCTTGGCAAGTCCTGCAGAATTAGATCGATGGCGACAATTCGACCGACAGACCCTATGCTCCTTTCGGTCAACGAATCGGCAGGGTCTCCCGTTAGTCCCGCTCTGGAGGTTTTTTGTCATTTCTCACATCATCGGGCTAGTAATGAGGGGCAAAGGATATGACTGTTGAATAATACTCAGGAACCATGATAACTTATAGCCATTCCACTTCGCTTATGACCTACCCCTGCTCGGTCGTTATGTGCACGTCCCTCTTACTGCATCTGGTGAGGTGCAGTTGAGTGATACGGGGATAGATACACCTGAGCGTGGCACTATCGTGCGATCGATCGGGACTTAGCGTAACGGATGGCCGGTCCGATAACGATATTGACTTAGCGGTAGCATTATATTTCAAGTCCTGAGTTTCTCCTGGTCACTGGCTTGATTGGCCAGGCCAATCTTCCATGCCTGTTTGAAACGAGTACGCCTTTAGCAATATCCGAAACAGGACAGCTACAGCGACTACCGCTCCCAGACCACCTAGGGTAATCGCGTAGATAGAGACACGCTAACATGCACACCACGCGATACTATTATGAAAAACTCACAACCTACCTCCTATGATGCTGACCAAGGCCTGCTGGCGTGTATCCATCCGCTAGGTGTCTGCAGAAATATTGTAGATCTACTAATTGCCCAATCTGGTAAGCCATCAAACCCCCGTTTCGCAGTTGCCCAACTACACCATCTGGAGAAAGGTGAGGTTAGATATTGTACCAAGCTTAAGCAGACGTAAGGCTCTATGTATAAGTAGAATTACCGGTATGAATCACTCTGTGATCAAGAGCATGGCTTCGCATCGGTTTTCTGATCCGGATCGTGTCTATCTGGTTTTGCTGTACCCTATTTAAGCAAGCAATCCCGAGCTCTTCTTGGATGATCGGGTGGAACATGATTGATTTTTCGCTCAGTAGTCCGGTGTAGGAGAGTCGCTGTGAAAAAGCCCAATAGATCGAGTGGATGTAAAGTGGTTTTGCTGACCATCAGACGCGGTGTGGATGGCTCGTGGTATGATGCTCGCGGGTCCAAGTGCGTCATCACCATCACCATCATACAATCATCAACGCCTCAAACGCCAACCATGCCACCGCATTCTCGTCCTTTCTTTTCTCCCTCGTCCCTCCCCATCGTCAGCTCAGTCTATCCAAGATCCTGGATTTATGACTAGCCCAAGCGATCATAATCCAGAGCTTGGAAGGGCCTTTGGTGGACTGTTGCCCTATTCCCCGCGCAAGTGAGGGGCAAAGTAAAAAAAAAGCAATGCGTCGGTCTCGTGCGTCCACTTTTTTTCTCCCTTCGCAGCCCAAAGCTTCTTCTTTACACCTCGAAGCAAAGCTGCTTAACAACTCGATCACCATGCGACACAACATCTGCCATCTACCCAATGGCCTCTCGTTCACGGTGACGCCCGTTTTTGGCGGGGTCACCTTCAAATCGAATGACATGCATTCGCACAGCTCGAGCTCGACCTTCCCACCAGGCTGGACAATCATTATTCATAGTGGAAAGACCCCCGAGAAGCCCCTGCCCGAAGAACGAGGACGAACCGGCTCTGAGGATATACGCCCTACCTCTAGTGACGGCAGCGACGACAGCAACCTCACTCGCTTCACCACCCCTACCTTGAACCGTGACGGCCTCTATATCTCGTATATTGTGAACCCTCCTTCGAGTGACTATAAACCGGCCCTGTCGCCTACGCGCCAGATTGCGATGATGCTTTGGGCTACTCTTTGGTGGTACTTCCACGAGCCCGAGCCTGACTTGCATCTGGAAACCGCGGCCTCGAGCTCGACACCGCATAGTGGACGGCCACAGGGCGAGTGGCGCGTGAATATCAGACGAGAGGGGATCTTCAAGGGTCGGAACTTGTTGCAGAAGCTCGAACGTATGGGTCTGATCGCGAGCGAGGACTCTTCCGTCGGTCTTCAACCTTTGGAGACGCGCGATTCGAGCAGCTGGTCCAATATGTTTGTGAGTCGACGGAGTTTCTGGCAGATCGATCCACGTCTGTTCCTTTTCACGCTCACGCCACGAGCGGCCTCCCCGTCGCCCTCGATGACCCCCTTCCAATCTCGCCATGCGTCCCCAGCACGAGATGGTCGGTCAAGCCCGCATGCGTTGCAGCCGGCGGAGGCTTCGTTCCATACATCCAATATTGGCACGTATACCTCTGCCGGTCCTTTTACGTCAGCTAGTCACCTACCAACGTACTATCCGCCGGCACCTACACAGTATACTTCTACCAATGGCGTGCGCCATCCTGTTCGGCCTAAACCCCCGCATCAAGGTGAAGTCTTCTACGTGCGCCATGTTCCCAGCGTCGACCAATTCCTTTCATTCCGAGTGCCGTTCTTGCCGATGACCAAGCCTGGGCCTGCGAAGGGACCTACCGCGGGCAGCCGGCCATCAACCCCCACCGCGACTGTCAGCTCCTCGGTCACCAGCGTTGAGCAGCATCTCTGCACGAGTGGCCCCTCCGACCTCGACATGCTGCATCGGTGGATGAACGATCCCCGGGTTGAAGCCATGTGGGGAGAAGGCGGCGAACAATCTGTTCAAGAGAAGTTCCTCATGAAGAACCTCACTAATCGACACAGTTTCCCCGTCATCGGCTGCTGGGACGGAAAGCCATTCGGCTACTTTGAGATCTACTGGGTGAAGGAAGACCCACTGGGTCAATTGATCAACCGTGTTGAGAACTATGACCGCGGGATCCATGTGCTCGTTGGTGAGCAGGAGTTCCGGGGTCCCCATCGAGTGGCCATTTGGTTGAGTGCATTGGTGCACCATTGCTTTTTGTCTGATATGCGGACTGAAGCGGTCTTTCTGGAGCCGCGGGTCGATAATACCAAGTGAGTTGGATTCCGCTTTACATCCGGTTGTATGCTTGGATGATGTGACTGATGAGTGATTTCAGGTTCATTCAATACCTCCACGAAGCTGGCTTCTACAAAGAGGGTGAGGTGAACTTCCCGCATAAGCGGTCCGCCGTGATGAAGATCAAGAGGGAGTTCTGGGAGGCTCCAGCGCTGTGAATGAGGATAGAGGGTCCGTCCAGTTCTATAGATCTGGATGAAATAATGAGTAACGAATAATTTGCATCTGGCTTGATTCATTGCATTCGAGATCAATCAGCGCGAGGGAATTCGGGGCTTGAGTCGATAATCGGGTGCCATTGCATTTGATAGCGAATCCGGAAGTGGTCGTGGTAGCTTGAAGTCAATCCCTCAAGCATTGATCTATAAGTGAATAACAGTCATCTTCTCTGCGTAACATCCGGGTTGATGTCCACCTAGAATCCACCGAGGCATCTCCTAGCCCTTCCCCGCATTCAAGATCGGTGATTCTCGGTCCTCCAACACGGGCAACAGATATAATCCCCATGTTTGAACACTACCCTCAACCCACCAACTGCCAACCCCCCAAAATATCATCAACATATCACAACTATGCCCCCAGCCTCAGCCTCAGTCCTCACAGCCCTCACCCGCCGCACAAGTGGAACGATCGCCCATTTAACAATCTCCCGCCCAGCCAAACTAAACGCCCTCAATAGCCCCCTCCTCACCCAACTACCCCAAACTCTCCACTCCCTCACAGCCAACCATGCAGACCTCCTATGCATAATCCTCACCGGCGCCGGATCCAAATCCTTCATCGGCGGCGCGGATATCGCCGAAATGGCCAGGTTGGACTCTCCGGGCGCAGCGAGAACCTTTATATCACGGGTTTCGGGGGCTTGTAGGAGTATACGCGAATGTCCGGTTCCGGTGATTGCGAGAGTGAATGGGTATGCGTTAGGAGCAGGGTTGGAGGTTGCGGTTTCGTGTGATTTTAGGGTTGTGTGTCGGGGGGCAGTCTTTGGAATGCCCGAGGTAAGTTTCTTTGCGAACGGACTTGCTTGTTGAGAAGGCCAGAGCTGGGGAGAAATGGGCGTTGAAGTCTTTGCTGATGCCTCTAATAGGTTCGAGTGGGTATTCCCAGTGTCGTTGAAGCGGCTCTTCTGCCAGGGTTGATTGGATGGGGTCGGACCAGGCAATTGCTCATGCTGGGGGAGAACATCACAGCCGATGAAGCTTTGAAATGGGGTCTGGTCGAGAAAGTCGTTGAGCCGGAGGCATTGGATGATGCTGTGGAAGAGTGGGTGTGTCAATTAGAGAAGAATGGTCCTCTGGCTGTGCGCAGGCAAAAGGCTTTGATACAGAAGTGGGAGAATCCATCTTTGGAACGGGCGATTCAGGCAGGAGTCACCGCGTTCGAGGAGTCGTTCGTGTCGAAAGAAGGTGAAATTACGGAGTCGGCGAGGATGCTTGGTGCGTTCTTGAAGGATAAGTCGCGGATTTGAGAGGAAGGGCCATGATAATAAAACATTCATTCCGTTGATTATCCAAATACTTTAAGCTCTATGCCAATCCGTCTATCGACTCCAAGCTTTCCATGCCAATGCCAGTGTCAATGCCGATATGGTCATCCGCGCGTATACAGCATTATTTTCACTTATATTACAATATACAATTCCTTCCAAGCCTCCCATCCCCAAACAATCGAATCGTAGAAAGATATCAACAAGCATCGCTTACAGCTTAAACTGCAGCAAGTTGCCCACCATCTCGCGCGCAGTAATGCGGGTAGTCGCCCACAAAGTAGGGAAGTCGAGGGTGCTGGTGAAGGTATCGGCGTAGCCGAAGAACAGCATGGGAGGGATCCAGCCGCGGGCGTACTCGAGGGCAAAGCACGAGCTGTCCATCTTGTACTGCTTGACCTCGCCGCGGACAAGGTGGTGCACGGTACCGGCCGGGTACCTCTCAGGCTCGAAGGATCCGGGGACGTAGGCGAGTTGCTCGCCGTGCAGGATGTTGAAGTAGTCGTCGGCGGTGTGGCGACCGGTGTGGCCCTCGGTGCCGATGGCGGTACCTAGCGAGCATGATGTGAGTACTCGAGCAGGAAGGGGGATTGAAGATATGGGAGTGCAATGGCTTACCAAAGATGATCAGGTACTCAGTGATACCTAGATAGCGCGTCTCGTTAGTCAATTGACCAGAGATAAGAAGAAAGGGAGGTCGCCAATTGCGCGGAGCTCGATTTCGAGCAGGCCGACCAAATGATAGCTCCGCATACAAGCAAAGCCTCTTCCAACCGGGGAGATCACTTACTGGCGTGGATGACGTACATTGCGCCCATGGCGCCGCCAGCGTTGTTGAAAACCCACTCCTCATCGACGTTCACATACTTCTCGCCAACCGTCTCCTTCAGATCAGCGACGATAAAGTCAACAATGGAGCGCGTATCCTCGCCATGAGCCTTGATAGCACGCTGCGACAGATCATGCAGGTGCTCCGGGTCAAAGACGTAGAACTGGTCGAGGCGCGCGTCGAGGAAGCTGTACAGGGCAGAGAACAGGGCCAGGAAAACCGCGAGGAGGCTCAAGTTCCGGAGCGAAAAGCAGCGACAGCCGCAGCCGGAGGCGGACTTTTTGTTGGACGAGGATTTGGACGGCATCGTGAGGTAAAACTCTCAGTGGGTGAGGATTTGGGGGAGGATGGAGGAAAAGAGGAAGTCGGGTGTTGCGATGCGTGAGAGGACCCTGGGATGGGGAAATTGATTTTGAATTTATTGACGGTTGCCCCTGGCGAGCCGCGTCCCCCGCAAAACCCGCCAACCCATCGGCCTGTGCCCACGCCATGCCGGATCGACCCAATCCGATTCACCACCATTGTGATTGGCCCTTGCCTTTTCTCACCCGAGCTGCCGAGAGCTTCACGGGATTCGGGACTGGCTGGCGGGATTGAGTATGGAATAGTTAATCCTGCTGGCTTTCTCGAGGTACCGTTTCGGTTTCCGCGGGTCCCGGGGGACCAGGAAAGCCGAGGGGAATCGGGAAGAAAGGCGGCAGAGAGTGTTGTAATATAAGACTAAGACTGGTAACATAGGTACTATGTCATGTTTGATGCTGGATCGTGTTTCTTCTGACATACGTGAAGACCCATAGGTCTCAGGCCCGGCAACATGAGACTGTAAGGTAAAGACCAAGCAGGAAGACACTCGAGGTCATGAAGCCTTCCTGGCCTAGCGGTTGTTTGGCGCAGAAATCGCCAGAACTGTCGTGACAGCAGACTGGCTGTCACCCAATAACTTACTAGAAATGGAACTTTGGACAGTAGCCATCATGACTGTTTGTAGGTTTGAGCCGCTGCGAAACCATTGGCAATGCATGGAATTAGCCGACGGTCGGGATATATATCTGCAGCTATGGTGGGAGGGATTCGAGGTCTTGTCCGATCGGAGTAAGGATTCAATCCCAAAGCTTTCAATCAGGAAGCGACACCTCGGAAATATCCGAGTTTGCTAGAAGTAGGAATATATCTGCTGTCGTCATTGCGCTTGAAGTAGATCATCACCGTGAGTTCATCGGATATTTATCACGCAACCCTGCTGATCATCGCCAAGTATAAAGCGGCGTATCCTCCGATTCTGCACCCTTGACAAGCCACAACTAAACGAAAGTCTTGACATTCGTCACAACGTAATTGAGATCTGGGGTCGGTTCTATTTCTTCAGGGTAAAGATGCGGGGTGCATCATAAGGGGCTGCAGTAATATGCCGAAAGTGCTCAGCTTCCAGCGTTTCCCACCAATCCCTGCACAAGCAGACAAGGATACAGAATAGGACAACCGACTTGAGATATAGAACGCGGTACTTCCTTGGGAATGAACCAATTAGTAGCCCTTCCGGAGGATTACTATTGCCTTCGAGTTTTTCCCCGGCGGCGGACTCCGCAATGCTGTCTGTCAACGTGCCAATGTAAACATCTGCAAACTCCATGCGTAGAGAAGTATTCCCCCTGACAGCATGACAAGTTCTAGAACACTGTCACTTTATTCGAGTATCAGTCCCATGCGCTTTAAATATCCAACCTATAGAATGTAAAGTGCAAAAATTCCGGCGGATCCTCGGATGGACAAGCAACGAGACCGTTCCACCGTTGCTCGATCAAGTAGTCGTCTCCGCCTCCCGACCCGCCGCCGTCGTTTTGGATTCGCTCTCCACGCCCGGAGATCTTCCCAAATCTGCAAGGATAATTCCACCTCCTTTCACATACTGACGTTCAATCCCAGTCGTGGAAAATTTTGTTCGAGAGACTTGATACTTGTGACGCGTAGACAAAAGCCACGGCGATCATTTCCTCGAAATCGGGCTGAATGCTGGTGCGGATGAACTTGATCGCTTCGAATGTGCATAGAATTCAGGAGTCATTTGACAGAGGAACTGTCCTGCTAGCCCTTTTGTTGGTGAACATCCGGTTTGTGGAGTCCCGGTTATAGCAATATGAGACAGGACCACTCCCGTGTTCTATGCGGAACAAAACATCCACCAAAGTAGTCATTAACCGGCCGGACGTCCTTCTAGACATAAGGAGAGACAATATATAAGAATATCATCAAGACCCTGATATCCGTCGTCGATGCTTATTTCCTGAGCATCAATCTACTCTCCTTAATCCCGATCGATTCATCTTCGAATCCATCACCATGAAGTCCTTCGCTCCCCTCTCTCTCGTCTCCCTGGCGCTCGCTGGTCTGAGCAATGCCGCTACTATCCCAACCAAGTCGCTGACTCGTCGCGCCGACTTCTGTGATCAGTGGGGATCTACCACTACCGGTAGCTATATCGTCTACAATGATCTCTGGGGCCAGAGCTACGACACCTCCGGCACTCAGTGCACTGGTGTTGACTCGCTGAGCGGCACCACCATTGCCTGGCACACCTCATACTCCTGGTCCGGGGCCTCGAGCCAGGTCAAGAGCTTTGCCAATGTTGCCCTGCAGTTCACCGCAAAGACTCTGAGCAGCATTAGCAGCATCAAGTCTTCCTGGAAATGGAGGTGAGTTTTGCAACCCCCTGTTCAATCCAAAATGCGAAAGATAGATACGGAATGGCTGATCAGTGCAATATCAACAGCTACTCCACCACCAGTATCGTCGCTGATGTCGCCTACGACATGTTCCTGAGCTCCAGTGCGTCGGGCTCCAACGAGTATGAGATCATGGTCTGGCTCGCTGCCCTGGGCGGTGCTGGCCCTATCTCCTCCACCGGCTCGGCCATTGCTACCACCACCATCAACGGTGTCACCTGGAAGCTGTACGTGGGCCCGAACGGCTCCATGACCGTCTACAGCTTCGTCGCCGAGTCCACCGTTACTAGCTTCTCTGGTGATATGCTGAAGTTCTTCACCTACCTGATCGACAACCAGGGCCTGAGCTCTAGCTTGTACCTGATTGATGTCCAGGCTGGCACTGAGCCCTTCACCGGTACTGCCAAGCTGACTACCTCCGCTTACTCTGCCGTTGTTGCGTAGATGCAGGTTGATGAATGTTGGAAGTCGGTGTAGGGAGGAGGAATTTGAACAGGCACGCAATTCGATTCTTGTACTTAGTCATACTGGATAAGTTAGGAATGGATCCGGAATCTTGTTCCACTAAGAAATTCGGGCAATGTGATGTGCATATCTAAGCAGATAATTCATAAGCCTCTGTACAGTCTATGAAATGTATTGCAAGAGATTGCTGTCATTAGAATGCAGAACCTAACCTGCTAGTCGTTTGAGCCCGCAACGCCAGTCGGGCCCCGGTAATGCCACAAGACTGACGGTCCACCTTGACGTAGCCAATGCCGAGACAGCCCGCCATTGCACCCTGAAACTTGACTGCGTTTCAAACGTCCTATCGTTCGTCTCGGTCGTTCGTCACCGACTGACCCACTCGGATAATGTCCATAATGCACGCACCACTCGAGGATTTTGTAACGGGGTCAGCATGGAAAACCACGGGTGGTCAAAAATAGCATGTCCCAACGCGAGACGCTCGCCGACTCAAAGAGCATCATCATCCACGATTCTCAATCGGTTCGCTCAGTCTCCTTGATTCGATTCGTTATTGTCGCACGACCAACGGTAGCGCCTCCTTCTGGAATGCCGCCGATCGACAAGCCTATCACCGAGCGCGTAGACGATACTTAGAATCACGGAGCTATTCTATCAATAGATTCAGCCTGAGAAAAGGGCGCTGGCACTCCGTGTATAATTAGTAACATCGTGAAGATGATTTTCCCAACAAAACGGCCAGCAAGCGCCGAGCGGGACGAGCCCAGATAGACAGCCAGCTGGGCGGGCGGCGGGGACTGTTGTAAGCGCTGGCGTGGGGGAAGGGCGGACGGGCGCTTATATAGATGGGATGGACCTGCATTTGAATTCTGGCGAGCGCCCAAAATAGCTTCCCCGGTTACTTTTTTTAGATGCTCGGTGCTGCAAGTCGCCGGTCGGTCGGAAAATTGCATGCATGGCTAGCTTGTGAGTCGCATGTGTGGTACGGAGATGGACAACGGAGCACAGCTCGGATGCATGAGAAGCAGAGAGTAGGCGTAGGCATGGGCATAAATGGGGCGACTCGATAGATCGACTTCTGTCTTTACGAGCTCAAAAAAAGGGTCTTAACGGAGAAAGGATCGCGATCAAGGTAGAGAAAATGACTCGCCTCATGCGAGGTGGTCAAACTATTCCGTTGGCCATCCACGGGTCTGGACAAAGTGTAACTACTGAGGATGGAGTAGTACTCGGTAAAAAGAGAATCATACAACCCCTCTTCTCCTCCCCTCCTCTTCATCACCCTGGCCATCCCTTCTGATGTGTCTAATGGTACTATCTATTTGCCCTGTCATCTGGCATGTTCACCTTCCCCTCGAACACGCTTCGCGACCCACTAATTGCCATCTGCACTCCTGGCTAGGCGTGTGACAAGGGTCATTTGGCATGAAGGCAGAGAGATCCGAGAGCCCACCAATAGCTTCTTCCCAGTACTACCGTACGCAGTCCGGCCAGTCGGGCTCGTCTGACTAGCAACTCCCGTAGGTGCGTTGGTGCACAGACACCCTCTTCTATTTGCACTTGGCGAGTCGCCAAACTGTCAGGCTGAGGCTGGGCGACATGATTGGGCCCATATTTCGCGGGCGTCAAATTGAAACGCGACTTGCCACATTGTTTGAAGTGGTCATAGGTCCAATGGTCAACAGGTCATTTTTCATTTTTATTATTTTCTTTTGCGCGCTCGTACGACTTGGATTTTGCTTTGTTAAGTGGATAATGGTGATGGTCTTTTCAGCTCGCCCCCGAACCTGGTATTGAGATTTCGGGGAATGCCCCTTCGCTCTTTGTGTTGCCTTGCCGTACGGAGGACCAAGGACGGTAAAAGAGTTCTCACTGGCTTGGTGCCTGGATTCGTTCTCCGCGATCTAGTGGAATGATGGGTTGGCGGTAGGAGTTTCTTGAGTAGTACTGCATGACTATCCTATGGTACTGTAACAAGGCGTTCGCGCCTAGATGATCGAAGCCCTGGGGTCGCGCTCAAGGAACGTGAATGATCGATGAGACTCTATTTTCGCCCATTCTCCGGGACGGAGAAGGTGAACAGGTACTCGACCCAGCAATAATGTACCAAAGTATGTATCCTATTTCTCCTGATTATCTTCTTTTCCCCCCGCGTCTCGGACAGGAGACTTGAGACGGTCGCCAGTTTCATGGCCGATCTAAAGTATATCACTGGGAGGCTGGTGAAAATGGTAACCCACACAAGCCAAAACCCAGGATCGGACAGGGGCAGCCACCGCCATTGATTCGTGGGATGGGGCCCTGGCCACCCCCGACGGAGATCCACCGCAGACACGAGTGGATCCCGCCTAGGCTGTTGATCGCCTCGCAGGGGACGAATGGATGCTAGCTGGGTTTGTGATCGCCCCCAGTCTGGCTGGCTCACGCTCTGGGAATTTGAGTTGCCTTGGACTCTTGGTGGTCGTCTCTCCAAGCGCTGGCAAAGAAGCTATTCTAGGAAACAGAACTGCAAAAAAAGAGACAAGTCGAGGGATCTATACGGAGTATGGTAGCATACATGGTTTTGACGTGCGGTCAAGACATTCGGGCCGCGGCCGTGCAATATTGAAGAGACGCATGAATCTAGGGATAGTGGTGGATCGTGAACCAACAATGGAGATAAAATGGAAAGAGAGTGGCGAGAGTTTATGTATGAAGAGGGGAAAAGACAAGGTTAATCGAGAGCAAATAGTGTAGGGCTTGGGTGGAAAAGTCCCTTTGCAGTGTTCTGCGTCGTTAGACTTTCGTCTACAAGTCAATAGACTACATAGTCTAGTTTACCAGTATTCCGTACAATGTGATATGATATTGTTTTTACATTCGAAGGTATACACGGTCCATACGATGTACTCCGTACGGCGTACGGTCCGTCGGAGTACACTTTACTGCTTACACGCTAGTCAGGCATGCATTTTGGGCCTGTAATCGCCTTCTCCACCACATTCCAACGCGCTGCCCATTAGATTGGACAAATCAGCATCCGCCAAACCCCGTTCTCTGCCCGGCTCCTGTCGTCGTCTCAGGTTCGCGCGCGAAAGAAGGGTTCGAGCATCTCAGATCCAACTATGCAGGCTCAACCTGCCTCCTCCGCGACCATGAATCCATTGGATCTTCCCCCTTGGCCCCCGGTTCTCCCCCGTCGGCCCTGTTTGACTGGCCCCAGTCCAACCTTGCAGCAGTCCAAGAAGAGTCTCCCCCCCTCTCCAGCCGCCCGGTTGGCGCATACCGGAACTAGTACGGAGCAGTTATATCTAGTCAAGTATTCCCAGCTGGACCTCTCGGATTCTTCACGGGATACATCCGCATGCTCAACGTCGTCACCAACATCCTCTCCTTTTGATAATTACCCCCCGATCCTCCTATTTCTATTTCCCTTTCGGCTGCTCCCATTCTTTTGCTCGGTCGCTCGTTCTACAACTCCAAACTCTTCCGAACAGCCAGAGAAACCCACGACTGAAATCACAATCTGAAATCAACTAAATAATTTGTGCACCCCGTCACAGACATTGTCCGATCTATTGCCATAGTCCAGTGGGCTGTCTCTCGGATTAAAATCTCCGCTTCGGCAGGTCTCAGTCTCTCCGTCGCTCTCCAGTTAGGGCTATCGGTCCTCCGATAAGAAAGGGTTGACACGACAACCTCAACTATCCTTACTGCACATTCCTTCTCTCCCCAGAACTACTTGACTCCATCATCCTGCTGGCCAGGAATTCCGTTTTCTCGCTATTCATTCTTACATCGGATTACTTGGTCGACACTTCTTGCACTGTCTTTGTTCAACTCCTTTCATCCGTCCAACGACACTCCCCGCCCCGACATAGTATACTACTATACAACCAGTATAATATCGTTGTCTCTCGCCTCTTTCAGTACAACTTCATTGTTATATCTTGCCGAGACATCTGCCCTCACTTATTATCGGTGACTAGTCCGTGGAATATTCTATTTCCACACCTATCCCCAAGAGCGGGAAACACATTGCAGCATCGACTGCCACCGGCCACTCCAAACCGCACAGCATTTCACAGGTTCCAATGAATCAAACAAGCACCATGTCTACCCATTCGCTCAACCGCGCAGCTCTAGGAGAATTCGTCACACACCGAGTCTCTCGCGAGATGGTGACGTACCTGGCCCAACAGGCATCACAGGTCATCCGATGCGAGGCCCATGTGACCAACACCGTCAGCCAGCATGGCCAGCCCACGCCGCCCTCCACACCTCCCATGGACGCTACCGACTCCATGCCCCCACTCCCTTCCATCGAAGCCTTCATTGCATCCCTCGTCGCCCGGTCGCAGGTCCAGGTGCCCACCCTGATGAGTTCGTTGGTGTACCTGGGCCGCCTCCGAGCCCGTCTCCCACCCGTGGCCAAGGGCATGCGATGCACTGTCCACCGGATCTTCCTCGCCTCGCTGATCCTTGCCGCCAAGAATCTGAATGACTCTAGCCCGAAGAACAAGCACTGGGCTCGGTATACCGCCGTGAAGGGATTTGATGGATTTGGCTTTTCGCTGCCCGAGGTCAACTTGATGGAGCGTCAGCTGCTCTTTTTGTTGGACTGGGAGACTCGTGTCACGGAGGAGGATCTCTTGACCTATCTTGAGCCTTTTTTGGCACCCATTCGTCATCGTATGGAGCAGCAGGAGCGTGAACGCAAAGCTGAAGAAGAGAATCAGTGGAAGCAACATCACCGGTATGGCCCACGTCCAATCCAAGTTCTCTGCACGACTCATTTTCTAACAAATCACAGCCGTCGTATCGGTACCCCCGCGGATCTGCTGGCCAGCCGCCTGCGGCGTCAGAAGCTGGAGGCCCGCGTTGACGGTCGCCGACACGGCGACGTCACCGGCCTGCGTCGGCTCCCTAGCCACGTCTCCTGCCCTGCCATTCACAACCCCCATAATTCCCCCCAATCACTCGCTGAACTCGAACGGTACACTCCCTACCACCGTCAACGCACATCTCCCCACCGACCTGGCCGGTCTATCTCGCCGCCTTCTATCCGGGATGTCCCCGGTCTCTCCCACGCGGAGACTTTCAACTCGCTTTGCTCTCGCTCATCCAGTGCTGCTCCAAGCTCCCGGGGTACTCCTGCCAGCATCAGCACTTGCTCTTCTCACGGCACCGATGATGTGATGCTGGTAGCTGACACCAACTCCAGCCCGTCCGTCTCTTCTTTGACATATAGCTATGTCAATGTCGACTCGAAGCAGCATTACGAACCCGCCCGTCAGCCCAGCAAGAAGATGAAAGTCTCCAGCCACGGTCACGGCGGTGGTTTTGTCGCGCGGTTCCTGGCTTCAGCTACTGGCTCCTATATGGGGAGCCGCATCGGTCGGCCTCACGCATAGACTCGAGCAGGCCTCGATTTCTGTCGTGACTGGTGTGTCCACCAATCTAATATTCTCTCTTTAGTCCATGCTAGACTACTCATCTGGCTGTCTTCTATTTCTTTGTCTCTTGATCATCTTTCTTACCTGATTTGCCTCGTTTATTTCCCGCTTCTTGGCAAAAAGCATTTCCTAGTTGATACGCATCTTCTGTGACAATACCCTTCGTTCTCCGCCGAACACGCCTCCTTTCCGTCATTCGTGCCCTACAATCCGGGCATGCAATGTTATTCTCTCTACACTCTTTATTCATTGCATCTTACCGCTTCATGGGCTGGCTTGGCTTGGCGTTTTCTCTGTGTCTCTATTCTCTATGTCTACTTTTTGGTTCTCTTTTGGTCATGGGGTCTTTGGGTCTTGGGTCTCATGCTCTCTCGAATTGTTTCATGCGAGGTTCTGGACGCTAGGTTGGGAAAGGATGCCCCTTTTAGACACGTTTCCTCCGTTACGGATGTATTTATCCAATATCTCATGGTCCCGGCGTTGGGACGTATAATGATATTTCTCAAACCACCCACTACCCACGTCTTCAATAGACCCCGAGTAAAGTGACTGGTCATATGTCCATTCCGTGCCCCACATCCATATTCAACCTTGGAATAATACTCTGCAGCTGAAACATTGATGACAAAGGTACCGCCCGCAAGTGTATGTCTTACTATTCCTTACAGTCGTGGCTTTCCATCGGCCCGCTACCGACAGCGCGGGTATACCGGGCCGACGGCGATCAATAGACCACGAAAAAGCCTGCAGAAAACGGTTGCCTGGACTTTTGCTAGTCTTCACCAACGGAGAACAGCACAGCCGGATGCGAATGCTTGGAGACCCATGCAGCGGATAGGAGAAAGCTATCGCAGTGTGAACACTCGAGATCATAAATCTCACTTGACACCTGCGATGTTATTGTCTGACCTAGCCATAGAATATGGGCGTACCTCACTTGTCAAGGTATCCCAGGAGGGCGTTCATGTCCCATTGACGGAGAATCCAGAAAGCGCCATTTGGTAGAAGTACTGTCAAGCGGAATTTAGCATAGGACGCTAATAGCCGCTCCTTCCTGGCCTTCTCATTGGTCTTGTCTTCATCGTAATGAGCACCCTCGTTTAGTCTGGCCATCGGTGGCAGATCATTTGTCGCAAGCTTAGGGTCACTTGGGTACCGAGTCACATCAGACCTCTGCGCACCAGAATTGGGTAGAGTAAGGCAGCGTCGGGATATGAACAGCGCCACTTTAGGTACCAGCCCGAGCTCGATGGAGTATGAGAGTATCGAATCAGTCAGGATCGGGTCGCGCTGCATCAAAATGCGAGTAATGTTCCATGCAATGAAGATCGATAGGCAGAACAGTATATAGCGACCAACAACTTTAAGCCAGGAAGGAGTGCCATGAAAGAATCTGATAATCCTGTTCCTCGCCGGCTGCAGGCAGACTGATTTACGAAATATCCATGGCAAAAACACCACCAAGATGAGATATGTCGGGATAGCCACAAAAATCAGAACTGCGCACAGGAATGCGAGTGTGAGCAGGTCGTTCAGGAGTCTCCGAGCCAACAGAAATCGAGATATGCGTATCAGAACGGCATGGGTGTTACCATGCAAGAGCCAGGCTGCCGCGCCAAAATCAAACACCACCACAGAGTAAAGGCAAGCTCGGACGAGGACTCGCGAGAGCATGTAGAGAAGGCAACGCCCATGTCCACATGTCCAGGGGACCAACACGGGACCCGTTGAAGCTACAACGGGGGCTATGTTTGGAATATTCTCCAAAGGATGCCGTCCCACGGGGAGTTCTTTATCTGCGCGCGTATCTGGTCCCCAGATACGCTGCACACGATCACATAGATTGTCACCCGCGGTAGCGTGACAATGTTCAAAATCATTGTCTTTGCTGTTGTCGAGGCTGGCTGTTCCGTTGGACTTTTGGACGTGATTTCCTGGACATGGACCGGAAACAAAAAGCTGTTTACTAAAGATTGGGCGTCGTGGCCAGTCTGACCGTAACACGACACCGGCGCATGACACGGTCAAAAACCAGGTTGACACTTCAACCATTGCTGCTTCTGCAAGCAGAAAACCCATGGACCATTTGATAGCCCAGTGGCAGGACGACCAGAGTAATAGCACTTGAGAGGGTAGAGCGATTCCGGCAAGGAATATGCGACGAGCAGAGGTGACCAGCAATCCATGACTTAGTTCAGCTGGCATAGATCTGGTCTCTGGAATGAAAAAGTGCACGCCAGCGAGGGCCCAAAGACTGGCATGTATTTCGGCGATATTGGTCAGTCTCCAGGTGATCAATTCGATGGTTTGAGAAGTGACAATGACTGCAGATTGATAGGGCGAGAAGGTCTTGATGTTGGCCTTGACGTCTTCCAGTATCGTCGCTCGGCCCGTGGGTCTGAGGAGGCTGCTAGCTATGACAGCGATTATCGCTAGGGAAGCGGGTAAAGTGGACATGATGAGGCTCAATCGTGATCATGTCTTGCTCGTCATCAAAAAAAGCGTATATAGGCTGAGGATCAACAAGTGTTGTAGTGGGGAGAAGATAACAGGAGTAATTTTAAGCCACCAAGCTACAAAAAGGGTCCAAACCGAAAGGGCCCTGAGACGGAGTAGTGCTACACAAAAGGGGTTTAGCGGGCCATTCATTTGGTACGAGCGGCTCAAGTAAAAAATACGACAGCAAACAGGCGGCATTGGCTTTATGTGGGTTTATGTATGCATAAAAGCTTGATATGGAAAAGGTTAGTCTAGTAGTAGTTAGTTTTGTATTGAATTGTGCATTGACGTGTGACACCTATTAGAAGGCATACCTGTGGTAACTCGTAACTTATTACCCACACAGGTCAATATTCACGGGTTTGAAGTCCGCGTCTAGACTTGGAATCCTTCCATCATCATCATGCGACCGAGAGATGATTGTCTTTGAAGATGTTCTAGAGTACCGTACCCACAGCAAGTTGGCCAGTTGGTTCGCTCGGGGGGTAAACAAAAGTACCAACCCAGTATCGGTCAAATTCGTGAACGAGCAATCAAGAGGCTGGATTCCCAGCCCAATGACCGAGAGAGCTTCCCGTTCTTTGTTGAAGTCAACTTTGTTGCCTTCCCCATCGATTAATCGGCAAACTTCAGAAGCCGATGTCGAACGGAGAGGAGTCTTCCGTTTCGGGCAATGCTGTGCTGCCTGGTCCGCCTCGCCTAAATAAAAAGCCTTCTCTCTCCCACTCTCCTTAAGCTTCATTCTTCTTTTCTGTCAACACCCCTAACATTAGTTTGCCTCAAACTATCATCTCATAAATCTCCACCTGTACTTCCCACTTCACCCACAGTCATGTTGGGCTACTCGGGGTGCTGCTACTACAATACAAACACCTGGTGTTATCTTCCCCAAGTTTCTGTAAAAGCCTATGCCGCGATTACGTCTTCTGCGTGCCGCACCACTCTGACTCAGACCTTTTTCAACTCCTCCGAACTCCTCATCGAAGAAGTATCTTATACTTTCCCTCTTTACGATGGCGTAAGCGTGGTGAGATTTGAGTGTCGCGTGGGATCGCGCCTGCTCCACAGTAAAGTGAAGACAAAGGAACAAGCTCAATCCGAGTACCATGATGCCGTTACCAACCAACAGACGGCGGCCATCATGGATCACACCATGGATCAGAATGACGTCTTTGTTATTCGCCTTGGTAACGTCCCTGCCAAGGAGACTATCACGGTCGACATCACCTTTGTTGGCGAGCTCAAACAAGACTCCCAGTCTGATGGCGTTCGCTACACTTTGCCAAACTCTATTGCTCCTCGATATGGGAGCCTATCGAACAATGCCGCTGGTTCCCTCACTAGTCATGGTCTACCCGCAGATCTAAAAGGTATCTCCGTCACGGTTGATGTTCTCATGGAAAAGGACTCGATACTGCGTGAGCTACAATCTCCGAGTCACCCTGTCAAGGTTTCTCTTGGCCGAATGTCTTCCACCTCCGCAGATGTCCAGTCATTTGACCCATCCAAGGCCTCTGCAACCCTCCGTCTTGTCAAGGGTGAACATGCTTTACTTGAACGCGACTTCGTTCTTGTCATCAAGGCCGATGGACTCGATAAACCCCGTGCATTGTTGGAAACGCATCCCACTCTCCCAGGGCAACGGGCCTTGATGGTCAGTTTGGTTCCCAAATTTAGTCTTCCACCAGCTCAGCCGGAGGTAGTCTTTGTCATTGATAGAAGTGGAAGTATGCATGATAAGCTTGATACGCTGAAATCGAGCCTCCAAATATTCTTGAAATCTCTCCCCGTCGGCATTTGTTTCAACATCTGCTCTTTTGGATCTATCTTCTCCTTCCTCTGGCCAAAAAGCAGAGTCTACGACGCATCGAGCTTGGAAGATGCTCTACGCTTTGTATCCTCCATCAGTGCCAACATGGGCGGTACAGAGATGCAATCGGCTGTGGTTGCTACCGTTCAAAATCGCCTGAAGGACAAAGAGTTGGAGGTTCTTCTACTCACCGACGGGCAAATTTCTCGGCAAGAGGCGTTGTTTGATTTTGTCCGCACGTCGGCAGCCGACAACACTGTTCGCTTCTTTTCCCTTGCCATCGGGAACGCCGCGTCCCATTCGCTCGTGGAGGGCGTTTCCCGAGCTGGAAATGGCTTTTCCCAGTCCGTAATCAATTACGAGGAGCTGGATCAGAAAGTGGTAAGAATGTTGAAGGGCGCACTTACTCCCCATATCTTCGACTACAAGCTCGAGGTGCAATATGAAGGTAAGGCCGACGAGGACTTTGAATTTGTGGACTCCGACGTACCCATGTCAGACTTCGGGACCAAAATCTCAACCTCAACCTCTGGAACGTCTCAGAAAACTCTCACACAACAGCCGATCTCCCTCTTTGATGCCAATTTTAAAGGATCGGACGCCGAACTCGGATCCCGTCAACAGGCAGATGACAAGAGCCTTCCCATCATTCCTTCCCCTCCAGCTCTTCAAGCCCCTTACAAGATTCCGTCCCTCTATCCATTCATCAGGACCACAGTCTACCTCTTACCAGATCCCCGCTATTCACATCGTATTCCACAATCACTGGCCTTCCGTGCAACCTCCAAATTTGGGCCTCTGGAGCTGCAAATCCCAATAAGCGATTCCGGCAAGGGAGAAACGATTCATCAACTTGCTTCGCGCAAGGCAGTCATTGAACTTGAGGAGAACCACGGTTGGCTTCAAGACGCCCACGATAAGTTCGGAAACCCATTCCAGCAATTTCACTCAGACACACAGCAGCGCATCGTAGCTCGCGAGTGCCAGACCCTGGGAATCAAATATCAGGTAACTGGAAAGTACTGCTCCTTCGTTGCGCTGGAAAATGATGAATCTTTGAACTCCGAGGAGAGACCGACGGCGAAGGAGATTGAGACACGAACAGTGCCAGTCGTCAAGATGATTCAAGGTGGTCACCGCTCCTCACGTAGCCTACGTCCCAGTGGCAACCCAACTACGATTTACAGCGGGCACGCATTTGGAGCATTCGGCGCTGCCCCACCGCCACAACCGAATGCTCCTGCTCCTCGAGTAGATAACGGGCGAGTCATGATGATGCAGAGCTCTGTTGCACCTAGACAGCCCTTCAGCGTTTCGACGAGCTCTTCGCACTTGTCCGGTTCTCCCGCACCCCCACCACCTCCTCCTGCGTCAGAGGGAGCACTTTTTGGAGCAAGCGCGGGGACAATGCCATATAGACCGCCCTTTGGGGCTTCTTCTCGATCTCCTCCAACAAGATCAAGTCCCTTCCAAGCATTTGGCCAGGCCCAGCCTCCAGCCCAGCCTCCAGCCCAGCCAAGTGCCTTTGGGGCACCGTCTGGACGGCTATTTGGCTCATCAGCTCAACAGACAACAGGCGGCTCCCTCTTTGGAAGACCTAGTCAGTCCCAGCAATTTCAGCAATTCCAGTCGAGTGCATTTGGAGCATCATCTGGAGGGCTCTTCGCTTCATCCACTCAATCCGCACAGGGTAACTCCCTCTTTGGCAGGCAAAGCTCTGGGCCAACACCGTTTAGAAATACCACTTCTCCTTCACAGGCTTCTATTTCAATGAGAAAGGTGTCCCTTGTTGCTCGCCAAGAACGGGATAATGCAGAGCCATCGCCCCCCACTTACCAGTCTAAAGTGCACGCCCTTGTGGGATTGCAATCTTTTGAAGGAAATTGGGAATGGAAGCAAGACCTGTTTGACGTGATTGGATGTCAAATAGAGGATGTTCATGCACAGATTCTTCGTTTGCTTCAAGTCGAGAGCCTTGACGGTGAAGCCGGAAACATTGCGGCTACTATCCTGGCACTTGGCTTCCTCGTGAACAAGCATGCAGACTCTAAAGGTCTATGGGAGCTTGTTTCCGATAAAGCAGAAGCCTGGATCTCTACCAAATTACCTCAAATTGGTCTTGGTCAAGTCATGGAATCACACAAAAACGACATCATGGCTCTGATCTGAGAGAGCGGATTGATTTTGCTTTGGTTTGCTTACGATATTGAAAAACAGTTTGACAGAGCTAGTATAAAGCTTTGGCCTTTTGAGATTTTCCACATAGCTGTTAAAATAAAATTCGATTCAAATCATTTCATGCGCTCGCGTATTGAAATAACTTAGAAATTTTGACTAGAACCTATCTCACACCAGTCAACTAGAATTCGAGCGTAGCAGGCACATCCCTAGAGCGGATTCGGCACTTCAGGCCGTGCTGTTTAGCGAACCAATATGTCTCGACCCGCCACTCTAGCTCCTCAGACGCCCACTCAATATCAATTTTCCGGATGAACAGTGGAAATAACTTTACCGTTTTCACTATTGAAGTATTTTGCCCGATAGAATTTCGAGATCCGTAGCTAAACTGTTTTTTTCATTCAGTACAGCCGACGTGAACGAAATACGTTCTGGCTACACTTACAGTCATCAAATGACGATCCATCAACTTAATCTTCTCTTCGTCAGACCTCATTCATCTTTCCGGTCGGTATGCCGCTGCATCATCAAAGATGGACTTGTCGCAATGAAGCACGGCTTGGTTCCGTGATATCATTCCCTTGGCTTTTCCGGTTTAATTCCGAGCAGAATCACCAAAGACTAATGTACGATATTCAAGACGAGTGAAGGAGTGCTCACTTATCAAGCAAGTTCTTATGTACAATAAGAGAATAATGAATCTCTCCCGCATTCTCAATATTCGGGCCTATGCCGGGAAGATCCAGTCTCCAAAAATTGACACTACAATGCGAGAGTATTGCTGAATCTATCTAGAATGGACGGGGATGGCCCTAGAATTTAGACGATGTATAAGATCCGGATATATCAAGCGAGGTACCAGAAAGAGGCCATCTTGCCTATTCCAAATTCACAGAATGCCTCTTCATGTCCACAACTTGCGGGCTACCTACAAGGGCCAAAATTTGACCTTTCAGACACTCTCATGGCAACTATTTGCCTAGCATGTTTTGAGCGTTCGTCAAGAGAACCCGCTTTTTTGTATCTGATCCAAAATTAGTTTCCAGACCGTCATCCAACCGCTTTGCCAAAGATTTCGCAAGTGGCGCCGACGTAAAGGGATAGTCGCTCCCGTAGACCAATCTAGTAGAGTCGACATGTCTAAGGAGACCGTGAATCTGATCTGGAAATGGTATACCGGCAAGGTCGATGTAGAAACGAGTTTGTAAAAGATTCTTTATGGATTCAATGGTCAATGGCGCTCCATCTTTGACGAGAAAGGAAGAAAATTCGGCAATTCGTGCCTGTTAGATACTCATTTCAGCGACCGAAATCCATATGCTCTCAACGATTCGTGAATGAAATCCATGGTTGTTCGAGGGAGGGAAGAGACTGTTTGTCTTACCACAATTGGCGGGAAGGTTGCACCACAGTGACATATCACAAAGGTAATACCTGGACACCGAGTGACCGTGCCGGATGTAAATAGACTCGTGAGCGCTCGCGTGGTATCAAACATGAACTCCATGAGGGGACTTGGAACTCCCGCCATTGGGTTTACGTGCTCCACCAAGCCGTTCCCTCGTTCAAGGTTGCAACTAGTTGGATGGAAGAAAACGATAGTATTCCGATCACTGAGTTTGTCAAAGACGCGGCTCAGTCGTGGATCCCCGGGATAGATACCGTGGGAATTTGTCATGATCTGAAATCCCACGGCCCCCAGGTGGTCGAGAGCGTAGTCGATCTCAGCGAGGGAGCCTTCAACATCCGGAAGTGGAAGCGACGCGAAGAATTGAAAGTATTGCTTGTGTTTGGTGCAAACTTCTGACATGTATTCGTTCACGTCTCTTGTCAGCTTCCGTGCCTGTTGATCATCGCCAGGAAACAGATGCGTTCCCGGGGATGACATGCTGAGAATTGATTTCGCGATGCCTAAATCTTTCATCATTGCAATGTGTGTCTCGGGGTCCCATTCCTAAATGGAGAATTTGCTTCAGAGTTATTAACATCAAGTCTCTTTTAGGGAACGTACTGGTATTGCTGGCATGCCATCAGGGTGACCTCTGCCAGCGAAATCATTTTTCAAGCAACAATCCCGGTACAACGGCGGGACACAATGGGCGTGCACATCGATTCTCTCCATGATGGCTGAATATCGCGCCGACCGAGAATCTCTTAGACTGTCTCCGGATGTAAACAATATATAAGTGCTAAAGGACGCGGGGAAGCTCATAGTATCCGCAATTTACGGAAAGCCCATCAAGCCCCAGATCGCAGTAAGGAATCAGCGCGGGGCCTACGAATCAGTGTGGGTCCTACAGAGCAATAGAATGATGCATCATTGGGCAAATATTTCTCAATTTGCATATATCGAACTACTAATGCCACAGCTGTCTCACCCCCGGTTCCCGGACGCTGCTCGGTCGCCTCGATCATGGCACACCGCAGAAGCTTGGCACATGGACTCGGGGGTACACGCTGAGCAATGACCAGGACACCAACCGAAGTGCCTTTTGAATATCTACGTGGGTGTTATCCATCCGATATTGCAGGCCTCTAGGTTCAATTCGAAATCATTGTTCTTCCAAACGTGTTCGTGAATCGGTATCATTGAATTCTGATCCATCTATAGCCCCTCATGGGTTACCTCCCAGTCCGCCAATTCAGAACATGCTACTCATGTTGTCCAGTATCTTATGAATTTGGGAAAGATGGTGGTTAGATACTACTGAATTGTTGTACCTTCTAAAACTTTCCAGCGTTTCACCTACTCAGCGAGGCTTGGTTGCTTAGTGTCTTGGGCATATCCACCATGATGGGGGAAGATTGCGAATAGGAGCAACAGAGGGCTTCCGTTTCCCAACTACAAATCTTGATTGATGAGCAGCACTGGAAAGCAAGGACTGATAGTATACAATCTTGTCTCATTATCTTCTCTCTTTTCTTCCTGAAGTATGGGCAATGGCATAGATCCTAGATGCCCTGTATCGAGAGTCATTGTTGGAATAAATAGTCACGGGATTTAGAGAGGACAGAAACTCTACGTTCTCCAAACGTATAATTCCGACTCGAGGTGATTCTTTGAGAAGGGATATGGCAGATATAAGAGTCAACAGGGAGTTCCGCCCGTAGATCAATCTCTCGCAATCCAAGGGTCAATTTACTTACCTGAGTAGAAGGGCTCGACCCTATTGACGAAGCTAGGCACAAGTATCGATCGCCATCCAATCAAAAGGCTGAATAACTCATCTGTTCAATCGTCAGGAACGCCACTGAAATAATACAGGAATTCGACCCCCCTAATCGATAAAACGGATGCTCTATCAATTAGACCACAATTTCAATCAAGAGAAGTTTCAACTAGGGTGGCCAAGCGCTGGGGAGGCTCCCTCCCTCGTGGAAGATACATCGCGCTCGGCATCAAATCGTGCGCGTTAGTATTTTGTTAGACCTTCTAGGAGTTCAGGGAATATTATGGATACCAATCTGGTACCTCTGACATATTATTCCAGGCGGTCCGATTGGAATTTCTCACGACCGAGTGAACGTCAACGTATTATGTTAACAAGTTCTGCTTCGGCGTCAAAAGAAAGAAGCCTGTCATTCTACAGGATAAGCAAATGAAATATGGCGCTGGCGAAGATATAGGATCCTCAGAAGGGACCCGAAACTTCTCTCCTTGACATCCTTCGCCGATCTTCTTCTTTCCTTCCTCCCACCCATTGGACTGGACCGAGGTCCGTTGACTGCGACACCTGAGGATGATGATGACACTGATGATCCCTTTACGGAGACCGCTCTCCAGCACATGTAATCGGGAGTGTTGATTCTGTGAGCACTGCCCCCGCATTCTCCGGCAAAGGGCATGCTTCGCGATGACCTGGAACTGGTGATTGCACGACTCGTGCTGACACGGTCAGGCAAAGCCCTGGTCATTCCCCTTCTGCCCGCCAAGCGAATTCAAGGCACGGTTGTGGAATTCGGTCATACGCCGGGCGAAACGTAGTTTCGTTTCGTTCTTGCCACTTGATGGCGACCGAGATTTGGTCGCACAGTGCGTTGGTGAACCCGGCTTGAACACGGGTGTCATCGCGTGGCATTATCTCTTTGTGAACCAGTGGAGCTGTTTCTCGATCAGCTCATGAAATCTGTCCGTGTTAGCTTCACCCCGAAGAGAATAGGGGCTACTGGTCAACAGCGCCGCATAGAGGCCCGGACCGATCGCTGTTTGCAGTCATTTTCGGTATGGATAGACAATACCGACAATGATCTGTGGCAACTATACTGCGGTGAGTATACTTGAGTATGATACATACCAATGACCGTGGAGTTCGAGGCCAATACCACCAGACACGACGATGATAACTGAGCAGCCAGTCATTGAAGACGATGCTCACTTCCGGCGGCGAGGCATTCGGAGCTCGTCAACACCATGCTTCCTGGTCCATACCATGCAGGCCTGACATATGTGCTTCAGTCGAATTTCCACTCGCCAATCGGCATGTCCCACATGCCATTGACCGGTGTATTCAGGCCTTTTTACACCACAATTCGGGTTGTGACAATATCTTTGCTCGTCGGGAATCCTTTCGAGCTGTGTTCTCGCGATACTGTCGGGGTTACGTACCTCGCCATTGTGTCGGTGACCCCAGTCATAGCAACCATGACAAATTAACTTGTCCCGGATAGTTTCGTCCCAGTTTTCTCTGCCAGGTTTCCCTTTGCCTTTGGGGATAGGACATTTGCAGTGAGGGCCCGAGCATTCTTGGTCTGCACCCCACCTCTGGTTGCGCACGATGATTCTCGTGGACCGGAGCTCGCCTGGATGTAATTTGTGCCAGCCATGACATGCCTGGCAAATCCACTTACCCCTGACCTCTTCCGGCCAGTCGGAAAGTCCGATGTACCAGTGTCCGGAGTAGTCCGTTCCACTCACCTCGCACAGGGGGGTGGCGCACCGCCGGTCTTTTGCTGGCGTTTTCCACATGAGGGCCTCTTTGACGACTTCTCGAGGACGTAATACGCCAGAACAAGGTTGAGCATATGTATAGCAGGGTCTACAGATCATTTTGCTCCTTATGGTCTCGTCCCACTCAAGATTTGCAAGACGAAAATTATTGGTCACATTTGGATCATCCTCCGAAATCCCACAATTTGGGTTTGCACATACCCGCTTACCGCCGTCAGCGACAGGGGGCGCATGTCCCTGCTTGAGCTGAAAAGCTTTATTGAGGGGTTCCCATTGAGGGGCAGAGGGTATCTCGATTGCCCTTCGGATGTCTTTGCATAACTTCCAGCCAGAAAGAGAATAGAACGGAGTATTCTGGACTGGCTGGAGGAGTGTTGAGAACCATATGGCGAGAATACCCTCAAGTAGCAAGGCGTGCTTCACGTGAGGCAAAGCAGGAGCAAAGCTTGCGAGAACCCGATTTCTCTTTTTCACACTAGGTTGACGAAGTACTTTATATAGCAAAGAGTCAGAGCTCTTAATATCAGTATTGTGCCTTTTATCGCGCCTACTGATTCCATTAGTGCCTGTGGCAGACCCACCATAAGCGCCCACAGCCACTCGCTTGAGGACTGCCATCAGAAGATAGACACCCGTCTTCAGATCGCTTTGGGCGAGTGGGAGATCAAGGAGATTCTCCGTTGTCCAGGGTTTTGCGAACAGCGCACGAGCTTTGCGAGAAAAGCCTGGCATATACAGGCCGACCAGGTGATCCACGTCATGAGTCCAAAGGAAGCATGCCGTTGACCAGGTCATTGGAGGATTAGTTTCATCCTCTCTCAAGGAAGCAGCAGCTTTCTTCATCATCCGGATCTTTACCTCAAAGGCTTTCAGGATTACCTTTTCCCCAGCGTCGACCAGGGAAGGGTCATGTCCGTCGGTCCGATAAGGCTTTGATCCGGTCACCATGTCCTCGACGTCGTCCTTAGAGTCGTTCTCGGCATCAGGCCAACCATCGGCATCTAAATTGCCTTTGGTGGGCTGGACAGACTCTGCCTCCGAGTCGAAGTATACCTCGTCCATCCAAATGGGCCGGGCTTCAGTGACACTTTGAGGTGTAGGTGTATGGCGTCCAGCGGTCACACCTGTTATCTCTTCACCTCGTCACGAGCATCAGCATATGAAGCTGATCCTTCAAACGACAGGGTGAAATCCCCGGTGTTCGTGTCGACAGGTACGGGATGAGTGCCCGATCCGTCAACGGCCTCGTCGTTGGCAAGCTCTTTGTCGTGAGAGGACATCAAGCTTCTTCTGTCGATGGGCAATGGATTAGCGCCAGGCCCAGCAACAGCCCTCTCTTGTTCTGGCTCTATGTCGTGAGCGGACAGGAAGCCTCGGATATCCCTGTTCATAGGGCCAAGAGAGCTTTTTCCATTATTCAAACGTTTATGAACGTGGCACCATTTGTCGGTGCTCTCTGGGCTTCCCCGTTGGCGGTTACCTGAGTGACAAGTCTATCCTGTGGCTGTCCAAGAAGAACGGTGGTATCTATCAGCCCGAACAGCGGCTTTGGTTGGCCCTTCCTATTGTGATATTAGGCCCTGCGTCCATCTTGTTGTTTGGCCTTGGTCTTGCCTACGTATGGTCTAATTTAGCTTCCTCTCGCGACTGAATCGTCAGCTAATGTTAATGTTTCTTAGAGCGTATATTGGTCCTGCCTCGCCGTCGGCTTCGGTGTTTTCGGTTTCACGCTGTCTTCTATTAGTGGTGTCTCGCTTTTATACCTCAAGGATTGTTACAAGGATGTAAGTATTTCTACTTTCGTTGTCTTCAATTTCTTTGTCTTCTGTACACTAACTTTATCATCTATCAGATGATCGGCGATACCCTAATTAGTGTTATCTTTATACGGAATATTATATCTATCATAATTCTCTTTGTGCTCACTCCGTAGGTTAATAGTATAGGTATGCAGAATCTCTATATTCTCGTAGTAGTGGTAGCTTTCTTCCTCTATCTTATTCCGGTACCTCTTCTCATTTAGGGGAAGAAGGCACAAGTCGTAACCGCCGCTCGCTATCGCAGAATGGCTACGAACTAAACCGGTCGCCGAAAAGTCTAAGGCAATATTAATATTATAAGTCTTAATACTTTTACGGATATAAATCATTTCAGTATTATATTTCTATATTAGGTATAGATTTACTAAGCTTAAACTAGTGGAATGAAATTTCAGAGTCTCTTGCCTTCTATACGGGAGTCACCGTAGTTTGAAATAGTTTTGCGTCTATTAAGAGGACGTAATTATTTAATTACTTTACATCATTACTATCACTCGTACTACTCTATTAACAATTTCGAAATAGGCCGCTAAGTATATAAGTGATGTGTACGGAATTGAGCGATTAGTAAGATATAATACTATTTTAAACTCGGTTATAATCGCTTCAGACAATCGAACCTCTCTACCCTACTACCTAAAGCGATGGTTTCAGCGGTATATTATTAGTAGGGTAGTATACCGAAGAATTTCAGCCTATACCACTATGGTGGCCACTTTAGTGTTAGTAAATCGGTTAAGGAAGTCCTCTAGCGTCAACGGGTGCTATTACGCGACGGCGAGCTTGATTTCATTCAAACTTATAAGTAGCTTAAATCATCTGATATAGTAATATGGTTAAGTCAATTACAGCAATATCATAGAAGTAGGAAAGCATAGGTGATATAAGGACAAGATAACGGTCGAGGAAGCGTTCCCGATCTTTCAGTCTTAAGGTAGGAACTTACGATCGTAAAAGGCAATCAAACGTCTTCGAAGTGACAAGACACATTTAGATATCCATTAGCGATGGGTCTAGATCCGATTAATCTGAATGCTAAGTTTTGATAAGACTTAAGGTGTAATGGGATATCTAGAACGGTAGATAAGCTCGAGTGGACCTGACCTTTTTGTATAAGTGTCTACGACAGCTAACTATCCGGAATTAGAGACTCGAGATTAGAGTTTGTAGGGACGCAAAACAGATAGATGAGACACTGCCGAGTCAGCAATTCCGAGAGGATCATACTCATGGCACTGCAAGAAACGTTCGTGACGCTACAACGCTACATCTAATTGGGAACGTACCTTACGAGAAATAAAAGGGCACATCCGACATCTAAGTGATCCCTCTTAAGCCCTTATGTAATGTACAGTACTGTAGTAGGTCAGAGATTAGAACAAGAGATACAAACAATACCTAGCTAGATACGCTTCAACCTACTCTATTTCTGAAGATGCTCGTTAGGACTTCCTCCAAGATCTGAATCGCTCATCGTACATCGGAGCAAGCGCAGGGGTCAACACACACACCGCTCATGGGATAAGAACCTTGGCGATTAGTTCACGCACACAATTGAGGCATTGGCTTCCTTCACTTTATTCAAATCCATCAGGCCTAGTCTAGCAGGGTTCTGACAATCCTTCTGAATATCTTGCCAATTGACTTTCTGGATAGTCCAGGTAATCTTGCTCGACTTTTCTCTTAAGGAATAACTGATAAGATGATTATAGAGCTTTGTCAGGGGTGCAAACTTATTTAAAACCTACTCCACTGTGTTTGTGTAGATATAAGCGCTATGCGTCTCGAGATGTAGGGTTCCGAGTTAAAGCAAAACGAGGGAAGTTTGATCCAATGCCGAAATCTCTAACGACAAGGAAGCCGCAAGAATGCACTCTCTGTCACATCGTGACCATTGCCTTGAGTGTCTGGAACTTTCTCGATCCACCTGCCCACTTATGATAGAATGGTACTATATATTAGTCATGGTGAAACATGGGAAGTCTAATCCCACCAAGTAGGAAGGCATATTACAGTCACAAGGATGTAAATGGTCAAATGCACCTGCCTTCACACGTCTTCGTAATTCGAATTCAGTATAGGATCTACAGCCTGAAGAATGCAAGGTCATCTCCGCATGTGATAATCTGGGATGAGCAATACACCATCAATTGGTTTGGAAGCGAATTAATGCTCTAGTCATGGCGCTATTTCATTCTCCACAATACTGGTTTTCAAGCTTGTTTCCAAAGAGAGCGCATAATGAGGAAGTCCCTGGATTATGCGGTGAGTACCGAGCTTCATCCCTCAAGGAGTACAGGACCACGATACGTTCAAGTCACATACATAATTGATTGGGTGGTATCCCTCTGAGATTGAAGAACGCTGCAAGTCAGAACCAAGGGGTCATTGCACCCCGCGCAACCAAATACGGCCATCAATCCGGCCAGTCCCAAGAAATGATTCCAGTAGGACGGCCCGAACACACTGCCATGAACACGGCCAATAGAACACAATTTCGATTTTCTTTTAAGCATTGATCAATATACGCTAAATGAATGGTTCGCGCTCCGGGATGCCCCCTGCTCCGTTGGTTACACAACCTGCAAACCCCTCGTCTCACCGCAGAACCTGCATGCATCCATTTATGGGACATTTCGGATACTCGATAGGACTGTTCCATATCTCTCTGAACTATCATAATTGGAAGAATCATCTTGTCTTTCCCGTATTCTGGGCCGGCTCAAAAGCTGCATACCGAACGCCTACTCACACGACTATATATCTCCACGGGAGACCCACCCTAGGCTCCCCATTATGATGGGTCCCTTTTGCACACATGTCTTTCCCTCGCTCATCCTGAAAGTTTTGCAAAGCAAAAGCAAATCTGATATCAGCAAATATGATATGGGACTACTATGATGACAAAATATTGTTCGTAACTGGTGGAACGGGGTTTATTGGCACGGGTATACTTTACCGACTTTTGACCCAAGCAAACCCGGAACACATTTATGTCCTTTGTCGGGGTGGCTACTCGTGAGTTGTACCTAGTAGATTACAGAATTATCCGCTAATAACTCAATTTTGTTAGAAAAGCGGAGTCAAAATGGAAGAGCATGCTGCCAAAATCTATTGCGGAGACTCTTACCCGAAGCAACAGCGTGACGGTTCTAGACGGTGAACTGGGGGATACTGCGACTATGAGTCTTGAAGATGAAACGTTGCAAATGCTGAAAAGAAGAGTTCACATTTTTATTCACGCTGCATGCTCAATCGAGCTTAAGAACTCTCTCCGCGAACTGTCTTATACAGTCATTGCGCCGACCCTGTGTCTTGCAAATTATGCCTTGAAATTCCCGAATCTCGAGAAATTTGTCTTTATTTCCAGCGCCTATGTCAATGCGCATTTATGGAAAACGAGCGAGTCTTCCGATGTGGAAGTCGAAGAGCGAGTTTATTCTCTTGATAGGAGAGGCGAAGACCCCTACGAGAGCGCCCCTGAAATCTGGAGGGAAGTACAAAAGAACGGTACATCGCATGAGTTCGAGACCCACGACTTCCCTTGGCCCTACGCATATGCCAAACACCTGGCTGAGCGATTAGTTCTACAGAAGGCCTCTGAGAAGGGTGCCTTGGACAAGATACTTATCATACGGCCGTCGGTAGTTGGGCCGGCCGAAGAGTTCCCATACCATGGATTCACGACGTCGTATTCGACGCCATCAACAGCCTGTGCAGCAGCTTATGCCTTGCACCCGGGCCGCAAAATAATACTTGCAACACGCTGTGACCAACCCGACCAAAATGCTACGATCGACGAAGTTCCGGTGGATGTAGTAGTTGATCGGCTACTGCTCCATACGGCTGCGGGCACAAGTGGATGCGTCCATGCAGTCAGTGGTAAAAAAAGAAGGCTGCGCCTGGAAGACTGGTGGAATGCATTCAAGAATGAGCGCCGCCTGCCTTGGAATGTGAAGCCCATCTGGACCAACGAGGATTGGCATTCCTCCAACCTGCACCAGATGGCTCGAAACTTCAAAATTATCGGGACATCGTTCGCCTTTGCCGAAGATAAGACTGATCAGGTGGTTGAGGCACTTAGTTCAGACGAGCTGGAGCACCTCAAATTGTATACGGACCGCTCTCGGCCTTATCATCATTCCCTCATCCACCGCAGACATCATATACATCATTTAGCCAAGGAGATGATAAAGAAGAACAAAATGCCAGTGCCATTATTTATGACTGGTTTGTTCTGTAAAAAAGGAAAGCCACCACATCATCATCTGCCTCAAAGCCAAAAATTTGTTGTATAATCTGCGATGGCGGCTTCTTTCGTTCGTTTCGGGATTGTGTCTGTTTCTTTCTTCATTTGCAGATATTGGGAATTCAATTGTCCATACTCAACAGCTGATCACTTTGCCAAATTTTGGCGGTAGTCTGAAATCTAATGAAGAGAAGCAGTGAAAGCCTTTAGTAGGGTAAAATATCTTTCAAAATGAGGGTGTGGCTGTATACTTCCCACTCGCCAGTTCGTCGCGCACGGACCATGCGGGGAAATAAATTCTTTTTCTTGCCCCTCACCATCGATCAAACAACCACTTTGAACACCATGGCTCCAACGGTGTGTTTCAACTGCAAGGAGGCCCGAGCGGTCATCATTCGCCCAAAGAACCGACACAAGCTCTGCCGAGCGTGCTTCCTCCAGGTATTCGAGACCGAAGTTCACGAGACGATCATCGGCACAAACCTATTCTATCCCGGAGAACGAGTCGCGATCGGCGCCAGCGGTGGCAAGGACAGCACTGTACTCGCCGCGGTACTCAAGACCCTGAATGAGCGATACGGATATGGGCTCGACCTATGTCTCCTCTCCATCGACGAGGGAATCCGTGGCTATCGCGACGACAGCCTTGAAACCGTGAAGCGCAATGCGGTGCAGTACGATATGCCGCTAGAGATTCTGGGATATGGCGAACTTTACGGATGGACGATGGATCAAGTGGTTGCACAAATTGGCAAGAAGGGAAACTGCACATACTGTGGTGTCTTTCGGCGACAGGCTCTTGATCGGGGAGCTGCCAAGTTGGGTATCAAGCACGTCGTGACTGGCCATAATGCGGACGATGTCGCGGAGACTGTCATGATGAACCTACTTCGCGCCGACTTGCCTCGGCTATCTCGCGGAACGAGTATTGTGACTGAATCCGGCGCATCGGATATCAAGCGCAGTAAGCCGCTCAAGTACGCCTATGAGAAAGAGATTGTGCTTTACGCGCACCACCGCCAACTTGATTACTTCTCGACCGAGTGTATCTACTCACCGGAGGCATTCCGCGGCAGCGCTCGAACCCTGATCAAAGACCTGGAAAAAATCCGACCCAGTTCGATCTTGGATATTGTGAAGAGTGGCGAGGATATGGCTGCCCTCGTGCCCCGAGAAGTCAATCAGAGCGGCAAGAAGTGCGGATCAGCTGCAGCGGCTGAAGATGATGTTGGTGGCTGTGGAAGTCAGAACGGACGTACCAGTGGTGGTGAGATGGCCGCCATGGAGAAGGAACTCGCGGAGAATGAGTCTGCCGAGTCTCGTGAGACTGAGATCCGCTTACCCAAAGGCACGCCTTCGAGTGTCCATCCGCAAAAGATTGTCAAGAAACAAACTTTGGGTCACTGCGAACGTTGTGGATATCTCTCCAGTCAACGTATTTGCAAAGCATGCAATCTCTTAGATGGCCTGAACCGAAATCGACCCAAAACCGCAATTGAAGTCAGTGTCGGCTTGGAAGATGAGGAGATCAGCTCGACACTCATGAGACAGATGGAACGGACTCAGTTGACCAACAGTTGAAGGGTCCGTGACTCGTCTATGATAACATGATTTTACGCCCCTGCGTTGGCCATCACACTATTTATTACGTATGGTCTCCAAACGCATCCGCAGGCTGTGGTCCAAACGAAAATGCCTTGTCTCCGTGGCCTCAGCCCCCACGGTGTCATCGCCGAGCTGCTGTGGCCTCGGCAGATGTGAGATACACGGGCAGTTCCTGTCGGCCGAAGCACTTCCCATCGGTTAAAAATCCACCCCCAGCGAGGTTTTGGTCATGCCGCCAATTTCACGACCTTGAAGAGGACCGAACACTTCGTATCGCCAATGAAGGCCCCTACAGTACTACGGGATGACCGCTTGACTCGCCACAGCGAGAGCAAGGGGAACATCCAAATGCATTTCAGCGAGAAAGAAACAACCAAATTCCTTTCAGATATGCTTCTACTTTCATTCGTACATTGTTCAATAGTATACAAGCCTCATAGAAAAAAAAACATAACGCCGATGCCGTTCGAATTTTGTACAAATCCAACCCCAAGAACTGCCCATCATGAAGCCATGGATAATGCATCACCGCCAATGCTTCCATGCACAATCTGTCACGGTCCGTCTAATGGAGCTGGAGGGTAGGGGCCAACCAAGGCCAATCCCCCAGACAACTGCGACTGTGTCGATCTTCCGCAGGGACACAGTGTGTAATCTGCATAGAATTCTCGATCAAACAGTCGTGCTTCAGCTCGAGCCGTCCGCGGCCGTAAACCGAACCAAGAATCTCAAAGATTCCCAATCACTCCTTCTGACCCTTCCCCTCCTCCGGGTTATGCAGCTCCGGCAAATCAAACCCGACCCGTCTAGCCGTCAACCGAATCCGCTCTTCCTCTTCCATATCCATACCGGGGTTATACCGCAGCAGCAACTCCGCATAGGTGCGCTGCGCCTTCGCATACTGCGCCAACTGCTCGGCCTCCTGAAGGCGGAGGGCGTGCTCCTCAGGACTTGAGGGAATCGAGAAGACGCTTGGTTGCGTGGAAGATGCGTTGGAGGAGGCGTGTGGTGGAGGAAGCGCCGATGGAGTGGATGGTGATTGTTCTTGGGAGCGGAAGATGGCGCGGAGGCGTTGGTGGAGCGGGGACGGGGTGGCACGGTTTGCGCGTGGGATTTCGCGGAGGAGGGCGCGATAGGCGGAGCGCGCTTGGTGGGTGGATGGTTGGGTCATTTTGGAGATATGTGTGGTGGATGGTTTGGGATGGGATGATTGATGGCTTTGTAGATTTCGGGTGGAGATTATTTGATGGATTTCACGTGATCGTGGGACTATGCGGACATAGGAGGTACGGTTGTGCCCGGGTAACAGTTGATCATCAATTAGATTGAGGAGTTTTTAATTCATGGGTTACCGTGCTACGTGGGTTTAAAGAGGAAAAATAGCAGGATATATCCCGGGGTAGAGATTCTTCTCCGCACCACATCGTGGCTTCATCACCGCTACCACGAAAGCGCACTATGTACAAAACAAGCATCATATCGAAGCTTCGGGTCAACACCTCGCTCCAAAGGTCATCTTGCTCATGTCGTGGGTTCATTCCAAAAAAGAGCATGCTAATAGAAAGTGAAAGAAAAACATGTTTGAACCAATATATCGATCATGGGAGCGTAGCGACGTGAGATGGGGGTATGGCGAACAAAATGGTTGTTGATAGAGAGACATGTAGATTAGTTGAACATGTACTTAGCTGGGCGTAGAGTCGAGAGGTACATCTTAATTCAGCTTGCGGGGGATTAAGCACGTAGCCAGGCGAACTTCCTACGGCCGGTTTCGCCCCCCGTTGATGGTTCGAGTTGCAAGCTGCGAGCGTAGAGATCCTTTTGAAGCCAAGTTAGTCACGGTCCAAAGGTTTTGCAAAGAGCTGAGGATATTTCCAAAAGCGTACCTCTTCGTCGCCGGATAGTTTCGAATCCAGAATCAACCGCTCGACATCGTCATATTTCTGAGCCTGGGGATGAGGACTCTTTTGGCTTCGCTGAATGCCAATAACCACCTCTCCCATAACCTCGAATTTCTTCCAATTGATTCGAGATTTGTTTTCACCCAAAAAGGTTTTATTACCTTCTTCCGCAGACACCAGGTCGCGGCGGTGAAGGGGGAGGAAGGGAATACGTTCAGAGAATGAGTTATCCCATGCTAGTCGGTAGGCGGAGTGACTGCGTGAGGTGCTCATAAGAATAACCAGCCGCATGAATTCCTTTTGGCTAGCGACCGGAATCAATTCCCTGGTCTGAGTGAGTCGATGAACAGGGGTACCGTTGATGGCTGCGATCACGGCACCGAGGGCGTTGTAATTATTCTGGCGGCGCAATTTCTAGAACAAACAAAGCCTCATTAGCCATCATGTTATTTTCCCAAATATTGGGGGAGATGCGTACCACTGCAATGCTCATAAACTTCTCCAGGCACCTCGCTCGGTGCTTGGGTTTATCGCGAAGGAGAATCATGCTAGCCACGAAGAAAGCCACGTGGTTGAAGTGCTTGATCATCCGGTTGACATTTTGCAAGCTTCTGATCTTGTCTTTGTCCACACCGGAGATACTGACATGGCGCACGAGATCCCGAGGGCGGAATGAATTGTACATAATCCAGTCAATGCGGGTCAATTCTCGGGCGAACTCTTCATCGGGGGTCTCCATGAAGTACCGCCACTGGATCTTGCTGAGTGAAGTCCGGCCAGTCATTTCGAGGCGCAGAGATTCCTTCTGAGCAGCCTCCACAGTCAAGAGGGTGAAAGATTGGTTCATAGTACTGGAGGGTTTGTCGGTATTGGAGGAGATAGAAAGGGTTCCAGAGAGGCGGGAGGTAGAATCGTGTAGCCCCTCGCTCAGATCAATGGCGCTCATACTGCTGTAAATGGGGTCTTCTTCGACTTCATCGTCTTCGTCATCGTCATAGGTACCGGTCATGAAAGGAACGGGGGAACTTCGGCCAGAGTTATCGAAGAAGGTCTCAGTAAAGGCCGACTCGTCAACATCACCGTCACTGAAAGCCCACCCAATATCGTCGTCCTCGGCATTGGTATCGAGGTACGACCCGATTTCCTTTGCGGCAAACATGTAGAAATGGCTTTTTTCAAGAGTCGTAACAAATTCGTTGATGCGTTTTTTAGTTTTGGGATTTGCAAAATCGCCGGGGTATTCAGAAGCCCAGGAGGCGATCACATTTAGTAGGCGCAATTGATCAGCCATGCGGGCGAGCTGGTCCACGTTGCTGGCTTCATTTTTGTCAAAGCGACTGATCAATGCATTGAGCAGGGTAGCCGGGGCGGCGAACTTTCGATAGAGGCAGAGGAAGATGGCGCTAAATTTGGAATCTTGCTTCGACATGGGCAAAGCGACCAGCCGATCGACAAGTTCGTCAAAGCTTAATCCAATCTCTGCACTCGAATTGCTCTCACTGCTCGGCTTCGGGCGCAAGACGGCCCCGGGGCTGGCGGGTTGTGCCCCATCCTCCATCTCGTCTTCCATGTTCAAAAAGCTGTTGAAGGCGTCGGAGCCCCCACTGTGTCGCCAGGTCGGCTGGAGTCGCTGGCGAAGGTGTTCTTGGGTAGGAGAAATATCTCCCTGGGCAGACGGTCGGCGAGGATTCAGCCGCGCGCCAGTTGGCGGAGTTTGCGGTCGGACCGGTTGGGAATTACTCCTGGCATTTCGAGACGGACTGGAAGCATGCTTTTGCGCCAGATTGGATAGGCGGACCTTGTCGGTGGGCAGACGGTGGGCGCCGTTGCCATCGACAGTTCGATCCGAGACCAAATTTGCCGAGCCTCCAGCGGCTCCTGAGAGAACGACAGAAGGAGTTTCAGAATTGGCGCGGGTGTGGTGCCAATTGGAAGGAGAAGCGTCGGGTGGAAAAGATTTGGTAGTCGTCCTCGGCGGGGGAGGGGCGGACTGGGGATGTTGAGGTTGAGCCGACGCGGGAGGAGGAGGATTATTACAGTCAGACGCAGCCAAGCCTGGGCGAATAAGAGACAAAGTCAGCTGTCACGAAGAGCAAAAACGCCACGAAATTTTATCGTGTTCCCCTCCCTTCAGCTCTCTTGTTGCTTTCTCCTTGGGGCTCGTGTCGATCGGTGGACTCTGCACTCTGACAAGAGGGAACGAGGGTAGCAAATTGCTCGGCCGGCGGCCCACTTAGTCCGCCCTGAGGGGGGGGGGGCCATGGCTCAGCCCATAACAATCGGCTTGACTCTCCCAAGTATTGCAAGCGTCCACACCAACAAAGCAACAACGGAGTAACGGGGCGTAATAAGGAGGGGATTGTGAATGGTCTTTCCAAAACCACAAAAATGGAATTATGATCAGAACTTACCTGCTCGATGGCCGATGACAGACCGCAACACCAGTGCAATGCACATCTGCTGAGACCGGGGTGACTCGGGCGATGTACGATAAATATCGTGTCGCGCATGTATCGGACCTAGCTCACTCTCCTCGGGGAGCTGGTCACATTTACAGGCAACCAGCACGCATGGGACTGTGGTGTCATCCAAGGCATCTAAATGGGGATCCTCGTGGTTAGCAACTAGGCAACGTACAGTAATGGCAACACCCAACAAAGGCTCTAGGCAGAGACAACGGCTGGAATAATCGAGACTGGAGAAGCGATCTTTCGAAGGCACATACCTGCAAGTTCAATGGTCTTTTCCAGCCTCTCCGGCTGAGTGGCATCGTACAACAGCAAGACTCCGTCGACGATCGGACTGCCCGAATCCTTATTCACTCCGGGCCATACGATATTCAGATCTTGGTCGAAGGTAACTTGCTTCAAGTCGATTTCCAACAACCGCACAATGTAAACCGATCCGTCCAAAGACATCTTTTTCCTCGTGGAAACGGACAACGGTGTGCCCTTCATATCCAATGCAGACTTGATAAAGCTGGTCTTGCCCGCATTATCTTCTCCAACAACGGCGATTGTCACTTCTGGTAAACTGGACCTGGAGGATTCCTGCGCGCAAAAAGATCATCATTAGTCAATTGACGGTCAATTCGCAAAACTGATGCGATTGAATCATAGTCCCGCCTCAGGAATGACGATACCTCATCACCGCGGCGTCGGGACCTCGAACGCTTCGGCGTATCATGGCTCGTGCTCGAGAATCCCTCATCCTCCTCCAACAACGTATGTCCGATCTTCGCCGCAGAGCTCGGTCTCCGTCCGGCATCCAACTTGTATAATTCGCCTGTCGGAGCAGACGAAGTGCGGCTTCCCATGCCGGGGCGCTGCGGCACCCCGGGGGGCATTACCTGCGCTCTGTCGCTCGACGCCCGCGCACGGCGGGACTGTTGGGCACTCATAGCGGCGGAAACAGCTCGGAAGCAAGGGGGTCGGCTCGGGCCAAGGAGGCGCGACTGGATGGGATCAGGTTATTGCGTGTTTCCGAAGAGCCCGCACTGCGTGTCCATTGTCGACTCCGGGACGGGGTAGTGGAGTGATAATCTCAAATTTGGTCGCAGGGCGAGGGTGTTCAGGGAGGAAGTCGGGAAGAAACAACGGCCAGGGCGAGCTGGGAAATGCCGCGCAGGAAGGTGGTACGATCACAGTGGCGACCGCAGTGATTGATCTTGAGTTGTCAGTCTGCGAAAAATAATTTGTGGAGGGAGTCCGGATGACCGAGGAGACGTTGGCGGCGGCGTAGAAACCGTGGAACCGGGAGGGCAGCTGAACCAGGGAAAGCTGTTCTTCGTCCGATTTGCCAACTATACAAATTGACAGCAATTGGGGAGGATGCACTACGTAGAAGTATAAGAAAATGACAAGGGAAAATACCAAACGCTCTGGTCAAAACAGGGAGACCCCTAACTCAAATATAGAGATCCAGCAGGTAGACAGATCATACTCATACGTATGGATCCTCTTTTTTTCGGCAAGCAGAAGCTGAGAGCTCGGCTCTCATTGGAGATGCACGGAGGTCCCGTTCTCCAGATCTTTGTCCCACAATCTGAAACTAGTCTCCTCCGGCCTCGTCATTCGTGGAGCATTGATGTCGCCCTGAGTTCGACCGGAGCTGAGCTGGGGCTAGAAATGCTCTTGATTTCGGTACAATCATATGCGCCCACAGAGTACTAACAAGCACCGCATCTGTGCTCCATCCCTCCCACTATTCCAGCCTGACTCAACATATACGGGTCTACCAAGAGCCTTGCCGTGGCGCCGCCACTACCAGAACCCCACAGCTTACAGGAAAGTCAAGGAGCTCGCTTAGTCGACAGGTATCACACGTCCTGCTCGGTATGTTGCACTTGTTGGTCCAAGGGCCCGTTGTGCTAGCTCATCATGCTGTGATTCCTTCGGACGGCCAAGGCCCAATGACACTGCAGCAGACTCGATTCATCGTGGGATTCGCCCATTTGGCAGGATTCCACTCTATCCCGTTGCTCCAGTCCCTTCAGCCGTAGCTGCCGTACAATGCAGCTGCAGGCACTTTCCTCAGTGCCCCAATGGGTACCAAGGAGGGCCTCTCACGCCGTGCAGAAATGGGTGAGATCAGCATAGCCCGAACAAGCTTGTGCTTCTCCTTTTGGCCCCCTTGAATCGCCTGTTCGGAACAAAGCGCGCGAGGCCCTGGAGAGATCAAAAAGTGGCGGCTGCCCAACCAGACGAGCCGCATTGTCCGTGGACCTAGGTCCTTGTGCCTGCACGAGGCCCGCTGTTCGACTTGTCAATTGTGACGCCCGTGCGAGCCTACAAGGGAGCCCGGTGTTGCCTGCCGGAGGATCCAATTTTTCGGCCTTATTGATGCCCACTCTTCGGTCTTTTGGGGGGTCTGGCCGCGAGAGGTCTCCGCTTCAAAGGTGGACTGGGCATTGGAGACGCTAATGCGGTGCTAACTGCACCGCCAAAACCCACTAACCAAGGCCTCGGTCGCCTTCAATGACTTGTGGGTTTGGTCCTGTCAGACAGTCAGACCAATTCTCGCCGTCATTAGCTATCCTCACTCATGGGATCTTATATTAACCCCGTTACGCTAGTTTAGGTAAATATTAGTGTGTCACATTGCCTACTTGGCTATCTAATTTACTTCGGAACCCCGCATTGAGGTCAGAATTCCCCAATGCCACTCTGTAGTCGTGTCACTCGTGCCATTGTCCAGCAATGACTGGAGCTTCAAAAGATGGTAGAATAGGAAGGCAGAATTCATATGCCAGCCCAAGGAGAGATCTCCCCCGGGGTCAACGACGCTCATTCTTCCGATTGAGATTGAGCCTGACCGTCCTTATTGACCACCGCCAGAAAGTCCACAAAGGCCCTCGCTTTGACCCCGGTCTCTATGCCTCCTTCACAATCCTGTCGGAGCTTCCGCACTTTGCCCAAGCCGCGGTTAAATCCCTTTTCTGCGGTCCATGAGCCTCTACTACGACGCGAACCACCTCTCCCTCCTCGGCCGTAGGGCCTTCCCCTTGTAGGAGGTGTGTACCATTCTTGCCATTCCTCCTCCTGGGTTGCCTGGTATATTTCGTGCAGCTGGCTGCGTAGCTGAGGATAGCGGGAGAATAGCGCTTGAAGCTCCGACGAAGCAGCTATAGCAGCAGCAGAAGTCTCAATCTTCTTGTTCGATGTATTTCCCGCACTTTCGGGCGTAGTATCGCCTTTCTGTAGGGAAGCCGGTGCAGTCGCATCCGCAGGTGTGTCTTTCGGTTCTTCGTCCGGAGGTGTGGCCTTGGGTGCACAATAAATCTTATGTGATTGGGTGCAGGCAAGCGAGCAACTAGGTCACGATTAGGCGGAACACGAGACAAAGACAATAAGCGTTGTGAAAGAACGGTCCTTACCTCATGAGAGAACATGTTGGACAACGATATTTGGACGGTTCTAAGGAGCAGACCTCGCAGGACCCGGGCATATTGTCGATCGAGGTAACGAATGAACACGTAGTTGAATAACGCCTTGCTCATCACATCTGGCTAGTCAGGACCGCGAGTCTCTAGCGGGTAAACGAGGCTCAAAGCTTGCGCAAGGGTATCTTGAATTCTTCGCATGGCAAAAATAGAACAAGCTAGGACGTTATGGCTGCCTCAGGCCACAATGGGACCCGCATCCCAGCTTCCCGAAACGGACGACTCTTGCGTCGGTCCGCTTGCTCAGTTTCAAGTGACGCACCCTCCGAGATCCAGCCCGTATTGATCCTACGGCATCAATTTCGACCTCGGATGTGGCTTGCTGGCTTTGTTCTGTTTACAACTTGTCTCAATTATACGCTATGCTCAAGTGATCTCCCCATGGGACCTATGAACGGCAGGTCTCGAACTAGGGCAGCCTTCAGTTACATGGCTCCATCGGGGTTGCCGATCTTATCTTCATGATCCATCAAACCTAGAGCATTCAGAATATCCCAAGACCAGTCTAGTGCGATGAGACAAAACTGGATTGCATGTGGTGCGTGATGAAGGGGCATGTATGCCGGGGCTACGGGGAGACACTGTAGGTTAGTTCACAGAGCAAATCGACCTCACATACTCTTGCTTATCGACCGCGAGATCCACCAGCAGAGTAACTGTCACATTGTGAAACATCTAGTTCTAGTCCTCCCGAAGCAGACTCGGATTTTCCCCAATTTAACATCATCTCGGGGAACGGATGCAATTCGTGGCCAACTTTGTTGACTACTTCGAGCCCATGGCTGTGATTCGAGATGGGAATCGTCGCACCTTCACGCATCTTGAGGACACTTCCCCCGGCTTTGTTGGCAGTATTCCGGTCCTTGATAAGGCTGTGACTGCGTCGAGCGCGGCCTATCTTGCTAAAATGAAATAGAGCAATGATTTGCTAATGTACAGCACAAGACTATATGGCCAAATCCCTCGGATTGTTCGTAGCCGGATTTGTTTCGGGCCAAAGTATGGCCAGGACTTGCTGTTTGCCACGGTGGTCTTTCAGATATACAAGGTATGTCTTACGGCAATGTTCAAACATATCATGCTAATCTTTGTCCAAGTTGGTCAAGTGCTGGGCCCTGGAGTTTTGTGCGTGGCCGGCTCACGTACAAGGAGGCAATGCCCTCCTAGCCCAGTATAACAGTCCAAGCCCTTTCAGTGTGACAGACCATCTCTTGCGCCGGCAATTGAGAATTTTTACGGTACTACCCTGAATTTTCAATGCTGTCATCAATGCCTTTAATAAGAGAAATTGTAATCCGCTAGCTAGCTGTGCGATACAGCCGAGAATGTTCGTCGCTCATGGAACAAGTTAACAGTCTCATTCAATCTGGATAGCCGAATATGCGAGAAGAATACCAAAAAAGAGAGCAAATGCTTTGCTCATGTCTACCTCTAAGAAATGAACTTGATCTTGAGTTTAGTCGGATGCCAAAAACGTCTGGGCTATATGTTCTCCGACACCATTGAACATCCATCTCTCACATGTTCCGAATCCTATCTGCTTTGGTTGACGACTTTTATACTCCTCTACCTCCTCACAGATGACTTTCTCACATTCCTGGGGCGGCCACGAAGCAATGTCCAACTCACATTGGGATGTCCCACCTTCTCACAACAAGGCCTCCTTAGCTACCACACTCGTCAGCATGCTTCCAGAAGTCATTCTTGCTGTGGCTGGACATTATGCTAACTTCATCTGCCGCTCTGCGAAGTTTCTGGTTGGAAGCTCAGGCGGAAGGCAAGGGCGCTCAAATAATGCTTGCTCCTTTCAGCCAAGCAACCCAATTCTATCACAGCCAGGGGGCCAATGATAAGCATCGATCTTGTCAGGGAGTGTTCATGTGCCTCCCTCGACTGGGCTTTGGCGTGGCTCCTTTCTTGAAGGATATGACCAGGCCGAAATATGAGGTTGCGATTGGAATAAAAGCTCAATGATCTTTGCCAGAATCACCTGGTAGCCGATATCGATCCACTGGTTAATACGCGCCTCCAGAAAGACGGATTATACCTATTACATATTACATTGTCTCATTAAAATCAAACAACGCAGCAAAGAGATCCTGAATACTTGTTACATCTCCTTCTTGACTAGAATCTTTCTCTTCGGCTCAAGAAACTTCCCGGTTATCGGCACCTTTATGTGAAAAGCGTCTTCTCTGATTGGTCTATCAGAGAACCTCATTTGTCATCTCCCCTTCCCCGAGATCACGTGCCAATCAAATTGCGTCAGAGTCCGGGTTCCAGCGCCTCTCAACTTTCCATAAACATTTTCCTTTCGCCGTACATACAGGAATTTGCAACGCATCTTTTGACTTTGCAACATTCAAAATGTCTATCAGAGCCACCTCAACCAATCTGCTCCGGCGAGCACTGACCAGTACTCGGTCGACCCCCGTTTCCGAGGCTATTCAAACGGTCCGACCCGCGGCCTTCAGCGCATTCCGAAATGTGTCCAGCGCCTCGCGCCTGCCTACCCTCACAGCTTCAGAGACTCGCCGTCGGCCGACGGTAAGGCCGCATCAGCAGCCTGTGGTTCAGAATGGGGTGAACGGCATGTCTCCAACCAGCAAGCGGACAATCTTCATTCAGACGGAAAACACACCCAACCCTGATGTATGTTCTCAACTCTGTGGTGGTGATTACGAGTATTCAAAGCGATACTGACAATATCACTTTATTCGACCAGGCCTTGAAATTCATTCCCAACCACCGCGTCCTTCCCGAGGACTTCCCGACCACTTTCCTTGAATACCTCTCCCCTCGCTCCACGCTCGCCCCACCACACCCTTCCCCTCTCGCCGCCAAGCTCCTCGATGTCGAGGGTGTCACCTCCGTCTTCTACGGTCCCGACTTCATCACCGTAACCAAAGCCAGCGATGCGCAGTGGGCGCACATCAAGCCCGAGGTCTTCAGCCTGATCACGCAGGCCGTGACAGCCGGTGAGACCATCGTGACAACCGTGGAGAGTGATGGCTCAGAGGGCACACAAGAAGGTGGTGTCAGCGACTCCCTCACCTACGACGAAAACGACGACGAGGTTGTCAGCATGATCAAGGAATTGCTCGAGACTCGCATCCGTCCCGCGATTCAGGAGGATGGCGGTGATATTGAGCTGCGGGGCTTTGAGGATGGTATTGTCATGCTGAAGCTGCGAGGCGCATGCCGGACTTGCGACTCGAGCACCGTGACGCTGAAGAATGGCATCGAGTCGATGCTGATGCACTATGTAAGTTTGCCTTCTCGGAGGATCCCATCCGACCCTTGCGTTTCCCATCCCGAACGTTTCACTAACATTGCGTGCCATTCTAGATCGAGGAGGTCAAGGGTGTTGAGCAGGTCATGGACCAGGAGGAGGAGATCTCCATGCATGAGTTTGCCAAGTTTGAAGAAAAGCTGCGTCAGCAAAAGGGCGCCGCTGCCACAGCCAGCTCCTCTATCGATAGCGCCCCATAATGAGTCTGTCCAACAGTCGCAATACGGAGGAATTTTTGAATCCGTCATGTCGCAGTGTGGCTTCTCTAAATTTGTATATTAGTTTATCCCCAACATCAAAGACAGCTTGTTAATGCATCAACGCTCCGTCGCAACGATTAAACCTCCGATGCCAACCGAGGCCCCGGACCTTGTAAAGGCGCTGTTCGATTTCGATTCCAAAATCTAGGCCCGCATCTCAGGTCCAGGGACTGCAGTGTGGATGATGATCTACTGTAGGCAATTATGTCTGGATCCAACTAGATATATTAGCGCAGAGGGGAACCCGGACCATCTGCAGAAGGAGGGCCCATGGGGTGATGTTGGCCGGTGAGAGATTTTCTTGGAGTCAACCTGCTCTCTATTCACGCGGGCTCTTGGCACTGTTGTTGTGCACCGTATCTCACAGAGTGCGACCATGCTTCTTTGATGTAGGTTTGGGGATGGATCTTCCCAGTCGCAAGGTTTAATCATGATGGCTGGCCTGATGCCCTGATTCCTAAATTTTCAGGCCATTGCGGGGGTGGCGGGGCTCATACTTCAGCAGCTTTCAGCTCTTTCAACAACTAGTAAAGTTAGGATCGACTATTCTGGACTGCGATATAACATCATTATGATCTTTATTCAACCTAACCCTGATCATTGCTAAGTCTGCACAAGTCCGAGGAGCTCAAATCATTCATCGCCTCCTCCTCCCACCTACGTCAACCACCCATTTCTAGCCCCATCAGGCTGGTGATTCGACACGATGCAGCTCATCCAGTTCCAGCCGTAGTCCGGTCTAGCCAAACCGTCCTCGTGCCTCATCTCGGCCGTGTTGCAAGACCGGGAATAAACTAACTCTCGGTCGGAGGCTCGGGGCCTTGATTGATTCGCCCCACCGTCCGTGGAAGTAAAGCCCGCATTGTGTGCGCACCACTCGTCCCTCTGAGAGGGGGAAGCATAAATGAAACCGGGGGTAGGGAAAAATAAAAAGAAAAGTAAAACTAGGTTGGTGCCGGAGGGGTGGTGGTGGGCTTAACTCTTCATTGTCCTATTGTTCTGCAAGGCCGGCTATGAAGTACTTGGGTAGGAGTGTCGGAGTTGTACTGTAGACCTGGTTTGTATGACGGCGAGTGTGGGCTTGGTGGGACAATGGTATACTGCCGACCGGTGGTTGACGGGGTCTTGATACTTGTTTGTTTTCCAGAGAGATCGTGTGTGAGTATATTATCGATGGGACAAGGAGAGGGGGTTGGGTGCCTCATTGCCTCTGTGAGGGTAGTGGGGAAGAGAACAAAGGGCTCTAATGCATGAGCTTCCCCCGCAAAAAGACAAGCCTAGACGACGATAGATTCATCCGAGGGGATCAGCCCCTCTCTTGGGGGGTGGAAAGCTGGAGTGGCCAACGCCTATTGGACTTCTTGGCCCGATGGGGACTGGATGGATGTTGCAATAATCCGGGGTACGTGACGTGTTGACTTTGATAGGACGATGGAATTCTATCGACTGAGAATCTTATAGGCTCCGGCTCTATGGCTGTAATATATGTAATTATACGTAATCTAGCTAGAGCCAAATTCGCTCAGGAGTCACTTGCAACGGGGCACTCTTTTCTCGTTTATTTTGATTGTCATGCTTATTCAAATTACAGTGTCATTCTAAAATGAGCAAG